TGAGTTTGCGGCCATTATTCGACAAGGTCACGTTACCGGGTAGTAGCTCTAGAAAGCAGTCGGAGGACAAGTGGGCAAATCAAATACCTGGTATGCAGAGAACTGTCAAAGGATACCGCAGAATTCGTTCTGAACTGCATGCTCGTACAGCTGCACAATGATGTAGGATACCGCATCAAGTTTGTCTTCATTTGGCATCCACGCGTGCGTACCATTCTTTCTGCCGCCACGGCAATAGAGCATGAGCACTGCACAGAAAAGCTATGTTAGAACCATTCCTTGAATAGGGAATAATACTGACCTCGTCCTGAGTGCGAGGGGGTGGCAATGTTAACCGATGCAAATTTCACTTGTGCAACGAGCCAGCTATCAGCTGTAACAATTGTGACTTTAGATTGTGCAATCTCTCTTATTCCACAAGGTTACATCTCTAATCTAAGTAAGACAAGCAAATATTGAAATATCCAAGCCATGCTGTCCGTCGATCTTATCTCAGTGTTGCCCTTTTTAGCGTCGGGCGGGCCGACATAGGTTGATATCATGTGGTTGGTCGGCCAAGCGCCTACCCCCGCTGACGTCCGGACAAAAATCAGGCCCGCCTTTGTCGAAGGTCCGACGTCCGGACCACCCACCCGGCCTCGGCGAGGGCTGAGGTCAAAACGTTCGGACAAAATCTGGCATAGGGTCCAAAATTTGGCCAAAAACGTCCGGATTCCGGATAGGCATCTGGCCCAATTATCAGGGGTCCTGTTCGCCTCCGTATCAATCACCTCTGATAAAGCTCGCCAAATGTAACGATCGTCTCTTGCCCGCGAACAATGTCGTGGAGGTCACAGGGTAAGTTACTTGTAAGCGGAAGCGAAATATCCGGACTACTGCACCTCCAATCGCAGGGTGGGAAAGAGCTAGAAAATGCGGCCCGGTCAGCTCGCGGGAGCGCCAGCGAAGGCTGCTATCCCGAACGGTATGTCCTTCATTCTGCTCGTATCGCTGTATGAACTAGAACGAAATTGCTAGATCTTGGTAAGTCTCTGCGAAGCTCCTGAAATCGTGTTGCGCTGTATGATCCGCCTTCCGTCAACACGACATAGCGGGAATGACCGAACCCATTCGCGATCCACTCGCTGCACATACATGGGTAGCAAACGCCACACAACATTGCACAATTAACCACCGAAAGCCCACCGCGACATCTTCAACTACTGATTGAATTCGACAAGTCCAATGACGGTCTCAGCATTTCCACCTCCTGCGATAAACCATGTGAGAACACCCCGATAACGATTTTTCTCTAACGTCACCAAGTCATATAACACGTTGTAATTACAGCATCTTTCCGGTGGAATATGCAAGACTAAATAACGGTGATTTACTCCGCATTGTTGCGAACTTCCAGGTACTAACAAGAGAAGTTGCCGGGCGAAATTAAGGTTCGTAGGCAGGTGGGCAGGCGGACCCGAAGGACTTCACTTCGTTAGCTAATCATAGGACTCACGTCTTTCACTCTTGCGCTAGTAACAGCACCGTGACCAGGCGAAAGTGTTGTACTTGCCACAAGCCCTGAGATCTTGCGTGTGGCATTCCAAAGTCCTGAGCTGCCGTATACGCGTCTCATGACTAAAACCCATCGATGGCGGCTACGGTAGAGCTTCTGGAAAGGCTGCTCGGATGGGGTCTTTGGTATTTGGACCTAGTTGGCCATGAGTCGATCACCCATGTCTCAGCTTTCCTAGCGTGTGTCGTTGATGCATATTGTGCAGGGCTCTTCCGTATTCTGAGGCTCCACTAGCCACGATATCTGCAGCGAAATCCTCGACGCGCTGTTGACTTACTTCTGGAAGCTCAAAGGGCGATTCGTGTGCATTAAGTGGAGGCGATGCGAGGGTCGAGAAAGGTACAACGTCCGCGTCAGTGTTTGCATTTAAGTTTCAGTCAGAAGTATCAATGCTGTGCACCTCACCGCCTGCATATCTACAGCCTCTCCCTCGAGCAAAAGGGCGAGTTTGCACAAGCAGAGCATCTGCCGACCACTTTGTACAAACTTTGTACTATGTGGCGTTTCTCTGTGCCAGTTTTCCCCTTAGCAGTACAACATTCGTGCACCAATTAGTCAATTTACAATGTGTCGTGTATTTACTACGTGACAAGAGTTTACATATCTTACAGCATAAAACATCGGGGGTGCGATACAATATGATGAGACTAGATAAATTATGTAGTTCCGGTTGTTCAATCAGCAGTCGGATTTGGCTTCGGTACGGTCACAAACCATCGAATAAGCTTCGCACTGAACCTTCTGAGCTGCAGCAAGCCCCAGCGTGTAGGTAACTTGTTTCCATCCCACTGATCAACTAGCTTGACGATCTTGAAGTCTTCATCAAGATCCACTAGGACAAAGGACGTGATTATCTATCACTCCAGGTCAGAATCTTTAATCCGAGAATCTGGTCATGTCGCTACCTTTTCGAAACCCAGCCAGCGAATCGTGTATTCTTGCGTCTGTGCAAGAACGAGTCTATTCGGCTTCAAAGTTGCGGACACGATCCTGCAGGATAGTCGTTTGGAGGACGAGCAAAGCTTTGCCTAGATCATTGGTAGGTAATCACGAGCGGAGAGAAGATACTGAAGCACGGGACTTACTAGACAAAAAAACTGAGCGGCACATTCCGAATAGCCATGAGCTTTGCTTAGCGGATCTTCGTACTCGCCATCCTGCCTCCATCTCCGCTGAAAAAGCTCCGGAGTAGGTCGAGCACAGAAGAGCTTCAGAAGCAGCTTCAGCGGTGAAATGTCCTGTGCAAGAGAAGAACTGACATCTTCGATGTCTCTCAAGACATCACCGTACAGCTCTACGACGGTTGGGTCACTGCCGGACATGCTCAAAGAGCGACGGCTGTGCCCGCTCTTTGCATGTCCGACGTGCGGATGTGAAGTCAGTGCTCCGGCGTAGTGCGCACCGCTTGCGATCGAATTGAAAAAGTCAGGCGCAGGAAGGCCAAGCGTATGCGATGTATGGTGCGTCAATGTAGGAGCGTGTACCGGGACGCGACCCGTGTGGGGGCCGTGCCCTCCAGCCGTCGGGGTAGGCGAGGATCTCGAAAGGTTCGAAGTTTCGGTGTCGTCTTCCATTCAAGTGCTCAATTAGAACGTAGTGTTTTAGTGAGATTTTGTTAAATTAGCTATTAGTGCAGTGTAGGAGAAGGCGAAGAAATATCGCCCTCGTTCAAGCCTAGTTTCGAGCAATTAGTCAACATGACCCTAACCTTAACAGCGATCTCATTTGTCGAACGCCGGTATTCTCCGGTAGTCAATGAGCGTCGCCTTCTGCAACTTTCGGATACGCGACGACATGAACAGAGAGTATGGTCGTCAGATTCGCGCGCAATATAGGAGTACTGATGCTGTTTGCATACCAGTGCATGCCGGCACCCCGCCCCACGTCACTGGAGCCAACAAGCTTAAGAGCCTGAGTGTTCCGTCGCCGTTGCACTGCCTTCGTCGGCTCCTCGTCCCAACCTGCGTCCGGAGCATTCAGCGGTAGACGCGTCTTGGCTTTCATCCGTAGTGCTGTTGTGCAAGATGCATGGATAGGTGTACAGCTCGTTAGGGACCAGATTTCTGCACGCGCAGGGTATGGCTGTGAATATGAAGCGCTTATGAGGCTCACGGTCAGATTTCAGCAGGCTTTCTGTGAGGTATGCGCATTACTGGCATGTTAGACAATAACGACGATAAATCAAGCTTCTCCCGAATAATGAACAATGCGCAGCGCGACTTAGCCAGCACATGTCGCATCCGGGCTATAGGCGCCCTTGATGGCTATTGTGGTGAGAGCAGTTTTCTGCATATCTAATGATGTCCGGAATATCCTAGAGTCATTCTAACTACTACTTCTTGCACAGGAAATTGCTGACGGATTTATATGATGCTGTACAACGGATGTCGTGGACCGTTGTGGTGTGACCCGCCCCCCTGCGCGGCGTGCACAGCTTGCCGGCCGCGCTTTTCCGCCGTCGCGTTACGACGCGTCATCCGTGCTGCTGGAGCTCCAAGAAATCCGGTGTACTGCCATTATTTTTACTGGACGTAACTTAATCCTCTCAAGCTGCTCAGGCACTCGGGACACGTTGGCTGTTATATCTTGGGCGCCTCCTGGCTGGTCGTAACCATTTGGCAGCATCACTACGGATACCTGCTAAATCTGTCTCACTTGGATTTTAGGTACCCATGTGCTGTGCGCATTCATTCCATATTCAGGTAGTAGAGCTGCTGTGCTGTGTCTTGTAGGCGACGTTCTGGAGATTGACAGGCAAACCCGCTTCAGCACTGAACGGAAGCTCGAGTCAGAACAAACCGCGCTCCGGGCACAATGCTTGTAGGGTCGTGTCCCGGGCTGTGTAATGATGCCCAGTATAAGTACTGGGCTCGCTGCGGATGACAGGCTAACTTTACGCATTACCCCACCATGTCCTCCGAGGACAACGTTGCTATCTTTTGGGATTACGGTGCGTGCTACTCTGCAGAGAGCAGTTTGCCTATGCTGATCCGTTTCATCTCACCGTGTCTTAGAGAACTGTGAGATACCCGGAGTCGCCGACAGCTTCCTCGTTGCCAATGGTATCCGCCGCATTGCACATGAATATGGGCACGTGAAGGTCTTTAGGGCCTATTTCGAGGTATCGGACAAGGACTCTGGCCGGTCGTACTCTCTGCGCTCGGACCTCCAGGCATGTGGCGTGACTCTTATCGACTGCCCACATAACGGGCGCAAGGACGTCGCAGACAAGATGATGATGGGTGTGTAGTGGCGTCTCTGATGTGAGTGATTCAGCAACTTACGCTTGTATTTGTCAGTGGACATCGTCGCCCACGCGATTGATAATCCGCCGTCGACGCTCGTGTTGATCACCGGAGATCGAGACTTCGTCTATGCTGTGTCCACAATGCGCCTCCGCAAGTACAAGGTTGTCCTATTGGCTCCGCCAGCGGCGCACGCAAGCCTCAGATCTCAGGCAACCGTTGTCTACGAATGGCCCCGGAGTGTGCTTCAAGCAGAGCTGCCAGCACCCACGCCGGCGTCGATGCTGAAACCGCGAGCATCGGCGCTGTCATCTTCGCGATCTGCGGTGGCGCCGCCCTCGGAACGTCAGACATCGTCTATGACCCGCATATATTCAACACCCAACACGCCGCAATCCGGATTGTCAACGCTTCCTATATCAGACGAGCAGAGAACACGATCAAACTCGATGCAGCATTATCGTTCGACGTCTCTCCCCGTCCTGAATCTTGACAAAGGCCCTCCAGGTTCTTCGGCGCTAAGATCCAGCCATGCAGTTGTGGCAGCTGGTCCTGCCACATCTCAATCGGTACGTTCTGGCCTTTCTGACCGTATACGACCCCACGAGCTGACATTGCAGCATACTCAGGGATCTGACCAGCGCCTTTCGCCAACTTGGAGGCCCTCCAGGCTCGCAATTGCTGCACCTGTCTTCCACCCGCAATCTTCGATAATGGATACCTCCTTCGACGCTACGTCAGTTATCGATGAAACACGGGACGGTGATGAGGCCGCGATAGACGATGCTCTGTCACCCGCTGAGCCGGTAGCGACGGAAGTATCCTACGACGGAGAGATTAGATCACACACCTACAACCCGGAATACGTCCAAGAACAGAACGATCGTCTATCAGCGTCTTCATCTGCTCCGCACACCCCCCTCGATGACATCAACTTCGCCCAGACCGAAGCAGCAAAAGGCAGTACGGACCAGGAACCGTCACTACTCGAACATGACGAGCCGCCGTTAGTGTGGGCGCAGGTGCGCGCGGACGTCATCATCCCGACGACGGTGATGGTGCGCCTGAAGAAGCCGCCGCAGAAGTTCAAGCTGCTCGTGCGCGTGCTCGAGCGGGAGCGGCTCGCGGGGAACACGCGCGTGAACTTCTCGCAGCTGGGTTCGCTGCTCCGCCAGGAGCACCCGGCCGTGTACCAGCGCGCGGGCTGCGCGCAGCTCAAGGACTACGTCGCGCTCGCCGAGGAGGAGAGCGTCGTCATCGTGGGCAAAAACTTTGGCGAGCACGCCTGGGACAACGGGAACAAGTGGGCGGCACTCCACCCTGTGTACCACGGACGCATCCCTGAACCGCAACCCACTGGGCAATATCCGCCACCACCACTTATGCAAGTATCACAGACACCACATGCACATAACTACTGATTTTCCGAGAATACCACAACACCACGTATACCCTTCACCCGGACAACCCAGACAGTATTTATCAACGGTTACATTCACGCTTCTCCACTGTATCTATATGGGCCAGGATCCTTATAAAGTTTCATATTTTGTGTCCGCGAGCTGCCAGCTGTTATTCGATGATTTATACATGTACAACAAAGTAACCTCGGGATTTTCAATGCAATGGTCGGGTTTTTGCCAGCATTAAATACGGATTTGCGGGATACCAGTATGTAAAAACTGAAGGGTAGTAGCGTAACCCAGTCGTGAGCGAGCCAAGGACAGTCACCACTACATTATCGTCCAAACATCTCTAGTAGATTATTAACCGCCGTTGGTCTGAGGGCCCTGCCAAAGACCGTAAGCCTTGCCTGGTGTCGTCTGCCACAGTCGAATCGTGCCTGCGGACAGATCGTAAGCTCCTGAAACACAGATACCTGAGCGGATCACTTACCGTCCTCTGATAGATAATCGAAAAAGAACCAAGAAGACGGATCGATGAGTACAGCTTCCGATCGTAGCAGCCATAGGGCACTTACCGCTGCCACTCGCAAACATCTCCCCGTCCGGGCTGAACTCGACACAGTGTACAGGGCCATGATGACCCTTCAGGACATCTCGCTCCGTGCCGTCAAGACTGTGCATCCTAACCCACTCGTCGGTCATGCTGCCCGTAACAAATCTATCTTGCAGGATAGGATGAATAGAAGCCGATGATGGCGCATATGGCAGGGTGAGACTGTGAATATCGTTTCCGCCACTTGGCAGCGCCGGAATGAACGCGACCGTTTTGCCGGAGGTGACGACTAGCCGGCTGGTTTGAGGTGAAAGCTCCATAGACGTGATAGGGCCGCCGAAAGTCATGCTTGAAGAGAGAATCTTGGTGCGCAGGTCCCACCATCTACGGGCCAATGTTCTCAGCATCAAGCACGACATGGGCTGCGTGAATGGCATACTTGACAACACCATCCTCGCCTGCAGTCACGCCTGTGTGCTCTCCCACCCACACGACGCTCTTGACGGTTCCGTCATGCGAGAGGGCCGCGCCGCTATCGAGAAGTAGCTCCGGCTCTGCGTCCGGCCTGCGAAGATCGAACATGCGCACTTTCTTCTCTTGGCCTCCCGTGAGGAGATGCGACGCGCTCGAGGATATCGCGACGCTGCGGACGATGTGATTGTGAGGAAAAGAGTGGAGAGCCTCGCCGCTGTACGTGTCCCAAATCTTCCTGGAAAAGCAGATGTAGCGTTAGCAAAAGACATAGCCGGCACCATGCACCAAGTTGGCACAAAGATGGCTTTGATGGTGCTCACGCTGTGAAGTCTGCACTGCCAGACGCGGCACGGGAAGTATCCGGAGAAAGTTTGCTGGACCAGACGGCACCTTTATGGCCGATGAAGGTTCCTATCCAGTCTCCTGTCCAGTCACGAAGCATCGGATTTCCGTCTTTGCAGCTGGAGATGAGGACGTAGGTGCCATCCTCCTGCAAGGGCGAGAAAGAGAGATGGGTGACGGGGCGGGTGTGGCCGGGGGCGACGAGGGGGATGGGCTTGGGATGTTGAGCCATGGGTCGTAAAAGGGCGTTATTCGTACAGAAAATGGGAGCCAGAAGTCGTGAAGGGGGCGCACTGCGCTCTGGACAAGGAGAAAGGCGACACGAGCAGAGCAGCACAGGACAAGTGCCGCCTCGGCACGTGCCAAATCACTGCGGGACCTTAACGGGCGCTAACATCCGACGCGCCACACCGCCGGCGCCAAAGCATTATGCCTCCGCCGTCCAGACCGCCATCGTGCCGGCATTCCTGTATCCGCCTTTCGACCAACTCTTCTGACGGAATTGGGGCTGGCCAAGGAGAATGATCAAAGATACGTCGAAAAGTTCTCAAACGCATTCACAGGATCTTCTGAATTCCCACCTCGGCATTGATCAAATTTTCGACAAGTTTGTCGTACTTTTGTGGAGCGTGACACCTGCTAACTCCCTTCAGGTCGGAGAGGTGGCTATCAAGCTTCGAGAGAATGTGTGACGCTGACTGTTATGCGTCAAAGCGACATCTCAGCCCTTCGAAGGCCCGAATTTCATTGCCTTGCGAGCTGCGCCCCTAGAGGGCCAGTCCAGTCTATTGCGAGTATCCTTATCCATCATTCATGTGCACATACTAGCCGGACGCAGATCCCCGTGCACAATGCATAATATGCTGTCATAGGAGACCGAAGATAGCTGCGGATACGATATTCATCGGTCCTCCCAGGACATCGTCCGGCGAGACCCGTCCTTCGAGGGCATCATGTAAGCGTAAGTATCTATGAGCCCGCTCTATCCCGAAATCACATCCGACACCGTCATGCGACATGGACGCCGCCCTTGGAGCGCAGCATCCTGTCCCGCTTTGCGTCGGACCGAGGTATAGTAGCGTATGTGCCTAGCCAGCCCGACGGTGAGCTCGAGAGAATTTCGCCATCGAGGTGAGTAATTTAGCTTGCAACATCGAACTTCGAGGCCCGCTTTTTGTGCCTGGTGTCGAACGAGCGCCACAGGATCACGTCAGGGTGTCCGCATCCCGACGGCTGCCTGATTAGGCAAGCGCGGGGGTGGAATAATTCCGTTCTCCACGAGGTGCATGCCAGGCATAATGAGGGAAGTGCCTGAATTTGGGGAATTTGCTGCGCGAAATGTCGCGGAGCAATTTTATGGTCGAAACAGACGCGCTGCGCTGTAACGCGATCACGTGCATATTCGCAAATGATTTGGAGGATTGCGTGCTTTGGTCTAACTTGGACCAGAGCCACCTGCAGTCCTCATCTTGCGCAATTGCTCACCGAGATTCTGAATCAGCAACCTAAAATGCTTCTTCTGCGCTCACTGCTCGCTCCAAGAGCCCAGGTGCCCTTCACCTCTTCAAAACCGCGCTGAAGAGACCTCAGCGTTCTCTCAGCTGGCGTCTTCCTCCCCGGGTCTCTGCCGTATTCATTGCTTAAGCGAGATCCTTCTTTCGTCACCGCTCAACGCAGCCACCATCACATCTTCTCTCCCAGGGTCACCTATCAGACATTGACAACTGTACAGCTGCCTGTTGAATTTCTCCACGCGGGATCCTTCAGTGCCTGACTTAGCCTGTTCCGTGCACCGGCTCGGACCTATATAACCACCATAGCTTCTCAGCCGCCACCGGTCTCTTCATTGTCCACCCTCGTAACCTCCCGTACGACGAAGATGACTTCGCTCTACCAGAAAGCGAAGCGATGGGGCAAGAATGTCATAGGCTATGACGACGACTCTGTTCCAGTCGTCTCGGTCTCTCACTGGATTCGCAAGTATTCTCGCAATCCTAAAGACGGCGTACGTGCGCCCGCTTTGGTGCTTGATGCGGAGCTAACGCTTGCTGCAACAGGCGATCCAATATGTTACGTCGCTGTTCCCCATCACTGGCTGGATTACGCGGTACAGTGAGTTGCATCCCTGCATGCTGTGTTCTCTGTAGCGTTGACAGCCCCCGGAAGATTTCGGATGGTTATATGGCGACGTCGTTGCAGGTCTTACAGTCGGTATTGTCCTTGTGCCCCAGTCTATGTCCTACGCACAGGTTCGTTAGAACCTCCGCACTTCCTGCGACAAAATGCTCACCGCTATGTTTTTCGCCGGTAGATTGCCACGCTTCCTCCCCAATACGGCCTGTATTCTGCGTTCATCGGTGTCCTCATCTACTGTGTAGGTCCGCCTCCATATTCTCATCAGTGTCACTGCTGACACTCCCTTGTTCGGTACTGTAGCTCTTCGCCACCTCGAAAGATGTCTCTATTGGTCCAGTCGCTGTTATGTCCCTCACCGTGTCGCAGATCATCGAACACGTGAATAAGTCGCACCCCGACGTTTGGAGCGGGCCTCAGATTGCCACCACTGTCGCCTTCGTTTGTGGATTTATTGTTCTTGGCATCGGTCTCCTTCGACTCGGATGGATTGTCGAGTTCATTCCCGCGCCCGCCGTCAGTGGATTTATGACAGGCTCTGCTATCAACATTGTCGCAGGTCAGGTACCTGGACTCCTAGGCGAGAGCGGCTTCAAGTGGGTATCCACCGAATGTGTCCGCCCTCTATGCACGCTGAACATCTACATAGCACTCGCGCAGCAACATATCAGGTCATCATCAACTCCTTTAAGTTCCTGCCCCAGTCCACGCTCGATGCTGCATTTGGAGTTACCGGTTTGGTTTCGCTATACGCCATTCGCATGGGCTGCGACTGGTTGGTGAAGAGATATCCGAGGCGACGTACGTCTCAAGTCCGTCTGTCTCGTTTTGCAGCTGACTGGTGTACAGAGCGGCTTTGGTTCTTTATCTCCACTTTCCGCAACGCTTTTGTCATCATCGTTCTCACCATTGCGTCTTGGCTTTACTGCCGACATCGCCTGAGCCACGGCAAGTATCCCATCAAGATTCTGCAGACCGTACCGCGTGGTTTTCAGCACGTTGGTGCGCCGATAATTGACGGCAAATTGGTCTCCGCGCTCGCCCCTGAACTGCCTGTCGCAACTATCATCTTGTTGCTTGAGCATATTGCCATTTCAAAGTGTATGTGCCATCATTTTTACCCGGTGTCCCATGAACTGAATGCTGTCTTTCAGCCTTCGGCCGTATCAATGGGTACAAAATCAACCCGAACCAGGAACTGATTGCCATTGGTGTCACCAACACCGTGGGTACAGTCTTTGGCGCGTACCCGGCAACTGGCTCCTTCTCGCGATCGGCGTTGAAGTCTAAGTCCGGTGTGCGCACGCCTGCAGCTGGTATCTTGACCGCCATCGTGGTCATTGTCGCGCTGTACGGTCTCACATCTGCCTTCTTCTGGATTCCCAGCGCCGGTCTATCAGCGATCATCATTCACGCCGTTGCAGATCTCGTCACCAAGCCACGTCAGGTGTACTCCTTCTGGCGTGTCTCCCCACTCGAGTTCGCCATATGGGCTGCTGACGTTCTGGTCACTGTTTTCTCGACCATCGAGGACGGCATCTACACCTCCATATGCTTGTCTGCCGCTCTTCTGCTCGTGCGCATCGCACGTCCACGCGGTTACTTCCTTGGTAAACTCACGCTGCGCACCAGCGAACACGACAATGCCGAGTCGCGTGATGTTTATGTGCCGTTGAACCCGAAGCCAAGCCTGCTGGACGCATCTGTGAAGCCAGTACCCCCGCCTCCTGGCATCATTGTGTATCGCCTCGAGGAGAGTCTCATTTACCCGAACGCGCACCTCGTCAACTCGACCATCGTCGACTACGTCAAAGAGAACATGCGCCGCGGCATAGACATGAGCAAAGTCAAGATGAGCGACCGCCCGTGGAATGACCCGGGTCCCAAGCCGGGCCAGGATCTCGAAACGGAGAATAGTAGGAAGCCTGAGCTGAGGGCGATTGTGCTGGACTTGTCCGCAATGTATGTTACTTCTATAATTGCTGCTGTCGGACCAGGCTCTGATCTACTCATTACTTGCAGTTCACAAATGGACACCACTGCTGTGCAAGCACTCATCGATACCCGGAACGAGGTAGAACGCTGGGTGAACTACCCGGTCGAGTTCCACTTTGCAACTGTGCTCTCTCCATGGATCCGCCGTGCCCTTATCGCCGGCGGTTTCGGTACGGGCGAGTCGTCATCCCGCATACCCGCCGAAATTGCACAGATCGTGTCCCTCGGCGACGTCCGCGAACCATCGCTGCCCGAGAAGAGCGACCTGGAGAGCCCCGTTATCTCCGAAGAGGCCCGCCGGCGTGGCTCCAGCTCAACGCACAAAACGACAGACCGCCTTGGCGGGCCGATCGTTCCTCAGGACACGCCCTTCTTCCACTTCGACGTCGTCTCTGCTGTGCGCGCAGCCGAGTCGGGCAGGGACCTCTCGCGGACGCCTAGCGTCACGTCTGTTGGAACGGGGAAGCGCGTCGACAACGGCAGTCCGCTTCTGTGATGTTTGCTTATGGTCAGTTGAGAATTTTCCGTGCGACACCCAGTTTCATCTTGCTTTGGATCATTACAATTGCCCGTTCACTTATACAGGAAAAAGGAGAGAAAAACAGTACGACTGATGTAATGTGTACATGTAGAGATTCTGAGTCGTCTGTGTTGTACTGTATAGGTCGTATAGTTCTGCAAGCACGCATTGCGAAGTTTCAAAACTTGATAGGGTGTGGGTCCCTGCTTACACAGGATGCATTGAGTGTCCGCGCCAAAATCTTGGGTACGCGATTGTGCATGAACAAGGCGATACACGGTGACAGCGTGTTAATTAATAAGTGAAATTAGTCTTATTGTAACGTTCCGAGTCGCTTCACCATCCGCAACCTCATTTGTATGCAAATTCCCTGGATGCGCGTGAATTACTTACCGATGGTCTTTATATGAATCTGAATGGCGAACCTCGCTGGCTTTTGAACCGTGGGTATACTGCGTTATGATTAAAGCTTAACGTTAAACGGTGTTCCTTAAGCGTGATCGCTGAGCATTCCATTACAAAGAATCCCTTGCGGGGTTCAGGGACTTTGTGGCGCGGTGGGGGCTGGGGAATTCGGAATACGGGCGCCCAGTTTTCGGACGAGCGTTTGCAATCACGGCCGTCGCCGTAAGGCGCATCAAAAGAGTAGCGCCCTCTCCTCGACTTTCTGACCGCGGCGTTTGCGCTTCCGCCTGGACTCCAACGACACTCAGCTTGCTTTGCTGTTCACCCCGTCCGCTTGCGTTCTGAGAAGAAAATGTTACACATTATATCCGAAATGCTGCACACGAACGCTTTCCGACTTGCTCGCCAGCTTTCTCGTCCAGTCCTTACCCGACCGCTCTCCACATCCCCTGTTCTATATTCCGGACACAACAAAGTTAGTGCGTGCTCCCCAATGGAGGAGTGTCATCTCATATTTTGCCTCTAGTGGGCAAAAATTAAGCACAAGAAGGGTGCCAACGATGTCAAGAAGGGGTCATTGTACTCGAAGGCCTCCAGGGTATGTGATCCTCAGTACGTGTAGTCTGGCATGGCTCAGTCCAATAAGGATCGGAATAGGACATCATCGTGGCCGTAAGACGTAAGTAACTTTTTTATTCATGCGCCAGCTGCATACTTATACCTTCTCCGAATGAACAGAGGGAGGAGGCGCGGACCCTGAGCTCAATAGCGCATTGGCAGCAGTCATTAAGAGATGCAAGACGCAGGGAGTCCCAAAGGATAACATTGAGGCTTCTCTCAAAAAAGTGAGTCTGTTCAAACTATTCCAAGAATCCCACCTTACAGTTGTTCGAAGGCTGCGTCAAGAGGCTCTGAGTCCAACGCGCAGGCCATCACATATGAAGGGGTATCGGGACAGATTGGTCTTATAATGTGAGTATGCTTATGCTATCTCATGTGTCTGCCGCTTATATCTGTTACAGAGAATGTGTTTCGGACAACCCCAGTCGAACAGCAACTAAGACGCGTGAGCTCTTGAACAAAGGCGGGTGCGTACTTCTCCCGTACGCCGTTGGGTCTCCTTAAGCTAACTCAGCCATTTGATCAGTGCTCGCCTTACCCCAGTTGCTTTTATGTTCAGTAGACACGGCTCCGTGCGGGTAGCCATTGCGGAAGGAGAAGATTTCGACGCAAGACTTGAGCGGCTTGTCGAGGCAGCATTCGAGGCGGATGCGGAAGATTTTGAGCAAAATGAGCCTTCAGAAGGCGTTGTCGGGATCGATGTCTGTTTCTGAATTTATTGTCATGATATAGATATATTACTAACAATCCGACTAACAGTTCAAATGTCCTCCAACCTCTCTTACCAAGCTGACGTCTGCCGTGACAGCTCCTGGGCTGTGTGAGGAACTGCTGGCCAGTGAGCTTGTCTATTCGCCCATAGATCCTGCCGAACCTCCAGACGAGCAGGCTGTCACGAAGATTGAGTCGCTTGTTGAAACACTCGAAGAAAACGACGATGTGGTCCGCGTCTGGACTACGCTCAACTAGGTGACAAGCCAGAGTACGGTCCTCGTCTGGGTTAGAATGCCATGTTCTACAGTGCATATAGAGGAGTTAAAATTGCGCTACATACTATCACATCTAGAGTTACAATTGCGACAGGTCGCGTATGCTTTGTCCATCTGTCTCGTATAGGCACTATCCAACTACAGCCCCTGCGCTATCTACACTGAGCGGTCGCATAGGAAGCTACTAGAATCGCCATAGGCCGGTATGACCATGTATGGAACAGCAAAAGTCGCGGCAAGTGACTTGAGCCACAAACCCGGACTTGAACTGTCGAAAGGCGGGTTTGGTGCGACCGCTCGACCATCAGGCGAGACGTCGTCCGCGGCCGTACCAAGGAGGGAGCAAGGCTATCCACGCGCTTCCCTCTGACCCGCCAAGCTCTATAATGCCCTGTTGCTGCGCGAGCGCGGCGAATTCCTTGAACTTCGTCACCCCCGCATCCCGATAGACTCGTTCATTCCGCTTGGTGAGCTGAATCGCTAAATGCGAGCGAAGCATTTTCGTTTGCCCGGCACGCCGTGCGGAGTCCAGAACGTCGACGAGACTCTGAAAAGGATCTACGGGCGGCATAGAGTCCAGAGAGACAACTGAAAGGCAGAGTGGTCCGGGACGGAGGTAGTTTGTGGAGACCGTGCCTATGTGCGCAGGCGCATCGGTGGCGAACGTAGGGATAGTGGGCGAGCACATCCTCCCTTGTGTATCGCTCAGAGGGAGGAACGCTAGGCTATCAAGTTCTCTCCGGTGATCTAAAACCTCCGTGAGGGTGTCGGGAGCAGGGATGATGGGCGTGGGCGGCCTGACGCTTAGTTGGGGTGCTGAGTCGGCGGTAGTGGCTATTGTCGAGAGTTCGCATGGAATCGGTGAGACAACGTTGATTGTGTCACTGCGTTGTACGCTAGCAGCTGCGGAGCCTGGACAAACTTCTTCGCCAATGGGTGACTAAACAGAGATAAGGCACTGCGGATCTCTCCCTAGTCAAAAAGGATACTTACAATTATCCCAGGGCTCTCGACTGCCTTGCAGCTGCTTGTGCCATCTGGACAGTCTTCGCAAAGCGTTGGAGATGTCTGCTCGAACTCGGAGAAAACCGCAGAAGCCTGCAGGGGAAGGAATACAGGTGAAGCGTTAGATAGACCCTAAATAGCTATATCACCCTGACGTACAGTTGTCCCCGGGCTAATCGGCGTGTTTGAATTGGAGGCTATATTATTCAATTCCGTTTGAAGAACGTTGCTATCCACACGAATGGTCCTTGACGTTCCTTCTCGGGCGAACGGCGCGGCAGCGTCTGGCTTCAACGCATGGACGTGCGGATACGGGGTAGAGGGAGAACTGTGCGGCATCGGCACGCATAACATCTCTGGTGGTGCTGCCGAACCTGGACACAGTGGATACATCGAAGTAGGCTTGACGCTGGAACGAGCGACGAACGAATGTCGACGACCGCTCCCGTGGGCGGCTGAGTTGGAAACAGCACTGACAGAAGATTGAATCGCGCGTCCTCGAGCACCAACGTCGAAGTCTGGCCATTGCCCTCGGCCAAGAGAGGCGGCGTCTGCACTGACATGTCGCGTATGTTGATCTCGCGAGGGCTTCTTTAAGACGTCACGATCCCAATCCAAGAGTTCCGAAGCCCCTGATTTGAGACAGGTATGTGCCGATGGAGGAGCAATAATCACGACGTGGTACCGCCGAAACCTGAGGATAGAGGCCGCGTAAACGAAATCACGGTCTCCGGAAATTAGGATAATGGTGGCTGGTGCCGGCGTGTCGATGGCGTACGTCAGCATATCAACTAGAACGCTGATGGTTAAGTGGTGGACTAGGCCAGGGGAGGGACAGGGAGCACCTATCATCATCTTGTCTGCAACATCCTTCCTGCCATTATGCGGACAATCGGTGAGAGACACCCCACATGACTGCAGCTCGGAGCGCAGGCCGATGGAACGCGGAGAATTCTGTTCAGAAAGCTCGAGGTATGCTTTGAAGAGCTTGACTGCGCCGTAATTATGGGCAATCTGCCTGATGTTATCTATTGCAGCGTAGCCTGCACTATGATGGGGCGAACAATTCTCTGAGGTTGAGAGGATTCCAGTGTTGTCAAATTATATTCACATGGAAAAACACATATCCTCACCATAGTCCCAAAAGATAGCGACTGGGACCAAGGGGATGTCCTGCGTTCGTCCATGAGGGGAGTTCATTGGGTAATAGTATACGTTCCATCGTCAATCCTTGCTTTTGTATCCTCAATTTTCTATGAGCGCGGTCAAAACGCAATCGAAGGGTACTCGGGGGCTTCCGTTCTTTCCTAGTTAGCATCCACATACAGGACAAACCGAGGGTACCGACACCTCATTATCATCCGGCGGTGTTCATAATATCTGTATTCTATGCAAGGCGGTAACACCTTGGGTCAGGAGACCTGGCTTAATGAGACGGAGACTGCACAGGATAGCGTGATACACACAGGTCCTCGTCTCCTACGAGGAAACCTCGAGGCTGGAGAACGCCAGTTCTCTCACGATGCCATGTGAATGCGGCGGAGGCAATGCTCGGCGTTGACGGAAGCTGTGCGCGCTGCATTGAGGACGACGAGGAGGGGATGGTGGCCTCGAGGCCCGGGGGCGCTGAGCCGCAAGCGCCGAGAGCTCTTAGTCACATGACCGGTACGCGACTATGGGCGCCTGTGGCGTCCGCCACGTCCACGCCGGGCGTTTGCTCGCCGTCTCAGCAGCCGTTTCAACGTCGAGCGACGGTCTCGCTGCCCGACATGCAGCTCAAATGGCTGCTTCTAACCACCGCTGGGATAGCTCTTGCTCAGTCTTCAAATATCTCTGAATCTCTGCTATGGGGAGCATACCGACCCAACCTGTATTTTGGCCTGCGACCGCAGTTGCCTCAGTCGCTTATGACCGGGTTGATGTGGTTTGGGACCCACGACTATCAGTCTATGCCCAGTCAGTTCTTTGATATTGTTATGTAAAGCGTTGAAGCTCACAGATATGTCAGACACCCGGCATGCGTGCGAGCAGGGCGACCATCTGGATAGTTACACTTGGACGGAATACGATGCCAGAGAAGGCGGCGTACAAGTCATCAAAGACAGCGCGAACAACGTTCAGCTCACGACAGAGTTCCTCAAAATTCCCGGAGGTCAGCATGGTGGTAACTGGGCTGCACGTATCAAAGGAGAACCAATAGACCCTCGTACGTCGCTGCGCCGAGCTCTCCATCCACAGCCCGCTGAATACATACCAATGAGAGTAGACAGACCGTTAAGGATATCGACAATATTTTACATGGGTCTCGAAGGTGTGGGAGGGCTAGAGATGGAGACTGACGAGGATGAGAATGCGAGTCTATCTCTTCTTCTCGAAACCATATGTTAACAGACGTGGCCAGGGTTTGGAAGGTCCGGTTGTCTTTACGGGCTCCACCGTTGAGCTCGACGAATTCACAATTCGCGTTGTTGATGGTGTGTGATATATCGCTCAGCTTCTCATGTCGAAATGCTAACGATGACCCCACAGGCCCTGACAACACCCCTGTAACTCTTGGTGTGCATGCAGAGGCTTTCGCTCACCGTAATGGGAAAACCCACTTCGCAGGTTACCGCACGCCTGCGGGCCAAATCTGGAAGGCTAAAGGTACAGTATATTTCTCGGATGTTGACCCCCCTTGTTGACGCGCTCCAGAGTACATCCTCTCGAGTATAGTCGATCATGCAAAACAGGCTATCCTGCCGTACCAAGACTCCACTACCACGCCGCCAGACCCTTCCTTTGTTCTCCAGCTGCCAGACGAGGTATTCACCGGAAGCTCGTTGTATGCGGTCCAGAAGATCTTCGACGGGTCATTTCAATTCGAGGTCTTCTTCGAGAGCGCTAGTGCGAAACAGAAACTATCATGTAAATCTGATAGCCTCATTATCAAGCATTCGCTTGCTGAGGTGTCACATCCACAGCGGCTGCTTTGGACCAAGGTATCGAAGCTTTGAGCAAGTCGTTCAGTCAACGGTTCGATGAGGTCTTCCCGGTCACGAACTATCCGACTAGCAATCCCGACTCGTTGAAGGCATTTTCCAAAGCCGTCACTTCAAACCTCATTGGCGGTGTGGGTTACTTCCATGGTACCTCGATAGTCGATCGCGCGTTTTCGTACGAGTGGGACCAGGAAGACGATGTGCCAACACTCGAAGATGACGACGATGGGCAGAAGGGTGCACATCTGACCGAACCTCGTTCGCTGTTGACGGCCACGCCCAGCCGAAGCTTCTTCCCTAGGGGCTTCTATTGGTAAGAGTCATTGGTGACGAGTAGGGCAGCTTCTCAACGTCAGCATCAGGGATGAGGGTTTTCACTTACTCCATATTGGTGAATGGGACAACGACATGAGGTACGAAGTTCAATTTGTATTCCGGCGCTGACAAGCTCACATTTATCTCCCAGTTTGCAAATTCTGAAGAACTGGGTCGATCTCATCGACCAGGATGGCTGGGTCGCTAGGGAACAAATTCTAGGCGAAGAGGCTCGTAGTAAGGTATGCTAGGTACTGGCCGCGACGTGATTATAGGTTTGACATTTTATGCGCAGGTGCCCGCCGAGTTCCGCACGCAAGTGCCGACATGGGCCAACCCTCCCACACTGACGATGGCTGTGACAGCATTTATCAATCGTCTGAAGAAGGCCTCTCCCGGGCCCTCGACAGCTGATCTTGGTCTTGACTACGGCATGGGCAGCGAGCAAATTATCATGACAGATTCTTCAGCCGATTCTTCTATCCGCAGCCAGTATTTGGAAGACCCGGAGCTTGCACTGTCATATCTGAAGTCAATCTACGCACCGCTCAAGAGGCACTATGATTGGTTCCGTCGCACACAGCGTGGACAGATCAAACAGTACTCGCGCAAGGCGCGGTCGCGAACTGAAGCGTACAGATGGCGTGGACGCTCGAAAGATCATGTTCTGACAAGCGGGATGGACGACTACCCTCGTGGACCGCCGCACGCAGGCGAGCTGCACCTCGACTTAATCTCTTGGATGGCGTTCTTCACGCGCACAATGCGCGACCTCGCTGAGTTCATCGGCGAGACAGACGATGCGACGGCATTTGTCGAGATCGAGCGAGCGACCCTTGACAACATCGAGGACCTGCACTGGAACGAGGAACACCAGATGTACTGCGACGTGAACGTGAACGACGATGACGAGTCGTATCATGTCTGTGAGAAGGGTTATCTCTCGCTCTTCCCATTCCTGCTTGGTCTGCTCTCGCCCGAGTCGCCACATCTCGGGCCTGTTCTCGACCTGCTCCACGACCCCGAACACCTCTGGTCGCCATATGGCCTGCGCAGTCTGTCTGTGTCGCACCCGGAGTTTGGACAGGGAGAAAACTACTGGAAAGGTCCGGTTTGGGTGCAAATGAACTACCTTGCCCTCCAGGCGCTACACACTGTACGTCCTAGTCTACTGGTACTAGGGCCCGCTTAATTGACGACCATGATTCCCCACAGATCTATGCTGCAGAGGAGGGTCCTCACCAAGAACGTGCGAAGGAGATCTATGCTAAGCTTAGGAAGAATGTTGTTGACAACGTCCACAAGGTATACGTGCTCTGCCGTGCCGAATAAACCCGCCTAACGTTGCGACTTGCACAGGAATACGAACGCACTGGCTACGTCTGGGAGCAGTACGATGCGGTCACAGGCGAGGGCCGGAGGAGGTATGTACTCAGACCTATTCACCTAGAACTCCTCACTCAATGCTACACACCCTTTCGTTTTAGCCATCCCTTCACCGGCTGGACATCTTTGGTTACATTGAGTACGTCGATCAATTTTTCCATGCCGCCGTTTCAGAGCGCTAACTAGGTTAACAGTAATCTCAGAGAAGTACTAGATGAATGGACTCTTGACAATTATGTTCTCTGGAGCCGTCACTTGGGTACACTTATTTATGACAGCCTTGCTCGACCTAGAAAGTTGTTATCAATATGCTTTAAACCAGATGAGATCCTATTAGTTCAGATAAGATATCTGGGTGCGTCATTCTTATCCCACCGATCCACGATGGCTGCGCATCTTCCATCATAACAGACTGCGATGAACTTATAAGCGAGAAAGCACAAGAGCCAGCCGGCTGAGCGCGCCCCTTGACATGTTCATTCTCGACGCTGACCACTCAAGCTAATTGTGTCTCCTGCCCATGAGCAAGCCGTAGGTCCTCAGTTCAATTTCGCTCCGCTTCACAGGTTGTGCTACTTTCTACCCGGACTCAAACAAGCACTTCCGATCATGCGCCTTGTGATTCAATCGTCACCGCCCTATCAGGCCTCTGGGATCGACCGCAGGCTGTACACACTTCTGGGAGAATTGTCATCTGCACCAAACACGAACGAAGCTCAATTGCTAGGCACAGGAGTACCGAGTTGCTCATAAGGAAAGTGTCCACTAAAGCAGGATTTTGGCACCGCCAGCCGTAAGTATGAAAAGTAACATGGGGGAGACATGACATATAGGTGGTAAATAGGTATAAAGCAGGATGATGGGAGAGATGAGTCCGTGCGTATGAGCAATGCAGTTTGCGAGACGGAACGAGAAAGGAAGGGATAACTTGGCTGTACATGGAACGATCCAGAACCTAAGGGGTAACACGACGAGGAATGGATTATGTTACAAGCGAATTGCGAACAGTACTTTCACGACAGCAGCTACGGTCATCAAAACTCGTCAGGATCGAGATGGAAAGAGTCGAAATGAAGCGAATCAAGCCGCATCTCGAGACTCGTGTCTGCTGCCTCCGCGACCTCATCCAGTTGTAGTGTGCTCGAGGACGCTGTGAGCGAGTATGATGCTGCGTCTGCGTGGAAAGAGTGTGGGGGACAATCCGGTTCCATGCCGCTGAGAACATCACCGACACCTGAGAGGCTACTCGAGGTTGTGCTCGACCGCGGTATGCTGTCGCGTTTCGATGAAGACGTGCGAGAAACAGAAGGTGGGATGTTTTCCTTTGCATGCGCAAGCACAGGTGACGACTTGGTTTCCGTGGGTGTCGAGGGGCTGAACAGCTTATGGAGGTCGAGAACAGACATTCGGCGAATGAAGGAGCGGCTTTTACTCATCGTCTGGTATGGGGAGTTCATGCAGTCCTCTACGGATACAGATGGCCGACTCAGGGCGTCCCATTCCGAAGAGTTGGTCGAGGTAGGCGAGAGAGGGACATCTGGAGTGGGCGAGCGATTGCGCGAGCTAGTAAATAATTGTGACAGCTGAATGGATTTTCGTCTGACGAGACTGGGAGTAGCAGGTCTTGATGATAGGACACCATCTTCCGTAGGACCGTCAGAGGCATTCTCGTATCCGCCCGTTGCGGACCACGTCTCGGGAATGCCCGTCCTGCGATTCGACCTGCCGACGCTCTTAATCGAACGTAAAGCCTGAGTTGCGCGGGCGCGGAAGGTTTTGGACTTTTTCAGCGTGTATGCGCCGCGACCGTCTGGTGAGTTGGATACCCCCTCACTCTTGCGCACCTTCATCACCTCAATTACATCCGAGTCTCTCCGGCTGCCATCCCGCGCTACGGACGCGGATTCGCTCCGTCGTGGCATAATCACGGTCTCCTGCGACTCGTTGCCAAGCGAGCGGTGAAAGACTGGTGCAGGGTTGCCCGCGGTCTGCTGGTAAATGCCCAAAGCGACGTCGACAGCATCTATGTCCGGCGTAATCGACAGATTCTTCTTACTCTCCATGGCAGCATCAAAGTAGCAGAATGGAGGATTAGCATGGTGCTCCTCCTCCGGCGGAATAACGAAGACATCTGGAACTTGCTGCAGCGAGGTGTGCGAGGGCGGCGGTGTGGAGAGTTCGGGGTTTGGCGAAGAGAATGAACTTATTGAAGAGAGCGTGAACGTCGTGCCTAGGCTTGACATCGTGTAATGTGGCGAGCTAAAGGAAAGGAGATGTGCAAGAGATAAAGACCCTGAGTGTTCGCCGCTCTCGACAACGAGACGGTGCAAGCCCTACCGCGAGAGGCGCCTATCCAGTTGAACATGGTCGCGTCAGCCACATGACCGTACATGTTGCGTCATCCTGTTTACGCAAACCATTCACGGATTTCTGGAGAAATTTCTCATGAGATTTCAAAAGCCCATGTCGACCATGGACGGCTTCCATCTCGACGTGAGCTCATCCACTTTGAGCACAAGACCTGCCGCCGCCCTCTTCAGCTTCATCTCGTGCGTCCCGCCTCCTCCCAGTATCTTCACGCCCTTTTCCAATCGCGAAAGTATTCCAGAACCCCATTCTCCTGCAGCGAGAAGCAGAGCAGTATGCTCAAGCCCAAGAGACTTCCCGCCATCTCGCTCCAGAGCTCCGTCTATAACGACGATCGCAAGCTCTAGTGACGTCGTCAGTAGCGCAGCCTCTTTCCTCGCTTGGCGTTCCGCAGGGCTGTCCTCCTCGTTGTCGTCGTCGTCTTCCAAGCCTTCGCCCTTCGACGTTGGCCGCGTCCCGATCGTTACCGCCAATTCAAGCGCATCTGGCGCAATCACCGCGGGCCACTCTTTCGCATTCTGTGCGGCGTGCACGAGCACTGCGAGCGCCGCAACGAATTGCGAGAGCACGAGCGCGTTGAGGATCATGCCTGTGCCCGCGCCACGGTACCGATGCAGCACCTCCTGGTGCGCCGTACGCGCCTCGCGTGCCTGCTCGTCGCGGAGGAACATCCAAAAGCGATTGATCATAGGGCAGATGAAGTATTCGGCTGCGACCTCGGTGAATGCTACCAGAGGGCGGGGCTGTAACTGCAGCGACTGGAGGTCTCGCGAAAGGGCGACCGGTGTGACCTCAGAGACCGTCACGGGACGCTTCAGACGCAGCTGCCGCTCACGAGCGTATTCCGGAACTTTACTCTCTGCTGAGACTTTTCCACTTTCGATCGCTTTCTGGCTAATGCCGTCGAGAAGGTATCGAACAGGGTTCCCGGAACTGAGCTCGTCTCCTAAGGTGAAGTACTTGTGGTGCAGTGCGGCAGGTAGTTGTTTGCTGGGAAAGGCGATTCGCTTTGGCTCGGCTCTGGAGTGGCTTGGAGGGAGCGACAAGGAAGCGAGTTCGCGTGCACCCATTGCGAGTGCATTCAGCATAACAAAGCGTTGCTCGATTGAATATTGGTTCCGGAAGTATTCTTGGATGATTGTACTTTATCAACACGTTTGGATTAGCGGCGTGCGAAAATTTAAGATCTGTTTACATACGGTGCCGCCTTGCGAGGGCAGGAGGCGACAAGGGCGTTGACGGTAGCCTGTCGCTTCTCTTCAAAGCCATTGAGATCAAAGTTATTGTTCAAAGCAATGAATCCGAAGACGAGATTTTCAGCATTTTCCTCTGAAAAACTCGTCAGCGTATACCACTGCCACAACAGAAAAGGATACCTACCAAGCTCCGTCCCGTACGCCCGCTTTCTCCTGATAAGTTCCTCTGCAGCATCAAGCGCTGTCTCGATACGTTTTGGCTCGTCCTCGTCGTTCTCAATCTTCGTTGTCGGCCGCACCAACTCTGCAAGCGTTGCGAGGTACACAGGCCTCGGCACCTTACTCTGGGTAACGCGTAGTGTTGGATCCTTCTCGATTTCGGCAAGCTCGGATGGCGTAGGAGACGGTGATCGGGAAGATGACGGCTCTGAGGCATAGCCTGTAAGCGAATCATCTGAATCATAGTCGTCTGAAGCAGTTTGAATGATAGGCTTTCGAGTGTGAGTAGGCTTTGTTGTGGCAGGAGAAACGAGCTCTATGACTGGCTCTCGAGTAACCGTAGGTTCTGGATTTTGAGCCAGCTCAGCAGTGTCCAGTTGAGCAAAGTCGTCTTCGCTAGTGTCTGCGTCCCGCACCCTCATGAGCTCTCGTACCCTACGACACCATGCTTTCCCATTACTGTCCCCATCCCAATCACCGAAGTCTAATCCCTTGCCAGCCGAGCGGGCGACCTCCTCTGCGACAAGCATGCCACAGCGCCGCACAGAATGATCTAGGTGACCAATGTAAACTCCTACGGATTTGGCAAATGGTGACGATAGGGCGAGGCTGTTGATCGGGGCGGGCGTAGAGTTCACAGGGAAATATGATACTGCCAGCAGGATAATGGCTGTGAAGTCTACAAACAGGGTTAGTGACAGTAGAAGTCGACTGCAGCGCTACCGACATTGATGCCCACTCAGCAACGAGTGTCGAATATGATCAGGGTTCGCCCAAACGTCCATGGCTTTGTTGAGCAAAAGCTCGAGTGCTATCGAGGGATATTAGTTTCATTACAGTTCCGAACCGCAGAACTCTCACCTTCTGTGTCTACTCTGCCTTTCTCTGCTCCAGCAATCCAGCACACGAACACGCGGGCAAAACCAACAGACCAACTTCTCCCTAAAGCAGTCACAGAGAAGCCGTCCACTATGTCGCTATCTTTAGCAAATCGACCGAGCAGCTCCCTGAGAAGCTTTGCCTCCCGCTTGACGAGCGCTCTTGTTCGCAGCGAGTCGTCCAGGTCATCCACGGCGGAAAGATGCGCATACAGCGAAGTCAAGACCGACTGAAGTGTTTGGATGGAAGGAAATGCGCCGAACACTTGGCGCCATATCGCTGCGTACGCGGGAGTTGACTGCATTCTGGATCGTATCGTCGGCAACGTCGTTCCAAAGAACGAGGGTTGAGTGTGCCAGGACGGAATGGCGCCAGGGAAGATACCGACATTAACAAGCTTCGTAAGCAAGTACGTGACGGCGGCCAGCTCGACTGTAGTTGGTTCAGCACTGTATGCTGAAGTAGATAAAAGCAGATCTGACCTTGTGTTGGTTTTGCGAGAGAAGAAATGAGAATCTCGGTTCTCGTGCTTAAGTTAGTACAATATGGTCCAGGTTCCAGGTCCGTCGTCACACCTTCGGCGGCGAGAAAGTTGGCGACCTTGGCCGGAACGGCACAAACATTCCGGACGCAGTCCTCCCATGAGACAGTGCCCTTGTTGAAAGTGCCACCAGTATGCTGTCTAATAACAGTTAACGACCATAGCATGTCTATTGGATACGTTTTGACCAAAGCGGTCAGAAGCCGTATGGAATGCTCGGTGAAAGGCAACGATAGTATGCTTGCGTAGGCGTGGAGCGCGACGTGCTTTGCAGCGGAAACCGACACTAGAAATACACCAGGAGCAAAGTACTGCTGCACGAGGTCATAATATTCTTCTTCGTCGAGGACGGGTCCCCAGGCGGGCAGGACATGTTCGAGCAATGCTCTTTGCAGTAGCGGGATGTGCCTTGGAACGCTCAAAGCGCGTGCAGGGAGTGGAGTGACATTGTACTTCGAATAACGTGGTGGTAATATTGCGAGATCTGATAGCGGTGCGGCGAGGAAGCCCAACAGAGTTGGAAGGTCTTGGACTGGAGACTGTAGTCTCGCAATCAACTCGCGGACTTGATTGTACGTGCTTTCATTGTATTCAGTGGACATCTAGAGCCAGTTAAGCTCCTACTCATAACGACAGTTAATAGATCCGAATAACAGTTATAGTGAGATCTAACCGACCTTGGAGATGGAGGAAGCGGAAAGAGAAAGCGACGCGCGCCATCTGTGCCACGTGACGTCCTCATTGTCCGCGCGTGACTTGGTCGCGTTCGTGACGTCGTTCAACTGCATGCGCTTCCAACATTCTCATCGTTCCTCTCGCCTCCCGCCTCGACGACCAACGCAGGCACAAACATGTCAGACACCGTGAACATTTTTGATCCAACGGTTGCGCACGCGGCGGACACTGAGTTTTTTGTGCGGCGAGGCATGACAAAAGGCTACGAGGTTCTCAGCTTGCTCGCCCCGCCTGTTTACGCGGCTTTCGCCATCTCGCGATACGGACGGAGTCATGTAACGGTCAACCGGCTTCTACGGGCAACATGGGTTGGAGGTGTAACGGGTACGCAACACACGTATGCATCCGCAGTATTGGTCTGATGCCCTTGATCTAGGCATTGCCGCAGGGGGTGCGTTCGAGTATGTCAGGTCCGCTTACTCAACGCCAGAGAATGTTAGAAATCGCAGAATCGTGGCGACATACGACGTATGTTTATCCGAGGTTGCTGACAGTTTGCTGTCTGACGATCCCGTTTCACAGACCGAGTCGATACGTGCAGATGACCATTCGACCATTGGCGGCGTCCTGTTTGCCGTCTTGATCCCTGCTATCCTCTGGAAGCGAGCGAGCAAAGTCAACCGTGCGTGTTCATGTTCCTATGACAATAACCGTGCTTATGCTCTGCCTCCCAGTTATCCTCGGCGGCTCGGGGATCGGTTCGGCGATTGGCCTTCTGGCGCATCACGGACGATCGCTATTCGGCGACCCCCCACCGCAGGCACGAATCCCCGGACTGCAATCTCATTAGCAAAAGACTCGTACTGTATCGCTCGTAATGGGCGCTTTAATAATCAGACCAACTCCCCACTCGTCCGCGGCTCTTGACTCAGATGGTGACAGTCAGCTTCGATATAACTGGTTCATGCAGTATCAGGCAATCATTACTCGTCGGCACGTATCTGTATCATCCGCAGACTATACATACTGACACGTGGTTCTGTAGTACAAGTGTGGTGCAATCAGTCATCGCTCAGGTAGTCCCTACACGGCTAGTAGCCGGCTTGGTAGAATAGCGCTCCCAAACTGTTCAACACCTGCAATGAAGGGCTACAGTTTGCACCGCCCAGTGCATCCGACAACGGTCGTTAGCCACAGGCTTCCTAACGTGTAATATGGCGGTGATATACGCACATTCAATAAGGACCTCACGATATAAGGGCGTTCCGAAGTTCGAAAGGACTTCGACCGGTGGACGTTCGGCACTTGTTAGCTTCCCTACCGGAGCAGCCGGCAGCTACGGTAGGTACTGACCCTGAGGACCCCGGGAAGGTCTGTGCCAGGACCGCTACAGTGAGGCTCGCCTGCTCACTGTATTGGCCCCTACCTCAGGAAGGCGCCGCCCACGAACTCTGTATGGAATCGGTGAGTTAGCGGGCAGTCAGTTACAATGGGGGGAGAGTGACTCACGAAGTCCATGGTAGTACGCCGCGGGTGTGCCAGCTCAGGGTGATCAGCCCTTCGCAAGCTGTCCACGGGTCGAAGGTGCGTCTTCGGTCGCTCGGCTCTGCCATCGGAAGCTAGAGAACGGTCAGCTCACAATGGGGTGGTGTACATCGACAGCAGGCCACACAGAGAGCGACAACGAAACGCAGACCCAGGGCGTTCACCGTCGTCGCGTCAGAGTGCACCTCCGCCATAGCTGTTGCCGCAACTGCGCCTTTGATGCACCCGTCGGTTTCTCGGGATCCCGCCCTAGTTACCTTGGACATCGATCGCTTAGCATGCTTTCCACCAGACCTTCTCGCCGCGCTTGCTCTGCAGACCCTCCAGCATCTCGAAGCCCTCCGCGCGATACTTGATGTCGGCGCGGGCCTGGGCGACGGCAAGCGGGACGAGGGTTTGCTTGCGGGCAGCCGGAGCCTTCTTCGGGACCTCTGCGGCGATGGCCTCGAGCTTCGCGGCGACAATGGCGGCCTTGGGCCTGACAGTGTCGACGGCGACGAGAGTCTCGGTGGAAGACATTGGGGAGACCTGCTCCTCCTCATCCTCCTCCGGGGTGTCCTTGACGTAGAGCGAGGGATACTCGCCTACGAGCCAGCTGTCTGTGGTGGGGATGCGTTCACAGGCAGGGCTGACGTCCGAGGCTGCCGTAGTCAGAGAGTAGTCGTCCTCGTCACCCCCCGCGAGGGAGGCCGACGGCTCCTCCCAGACAAGCGGCTCAGCAGCCATGGACATGTGCTTGTTAGAGTCTCGGTAAATGATTTGTGGCCGGCGCTGGGTGACCTCGAGAGGGAGGAGATCGAGCTCGGCGCGGCGGTCCTGCCCAAAGAGTTCTGCGGGCGTGTTGAGGTGAGAGCAGCCAAGAGGCGCGGCCTTCTTTTGGTGACGGAAGAAGAAGAGGGGCATGGCTGTTTGTGATATGGGTGTGCGGAGTATGCGGGTAAGTGCGGTGTGTGCAGATGGTAGCGGTTTAGCTGGGGAGTGTAAGGACGGGGAGAGGCCAGGTTGATATAGACTGCGGCTGGCACAAAGGCTTACGCCACAAAAATGGCAAACCGACCGATTTACTGCTATTCTGTGGCTGACAGCGAACATAATTAATCGTCAAGCTTCTCAACGGCATTCTACAATGCCCCCGCACCTAGGACACAGATTAGACCTGCGCGCGAGAGGCACTATATAGACCTTTCCGCTCACCTGAGAGCTCCGTGAAAGAGTGCGCGTAGAAAACATACCCCCACTGGTGCACTGTACCCAGATCAAGAGGTACACTGGATGCAAACGCACTCTCTTGGTGTGAGCATGCTTCTGCTCCCGCCCTAGCTGGGCATACGATGGCATTGGCGCACATTTCAGCCACTACTACCTCAAGAAGTGAGCATGAGCGTTTGTCGTTGGTGCCGCTTCGGATCGCCGCCACACCGTAGGCGCCTACCTCGCTTTGACTGCCATTGCTTGTCGATACCTTTCCACCTCCTACCCTCATGTACGCAAATGTTACATCCGCGTATTGAAGCATCCAATCTGATGAAACGTTTGTTATTACTCGGGTCACGGCCACCTGTTACTCTCTCCAAAATGCGACAACCTCGTGGCAAAAACCACGTAGTACTTTTATCCGTTGGCAGCAAGCTCATCCGTTTCTCATACTACACACCATGGCGAAAATACGAAGGACGAAGAGAAAAACTCCAGTAACTCGTTTAGCTGCACCTGCAAGCCCCTCTTGCTCCTCCAGCAAACCCGCCGCGACTCGCAAAGTCATCCGTCGCTTCCATGTCCTCAGCAAGCGCCAGATCCAGCTCCGTAAACTACTGAGCAGCAGGCGTGAAGGCTTGTCTTCTGATGCACTCAAGGTGAAGGAAGAGCTTGCAGCTATAGAGCAGGAGATAGATGACATGGGGGGCTTGGAAGCGTATCAGAAGATGTCCGTCATCGGACAGGGTAACGACCGGGGAGGTGGCAGCGAGAAAGTGCTCATAGGGTGGTTGCACGAGTTGAATTACCCGAAGCGGATGGAGGCGGAGAAGCTAAGGTATGTCTGGCTTCTCACGTCTTGCCCGAGTGTCTGCTGACGTCCACGGCAGAGTACTCGAGGTCGGCGCGCTCAAACCCGACAACTACGCTTCGTGCTCGACATGGATAGACGTCACCCCAATAGATCTGCATTCAAGGCACCCAGCTATACAAGAGCAGAACTTCTTGCTTATGGATGAAGAGGAACATCACGAACAGTGGGACCTGATCAGTCTTAGCCTGGTTGTAAACTTCGTCCCGGAGCCCAAAGACCGAGGTCCGTTCACTTTGATCACTTATACACTGTTTAGCACTCATAGTGCTGATGCATATGTAGGGCGAATGTTGCAGTTAGCTCACGCCATGTTAAAGCCAGGACAATATGTCTTCCTTGCGGTAAGTTCTCTTCATATTTGTGAATGACGCCTGTGATTGACTTGTCTATTCCTGCCAGCTTCCCCTTTCCTGTGTCATGAATTCTCGATATTGCACGCCTGATCACATCGAGGGCCTCATGAATGTCCTATCATTTAAGCAGATCAAAACTCGATGGCGGGAAGGCGGGAAGATGGCGTACTGGCTCTTCCAGAAAATCACACCAGTCGTACCGTTGGACGCTACACTATACCAGAAGAAGACGGTATTGCGTACAGGGAATGATAGGAATAATTTTTCGATTTTACTCTGAGTGTAGGTTCACCTTCGAACCTACTAAGTCAGGCCGCAGTCCCATGTCGTGCGCATCTGTCGCCGGTCCGTTAGGCCGGATTCCTGCTCATGAGGCCTGGAAACAACGAGATGGCCTTACTCTTTGACATAGTCTCTATTAACGGCGCTTGGTGTTGCGACGTGGCTTCCATGTACTTCACTATATGCCACTACGTAGTAAATTTATTCTATCATTCTACACAAGGGGCATGAAGCGTACATAGCGTGATAAGGCATGGCAGGTCGAAGACGCTGCGAGGTGTAGAACCAGGGACCGACGTAGGTGTGCCTTGCAGTCCTTGGCTTAGAGCAGCCCTAGCTCTTGAGGAGGTGCGGGGTCCATTCAATGGGACGTGAACAATATTAGAACCATCCATGATAGGGCAGCTGCAAATACGGGGAGAGGGGATGGTAATCATGGTGATTATAGCGGACAATAAAGCCATAATTATCTGGGGACCCCAGTACCGTCTGGACGGCAAGGAGCGGATATCCACACGCGCAAAATCAAGCCACATCTACACACGCCAACGGAGGCCCTGCAATATATCTGGAGGATTCACGCATCGAGAAAGCCAAAGAGAACAAGAGCCAACCTGGTATATATACTCAGTACTGCGCTTGAGGCAGTCAGACGCGCTCGATGCGTCGGGTCAAGTCACTTTTCCGTTGGTGTTGGACGAATACCAACAGGATCGCCAGTCACATTGTCGTGACCTTGGGCGACGACCGTGCGCACCAGCCCGATGGACGACACGGCGATGCCTGTACGACGAAAAGTCCTGCCCGATATCCCCACCGCAGCCCCCCTTGGATCGCCATGGTTGACCCGGTAGGGTGTGGGTGTGGGTGGTGGGATTCGGAAGTATTGGTGAACGTTACACGTATCTAGTGAGTGTACTCACTACAAGCTTAGGACTCAGTGTACACTGCATCATGCATGATGTTGGTTCAAATGCTGAGCGTGAAATTACTGACTATACTCTTGTCTGGCCCGCCGCGGCCGCCGTCGGCACGCCATGGAAGACGATTCTAAGCATTGCGTCGTTATTTTCAGCCCAGCTTGGTTGAGTAGTTCACTAGACATCCAAAAAAATACAGAGATAACCACCTATCCATAGCTCGTGAATCGCGCGCTGGTCCAGCCTCATCAGCCTCATCATTTCTTACCACTGTCGTTAGAGTCGGGGTACAGCTGGGCAGGCTTGTGAGTACTTTGCGTTGTTAAGAGAGAGGAACCAACTTTGCTCGGATTCATAATGTTCAAAGGATCGATAGCATTTTTGACCGTACGCATAAGTTCGACGGTGTCCTCGCCTAGTTCCTCAGTAAGGTATATCTTCTTGCCGACGCCAACACCATGCTCGCCGGTACCTAACGCAACGTCAATACCTGAAAAGGGGGGTATGTGCGGCACCCACAGGTTCCATCCATGGCGATGGCGCGGTGGACTAAGCGATGAACGATCTCACTGACGACATGAAGCTCATCGTCGCTATTGAAGATGATTAAAGCGTGGAAGTTGCCGTCGCCAACATGTCCGACAATAGTCGAGCGTAAGTTAGACGCCGCAAGGTCCTTCTTTGTCTCGTACACCAGCTCAGGAAGCTTCGAGACGGGGACGCTGGCACACAATCCTTTAGATGCCATCTGATATGCTGTATCCCAGGAACACGCACCATACATCCGTCGTCCAAACACGTGCACCCTCACCACCACTGGCGATGGTGCTCGTCAAAGCGTACTTGCGGTTCTCCCAGAGCTCCGCGGCCTCTTGCTCTGATTGGGCAAACTCGAACTGCTGGCTGCCGTGCTTTCTGGTGATCTTCTTAATGGACTCAGCCGCATCTTTGATTGTGGAGGGTGTGCCCTGAATCTTGAAGAACAGCGTATCACGGACAGGGTATGACTTCGAGGCGAGGCCGGCGGTGTTAATCGCGGCCATCACTACAGGAACCCTAATGTTAAAGCGACAATAATGAAAAGCACAACTTAACTCACTATGATCGTCGACCAGCTCGGCACACTCTAGAATAAGATCGTATGAACCTGAAGCCGCGACGAACAAGTGCTACTTACGGATTTGGGGCCCATACGGCGTGTTGAGGATTTCCTGAACCGCACTGACGGCGCGCTCAACGTCCGGAAACTGTGCCATGGCGACCTTGTTTGGGACAACAGGGGCGAGACGAATAGTAGCTGAGACAAGTTTGGTTGTGACCATACCAAAAGTCACTGTTTCACGTACCCTCAGTAACAACGCCAAGCGTACCCTCTGCACCGATGAAGAGTTTTGAAGTATCAAAGCCGGCAGACGACTTGCGTGCCCGTCGACGCGTCTTGATTACTTTGCCATTCGGTAGGACCACAGTCTAGTTGCGTTATTCGTGAGCCACAGCGAAGGCCCATCTGAAAACCGCTCGGGTACTTACCATGTTTAAAAACCATTCTGCACGAGCAGTGCCATAACGAACAGCATTCGCTGGAGAAACTCATGAGCTCGTCCTGATAGTCCTGGAGCCAGCCACCGCTTACTTCCTGAGCATCCCGTTCCAATCATTCCTCCGATAGTCTGCAATTTATAACTTCATAAAAACCTGCATTTTCATAGCACGGAGTAGCTCGTACCGCCCCCGGACCTGGATCCAGCTTCGAGTTATCTGTTAGCATCGATTTGGGAAAGCTAGTATAGGCGAAAATTACCGGGAAGAACAGCGGGATACCCCTGTCCTTCAGTTCTTGATTGATATCTTCCCAACGCGCCCCCGCTTGACATATAAGGTCACCATCGGCCTCTAGGACACATTTACTACCGGAGGAAACAATACTAGTGCAAGATGATTTTTCACATACCATTAATCTGCAAAATTTTGTCCATGCCAGCCATATCTAAGCAGATGCTCTTCCCATGCTCCTGCCAAAAAAAAAAAAAAAGTTAGGGAGAAATGCAACATTTGTGCTGTGCACTCACCCCCGAAAAGTGACCTTCCAAGCTCGTGGCACCACCGTAGGTTACCACTGAGATGCGATACTTTCGCGCGACGTTCACCACTTTGACCACGTCCTCCGTGCTCATGACATGTACAACTGCTGCATGAGGGGACTCAGGGTGATAGGAATTTGGTGATGAGCCGTATGTCGTCAGAACATCGGGATCTGTGGACACTGCTTCCTTGTCAACGAAAGCGGCGCGAAGCTCCTCGATAGCCTTCCGGACTTCCTCCTTGGTGGGATGGCGAGATTGCAAGCTTCCTTGCGCGGACTCTCCAGTGATTGAGATAAGGCCTGTTCTGTATGAAACAAGCACAGTAGCAAGTGATAAGCCGACCCCTGCAAGTATGCCCCGCAACATGGCATTATTGCTGGCTGCTGGTGCTTGGGGCCTGCCATTAGACGACGTCGATGCGAAGCGCCACCTAGCCTGCGGGAATGCTGTCACCGCGCGAGGTGTCATTGCTGTTTCCATCGCCCGCAGGGATGCACGCTGTAAGCGTAGCGCAAAAGCTTTTGCGACGTTCGCCATAGTTAATCCACGGAGCTCGCTGTGCATCCAAATAGTCTTGGTCGAAGAGGAGAGATGACAGATCGCTATATGCGTACTTACTGGTGGAAGAGTCCACTGCGAGTGTCCTCGAGACGAGACTTGTGGCCTCCTGTGATCCCTTTCGGACGATGTCCGACGGTCGTACGGGTCAAGCGCGTGATCCAATTGATGCGCCTCTTTCTAACATAGGAAATATGCGCATCGGTCCCGTTCTCCAGAAGCTACCGCCAGCGTCACTGTCGATCTCGCCAATCGCCGTGGCCGCAATCATTCTTGACCTTCATTCACCATCTGCTCGTCCGACGAGTCTTCTGCGTACATAATGGTCACTCTACCAATTCTACACTTCAACGATGTCTATCGCGTGCAGCCGTTTAAGCCATCGCCGTCGGCGAAAGACACCATCGATGTCACGCAGTGGACAGCTATGCTGGACAATATACGCGAGCAATGGGCTCAGCGGCCAGATGGGAAGAGAGAGGGGCTAGTTCTCTTCTCAGGAGATGTGTTCTCGCCGTCCACCGAAAGCTCTGTAACTCGAGGGAGCCATATGGTGTGTCCTACGCAAGTCTAAGGGTTGAGCAGAAGACCAAATATCTGTCTACGAGTAACAGGTCCCAGTCGTGAACGAGATCGCTCCAGACGTCTCTGTAACAGGTTGGTGTTAACACTACTTTTGTATTCCCGGATATTGAGCTTGCGATCAGGCAATCACGATTTTGATTTCGGTGAGAAGCTCCTCTACCCGAGGTTCACGAATTTTGTGCTGAGGTCTACCAGGATACCCACACTTGTCAGAGCTCATCCGGGACACAACTTTCGTAAGAGGTGTCCCAGAAGCGTCTCAACCTCGTATCCACTGAGTGCCGCTGCACAGCCTTGGCTACTCAGCAATATCGTTGACACCGAGACGAGTCGGGTCCCAGAGTATCTGCTGGAGTATGCCGTCTTAGAGAGGCTCGGAGTCCGTATTGGTGTGATCGGACTGGTTGAGAAGTGTGTTCTTAACGCTCATAACTAAGTCCTGCGGCTTACACTTGTCTCCAGAGAATGGATTGCGACTGTCCCTTCTTGGCCGTCGAACTTCAAATACAGAGACATGGTCGAAGTGAGCGTGGAGCTATCGAAGCGGCTACGAGACCCGAATGGCGAGCACAAGTGCGATGTGATCTTTGCATTAACCCATGCTCGGTAGGGATGTCTTGTGGGAAGCTACTCATATGAATCACTCATTGCAGGCTTTAGCATACCCAGTGTTTGTGCTAGGCGTTCAAATACCGCAGTCGCTTCTAACCCTCGCTATAGGATGTCAAACTCGCGAAAGACCTCAACGCCCATTCTCCGGCCGTCCAAGACCAGAACTCAACAGCTACGAAGCACGGCGTGGATCTGATTATGGGTGGCCATGATCACCTCTACTACATCTCCAAGGGCGTCACTTCCTGGGAGGGATATGACGTGAACCTCGAGGTGCTTGGGGCAGAAGAAGACCACGGAGACGTGCTTGTGGTCAAGAGTGGGACTGACTTCCGTGATCTCAGTGAATTCACCCTCGAGCTTCAGAATACTCCGGAAGGCAGCGTCCGAAAGAAGCTCATCAAGAGCATCCAAGGTAGGCCGTGCCAGAGGCCTATGTCTTAACCCACCATTACTGACAGTGAACTCCGCAGGTAAGAGACACAGGACGCAACCAGGGAGTCAATCGAGCGAGCGCATGACCAAGCTCCTGGAGGGGTTGTTACAGTCAGTGTCAAAAACGTTAAAGGCCCCAGTCTGCAAAACCGAAGTTGAGCTGGACTGCCGTTCGGCTAAGGTCCGGATCCAGGAGGTAAGCCTCTCTTTTTTGCTTGTGTGCCATATGTCCTGAACAATATGACAGTCGGCCTCAGGCAATTGGTTCGCTGACGTCCTCAGACATGCATACGACGATTCACTGTGTCTGAAAGGCTACAACGGGACTAATGGTGTCTTCATCTGTGGCGGTACTATTCGTGGCGATTCGGTCTACGGCCCTGGTAAGGCCTACCCTCCTCAGAAGCTTGTGCATCTCACATAAAAGCTGCCCAGGTGTAGTCACTCTCGGTGATATCCTGGAAATTCTGCCGTTTGAGGATCCGATCATCGTGCTTGAGATAGACGGCGAGACTCTTTGGGCTGCGGTCGAGGCTGGTCTGCAGACATGGCCTGCCCAAGAGGGGTAAAATACTCTAATTGCGTCGTTCGACTCAGCTCATCCCCGACCACAGCCGATTCCCAATCATCTCTGGGTTCCGTGTCTCCTGGGACTCTCGCCGCCCGGCCGGTCAACGTGTGCTAGGGGTGTGGCTCACCCAAGAGCCCTCCGGTGGTAGTGGTGCCGTGACACCGTTCCACAGCGGCAGTACTACACCAACTTCAGCGGTACAGGAGACGAACAGCCCCACAGGAGGGCTTGTAGACCGAGAAGAAGTCAAGCGTGTCAAGGGCGGCCGGAAATACTGTTTCGTTACACGAGAATACATGGCTCAAGGACACGACGGATACGAGGCGTTCAAAAATCAGAAGTATCTCATTGATGACGAGAGCGGTCAGATGATGAGTACTATCGTCCGAAAATACTTGCTCGGTGAGTCTCACTCTGTCGCTGCTCACCCATAGCGCGCTCTGATAATACTGTAGGCTGCCGTTTCATTCAACATATGTCCCGCATGGAGTCTCAGGAGCGCATTGAGAGACTCCTCAACGTGGCGACGAACGAAGTCATCGACCGCGAGAAGAACCGACAAGACCGCTACCTCAAATACGCAAAACCAAGCATTGCCGGCAAGTGGCGCCATGCGGCACTCAGGGCACTGCGCTGGTCGCGAGGACACTACAAGGACCACATCCGGATTACGGAGAAGGAACACATGAGCATTGTAGACTGTTTTGATGGAGGTAGCATCCGCAAGCGCAAGCCGCATGTTCAGCAGGAAGAGCAGGAAAGTCTAGACGTTTCGGAGGAAGACTTGGTCACTATACACCCCATCGTCGATGGACGGTTCAAGGACGAAGGAAGAAACTAGGAAGCTGGGTAGATACCATGTAAGATAACAGCTCGGAATAGGAAATATGGGAGGGGAGTGGTTCCATTGGCTACCGTATGTGTCGTGCTTCCAACGTCAGCTTCGGAAGGATCTTCGGGACGGCTGTAAGTGCCGGACGTCGTCGCTGCTTCTTCCGCAAGGGCTACAAAGGGGTAAACCGGAAGATCCGCTGGCTGTCAGCCGCTTCGACCTAACGTAACATAAAGAGACCGAAGTCACCTCCATCTTCTCTCCGTATCTTGCATACATCTACCCACACTAGCCTCATAGCACACGTGCACTTAAAACACATAGCCAATCATGCGATTATTCAACACCCATAAACTCGTTGGTCACAAGGCCGAGAAGAAGCTCACCGTGACGGTCTGCTCCTACAACCTCGGCCAGGGCTTCGAGGAGCGCCACAAGCTCATCCCCGTCGCAGAGGCACAGCGCAAGCCGCTCGTGCGCTACCGCCCGCTGGCGACGCCGGACGAGGAGATCGTCGTCGCACGCAGAAGCCCGCTTGAGGAGCTCGCAGCATGGGCCGCGGAGGAGGTGGCGAAGATACCGCTCGGCATCGCGTGCCAGCCTCCGGCGCTTGCGCGTCCCCAGGGCTCGCTCATCTCAGCGTTCTCGAGCGACGTAGACGATGACGATATCGAGGTGCTGTATTCGCCGAAGAACAGCGAGTCAGGGATGCCTGTCTTGATCAAAGACCGCGAGTTGAGCTCGCCGACTGGCATGGACCTCGACAGGTGGCTCGTCTACTCGGCACAGCCGAGCCTGCTCTCGCTCAACGCCGCCCCCACGCGTCAGAATATGAGGCACCGGGCATGGGCATCCGGGCAGGTGTAAGAAATTTAGAAGGGCTGAGCCGGTAGAGCCTATTTCTGCGGGGTCGGGGGGCGCTGACGTTCCGTGCTGTGCGTGCGATGTGGCAGCGCCTGCGTACGTCGGTAGCTTCAAGGCTCTGCTGAAAAAGTCTCTGGCGGGCGGGCCTGCAAGGCGAAGGGCCCGATCCAGAGGGTAAAGAGGGCGGATGGCTGGCGTGCGATGCGGCAACATCCACGGGAGTCATTCGTCTGAAAGCCTTTCTGGAGCGGATCCGAGTAGCCGTTAGGTGCGTATGGCATAATATTTCGCTCAATCGCTTCTCCTCCGTTGGCTGGCCGTCTGCTTGTCTGTGTTCATCCTTGTAAATTGACGTATATTTAGGTCCCGACCACGTTGGTTAGCCGAGAGGCCAAAGATCAAGACCGAGGGACCAGGACGTGGTGGGGCAGGTCTGATTAGTCTGTCTCGCCGCCTCTTGGTCGGCACGGGACGCTGCTCGGCTCGTAAGCTCAATGTTTAGTTCTGGCATGTCTCGCTGAGGCTGACTGCATATCAACAACAGTGGCCAGACAGTGTCTCCCCTGAGGGAAGGCAGAGACATCGATTAGTCGTTATTCGACCTCTGGCCATGCGCAGACCTTTACGTGGTCCTCAGGATAAGTACGCACCAGACGTGGTAGCAATATCTGTCTGGTGGGGAAACTAGCTTGCGCAGAATCCCAAGAATGGCACTCGCACTTTGCGCAGATGAGTGATCAGTCATTGTTGTATATGCGTGCGCTTACTCAAAGCCTAAGGGCAAAAAAATGCATCCAGGAATACCAGTAAATATTCTGTTAGAACGCAACAGGTGAGTGCCTATAACACGGGTGCAACGGATTATCCTCACACCTAAACAACCTAACCCTACCTCAGTCCTCTCGCGACTTTACCCACACCTCTGCAACCACATCCCATTCCTTCAAAGTCCTAGCCTCCGGCAAACAAATAAGCCGTTCGCTCCCTTGCGCTTCCTCTCCCTCGACGACCCGATCCTCTATTACCATGACACGCAGCCCACCTACCGTTGCAAAGCCTGCTTTCAATGGCACGAACTCAAGCTCGAAGTCTTGTGAGCCCAGTGTGCGCGGGAGCCGGGGGACGAGCGTCTCGTGCATATCACTGTCAGCTTCGCTTTCAACGCTGCTCTCGCTCAGGTTGTGGCGATGGCCTGGCGTGCTCGGATCGTCGGTCCCGCTAGTCTGGAGACCCAGTAAGCGTAGTTGAGGCAGGAAGACCGCGGAGGGGCCAAGGAACCTGACGTCCTGGGGGCGCGGCTGATCCTTGGTAGAGGAATCCGCGACGGCAAACGGCGGCGGAAGCACGACTGTGATACGCTCTTCTCTTGTCGGAGGAGCTGGAGTTAGATCGCCACCGTCTGTCTCGGCGTCGGTATCGCTCGCTACATCAGACGCCGTCTTTCGTGGCGAGGCATACGTCAACCTTTGCGCTAGAGTGTCCGGGAAGTCCCCTCTGTGGGGGGTGTCGTACGGCGAAGGGGTAGAAAATCCGGAGGACGGCACTCGTGGTGACCATGTGTCGATAGTAGAGGGCGCTGGAGCGGCTGGAGCAGGAGCGGTAACGGGACGGGCGGGCTGAACGTGTTGTACTACCAACGAGAGGACACGCTGTTTACGAGGTTGTCCGACGACGGAAGAGGCTACAGGTGCTGATACGGTGACGATGAAGCCGATCTTAAACGGCTTCTCCAAGCATATATGATCTCGCGTTATACTTGCAACGACAAGGTGGGCATCAACAATCTCATCTGTTCTACGCACAGCCGGGTTAGGCAGAGGAGCGGCGACCACAGTTGGAGACTGTGGCAGGTTGGACAAGGAGCCTGCGCCAATCCGCGTACGGAAAGGCGATCCTGGTCGGTATGGGGCAGGTGCGCTCCCAGTGGTGGGCGGACTCATGGGACGCTGTCCAAGCTGAGGGGAACCTACTCTTGGCGGAGTACCAGCTCCGCTTGCCGTGGTGTTTGAACGTTGAAGATGCAGGGGCAAGGCGGAGACAAGTTGCTTGGGCGGGGGTGCCGGTGCTTGACCGGATCCTGTTCCCTGTATGAGGGGTATACGGCGAGATAACATCTAGAGACGGGTGAGCTAAGGCAGTCTCGACCAAAGACGACTTACCGATGTCAAGAGGCGACCAGGTTCACCAAATGCGGAACGCCATGAGATGTCCAGTCGGCCAAGAGGTATGATAGAACCAGGGGAGTGGTTAACGGGAAATGGGGACAGCTCTTTTGGTGATAGAATGTAAAGATATTGCCGAGTGTCTTGTGGCTGCATGAGCGCCATGGAATCCGAGAATATTGTTTCACCGTCTTTGTTGTGTGGGGCGAGCAATGTATTGACATCTTGTACATTCCATCCTTCGACCGCCTCAAAGCGCATCCTCTGGAGCCACATGGCATCCGGTGTTAGGTTCTGTGTGTGCACTTCGAGGAAGACCTTCTCGCGTTCCGTAGAGGAAAGCAATGCCGACGGTGCACGCGGTACGTGAACCTTGGTCTTAACAGACAGAGGGTTGGTTACCTATATTCCAGACTGAGAAGGTTATATAACGATTTCAGATCGTGATTACCCACGGCGAATTTGTAGAACTTCCTGAATGACTGGATACCGGGGTCGTGTCCTTCGCCAGCGGGATGCACAGGCTTGTGTCCTGGAGGGAGATGATATGACACAGTGCAAGCTAAGACATGTTGCCCAAGCTCCTTAATCTCATGATGAACCACGTTCTCCATTGCATCTCCTGGAGCAAGTCGATAGTCCGGTCCTCCGTATTCGGCCAAAACTTGCTTAGTCGTGGCGGTCTGCATCTCTACTCTGAGCGTAACTGTTTCAATCTCCCCTGACGTTTCATTGTTCACAACGAGGCAGCTAGAGAACGTTTCACCCAGCTGGATTGCACCAAACGCGGACGGAAGAGTGAGCATCTCTGAGATGTGGGTCAAATCGCGGAGGGTCTTGGGGTGACCAGGCAGGGGTGTCTTGCCCTGTAGTGATATGACTGAAGCAGTAGAGTGCGCAGAAAATGACGGTGAGCTCGAGTAAAAGGGTGTCCATGCCGCGGCAAGTGCAGGTCGCTGTGCTTCACATTCAGCCTTGATGGGTTGCAAGCGCCGCAGTTGACTCACGCACAGAGACCCGCATAACTTTCAACGACAACAGCTGGGATGGCCCTTCCATTTTGTGACGTTCAGTAGAAGTAGCCGATGCTGAGAGCTGAGAGCTGGAAGGAGATTGTGTGAGTCGCGTCGCAGGCTACAGGCAGCACACGCGCGCTTATGAAAAGTCTATTTGTGCTTGTTAGGATCTAAAGGTTTTGCATGCCGTAAATGGATTTGACGTCACTCTCTGCTTCCGCCGCTGGTCATTTCAACGCCGACGTTCCGTCCCTGAACAAGCCTTTTCCGCTACCACCACTTTCTCGGTTCATGCGAGCGTACACACACCCGTAACCCATGTCTCATCTCTCTGCCGCCATTGCCAGGCAGGCACGTTTGCACGCTGTCGACAAGCGATTAGTTTGGCAGCGAGCCAGAGCTGTCACTAGCCGTGGCAGAGTCAGATTCCTTTCTGCTACTACATCTGCAGGAGAAAGATCGAGGGCGGAGGAGGAAGAGCACACGGTCGTTCCGGTATGTACTGTCCGTTATGTGCGGTATCACTTACGCTCACGAGTCACAAATTCTGCTCAGTCTCGCGAAGGATGGCTCTTCATTGACTCCGTGTTTCCTGTTCGACTAGGCACCCTGGAGTAAGTCCATTGAAAATGCAGCATAGCTTCAAACTCTCATTCTACTTGCTGCACATAGTCTTCGCCATTACATCGGCATCTTCCGAGAAGAGACTCTACTTGACAGAGTGTCCGCTCTTCTCAGTTCTGTGAAGACTTGTGGGTTTCAGCTCAAGTCAGTGGAGCCACACCACAAAGATGGTGGTGTCTTCGCCAAGTTTGGCTATGATCCGAGCGCTCCCGAAGATGAAGCTCTGAGGAAAATCTTGGAAGAACTCAGGGACAATGTTGCGAAGAGTGGCGGCGTACCTTCTTGGATAGGTGTGCCTCAAGGAAACGTGTGGCTTGTCAGAGGCAAACCTTGGCGAGAAGTTAGTGCTCAATCCATCTGGTAGATGAGCTTTGGTGATACTATTTCTCAGGACATGAACTACTACGCTTCCACCATTGTCAGGATTTCCTTCGAAGGCTCTGACCTTAGAGAGGAGACTCTTTTTGATCTTTTACGGGTGAGATCACTCGGTGTCCACAAATATTCTCCGTCTGACTATTTATATTGGATAGCCTTTCGGTCGAATTATAACCATTGATCCACCCACACCTCCTCCAGCAGGGTCCTTGCGTTCGGCTATTGTCACCTTCCGTCATGTACGCTCGGCTGCGATAGCTCGCAATACCATCCATGGGCTTGCAGTCCCTCCGGAGCCCTCGTCGACTAATCTGACTCGTCTCAGGGCTAAGTATCAGCGGCCCATTCAGGCTCATGTTATCCGCGATTATATCTCCAACCACCCGAAAATATTCTTGCCTATATTTATCTTCTTGCTTGGGTCCCTGACATACACTGTGAGCTGCAGTTCCACTCCAGTCACCATGGTTGGCAATAATGATTACAGATATTTGATCCCGTCCGAGTCTTCATGGTTGAGGGCAAGCTGAATGACTGGTTTGATCTTAAGGGTAGGTTTCTTCTGCCGGTCATGCTCTCGACTCGATGATCTGATCTATTCTCATCGTGTTTTTGTAGAGTACAAATTCTACAAATGGCTCCGCTCAAATACGATCGACCACTTCTACTTGACCACCTCAGATGAATCTGATGCGGCTCTAATTCGGGCCAATGCCTGGAAGGAGCGAGAAGACGCTGCAGGACAGTTGAATCGATATCTCACTGACGTGCCTAGCACTGTCGCCTTTGTTCATGGCCCGCAAGGCAGTGGCAAGAGCCGTATGATATCCGCCATGCTCAAGGATACCCATAGGTACTGCCCTCCTCTTAAGCTTCCAACATCAATACGCTCGCTGAACAGTAGTTAGGCCTGCTTTGACCATAGATGTCGGAGCCCTCTGTGCAGCAAGCTCAGATACCGCCTTGATCACAGGTTTGGCGAACCAGACAGGTTATTGGCCGGTCTTCTCATTCCTTAGCTCCATGAGCAGCCTTATTGACCTCGCAAGCGTTGGCCTGATTGGTCAAAAGGGTATGTTTGGCATTCATAACTGCTGGCGCTCCCCTCACGCTTTCCGTAGCCGGTTTAAGCACCTCGCTACCCGATCAGCTGAAACAAATTCTCGAGGTCGTCGGCGCGGCTCTGCGCGATGTGAATGTCAACTATCGTAAACGGCATGCTCGGAGGCTCGAGGAAGAGCAAGTCAGCAAGCTCATCGCCGAGCAAGAGGCGAAAGTGCAGGAACGCATCCGCATGGGAATTTGGCACGACCCAAGACTGGACTGCGTCGCAGGCAATGGTGTCATGAGTGAGCTCGGTGTTGGGGACGAGCGGCTCGGCGTGAATGACGCTGAAGTGAAGCCAATGAATGTGAATAATGCGGTTGACGAGAAAGATACGCAAGAGAATAACGCCACTTCGACTGGAAACGGCAGTGCGGAAGGCAAGCAGTCGCAGTCTGAGGATACACAGGCCATCGAGGCGATGCCAATTGTAATCCTCCGGGGTTTCGAGTCCAAGGGTGGAGGCGCGAGACGTGAAGAGTTGCTGAACGTCGTCTCGCAGTGGGCCGCTAGCCTTGTTGAAGGCGAGGTGCGCCGACGTGTCGTGCTTCAGGGTTACTACTAATTTTCCAAAACATAGGTTGCACACGTAGTTGTCGTCAGCGATAACCGCGAGAACGCCAAACGGCTAGCAAAAGGTTTGCCATTCGCCCTCTCTTGGGTACCTCATTCTTACTGCGCGAACAGCTTTGCCTTCGAAGCCGCTGAACTTGATCCAGCTGTCAGACGCCGACAGTGGTAGCGCGCTCAGCTTCGTCAAACAGAAGCTCCATGATGCCGGCGTCGAGATCGACTTTAAGCCGGAGCAATTCTCGTACATCGAGCGACTCGGCGGTCGTGCCGCCGACCTCGAAAGCGTAAGTCCACCCGGCAGCACTGCTTGCAAAGATGCGTTCTTACCTGGTGCCGTCAGTTGATTCACAAAGTTCGGAGCGGTATGACCGTCGAGCAAGCTGTGGACGACATCATCTCTCGGGGCGTCAGCGAGCTGCGGAAGAACGCTTTCGGAGACGACGCAGAAGATGCGAAGAACCTCCCTTGGTCGCGAGAGCAGGTCTGGAAGCTTATGAAGGAGCTTGCAAAGAAACCTGAGGTATACATGCTCGCCATGGAATGCGCCTGAGACTGACTTTATCGTGAAGATTCCGTACCATGAAGTTCTGATAGATTTCCCCTTCAAGGGTGATGAAGGCCCCTTACGCGAGATGGAGCGTGCCGAGTTCATTGCGATTAATATCCAGGATGGTCGTCCGACGAACATCAAACCGGGGAAGCCCGTGTACAGACTCGTCTTCGAGAAGCTCGTCCAGGGTCAGCTTTTTCTCGTTCCATCCTTCATTGTGGTCTCACGGCGGTAAATATCCAACAGACTCCGTATTTGCCGCGATCCAGGATATTGCCTACAATCAGAAGATTATTGTCTCCAACGAGGCGACTGTTCGGGCTTGTGAGGAGGAGCTCATGACGCTCAAGGAGGTTGAGGCAGGAACGTCGCACTGGTGGGGTTCACGGAAGGCTGTTAGCAGCCGTGGTGAGTACTTGCTCAAGAAGATGCGCGCCGCAGTGGAGAAGATCGAAGCTTTGGAGAAGCAAAATGCTGTTCTGAAGAGGACACTTTCTAAGGCGCAGTGATCAGGTTAACGGTGGTCTCATACATATGGAGACTGCCGTACAGTCATGTCTGTTGCTGTTGCTGTTGCTGAGAACAAATTTATCTCCACTCTATTGACCGGAATAGCACAACTGAAACTCGCAAGATTGCCTATTGCACAGACGAGAGCAGGTAATTAGATTAGAAGTCAGATAGCATGTCCTTAACACCGTTCCAGTAGCTCTTGTCGACACGAGGTGTAATCTCTTCCTTGGACAGCCATGCGAAGTCCAGGACAGACTTGCCGTCTGGCCGTGCTTGCCCTGCAAGAATATGTGCTTTGTAGAAGAACAAATAAGGCTAAGCCATGATAGTTGAGAAATATGTTGAGTAGCGGGTTGGCTGAGGGCATACCTGTGGCTCGACAGATGGACGATAGAGACCTATTGGCTTGCGGCTAACAACCCAAGTGTCCATGCCTAAGCCGAATGGTGACCGGAGCTCTCGATGCACGGCCTGCAAAGTACATTTGCATCGTGAAAGACAATACTAGGGTCGACCTGACGCACCTCGTGCAGCAACTCCTCCTTACCCACCACGGCTTGAGGGAACCTCCACACGTCCTTGCCGGCCTCGTCCCTCGCCTGAACCAGCAAGTACAAATTCCTCTCGCCCTTCCTGTCCAGGCTCATGACGTCGCCTTTTCGGTCCGCCTCGGTTATGCGGGACATGAGTTGCGGTGGCGGCTCCTCTCCCGGAAGGAGGCCCGATTCGTTCTCCTCCCCAAGAGCATTTCCCGACGACTGTGCTTTCCTGGGCTTCGCACCCGGTCTGCCCCAGGCCTTCCGTTCCCGCGCATTCTCCTCCCGATTGAAGATGCCTTCGAGTAGTGAGCCAGACTTGAAATAAAACTCTGTTGGTACAGGATTGTGGAGAGCGCGCTCGATCCGTTGCATGTAGGCATAATACGCGCGTTCAAGCCGTGTCGGGGTGCGCGTAAGTATAGGACTCCTGTTGAGAATGATGCCGGTCTGGACAACAGTATCGTCGCTGCGTTTCTTGATAACCTGCTTGTAGGATGGTCGAAGAGCTGCGACGGTGGCCTCTGTGACACCTTCCGAGAGTGGAACGGAGGCCGAGCTCTCAGCAGCGGTAGCCAGCGAACGAGAGACCTGTGCGAGATGCACTGCAGCAGACAAGCTTCAAAAAAACTGCGCAGGAGGATTTGGCACATTTCTAACCTTTTGATGAGGCTCGGCATGCTCCTAGAGCACTCCGAGAGAACATAACCGCAGAGACCGAACCAAGGGAAGAGAAACCGGGGACAGCTGGAATCAGGCGCCAAGCGCATGCGAGTCACGTGAAATGGCGCTTGATATTAGCCGCCGGCGGTGACCTCAGCGCACAGAGCTTTACACTCATCCACATCGTCTCGCGTAGCTAGCTCGGCGCGGCCTGCAACAATGTCCATCTCGCTTGTTTCAAATGCATTTCTAGATGATAATTCGAACAAAATACGAGCCAAGCCAGTACCATGGGAGGTACTGCACGCATAATCTACTGAATAACTCCGACCTTGACTGAGCTTGGCATGTGCAGGGATACCAGCGAGCGAACCTGATAACCGCCGAGGAGCTCGCCCTCCTCAAGAAGGTGGATAGACAACCGAGAGCAAAAGTGGAATCCCTCTACCTGTCAGACGGCCAGGCATATGCCATTCTCTACCTCCGTCTTTTGAAGAAGCTGCAGCGCGTTGACACTCAGTCAAACATACTCGTCTTGATAGCTGATGCTCTGTCTGGCATGTTGCAACGCGTACTTCAGATATTATGCTGTGCTGATACTATACGCCATAGATCACGAGGAGCGTATCGCTCTCTTCGCGAGGGCATCTGAGACAGATGCGGAATCGCCATATACACCTTTACTGCGGTAAGTGTGCCAGCCTGTGTTTCGTAGTTCATACACATATCCTAGTTTGTGTCGTCATAGAATGCTGGAATCTCAGGATGACTTTGTACAACTAAAAGCTACTCAGATCCTCACCGTGCTTCTGAGGTGAGTCCAATGTCCGAACATACGCAGGGAATATTTGTGGCTTATTGATATGCGCAGTGCCGAGCCGAACACGATACCCCCTCAGTACCTGCAGCCTTTCATCGGCACCCTTACCTCCTTCATCTCGCATCCAGTGCCGCACAAGCATGACGTCGCGGTCCAATGCCTGGAAGTCATTCTCCCGCGCGCGGAAGCTCGTAGGGTGGTATGGACCAGCCCCACCATTGTTGCAGGGTGAGTAGCCGCCTCTAGCGTCCTCGTAATTCAACTTGGTTATACGACCCATAGTTTTGTCGATATCCTGCGTCACAACCCTGGACCTCAGATGTGCTACCAGGTCGGCTTTTGCTTCTGGTTGCTCTCATTTGATCAGAATATTGCGGAGGAGATCAACAAGTAAGCGTCATTGTGTCTACTCTGTTGATGACACCCATACGTTCCTGTACCAGGAAGTTCGACATTATACCCGTCCTTACGGACATCGCAAAAGGTGCCGTCAAGGAGAAAGTTATCCGTATCATAATAGCCACCTTCCGGGTGAGTTTCATCGACACAAGCTGACGTACAACTCCCCTAACGTCTAGTGCAGAACCTCGTCTCGAAAGCGCCTCAGGCCAATCTCCCTGCTATGCTTGTTGCTCATGTTCTACAATTTGTAAAGAATTTGTCAACAAGAAAGTGGACAGATGAGGATATCCTCGAAGATATTCAGTACCTCAAGGATGAGTTGACTGCTCGCTTCGATAGTTTGACGTGCGTACATAGCTGCTTTTTTCGCTGATCACTCCGCTCAAATGCGTCATCCACAGGACGTACGATGAGTATAGCTCAGAGCTGATGTCTGGACACCTGTCATGGACACCCGTACACGAATCCGAGCTCTTCTGGAAAGAGAATGTTACCAAGCTTAACGACAAGGATTATGAGCAACTGAAGCTCCTCGTCCGTCTCCTGAAGGAGTCGCAAGATTCTGTCGTCCTTGCAGTTGCCGCACATGACGTTGGGCAATATGTTAAGCATTATGAGCGGGGAAAGAAGTAAGCTCTCGTTTTATGTCGCTGATCCGCAACCATATTCACATCTCGCAATAGGGTTCTTACCGACCTCGACGCGAAGACACGAGTGATGGAGCTCATGACGCATCCCGACCCGAATGTACGGTACCAGGCCCTCGTTTCTGTCCAGCGACTGGTGAGCCACCCATGGGCGGCGTAGGCGCATCCCTCAACCAAACCAATGGACAATTCTGTAACGACCTACCAAATTGTAGTAATGACCTAGCATTTGGGATTCTTCGCATCAGCATTTTCGCATCCTTCGACTTGAGCATTTCTTACTCCCGCAATCACCAACGCACACAGGCGCCCATAGCTGGACGTGTTTCCTCGACCAACCAACAATCCTCCCATTCTTTGCTGACCAACGCGTGTGAAAAAAGAAATACAGGCAAGCAAGCAACAGTGGAAAAAGGGAAGCCACAGAAGCCGGGGACGGTAGTAAAACATTCTAACAGGAACGAAAACAACAACGATCTGTACCAGGCCCAGTGTCAAACTGGCCGGAGGCGCGGAAGAGTGAACGCAACAGGAGGGAACAAACGAAGCATAAATGCGGCAATAATACTTGAATAAGTACACGGGCAGTGTTCGGACTTCAGAATGTGTGAGAGTGGATGGACACAGACATGTCTTCAGACGAAACCCTTGCCGCCGCGCTTCGTGTCAATCTTCTTGAAACGTTCAGACTCGTTTCGCTGGTGGCGCTGCGGTCAACAGATGCGACAGGAATGCAGAATTGGGTGCAAGACATTACCTGACGGATGACACAGAGCGATGCAGTGAACAGGGCGATGACAATTGCCATATAGCCATAGATCGTTCTGAGCAGTTTCACACAGGTTAGCGATGACGGAAACGCGAAGGGAAAGCGCGACCACTGACGTGAAGATGTTGTTCAGCGTAAAGTCGGTGAACCCTGTGACGGGGCCGACGCAAGCATTGGTGTCGGTCTCTGTGGCGTTAAACAGAGAGGCGACGAAGGTCTGGTTTGCACAGAACCCCCCGATCTCAACCGTGTCGTTAGGCATGAAATAGCCACAGCAGGAGAACTATATGTGCACGTGAGATTAGCGTGAGTCTCAAGGCTGGGCGTCCGGGGGAGCGTACCATGTTCTGAACTGCTAAGCGGGTGGCCGGTGTCTGTGCCTTGAAGACCTCGTAGTAGTTATTTCGCTGCCGCAGGGAGTAGAACCAGATGAAGGAGCCGATGACAAGGACGGCGATTGCGTCCCCGATGAGCGTCCAGTTGAGGAAGATAAGGCCCCTTGTAGTGTGATTGCGCTGTGCGATGGCAAACAGAGAGATAAAAAATGTGACGAGTAGCATGATGCCGAGTATCAAGCCAGCTGCAACCAATGTTGGTTATGGGCACTATAGCAAGGCGAACGGGGGACGTACCTGTGAGGTCCTGACTGCTTATAGTGAAATTGAGCATGAGGTTCGGAGCCCTCCAGACAAAGGACATGACCACAGAGAGAAGTCCAGCTGCTAGTAGCCAAAGGTCTACGAAACCGTAGAACGCCATGACGCGCTTGGACACCATGTTTTCGAAGCTGTTAGAAGTTTACTAATACTACCATCCAGTGAGTACGACCCAGGGTACATAAACAACGAATGAACACACCCAAAGAGCTGAAGGGATGTGTTACGAAGTGCTTCTGGTATGACTAGCACAACAAACGCGACAGCTCAAGACTCGTGCTTGCTGAGAGAAGCTCTTCCGGAGAGTAAGGACAGACTGGCGGCCAGAGCGCCAGGAAAATGAAGGACTGGGACGGTCAACGTCTGCGCCTGCAAGACGCAAAAGGGTCAGAAAGAAGGGAGTAAAGGGAGGAAGAGGAGAACGAAGGTGATGGAACGGAAGAGAGGGGGGAAGGGGAAGAAGGGAGTTTTAGCTTACCGAGCAGCTGCTGGAACAGCGTTGGACGGCACCGTGATGGCAGCAGTGAAGGACACGGACTGATCTATCAATATCTTAGACCCATGGTGATATAGGAAGTGCACGCAGTCTGGTTACAATCGTGCCGGTCGCTATGTTACGACCCAATTGGTATTTGAGAGGACAAACACGGCTCTAGGGAGCGCTCCATGCATGGTATGCATGAGAAAATGCGCCGGTCGTCGCAACAGCAAAGTACAAAAACACGCCTGGACAATTCGCCGCCGTCGAGTTCGCTGCTCTGCGTGCTGCAGAAACGTGGATCGCCTCTTCCGTTCTAACTATCTTTATCCTTGATCCGGTCGGGACGTGCATGGCATCTCGGTACACCGGCGCTCCGCGCTCCGGCAGGGCTCAGCGGCGTCCAGAGCACGATACACCAGCCTAGACGACGACCACTCTGGCTTGCAATGCCTGCAGACGTCTCAAAACTCTCCGGCGGCTCCTTGATCATTGCCTGGCAACTCAAAGACAAAAACGTTCTTATTGTTGGCGGAGGAGAGGTCGCGGCAAGTCGCATTGAAAACATCCTCATTGCCGATGCTCGAATCACTCTCATCGCGCCTCGGAGCGGTCTGCATCTACAGACAAAAGAATACATAGGTGCGACGTCGCGCATCACGTATCATGACCGCACCTTTGCGGGCCCCGAAGACCTCGAAGGCGCAGATATGGTCCTCACCGCCATAGACGATGTGGAGAAGTCTCGCGAGATCTGCGCGATGAGCCGCGAGCGCAAGATACCCACAAACGTCGCAGACATCCCGCCCAACTGCGACTTTTACTTTGGCTCGCAGGTTAAGCGGCTGCCGCTGCAGATTATGATCTCCACGAATGGCAAGGGCCCGCGGCTCGCACACCTCATTCGAAAGAAGATCGAGGATAGTCTACCCGAAGGCATAGAGAATGCGATAGAGAAGGTGGGGGAGCTGCGCAGCAAGCTGAGAGAGCGAGCACCGGGGGTGGGTGGAGATCTGAGCAAAAAGCGGATGGGATGGATGACGGATGTGTGCAACACCTGGGAACTGGAAGACCTGGCGTTGCTGAACGAGACAACGATAGACAAATTGCTGAATGAAGGATGGGAAAAGGACAGGGTCCCCAATGCGGAGGAAGTCATCCCAAAGGCGAAGCGGGCAGGTCAAATCCAGTTGCCGTTCAGCTTACTCGTCCCCATCACCGTCGGTTTCTTTGTGGGGGTAGCATGTACCGCTGTTGCCGTGCATAGACTGGGTTCAAGACGGTGACAGGAAATCGGGAGGTCAGTTTGTTCTACCGTAGGACTTGGTGGCACATTGTAGCTGTAGGAGAAGTATTGCGTGAATGTACATCATTATTTATGAGTGTATCTTCTATATCGTGAACATAGGGCTCTCCGGGCTACAACGGGCTGAACTATGACTCGTGTGCTGTGTAAGGTCAACGGACGGCGGGAGCGAGATGCTGCGAGATGGCCCAACTCGAGGCGGTGGATGAGTCAGGCGCGTGACACGTCCACCTTATAAAAGCCGCCACCCTGCTTGCACTTCCTGTTTCCTTCACCTCATACCCTGCTCCCGTTCGCCCGTACCACTCTTAATACCACCTAGAAAACAGCACTAGACTACACTATGAGCAACGTTGATTGGGACTCCAAGACTGTTGTTGGCTTCAAGGCAAAGGCCCCAAAAGTTACCCGTAATACGTCGGACTTGAATGGTAAGCCCAAATTTGCGGTGTTCTGGCTTATAGCTCAGTTGCTGACCCTTATTCTAGCTGTATGTGTTCTCTTCTCTGGCTTTCTGGCCATATTTGTACTCACAGCGACATCTTAGGCCCGTCGAGTGGGAGCAGTCGTCGCGACTGATAAGAAGGTCACGGGAGGGACCAACAAGGCCCACGTCGGTACGTACGGCTGATCCCCTTCTCTCATCTCAGCAAGCCCTTAATGCACCATCTCTCTGTAGGAACCGACCACCAAAGGATAGCGAAGCTTGATCGTGAAAACGAGGTGGCACCGCCACCGAAGGTTGCGCCCTCCGTCGGGAAGGCGATCCAGACCGCACGTCAGGAGAAAGAGCTGTCGCAGAAGGATCTCGCCCAGAAGGTGAACGAGAAGCCTTCTGTCATCCAGGACTACGAGTCTGGTCGGGCTATCCCGAATCCCCAGGTCCTGAGCAAACTCGAGCGCACACTCGGTGTCAAGCTGCGTGGTACGCATTTTCGTTCACTTCGACGGGAGATAGATGCTGATCAGCTGATCAATAGGAGCGAACATTGGAGAGAAGCTCGGGGGGCCAAAGAAGTCGTAGGTTGACCCCCTGTGATGAGCCGATCTACGACGACGGACAATGTTAGCTTCGAACTGCGCTGTCTTCCAGCTCTTAATGTTGTGCCATCATGTGTCATTAGACTTTTGCATCGTATTCACCCACTATCTGTTTGCATTGCAATCCCCCATTGTAACTACTGGTCGTGTGTGACATTCAGCTAGACTGTCATAGATGCAGATACGCGAATACAAATAAAAAGATGCTACAAGAAAGCAAGCTAAACACAGCGTGAAAGTGGGAGTCGGCGCTCTACGGCCCCTGCTCAGCGTCGTTGGCACCCTGTTCGGCGGAAGCTTATAAGAATCTAGTCCAGTAGATGGACAAAGGGACATACATATGTAATATAATCTGCGCTCTCGCAGGCCTTGTACTCCTTGAGGAGCTCTTCTGCCGTTGCCCTATGAAGTTGTCACTCCTTAGAAACCTGAAAATCGATGTCAAGTGATGCCGGCAAACCTAGCGTCGTCGAATTCCTCCAGCCCGTTCTCAAACATTTTCTCTTTCTTGTACTGTTCCATAAAGGCATTGCGCTTCCGCAGACGATCGAACTGGTCAATCATACGCTTGAAGAGCTGGAGACATTGTCTTGTCAGTACAAAGCAAATACGGTGATTGAAAATGACACACCGAAGCAATGCTTGTGTGGTTCGCGAGCATCAAGCCGCTGACACGGTGGTTTGTTGGCACGTATGGCGACTTCCGAGTTAGCGCAACCTGGATAGAGGCAGGACCCCACGGAATAAAGTTGGCGAGCTGCCGCTCTCGTATGCGGAGCAGAGACTGGTGGACCTGCAAGAGCGTCGATTTGGAGCACGCTGCGAAAGAAACAAGGGGGACTCACGTCGGTGGGATCAACGTCTCCTTGGATGATGTTCAATATGGAGATGTAGCAAGCAGACTTGCTTGGCACTGTTGAGACCATTCGATTCTTGGGCTGCAGCAACCGCCGCATAACATCAAGAACAGTTGTTCTCCGGATTGTCTTCGCCTAGAGCCGTCGCTTCAGCTCAAACACACGCTTGATAAAGCGTTATATGCATACCTGGTCTATTTGATCACTCGTAAATGGTGTGTACGATGTCATTAGGAAATGACACCGCGGGGTGGGAATGAGAGAAGCAATTATGCCCACAAGGTCGTTATTCATGTATCCTGGATATCGTAGTGTCTGAGTCGATGCCGCTATCACAGTGGAGACTAGCTGGTTCGTTTGGTCGAACGTAGGTGTCTGGACATGCAGCCTGTCCGCAGAGATGCGCGCAAGCGCACCATTATCGAGCACTACAACGGAGTCTGCATGGTTTGTCAACCGTTTAAGCGTGAGCATGGCGTTATATGGCTGCACGACGACATCTGCTTCTTGCGCATTGGGAAAAACCGAGTACGTCTGAATGAGCTTCTTTGGGAACTTGTCGTTTAATCGCTCCAGCATAAATGAGCCAAATCCGGAGCCAGTCCCGCCGGCTATTGAATGCATGAGCATGAAGCCCTATGGAAGCGATCAACACACGAGTAAAGCGTGGCGTCACCGGGACACACCTCCAATGAATCACTTCCTTCTGCTTCACGATCGACCATCTCCATGACCTCTTCGTAAAGCCGCTCGCCCGCTGCGTACCCCTGTGCCCAGTTGTTTCCCGCTCCGCCGCCATCCTGTGAGACAAAAATATTTTCTGGGTTGTACAAGTTGGCATATGGTGACGTGAGAATACTGTTGATAACCTGGAAACGCATGTCAATGTGCAAAGCGCGTCAGACTACGCTTTGCATACTCGCGGCTCGAGGTCGACAAGGATGGCGCGTGGAATATAGTGCTCATCATCTGCCTGGTAGAAGAAGACGTCCTTGCGGTCGCCTCCCTCTGTCGCCCAGTCTTCGAGTATGCCTTCCTTGTTGATGCCGTGTTCAGCACACAGCCGCTGCCAGTAAACTGAACCCACTTCGAATGGAACCGCGGTCAGCGTTGAGTGGGGTCCTAGGGATCGACAGGAACCGCACTTTGGTTGCCGCATTGCCCCAGCTGCACTGTCACAATTTCACGCGGCATCGTTAATGAGACAAGGCGAGCCGGGGGACAAGATAGATAAAAAGGCAGGAGATCGAGAGGCCGATTGTCAAGGACGGAGGTGGGCGTGACGCGTGTAATACGCGGGTGTAACAGCCTATCACATTTTGTCACATTCTTGTCACGTTTGACATCAGTTTACAGGTGGCCTGGGTTGTGTGTGTAGATCTGCCTCACTCCTGGCCTTTCCTCGCTGCACCAGGCTTGATCCTAACCTCCATCCCACTCAGAGTTTCTCCCCTTGCCGCCGGTCTCCCTCGCCTCTTGCCGCCCTCAACTCATCACTGCTCTCACCATGCTCGCCAAGAACGAATCTCACACTACTCGTACTGTCTCGCGATCTGGCTCGCTCTTGGGCACCATCAAGAGCATCCTACCCTCAAAGTTTTTTAGCTGGAATGGGGAATCGCCCGACACACCCGGAAAGCGTAAAGGTGTTGACGAGTCTCACGAGGCTGAGGAGGGGCAGCGGAGCAGCAAGAGGCAGAGAGTAGGCGGCTCGTCCGTGGGGGAGATCACTCAGTCGCAGGTGCTTCAGCGGCAGCAGCAACAGCTTGTGCCACCACCAAGATCCGCCTTTGGCTACCTAGAGCCCCCAGACAAGTTTTTCGGGTCCGTCAACACTGCAGCTACGTCACGACAGGGAAACCATGCTTGCGCTACATCGCTCGTGCCATCGGCCAGGCCTCCGCAAGCGAGCGGCAGCACGCGCGAACTCAGCACAGGGACCTCTGCCAGCACCCGCGGCCGTACCATGTCAACGGATCCGCCCAATCGATATCGCTCGAGTTACGGTACTACTCCGAAACCGCTCTCACGCGATGTGTCTATGGAAGATGGCTGGTCCGAGAAAAGCATGTCTGCATCTCCTTCACGACGTTTCCGCATGCGCACTTCCCTCACGCCGCAGCCATCGGGCAACGCTTTCGGACCTGAGCCCGCCCGCCGCGAGCGCGACGGCTCGGAACCGCCCCCGTTGGCACAGCTCATTGACAAGCCGATGTTCGTCAAGGCTCCGTCTGAGGCTCCGCAGACCAAAGCTTCCACGTCTACAGCACCGACTACTCTTGGAGCTTTGGCAAGGACGCAACGAACAGTACGGGTTAACGATCCACGTGTGCTACTAGTATATTCATTTCGTCATTACAGGATAAGGGTGCTCAGCGCTCTCATAGCTCGCTCAATATCGGCTCGGACTCGTCGATGCAAGATGTAGCTGCTGTCCGTAAGTAGCTTAGTTATGTATGCTTCAACTCACCTCATCCATCTCCTTTAGCTGCTCCTGAACCTGCAAGGCCAATCAACACAACCGAAAGGATCCTTCGCGAACTCGACGTGTACAAGACGCCCTTAGTACCGATGCGCCTTCGGGATGCTAACGGCCTCCCTGATATGTTCAAACACAAGAAAGGCCACGGATTCCAGCTCATGCACGACAGAGATAGCAGGATTCGACTGGGCGCAGGCGAGAAGTCAGAGGATGTCGATGATGCTCAGGGATCTAAGCCATATGCGGGCAGGGGCGGGATGAAAAAGTTGCTGGCAAGGCGGCGACAGGAGGAAGAGAAAGAGAAAGAGAAAGAACGAGCGGCGATTTTTGAAACCGATGAGGAGGAAGCCTTGAGGACAAGTCAGAAGGCAAAGGAGCTGGACGAAAAGCTGCTGAAGGATCTCGACACGCCTCTCGAACCAGAGCCTGAGCCTGAGAGACCTTCTGTTGCGGGTCGACCGCAGTCTTCACTGCGAGTCGGTCGCACAAAGAGCGCTCGTAAGACAATCGATAGGCCTAAAGCTAGGGGTAGGGGCGGCGGTCGGTTCTCGGCATTTTACGATGAGGAGGAGGAGGACTTCATGGATGACGGTATCAAGCAGCAGTCGCCCAAGAAAGCCCCTGCCTGGACCCCGCCTCTTGGCTTCAGCTTCGCAAGAGATGTATGTGCTTTCAGTGCCCTTAGATGTATACTTGCTGACTCGAGGCAGACCACGCCCTTGATGTTTGATACTACCGGCGCGAAGGAGGCACCACTCCCATCCTTGCCATTCTCACTATCTCCGACGCCACCCGTCAGGTTCAGCGACGCGAACAAAAATTCGGATAAGCCCGCCACTATCGCGCTCCCCAAGGGCTTCTCCAAGGACAGCGATGTTCCCCACCCGTCTCCGCCCATCACCGTCGCGGCCGAGTCCCAAGCGGTATTTGCGCCTGCCCCACTCACTCCGCTTCTTTCTGCGGTGCCGCAAATAGCGCTCATCCCGCCAACACCCGGATCTGCCGTGCTCGCTAGCGCTCCGAACCAGCCTGCCGCAGAACAGCTGGGTGCAAGCGTTACTGGCAAGGGTTCTTCAGCTGTACCTAATTTCTTCACTTCTTCCGCGGCGTTGACCAAGCCTAGTGCCCAGGTTTCCTTGCCTTCGAACTTCTCCTTTGGCGCTCCTCCGTCAAGCTCGTCTGCCGTTCCTACAACGAATGCGACTAAACAACCTTCTCTGTTTGGCATGTCTGGCGAGGAGGAGGGCAGTGGCCCCAAGCCTCATGTCAACACCCGTGCGAGTGATAACAAGCATCCGGTCGAAGCAAGTAAGGTGCCCCAGCAGCCACTGTTCTCTGGCTTCAGTACCAACCCGACGTCGGTCTTCACGAGAACTCCTGAGACTGCGCCTGTGAAACGTCCGGACGCCGTGGCGGAACCCGCCAAAGATACCCCTCTTATTACGGCCCCAACGCCCACATCCGCATTCACCTTTCCGAAGCCAACCGAGAAAACGGATAAATCGACGCTCTCTGGGTTTACATTCGGTGCTCCCAAACCCGTCGAAGGTCCCGCGACTACCCCATCGCCATTGTCGTTCGCGTTCGGTGCACAAACAACTAAGTCGGCTGAAACAACCGCAGCGGGGAGCAAGTCTCCTCCCAACGATGCAGCTTCTAAGCCTGGCTTCACGTTTGGCGCACCTTCTACGGGTGCTGCACAGCCATCGCCATTTGGCACACCAAGTCCAAGCGCCGAGCCTTTGAAGTCGCCCTTCATCTTCGGTGGGTCTGCTGCCCAGCCATCCGCATCCGCTGCTACTCCTTCAGCCCCTGCGCCAGCTGCCCAGGCGACAAAGCCCTTGTTTGGCGGTGCTTCTGGCTTCACATTTGGCCAGCCGTCTGCGACCTCAGTGCCAGAGCCTGCCAAGTCGTCCTTCGCGTTTGGTACGCCTGCGCCATCCACCCCGGCCGCAGAGAAGCAGCCGTTCGTTTTCGGTGGGTCTTCCTCTACCGGCACGCCTGCGCCTGCTGGCTCGACGCTTTTTGGTACGCCAGCGCCGAATGGTAGTGCTGCTCCGAAGACACCTCCCAGGAAGGAGGAGGGTGACTCTAGTATGATGGACGAGAGCCCTGTCAGAGGCGGTGGCATGGATCTTAACGGTAACAAAACAGAGTCGATGGCTCTCAACGGCTCCGGATTCAATCTGACACCTGCTTCGATATCATCACCCTTCGGTCAACCTGCTCAGACGAGCTCATCGCAATTCGCATTTGGCTCCGGTGCAGGAGCGGCAAACCCATTTGCTGCGAAGACCGATGCGGCAAAATCTGCGGAGAGCAAGCCCGCGGCTGGCTTTTTGTTCGGTCAGCGTTCGACTTCGACTTCGACCTCGACCTCGACTGGCTTTTTCGGCCAGAAGGCAGCTGATAATGGCTCGATGCCTACAGCGACGGGAGGGTTTCCCTTCGTTAAGCCTACTGAAGCTGCGGCACCGGCTGGGTTCGCCTTTGGGCAGAAGCCAATAGAGACCAACGCGGCGCCGCCTACGAACGGTTTCGCCTTCGGCACCCCTACCACGCCCACGATATCTACGCCCTCATTTTTTGGTGCTCCCCAGATCGCACCAAGCACGTCGTTCGGACAGACCGCATCCGCCACGAGTACAACGCCCAGCCCGAATCCCTTCAGCCAACCAGCCCAACCAAATGGCGGTGGCTTCAACTTCAATGCGCCCACGCCGACTAGCGCCACGGCCCCATCCAAGCCATTCGCGTTCGGTAGCCAGCCGGCGTCTCCAGCTACCACGCCTGCCGGACTTCCTGGGCAAAACGGCACTACTGGCTTCAACTTTGGTGCTGGCACTGTCCCTGCGTCGACGCCCTCACCATTTGCTCCACCGGCTGCGCTACCGGCTACCGGAGCGGTATTCACAATGGGTGCTATACCACCGCCTGCCCCTGGTGGCGGCGTTGTTGGCCGCCAGATAAAGAAGCTGCCCAACCGGCGGGGCGGTAAGCGATAATCACACACCGCCACCGTGTATCTTTTCGATTCTATCTCCCTTTGGTTCACGTGTATTGATTGAACCGTGGACGTGTTATATACTACTGACTCGTATGTTTTCCTCTTACTCTTGGCCTGAGTCTCTTCGCAGGTTACCCTTATTGCAACCTTCCCGTGCCGTCTCATATCTCACACTCTCACCCACAATGTTTTATATCCGCTGTTCAACATATCCGCCATCCCGCATTCAGTAGTGTTCATTGTTGCAGGCTCAAGGCCAACTCATCAACATCTCCAAGTATCAAGTAGTAGACAGTAGTATACGTGGTTACAACCACATCTGGGCTGAAGGCCTATGCATTGCGTATTATATTTGCACGCGGATGTGCGTAGGAACAGTTCATCATAGTCTCTGCGGTTCCGAATCTTCTCTATTTCCACCTCCGTCCCGGGCCGGTAGCTGCAAGATGCCGTAGCACGTAGGTCAGTACCTGTACTCTGGGTGCATGTACATCAATCTGGCGGTAAGCAAGTGGTCTAGATGCTGCTAACGGCGGGCGCAGACGACTACTTAGGCGCAGCGATCGCCTTGCGAGCATTTTTCTGGGCATCATCGAACCTGCGGACGATGACCTCACACTTGGTCGTCTTACAGATGTGTTTTGACCTGGCTTTGATCTCTTCCGAGAAGAATGTTAGGCCCGCCGCCCTCTCAACGGCTTCGACTGGACGAAAGGTCAGCTTTCGCGTCGAAAGCGGTTGAAAGGTAATGAACTTACTGGGAACAATGAAGTTCTCTAATGATGCCTGGTCCGGAATCTCGGCATTCGGAAGCACGAATGCGCCAGTCGAGATCTCAGGAATATGTGGCATGGAAGGCGAGGATGGACGGGAGGTCAATACAACCTTCGCGAAATGCGTCGGGACTCCAATACTTGGAGGCTGTCCGATGACTTCGTAGTGCTAACAACAAAAAGTCACAAATGTCGTTGAAAGACAGAAAATTGATTGCCTAACCCACCACTCGCCACTTGCCATCGCCATCGAGCTTCGGCAAGTATAAAGGTACTGTGAAGATGTAAACATCTGCGAAGTTACCTGTCAGCCGGCGGCACCAGTCTTCCAGGTAAGCCCAGTCTAAGCAAGTGTTTTCGTCAGCGGGTGCGTCCAAAAACCTCAAAACGTGCCACTTACAGTGACGGTTGAAGCCCACGCCCACTTGGGGCGCAATGTTAGTCAGGAGGAAAGTCTCATCCATCGCTCCCTGGACGGTGCCACATCGTCAATGACAGGTAGCGGCCTAGGCAGATGCGCACGTACCTGAGATATTTTCGCGTCAGCAGCAGGGACCCTAAATAATGTTCACGATTAGCTGTAAGACTACAGAAGACGGATACACTCACATGTGCCCGCGGTCGTAACCGCTGCGGAAGTAATCCGCGAGCTTTGCGCGGAATATGGCAGGTATCGACTCGTCCTCTACAAATTGCGACTTTGACCGGTCGCCGGTTTCGTCGGCAGAGGGACGCACTTCGAGAGCTGACTTGCCCAGAGACGCGAGTGTCAAGTGTTCAGCAGTCTAAGAGTGCAATTGATTGAGCATTTCGGCAGAAGTTGAACAGCAGACATACCCAAGCCGGATGCCTCAGCCTGCGGTCGTATGCAGCGACATAGGCCTTCCGGACCAACAAGTCTGATACCGGTCCGGGATGTCCATATCTCAGGAGCTGTGAATCTGTCTTGACAAGAGTGCCCGGCGTGCTCAGCTTGGGAGCACCGCTTGGCTGTACTTCGACTATGGGCTGCTTGACGCTTTCGGACGCTGGCACAGGCACAGCTACTGGACGCTGCGCAGTGTTGTTGCGGCTGATGGCAGTCGCTACGCCACCGCCAACGAGGGCACCGACGGCAAAGCAGGCGGCGTGAAGGATGGTCGAGCTGGGCATGGTCGGCATCCGAGGCAAAGGACAGGACTGAACCTAAGACGCGCTTCGGCTGTTGCCGCGTATCATGCAGACTCGTCGAAGTTTGAAAGATTCGCCATCCCACAGCTCTCCAACTCGGCTGGTGCGTTCGTTGTAGGAGAAATCCGTTGGTTATAAGCTCTACCTGTATACCTGTATAGAATTCGTACAACCAAATTCGAAATGAACCACATAGACACAAGAGCGGAAAAACTATGATATAGTGTAAATACCAGAGAGCAGCAAGAATAATCATTGAAGACGCAACGAATGGAGACTGTTGGAAGGTATGAAAACTTTTCTTGCGCTGTGAAACACTAAAGCAATGATGAAGTATGTAGCTCATTAGATGGTGATGGTGGGCGAATACTGGCCGCTATGCGTGCCGACTCGGTATTGACTGAAGAAACCGGATTATCGAAAAGGAGTGGGATTCGTTGTTGATATCGAAGAAAAAACGAAAGATTAAGGCAAAGAAAGGCACATCGACTTGAATGCTTCCGGAATGAGGGCAGTCCGCGCACAAGAATGAAATCGTGAACAACTCGTGGAGGTCCGTCATCCGCCCGCACGGAGACGATTCATTGAGAGCTAGCTCCCCGTCCGTGTGGGCATCAAGTGGATACGCCTCAGAGTCATTAGATCTCCAAGGGCTCGTGGGAGCGCGCTTCGAAGCCAGAACGCTGAGTCTGGCTCTCTTTTCTCTCCCGCCTGCTTTCGAAGCCTCCTACACCAGGCCCGCGCGGCTGGCGAACGACACCGGAGTCAAGGCCGCTGTTCACAGCACCTGTGACGCTCGATGGTAGGCTGGGTACAGGAGGAATGCCGTTGCCGAATGCGCCGTTCCCAAACAGTCCCGCGAACCCGCCGGGGGAGCGGCGAGAAGGCGACGCAATGGTAGCGTAACCTTCGCGGATGTTACCGTTAGAAGCGCGCGAGGCCAGGCGGGGCGCCTGCGTCTGGAAGCTCTTCATGTCTGGCATGGACTTCTTCACGCGTAAGGAGCTCGCTTGCGCACCAGCGGAAAGGTATGAAGACTGTGCGCGGGTAAGAGTCTGGCGACCGCCGGCGCTTTGTTGCTGCTGCGAACAAGCATCAGCACCGGCACGTTTAGGCAGGTCTCGGCAGTGACTCACTTGGGCAGGGTCAAAACGGGTGACAACGGCATATCGTTCATCACCCTCTCCAACAGAATAATGGTAGACACCGAGTTTCTGCGCAACAAGATGCACGACTCTTCGCTGTTTGGCAGTGAGCGCCCTGGAGAACGCCAATTCATCGCGCATGTGATCGTCCTTGAACAGTAGGATGCGAGAGTAAATTTCAAGCGTCGATGGGTCGTTTAGGTCAAGCTCCGTGGAAGGCGACTTCAAGCCTCCCGGAGTGGACGAAGGAAGAGGCGAAGTGCTAAGATTGTACGGACTCGGTGTCGGAAGCGAAGGTATTTGAGGGACTGGCGGAACCGGTGGCGTGTACTGCTGTGGGAACGGCGACGTGCCTTGGAACGATCGAGAGGGTGTGAACGGCGGCGCAATGACAGGGCCGAAATCGTCGTACTGCGGCGTCTGCTGCTGTTGCATGGCGGCCTGCTCCTTTTCTAGCTGCATCGAGCGCATGCGACGGAGCGCCTTCTCGCGCTCGATGCGCTCCTTCTCACCTGCTTGCAGCACTTTTTTGTACTCTACGCGCAGCTTACGCCCCTGGACATCGAAACCGTTGAGCGCGACAACGACAGCGTCTGCATCGGCTGCCTGGCGGAAGTTGGCAAATGCGAGGCCGCGGAACTGACCCGCTTGGTCGAGATGATAGTTGAATGCGTACGGCGTAGGGATCGACAACGATGCCTGTCGAGAGAATTAGTCGATGCCTCGAAAGCGATCGGAAAGATATCACTGACGATGATATCGAGGAGTGTCTCGCGTTTGACATTGAATGGTATGTTCTTGATGACGATCGCAGTGGGTATAATCTCGTCCTCCAAGCCCTGGCCAGGTGTACCTGGAGCTATGCCCGGAGTCATCACCTGACCGCCCATAACTGGTGAGTCACCCGACGAAGAGATGTCCGAGTTGTTGTTCGGGGACAGCGAGCGGTTGTCGGGGATGGAGACGGCGCCGACAGTGTTCTCTAACCATTGCTAGCATGATCGCGTGGTGAGCTGGGCCTGTGGCATGTCAAAAATATTCAGGAAAGCAGACGCACACTGGGCAGGCCGCCTCGCATAGTCTTGTTCTTGAGCGGGGACTGGCTGACACCGAGCGGATTGTACTGGGATTGAACAGGAATAGGAGGGGATGTGGAGAAGTGGTACGGATTCCTGCCGTTACCGCTGCCGCTGCCTTCGTAATCGTAAGTGTCATGAAGACGTTGCTGGGATGGCTTGGAAGAGAGCGACAGGGTAGAGATATCCGGGGTCGACGAAGAGCTTGTCATGATCTGTGAATTGACAACGGATGAGGCCTTGCTGGAGAGTGTACAGATGCAGACACGGCAATTGTTCGTGAAGACAAACTCGTTAGAAGAATGTAAAGCGCAGGCTGAGGAAAACTGAACGGCGAGCAGACAAAGTCGAGAGAGAATGCGAGCGGAGAAGATGGTCGTCGATGCGGAAAACGTGGTAAAGCCACTTGGCGCTGTTTTGCCCTCCAGCTCAAACTCTCATCACGGGGCTTGATTTCTCTCAGGATTCATCGCACCAGAACGACCGCTAGTTTTCTTTGTCTTGTTCCCAGCTCTGTGCCGATACCAGACACGAGCAGACACGCGGGTGTAGCCCGCAACGTGAACGCGGATATATCGGGCGTCGACAGCGACCAATAGGATAGCGGTAGCGGAAGCTACAGAGAACTCTGGAAGGTCTTTGGCCGCTATCTAGGCACGCACGTCGTCTTAGCATCGGTCGTTTGCATGTTCTCTACCGTTTCTTTGGGACGGCTGCCATCTCCTCGAGGCGAGTTGTGACACAACATTATGACCAGAAATGCACGCTTCCTTCTCGTACGCGACCGCAACTGCTATTGTAGAGTTTGGCATGCTGTAAGATACACGAGGTGTCCTTGGCAGGAGAAAGCTTCTGAGCTGAGCTCTTGTCTCTTCGTTCTCATGTACCCCGGCTTGAAGCGCCACGACGGCGGGGCGCGTGCATCGTCCGTGTCACCGTCTATCGTCGTCCAGTAACTGTGGTCCGTCATGGGCAGTGTTGCAGTGTTACATCAGGGGCGGGCTGTCCGCTGAGCTTCGGGTGGTGGCGGAGGTAAGAGGTTCCGCAGCACCAAGGCGTCCTAAACACGTCAATTATTGTGTCAGCCGTCCTGTGCCCTTTCCCCTGCTCTCATCCGCAGGCCACAGTTCCCAGGCTCATCCGTTATCAACCACGACGTCGACTCCCGACGGACGAGCGAACGTGGTCCATCTACGGCGCACCTACACGGTTATTCTCTGTGAAGGGCTAATCATCCATGCCGAGGAGCCGGTTATGTGAGTAGAGGGACTGTGTCGCGCTTCGGGACATACTTATCGCCTGCCGACTTTTGGGGCACAGTCGGACGTAGCGCACCCCAGCCAGATGCGGCTCGGTACGCGCCTCCAGCTGGTCCCCCGCCGACCTGGCCGCAATGGCAGACACCAGGCTCATCGCTTGGGAGGTCCAGGCAGCCGCGGCGCGGTGACGGGGGATCCGAAGTAGAAACCCCGGTAATCTCTCTTGAAGACGAGATAAAGCGATCGTTCAAGGCTTGCAAGACGGGCAAGGGGAATGCCCAGCTTCTCCAGGAAACTCTAGCCTATACGAAGGTGGAAGATCTGAAGGGCAATCCCCTCATCGAGGTGCGGCGCAATGCTCTCAAAAGAAGCCCTATTCAATGACATTTTCGTACAGGAATTTTTGCAAAGGTGTCGCGCATCCCAAGAGTATCTCGCCTCCAACATCCCCTGGGCCTCATTCCATGCCGAGAGATCTCGCGAGACATACCGCGGTAGCGACGAGACCGAGGAGGAACGTCTTCTTGCAGAGTTGCTGCAGACGAATCAGGAGCTTCTAGACGCACTCAAATCCTACAGTGACCTCGAAGGCCAAACGGAACGCGACCGCAAGAGAACTGAACGTCGAGTACGCCGGTTGCATGCTGTTCGCCCCTCACGTGTTTGGCTAACTGCGCACCGTCCAGCTGCGCGCCATGGAAGCAATCACCTCCTTCAATCCTACCTCTTCCGAGTCGGCCTTGGTAGACCGCATCTTCGCAGCCGGAGATCCCCAGAATACTGGATCTATTAGCCCAGATGTTGCGCAATCCATTCTCATGGGATCAAAGCTCCCGGCAGATACGCTGCAGGAGGTTTGGGATATCGCTAATGTGGAAGACAACTCCACATTTGGCAAATACGTCGTTGGGATTGCAGTCAGACTTGTGGGCCATGTGCAGAACGGAAAGGAGCTGAGCGAAGAGCTTGTCCTGAAACGTAAGCACAGGCTCCAATACATCTCGACCGGTACAAGTGTTGATCTTTTCCAAGCTGGATCTCTCGCTGAGATCGATGGGCTGGAGTCAAGTCAAGGAGCATCCAGCTACGTCTCCCTTCCGTCTTCGTCAGCCCGGGCGGATCCTTTCAGTGATCCTGTCGTTTCAAAACCTGGTCCCAATCGGCCGCTCTTGCCCCACGCACTCAGCAGTCTACCGCCTTTGACGGAGCAGGATAGAAACAAGTTCATGCAAATTTTCTATCGCAGCGGTGCTGAGAACGGCATTTTGAGTGGTCCACGCACCCGAGAAGTTCTCATGAAGTCGAGGCTACCGGTCAACACTCTAGGGGATATTTGGTTCGCCATCTTTATAATTAACTCGCATACACAGAGTCTGACGATCGTTCCAGGGATCTCGCGGACACGGAACGCCGGGGGTACCTCGATGCGCCGGCGTTTACGATTGCCATGTATCTCGTACAGGCGTGCATGTCGGGCCAGCTGACCACTATACCTCCAGTTCTTCCTCAGCAACTCTATGCTGAGGCGGCCAAGAATGCGCCCCACGCCGTGCTGGATGCGCATTACGGACCGTCAGGACAGGCCTCGCACACCCCTTCTCCCACCGCAGGAATGTTCAGCTCGGCTGATTCATTACCTGCCCGCCCCCCAACACAGTCTCCACCGAGCACCACACCAGCCGAACCCTCGGTGAGGATTAGCATGTAATGACTAGTGTAGTTAGATGTTTATGTTCTTCCAACAGCTAATTGATCTAGATGAGGAAATTTCAGATTTACCTGGACCTGTGTCGATGCCTATCCCACTAATGAGCAGTGCTCCTCGGGAACACACGCGCGTATCACCGTCATTGCCGCCTGGTCTGAACATACCCTCCACGTATACGCCAATGACGCCAATGACCCCGACAAGCTCGTCGATCTTCAGGCCGTTCTCTAGCCCTTCGCGCACGCCTTCCTCAAGCCAGCCAGGTTCTCCGCCACACACGCCGCAGTCTCCGTTTGAAGCCGCGCCTGAAGGGTGGAACTGGGATGTTACACCGACCGACAAGATGAGCTCCGACAAGCACTTTGATACTCTCGATCCATGGAGACAAGGATACATCGAAGGGGAGGCTGCTGTAGGATTTTTGTCCAAGTCTAAGCTACCGCCTCCGGTCCTCGCGAAGATCTGGTGCGCATAAAGTGGCCATGGCGATATGGCGTTCCTTTGCTGACATTCGTGCATGCAGGGATCTGGCGGATATGGATCACGATGGTAAACTGACTAGGGAGGAGTTTGCGATCGCGATGTACCTCATTCGGGGCAAGCTTGCCGGCAAGGAAGTGCCTAATGTACTCCCGCCTTCGCTTGTCCCACCGCAGAACCTTCCGGACCTGAGCGCGGCACCAGCACTCGCTCCACGACAAGGGGCAGGCACTCCTCCGACCCAGCCACAAGAGCCTGAGCGCGCCAGCACGCCTCCGCCACCTTACGACGAGAACATAACTCTACCTGAAGAAACTGCCTGAATGGACGATATGTGGACGATATTTATGGTGTTCACGGACCACTTTATAATGGGAATCCTCTGTATGTACTGGTAGAGCGAATCACGATGCGAAATACCGCACGGCTGTCCTGGTACCCGGTGATATGCGCCGGAGGTGTTCCTGGTGAACAGCCTCCAGGGTCGCAGCATTCCTTTATATTGTACGTCGGACCTTGCGTTCGACTCTCCATATTCTACCCTACTACGGCCTCCAATCTCTACACAATCCTCGGTTTCGACAAGACCGCGACACGTCACCGGCAGAAAGTGAGTGCAGTTCGCAGCGCTTTGCATTCTAAATGCTAATCGCCGCAGTCCGAAAGGCACACAGGAAGAAAGCTGCTATATAACCCATCCGGACCGTCTCCCACAGGGTGTGTCCAAGAAGGAAAAACAGAAAGCTCACGAACCGTTTTGGCTCGTGTATCGCGGTTTGAGCTGCCTCATGTTCAGGAATGACGCCGTACTCAATATGTTAATAATGCGTATGAAGCCTTGACGAATATGGTCCATTGCAAGGCAAGTCACACGCTGATGCAGTGAGTATATCATTTAACGCGTTCACAGCCGCACTAGCAATACGGTCTCTAGCCCCCATCGACAGCAATGGACGATACACCTACTGCAGGCCCACCGAACACGCATGAGCCTTTCAGCGGCTTTGCCTTTGCCAATCCTTTTGAGCTCTTCAGCTTATCCGTCAGCAACCTACCACCATTGACGGAGCAAGGTATAAATAAGTTAATGCAGATCTTCCATTGCAGTGGATGGCATCGTAAATGGCCCCCGAAGCTTGAAAGTTCTCATGAAGTCAGGGTGCCTGTTGCCAAGCCGGCGAACATTCAGTGGTACGCTGTGGACTTATATTAATTAATAAACACCGAACTTATCAACCGAGCCAGGGATCTCGCGGACCAGAACGCTGCGGGTACACCGAATCGTGGGATATTACACCGGCCGACAAAACGAGATTTGACGATATCCTCGACTCACAGAGTCAAGGGTACATTGAAGGTGGGACTGCCGCCCGATTCCTCCACCAGTCATCCTCACGAAGATTTGGTGCGTATAAAGTGATCATAACGATATGGCGTGCGTTTGCTGACGCCCGTGGTACGCAGGGTGGCAGACACGGATAACGATGGCGGGCTGACGAGGGAAGAGTTTGCGGTCACGATGCACCTGGTACAGGGTGAACTTGCGGGCAGGGAGTCTTGTCCCACCGTTAAACGTTGAACGTTGAACGTTGACGTTGAACCTTGAGTGATTGAGCTTTTCGGATCCAACCGCGGCACTGGTACCATTCATGCCCGGGCCTTATAGGCCTCCTGCCTCGGAGCACAAGCAACAGCTACTTCCGCGACGCTGCCAGAAGAGCTTGCGCGTTCCACGACCTAAGGACGAGAACCTGAGCACACCCTGAGAGCGCGATAATCTTGACTTGCGCCTATAAGCCACTCTCTTGAGGTTCTTCTGTGTGCCCGATTACTGATGTGCGCCGGAGGCGTTACATTTAGTGAACAGGGTTCAGGGTCGCAGCTTCTCTTGACACTGTAGTTTCACACAACAAGATCCAAGCATGCATGAGTGTTCTGATAGAGGGACAATATGTGGCCAGAACCGAGCACTAGGGAGGGCGAAACAGAATAGCAGTGATATTCAATTTGCCGAAGATGTTTTACATGCGCCCAATCAAAACGGTACAACGAGGCCCGCCGCCGCAGGAAAATCCAGGCCGTTTGAGGTACTCTTCTTGCGCTGTGCTTACGGCGAAGCGAGGTGTCACCAACGTGAAGATTGTCGTGCTGGACGCTGTGGACGACGACGAACGCCTTACGTTTGATTGTTTTGGCCAAACACCGCACGCTGGGAAATGATGCAAACGGACGCGGGGCAGTCGCGACAGAAACCTGGTTCCTCCCTCTTCCTCTCTCAGCACCAACAACAGATCCAGCTTCCCATGTTGGGCCCAAACCTTCAGGTCCAGCAGAACAAGCTGCAGCAGGGCCAGCAGCCTGGACCTCAGCAGCAACAGGGCCCTCAACCCTCCGAAATCCCGCTGCCACCGCAGAGCGGCCAAGACTTCACTCTTTCCAACGTTCTGCACTTTCTCCAGACCGAATGGAGGCGATATGAACGAGACCGAAACGAGTGGGAGATCGAGCGGGCGGAAATGCGGGTGCGTACTCCACCTCTGCGTGTTCAAGTCGCGTCTGACTCTGGGGACACGCTGCAGGCTCGCATCGCTCTGCTCGAGGGCGAGCGACGCTCCTTTGACAATGTTAAGCTCGACCTCATGCGACGTATCAAGATGCTTGAGTATGCCTTGCGAGTAGAGCGGTATGTAGGCTGTTTGCTGCTTGATGTTTAACCTGACGTGTCGGGCTTGCAGGACGAAACAGCTGAACCAACCGTCATCACAGGCCGTCCCGCCAACCAAGCTCGCAGCGATACAGTCACAAATGGGTGGCTCCTCGCATAAAGAGGAGGGAAGCAGCGGTAGCTCTCCCAGGAGCGAAGGTACGCCCTGCCTTTGGCATCACACGAGGAACATGTGCTCATGCGTCAAAGACTCCCCACTGCCCCCAGAGGGCCAGGGCCCAATGCCAAATGGTGTCAATGCAGCCAAAAAGACGCAAACATGGTCAACTGGCTCGAATTGGCCGCCACAAAACGGCCCGCTTGCGGGTACGATTGGTACTATGAGCAAGCCGCCCCCAGGTCGTGACCCAAAAAGCAGAGCTCGGAGTCGAGACTATCTGAAGCAGTACGTCCTCTCGAATTCTGAACAGCGTGGCGATCGCGAATAACTCGTATTGCAGATGCTTGCAAGAAGTGTCCTATCTGACCTCGCCGCAGGCGATGAACCCGCTACCTAACCGCCCTCTACTGAACAACACAAACGTTCCTCTTTCACTGCCTAACGTCCCTACATTTGACATGGCGTTTAACGGCCGGCCACGCAAAGTAATGCCAGAAGTCGGCAAGGAATTCCCTGTCCTAAATGGTATGGGCGGACTGATGTCGGGACCACCGTCTGCGCCGGCATCAACTGCTAGTCAAGGCAACCCTATGGATCGTGCTGGCATCCTCAACTCATCTTTGTTGCAGCAACAGCAGCAGCAACAGCCACAGCCGCAGCAACCGCCGTCAGGATTACAGCCCCCGCCTCCGGAATTATCACAGCAACAACAGCCTTCTCAACAGCAGCAGCAGCAGCCCGAAACTAAGGAGAGTGACGCCACGGGACAGCAATCTCTGACGGCAATATTTAGGCCCGACGAAGATGGCGAGTGGAAGGAAAAGCTAAGGTTGGCACATGAGGCTTCTGAACAGGCTCGCGCGGGACAGGTCTCCGCTATTAGCGGGGCTACATCGTGGGAGCAGCGATCGAGGGATGAAGAGGATGAAGGGAAGAACGACGATGAACCGGAAGTGGAGGAAGAAGAAGGCACAGAGATAGGCGAGGGAGAGGGCGGCAAGGTCTGGAAGGCGAAGCGAACGCTACGCAAGTCAGTCACTAACGATCGCTGGGCCTGAGCTCCTTACGAATTCTACAACTTTACTGACCCACTGTCGCTAGTCACCTCGATGCCGTGCGGGCAATTGCTTTCCACCCGAGCGAGTTGTGTCTTGCTAGCGGAGGTGACGACAACACTGTAAAGATCTGGCGAGTTGATGTCGCCAGCCTTGCCTCTTCCGCGTGAGTAATTCACATGCGATTACCCCTCTGTTAGAGTCGCTCAATTTACTTATTACAGTGCACGCCCAACAACCGAGGTCGAACCCCAACTCACGCTTCGCGGACACTCGGCTGCCATCACGCGGCTGGCTCATGCGCCATCGAAGCATCTCCTGTATTCTGCGTCACTCGACTCATCTATCCGCGTATGGGCTCTTCCGTCAACAACACACACCACGTATGCACCATACGATGCCACCCGCGCTCGTGGCGAGCTCATCGGGCACACCGATGCCGTTTGGGACCTTGCGCTAGTTCGTGATGAGAACACACTTGTTAGCTGCGGCGCTGAAGGCTCCGTCAGAGTGTGGGACGTCAGCGGACCCTCTGGTGGTGGCTCTCTTAAGCTTTCGTGGTCCTATGACGGCCTTGACTCCACTGCTGAGGGGGAACTGGATCCAGAAACTAGCGACAGGCCGGGTGCGAGTGCTGTGGAAGCCATCAAAACGGACTTAAAGAAGGTTGCGGTGGCATTCGCCAATGCGGTGATTAAAGTCTTCGATATTGAGACTGGCAAGGAGGTCATGAAACTACGGGCAGAAGCTACTGAAGGTTCGTGTACATGTCTATCCCATATGAACAATCATTTGACGCTTCGCAGACGGCATCCCAGCTGGTCAAGCGAACTGTATCGTGTCGCATCCAACGATGCCGCTGCTCGTTACAGGACACGAAGACAAGTACATCCGGATCTGGGATCTTGTCACAGGCCAATGCACGCACTCGATCCTCGCACACCTCGATGCTGTGGCGTCTGTCTCGCTCGATGCCGCAGGTTTCTCGCTGGTGTCGGGCAGCCACGATTGCTCGATTCGCTTCTGGGACATTCTAGGCACCCGTGCATGCGTTCAGGAGATCACAAACCACAGAGAAAAGGCGCGTGAAGGCGTGCTTGCTGTCGAGTTTCACCCGACATTACCAGTCATGGCAAGCACAGGAGCAGACGGGTCCGTCAAGCTCTACGCCTCCTCATGATCTACACCGTGATTTCCGATGCTGTCGTTATTCTCGCTCTTGGACGCCTTGTTTTGTTGCATCTCTCCGACTTCGCTTACCCCTCACGATAGACTTGCATACTAGGACGTATAGCTCCAATGATGTGCAATGTCCACGCCTCTATATACCTCCCTATGTTTCTGTATGTCTCAGGAAAAATAATGGGTTTGGAGCTGATGTACAATGCGAAGAAACGGCGACCTATGCTACAGTGGTCCGGGAATAATGAAGTAAGGTATGAGTGCGAAGATGATACACTGGCGGTCCCCCTCAGATCGCTAGGGCGAATTCTATCAGCTAAGAGCGAAGGGGGGGGGGGGGGGGGGGGAACGAGCATCTGACGGTGACTTACTTATCTGCATCCCTTGCTCTGCCGCAATGATTTGGGCCCCCAGATTCTGGTGGTTTACCAGACTCCGCACCTGAGCTGCGATCACAAGATTGATGGGCTCGTGATACTGTCCGGTGAGGTCGTCCTTGCAATGCGTGATGAAAACTCGGATATCCCTGAGAGCTTGTGCTATCTCGCTATTCCGCACCGTCGCTACCTCCTGTGCGAGGACGGCGAGTTCAGCTGCGAGGTGCTCGGGGCTCAGATGCCCATATAGGTGTTCGTTCTGCCGCCCTGCTGGATAGGAACACTCGATGAAGATCGTGTCGAGAGCAAGGGGGATCATCGGCGCCGCGGCGCGCCATACGTTAATATTTCGGGGCTTAGCGGACACAGTGTCGGGCTCAACATCTCCAAAGAAGAGGAACTGTCTGTTTGAGAGATCATGCCTCACGAAGAATGCCGTGCTGTCGTAGGTCTGCTGTGTCGAGGTCTGACCATGGCTGATGGGCATCACCCGGACAGAGACGTCAGGTGCAATGGAGATATAACGATCGCAGACGGTAAGTCTGTGTATAATGAGTTTATGGCTTGACTGGGAATAAATTCTCACTGCTTACTGGCTATAGAGTAGTATTGCTGAGGTATTTCGTGGATTCCATGTGGCTAGGTTTGGCCAGAGGCGATCTGAGAATATCATCTGCATATCTTTCAGGACGCCCTGCGTGGCAAATATGCGGCGAGTCGGACCACCGAGGGATCCTGCGGCAAGTACAAGACCACTGACATGATCTAGATGCGCATGTGTAATGAGGTAGGATCTAAGAACACCGGAATGAGCTCAGACCGTTGTGTCGTAACAGACGTGCATACCTAACCCACGAAAGAATTTGGGATGCAGAACAAGAGGTTCCGAAGAGCGTGGGATTACTTTGCAGGAGATGTTCCAGTACACCTAATCCAGATCCTGTGCGGTCTGAGTCAAATCAAATCTGCGAAGCGGGATGATGTGGAGCGCTTCACCAGCTTCGATGGAAAGTAAACCATCACTCCAGGACGCATCATGAGTCTTGAAGAGATAACTATGGATGTCTTATATAAGGAACCGTTTCTAGTACTTTATCAATGACCGAGGTTACCTTGACAGATTTGTTTCATTCGGTCCGCCACCTTGATTGCAAGGTTTAGAGTGCCGTAGTTAGCGCCCATATAGAGTGAGTGGGTGACGGCTCGCAAGACTCACCGCAGCCGATGACAACCAGATCGAAGACAGACATACAAAGGTAAGGGAGTATGGGTAGACGTTCACTGTTCACCGCCACCAGTGGTACGGAAACGAGGAGACGAGTGGATCAGGCTTGAGTTATCTGAGTAAGAAACGAGCGGAGGGCACCTAGCGCACTCTTATACTTCCGCCAACATCAGATATTGTGTACCGCCGTCCGCTCGGCGTTTGCTGCGGTTCGGAACAATGCTCTACGCCCACGAGATCGCAGGCTTGCCCGCACATGCTGTGTATCATGAAAGACACAGCGGCGCGCAGAATCAGGCGTGCACAGTGCTTAATGGACAAGGCGGTTCCCCACTCAGGTCACGTCAGTATTCTAACAACACCGACTCGGCTTCCCCACGCAGGACTCAATGCAGCGCCGCGCGGGTTCAATGCTAGGTGTAGTGCGCCTTTTCCGTACATGGCTGACGGCTTGACATTGTCCATTTGTGGCATTAAGCCGGAACAAAGCAGAGAGATAAGGAACGATAATAACGATATCCAAAACGAGGGTAATCCAGGTGAGCTCACCATGGTAGAAAACAGGCTAGAGGGAAACATAATGTAAAGAAAGCGCGAGAAAGTTGTATGATAGGGAACAAGAGAATACTAGGGTTATAGAATTATCGTGTGCCTATACGCAGGGTCAGTACAAGGTTGTGCCCCCAACAAGTGCGAAGCTCACCGAGTAAACTATTCAGTGCTCGTTGGACATCATAGTCGTGTTGTTCCAAAGCAGTCACTGCCTGTGTGCGGCTAAAGCCCATGCCACACATCGTCTTAACTGCATCAATGTCATCTTCAGCGGCCGGCGTCGCGTCACCCTCAGGAGGCTCCTCCACCAGAAGTGACTGAGAGAGGTGCGAAGGCATGGGATCATGCTTGTTCTTCTTCCGTCCGAAAGGCAAGCGGATCTAAAACGAGGATTAGTGGTGTTACATAAACTGCGGAGTCGACGTACGCTAAGCTTGGAGGTTCTTGTCGACTTCTCCTTCTCCGTCGAGCCAGCAGTCGAAGGGCGAGATTTCGCCGATTGACGGGGAGGCGGTGAGAGTTCCCGCGGCGGTGGCGACATTGACCGCCTCGAGCCGACTGATCCCGAGACGGGTCGAGAAGCTTCGCGTGCTGGGGAAGAAGGCATTGAAGAGGGGAAAGGAGTGGACGTTTGAGACGGAGGTTGAGATACATCAGACGAGGGCTGAGATTGGTGCTGAGCAGATCCAGGAGAACCGAAGGCAGAGAAGGGGCTGTGAGCTGTGGCTGTGGACGTGCGTTCATCAAAGGCATCGTCGAACGAGAGGCCCTGAGGACTGCCACTAGGAACCTGCTGAATGGTAGGGGCGACCGTGTTGTTGGCGGGAGCACCCGAGATCGTACCGAAGACATCATCGAATGAGAACGGTCTCGAAGACTCCGCTTGAGCTGGACCGGGTGCTGGAGCAGGCTGCGTTCCAGCGCTCCCTTGAGGGAGGAAGATGGCATCAAACCCCTCAGACTTGGGTGCTTGAGCAGGCGCAGGTGGGAAGGCTGACGAAGAAACGGGAGCGGTTGGGAAAGCGGAAGGAGCGGAAACAGGCGGGAAGGCGGAAGAAGGTGTAGGTACAGGTGGGAAGGCGGAAGAGGTAGCAGGAGCAGGAGCGGCAGGTGAGCGGGGTGCGGGTTCCGAGCCACTTGCTGCTTTCGCGGCAGCGAAGTCGAAATCATCTTCAAAGGCGGATTCGAAGGTAAATTGTGAGACATGAGAGAATTGAGAAGCTCCAGATCCTCCAGATCCAGGAAGCTTGCCTAGGGCTTCATCAAAGTCGCTCGCCCCGGCGGCAGATGATTCAGAATTGGTAGACGTAGCGTTCTCAATTGGTGAGGCTGGCGCCGGGAAAGGAGACGTAATAGTGGCCTTTGGAGTATCCTGAGAGCCTGGAGACGGGAAGGAAGAAGACGCAGAGGAAGCAGACGTATTCGTAGTGGGCTGAGGGCTTGAGATGCCAAAAGAATCATCAAACGCGGCTGTTGAAGGTCCGGCAGCCGCTTGGGAGGCACTGGGAGAAAAAGACTGATTCTCTAGCTTGGCCTTGACGTTGGCCAAAGGTTCATCGTCATACTCGCTATCCGAGTCTGATTCGCTGACCTCGAGGTCTTTCAATTGGGGGCCGAGATCCGTCTCTTCGCGCTTCTCTTGCTGGCCGTCGATCGACGGGAAATGCCCGGGAATCGATTGCTCAATTGCTGGTGAGGTCGCACTAGCAGGCGGAGGAGACGCCGCACGAACTCCTTCGGAATCGCTCGTTGCTGCTTGCAGCGTCGCCGTACTTTGGGGAGTGACGAAGTCTTCCGTTTCTGTCGGCGACCAAGTGTCGGCTCCTTCGCCCGATGTTTGCGCGGCCCCGAAAGGCGATCCGTTCTGCAAAGTCAACGGGGTGGTCGTATCAGAGGGCTGCTCTTCGGACGGTCCTGCGTCGTTACCGAATGCGTCGTCAAAACCGAAGGGGTCTGCAGCGGACTGCTCAGGGACCGACGTGCCGGTAGGCGGTGTAGGCAACACGGCGCTACCGGCGAACGGCAAGAAAGGCGACTGTGAGCGAGGAGAGCCAGCACCGCCCATGGTCAATCTTTCAAAGGGATTATTGCTCTTGCCACTGGTGGCACTAGTTGGACTTGCCAAGGAAGGCTCGGGGCTGGCGGGAAGCGGGTGCGCAGCAGCAAAAGTAGTGATCGAGTCTCCAGAGGGAGATGCGGTGCGCTCTGGGATTGAGAAGGGCTGCGGTTGAGGGCTCTTAGCGAGTTCGTCTTCTGTCTCCTGAAGCTCCTTGTTGGTAGCGTCTATGTCGGCCTGAACGCCTTCGAGCTCTGTTGCAACTTTGGCCCGTTCAGCCTCGCGGGAGGCCAGCTGCTTCTTCGCGATCGCAAGAAGACCTTTCTGTTGCTTAGCTTCCTTCTTGATCTTCTCCACCTGTGCCTTAAGAGACTCGACCTCGCTGCCTACCTCAGCCATCTTGCGCTGTAATTCCCGGACCTCCTCCTTGTCACGTAACAGTGAGCCCTCTACTTCGGCTTTCTCGACGCGCACAGCACTGAGGTCACTTTCGGCACGGATAAGCTCTTGCCTCGATGTCTGAATATCGGTATTCTGAGACGAGAAGCGCTCACGCAGAGTGGCCAGAAGCCGAATCTCTGTCTCATACGAGGCCTTGGCGGAGGAAAGCTGGGTCTGTAGCGCAGACAGCTGAGTAGCCTGCTCTGCAACCTTCTTCTCTAAATCCTCGCGTTCACGTTTGGAGGTTTCGAGAGCGCGATTAGTAGAGTGCAGCTGGTTCTGAATATTGCCGATCTCAGCGGACTTGTCCTGAAGCGGAGGTGAAGTTGACACGGGCTCTTCATCATCCCCCAACAAGTCTTTGTGTTGTACTTGGGTGGGAGCAGGAGCTGAAGCTTGGCCCGTACCTATGTGATTAGGGGGATTTTAAATACTGCAGCGAGCAGTGATGAAAACTTGAACTCACCGTGTGAAATGACGAACGGGGAACCAGAAGTCGAAAATGGATCACTTGCATCAAAGATGCTCGAAGCAAGGGGTTGTGTAGGCTTAGGAGATGTCGTGCCAGTCCTTGGCGGGAGGGAAGCCGATACGGTAGGATATTGAGATGTAGCGCTCGATGGTGTGTCGTCCCATAGAAGATCTCTGATAGCCTCGGGCACGGCAGGCTGGGCAGGCTGGGAGGGTGTAGAGGTAGTACTTATCTGACCGCGGACGGAAGGGGGGATCAAAGTTGGTGGAAGAGTGCTTGGAACTTCCTTGCCAGCCAGCTTGCCGTGGATGAGATGCATCGCTACTGCAAAGCCATCTCTGGTAAGTCGACCATCGTGGCTGTAGTCTGCAAGATCCCTACGCACGGTCAGCTACACCTTGCAATATCATATGAGAGTCTAGCCTTACCATATCTGCGCTAGAATGTCATCGGGCAGCTTGGACTGAAGCATGAACGGCACAGCAACATCTCCCTCAATGTATCCCCTCCTCTGGGTATCCAAGGTATCATAAAACTGGTCAAAGGTCGCTTTTTCCTGTGGCGTGACGTCCCATGAAACATGCTGACCAGTGGCTTGAGTCGGAAGCGGAAATTGTGGTACTGTCGGCGTCCGAGCGGGAAGTGGTGGCGCAGGTCTCTGACCGGTGATTTGAGGCTGCAGGATAGCTGTACCGGTGTGCTGAGGCTGAACGGCGCTCCCGGGCCGTGCAGGAAAACCGCTGGATGTTGGGCTGAAGGAGACGCTGCCTCCAGTAGCATGAGTAGCGACTCCACCAGTGCTGGGCCTAGCCTGCTCGTAGACATGCGGGGGAAGAGCAGGAGGGACGCTAGGCAATGCACCAGACATGCTGGCTTGGATGAGGTACATTGCGATCGTGAAATCCGTCAAGTCAAGGGCACCACGTTTCTTCGTATCGGCAAGTGTCCTGGAAGAGGGGATTAATTACGCGCAAACACGACATGAACTGTGACACACCATATTTGACCGAGTTTCTCTACTGGTAACTTCGACTTCACGAACACTTCACGCGCTTTATCACCTGTAGAAAGGTCATGACTCACGTTCACCTAGAAGTAAGATGTAATAGACCAACCTGTAAGGAGACCATTTGCGGGGCCGCAGCCGAGAAAAAGCTTCTGGAACTTGGCTTTATCTTGCGGAGTAAGGGGGGGCAGGCCTGCAGCGGGACCTGGCGGAGGTGACTTCGGTGAGCCCGTCCATTGCTGGCTAATGGGAGCAATTAGACCCTCAATGGACGGCGGGGATCCCGCTTCATCACGGCGGCCGTGAGCTCGTCAATCTTCGGAATGCGAGCGCCTGAAACTCACGCTTGTGGACGAGGGCTTCCGTAATACGCTCTCCCCTCTGAGCGTGTCCAAGGAGGCGCACGGCGACCGCAACGTCTTTGCGCGTCAGAACACCCTTACCATCTTCATCAGCCAGGTTCCAAATTTCCGCGAGAGTAGTAGCAGGTAGCTTGCTGCCGCTGAATATCTTAACAGCAACTTCGCCCGTGACGACACCTATCTTCTGAGCATCCGCCTGGGCAAATATCTGGTTCACGAGAGCCACCTCCTGCGGCGAGGGAGTAAATTTGGACATGGTGGGCTGGGACGAGCCAGGGTTGGTGGAGGTGGAAAGGAAAGTGGGGATGCTCGCGGTGACAGAGCTCGCCCGCACCCGCAGCGCGTCACCTCGACCCCGGCCTTCGGCAACCACCGGCGTTTCGGACCGCTCTAGGCAATTTACTCCCACGCTCTCACGTGCCCCGCGTCTAGACAAAATCAAGTCCAACCGAGCGCGGACTCTTCTGCACCAACCACCTTCGCCTGCTCAACTCCCCCACCTGTCTCAGCGCACACTCCCAGATCTAAATGGAACAAATCTCGCCAACAGCTACCGCGCGTGGATCCTCCAAGTCTACTGCTACAGGCTCCTCGTTGGAGGCCGCAGGCAGCGTGACAAAACGGTAGGCAGTGCCCAGCCGTCTCGCGTTCCGCTGTTAACCGCGTCCATTCTTAGACTGAGCCAAGAGTTGATGAACCTTATGGTGCGTTATTTACCTCTCTCCGTGTACTTGCCAACTTAATATGTTGCACTACGTTAGTTGACCTCACCGCCGGGCATTGTGAGTACAGCTCCGGATTGCTATGTCATCCCTCTCTAATTGCGGTGGTCTCTAGTCCGCGTTTCCGAAGTCCGAAGCGAACCTTTTTGAGTGGGCAGGCACTATTGAGGGTGCAACGGGAACAGTACGCGCGTATAACATACCGTGTGGAAACCGACTGACGCGTGTTACGTCCCTCAGATCTATTCTGGACTGACGTTCAAAATCTCCATTACGTTCCCACCCAATTATCCCTACGTTGCACCAACGATCAAGTTTGACACACCCTGCTACCACCCTAACGTCGACATTGTCGGAGGCGCAATTTGTTTGGACATTCTTCAGGTTGGTTTTGATTGTCACGCGCGTATATCTGATTCTGATTTCGTTCCAGGACAAGTGGTCCGCAGTTTACAGTGTCCAGACTATCTTGCTGTCTCTGCAGTCTCTTCTCGGTGGTACGTATCCTCGCCTGCCTTTGTATCGTGTACGACTCAATTCCCGTACTCAGAACCGAACAACGCGTCTCCCCTGAATCCTGACGCTGCGAACCTCTGGGACAAGCCAGATGGTAACCCTTGTATCATTTTCCATATCTGAGCGCGACTCACTGTTCATACAGAGTACAAGACTCAACTTATGAAGCACTACCGCCCTATCAGCGACGACGCATGACACGCTTCTCACGTAGACATCCCACACCTTGCATTCCCATCCATATTGCTCCTGGACTGTCGTCATACTCATAAGGATTCTATAGCCATTGTTCACATCGTCTTTGTATCATCATCTGTAGCGCGTGTATCCCGCAATCCCAGGTTCCTTCCTGACCAGCGCGGAGCTACTTTCTCGCGTACCCTCGGCTAAACTGGAGAGCGACCCCACTGTCCAACGCCTTCCGTAACATGTTCATTTACACATTATCATTCTGTCGCAGTCTTTGAAGGCGGGGAAACATTGCAGCCTATTACTGGTGCCACGCATCACAGACATGATTACATCAGCGTCCTAACAACACTTTGACGCGCCTGGCTTCTACCTCTTCACTTGCCCGCTGGCTCGAGCGAGTCGCTATCGTCTTCAACCCTTCGTTCGTTCATTCGACTGTGCATTTCGGTTGACCCGAAAGCACATTATCTTTGTCTCCACTGCCCATCTCGATCTTTGTCCGCAGGTCGTTCAAAGGAGACGAACACGTGAGTGATGGTCTTTCGCGGAACAAGCACGTACATATACGCGTGGTTCTTACACTAGCACTCCACATTATAGACGTCGCTTAGCACGCGCACCCAATTCCTGTCCAAGCATACCCTTTCAGCATGCCTCGTCGCTCTCCTCCGACCCCTCTGCGTCTCCATCAAGGCCCGCTGCCACTGCGTGGAAAGCCAAAGCACACGATGCCTTCGCTCCCTCGTCCAGCATTCCACCGGCCCATCCCCATCGCGCAGGGGCCTGCGTCGCGCCCCCGTGCTCGCTCAATCGCAGAGCAAGACGAGCCGACGCTGAACCTGCAGGTCATGGCGCCCGCCCAAATGCCCAGCCTCGCCGCCCCGGGCAGGCCGTCCTTCGGCAGCATTCGCACATCCACCGACAGCGAATCGAGCTCGCCCGTGTCCGTGAGCTCGAGGGGGACAGAGTCGAGCCCGTCGAGCCCTGCCAGCGAGCACTTCGTCAGAGGGCCCTGGGATCACTCAGCCAGCATCAAAGTATCGATTGACATCAGCGCCGTACTGCCACCTCCGAAACAGGCGGCAGTTTTCACGTAGGAAGTTAGATGTTGCTCTGGAGAGGATGTTGCTATGGAGAGTCTTGTGGCATGAAAGATGTTCGCGAGTGTGGAGTTTAGATAGGTAATGACACGGTAGCCCAAAGCAAACCTTGCGTGACACTAGTCAAGGCCTTTCTACTGCCTCATTCGCAAGTGTTTCTGGCTGTGATGCCTCCAGGTTTAAAATGATACATTTGAGAGCGAACATAAGGGTGTGATAGCCAGCCGAAGAAGCGGGTTGGTATAGCACTTGATGGAAGATCCACGAGATGGTGCTGCATGGGAAACGTGGATGTCCCTACTTCTTGCCAGACCTGGTATGTGTACGGTCAGAAAGGTTCCTGATTGTCATGATGAGAATACGCGCTTCTTGATCCCGCCTCCAGGCGGTCCTCCTGCATTAACCCGGTCATCGATAACTGCCCGGCCGTCGTGAATCATCATGACTTACCTTTCAGAGCTGCGGTATGCAATCTTATTGAGTGGCATGCTATGGCAACGTTCAAGGCGCGCACCTTTCTCGCGAGCAGCCTTTAGAGAAGCCGCCTCCTCCTGTTGTTTCTTCTTCAAGGCAAGGTCATCCTCGTCTTCACCCTTCTTTTCCTTCTTCGGGGCCTTTAAAAAGACCTTGTCAGTGGTAGCACGCACAAAAGGACGTACGGATGCACCTTCAGAGGTTTGAGCTTTCCACCTTGCCTGCCGGACATGTTGGATCGAAGCGACGAAGGAAGTGCGCTCGAAATCGGACGTAAATACGCCCACCGCGCGTGATCAGTAAACCCTAACCTGAGTTTGCGGAACACCACAAGGTCCGTTTCGAACGAATACGGCAACTCAGGTGTTCACTAGTTTGACGGTTTCTCCCGCGGCCAGACTAGCCTTTCCCCAGGTAAGCGAGAGAAGCTCAGAACAGCATCATGTGGTGTGCACTCACGTTGCCGGTTGAATAGTCGAAGCTAACTAACGGAAGAGAAGTACAACAGACTATCGCCGCAGCTCGCGCACACATTTCCTCTGGCCCCGCCTACACCGTTGCAGAGGACGAGGGCGAGGAGGACTAACCCCAATACATGTGGCGCACGAAATCGAGGGTCGATCGCGAGAGCTGTAGGCAGACAGGCAGAAGACGACAAGCCTTGGCGGAAGCGTCGAGCAAGACGTGAGGACAAGACGCCCAAATGCCAAGCCTCCACGGACTTCGGAGCACTGATCTGATCCGGATGGACTTGGCCACATAGAAATGCGTCGATTTTGGCCAGGTAGACCGTGTGCAGCGTGTACAACGCAAAGTTGGTTGCCAACCACCAGCTCACCTCGTCAGGTTGTCTCTTTCGTCCCCTCCTCTCTGGGCACTACGCTAATTTTTGTCATTCTCTCACTTGCAGGTCTCTGTGGTTCTGTACTGGCTTCGTTGAGCTCCATCTCCAGCGAGAGCTGAGATCTCCACCTTCCTTTTCCCTCACATTCGTTCTGTGGACCGTCACACACCCGTATCTTTATTTTTTATACCCACCGTCTACTTATTTGCGCCCAAGCACAGCACCATGCTACCTCTCGCGCACCTTTGCCTATACCTTTCCGCTTTAGAAACCGTGTTTGCTGCGATAGCGGAGCAATGGAAAAGCCGTTCCATCTACCAGTGAGTATTCCGCGTGTGCCCGACATCCACATCGCTCACCGACCGGTTTCAGAATTATTGTGGACCGTTACGCGTTACCACAGGGTGCGGATCTAACAAAGTGTAATCCCGCAGACCAGACGTGGTGTGGTGGCACCTGGAACACCGTTCGTGAGAACCTGGACTACATTCAGGACGCTGGGTTCACAGCTAGTACGTTCACAACGCCGCTGTCCGTTCATTACTCGGTCTGAGCGAGTGTCTTGTGCAGTCTGGATCAGTCCCGTGTCGCAGAACTACGAAGGCCCGCGCACTGCCTACGGCGATGCCTACCATGGTTACTGGATTGCGGACGCGTCAAAGCTCAACGCCCGCTTCGGGACGGCCGATGATCTCATGGCTCTTTCTAATGAAGTGCACCGTCGCGGCATGTGAGTACGCGTTGATGAAATATGTTCCTGCCCCGTTAATGTCGGTTGAAAGGTACCTGATGGTGGACGTCGTCGTAAACGATGTTATGTCCACGTCTCTCACCCCGGACTTATCCAAGTACATGTTCAAGGAGCCGGTGAGAGATACTCCGCCACGCATGACGTGCAGAAAACTCTGACCGGAGTGGTTTATGAAGTCGCAATACCATCCGTACTGCGTCGTTGATTGGAACAACATCACTAGCGAGCAAAATTGCTGGCTTGGTGACACTAAGGTTCCCCTTCCGGATCTGAACACCCAGGACCCCACCGTCGTCTCTGGGTTCAGCACGTGGATTAAGTCGCTTGTTGAGACCTACAAGATTGACGGCCTTCGCATTGACGCCGCCAAGTGGGTGTCACCTGTTTGTCTAATTTGACGATAGCTGATTTTATGCGCAGGCATGTCGACGCCGAGTTCTGGCCGCAGTTTTGTGGCGCCGCTGGCGTATACTGCATCGGTGAAGTCTTTGGGGACGACATCGAGTGCGTCAGCTACTGGCTCCCGACATGAGTTTGCCCTAATCTTCTCGTCTAGCTTCGCTTCTACTTGGCAGGGCCCTCTCGACGCCATTTTGCAGTACCCTATGTACAACGCTCTTGTTGAGGCCTTTGCTATCCCTGGCCCGCAGAACATGTCTGCTATGACCGATATGATCGCCCAGTCGAAGCAGAAGTTCAAAGTATGTAGATTGCATGCGCTATCCTGTCCTATGGCATTAACCATTTGGGCTTGTAGGATACCAGCGTTCTCGGTAATTTCCTCGAAAACCAGGACTTGCCCCGCTGGCGCAACTTGTCGGTTGATCCCCAGAGTCTCTGGAACGCCATGGTCTTCAACTGGATGTCTGACGGCATCCCCATCATGTACTATGGTCAAGAACAAGACTTTTCCGGTAATGCCGACCCGTACAATCGTGAGCCACTCTGGACTTCAAATTACACCAATTCGTCTACGTACCAGTTCGTCACGAAATTGAACACGGTCGGTCTCGGCCAGCATGTGCTTGGAAGTGGGATTGATCATCGTTCATAGCTCCGCAACTTCCTTGTCAACTCCACGGACAACTGGCTTAATTCCACGACTGAGGTTCTGGCGAGCACGAATACTGGACTGGCCATTATGAAGGGCCCTGTTATTTCCATTATGACCAACATTGGTTCTCCGGTAGGTGTATTCGAAACTTGTTCGAGTACTACAGCTAACCTGCTTTGTGCCCGCAGCCCCAAAGCGTTTCTTTCCCTGTGTATACCCCTTACGCGGGAAATCTCGCCACCACTGAGTAAGATGCTGTTCTCCGTCCTGGAGTCATTTCTAACTGCCGTCCGTAGGATTTTTACTTGCTCGCAGTTCGTTGTTGGTAGCAACGGTACTGTCGAGGTACAGTACTCGAAGGGCGGCGTCCCTACGATTCTGGTCCCGACCAGTGTTCTGCAGAACTCAGGCATCTGCGGACACAATGACGTCGCTTTCCAAGTAACGAAGAGTCAGATTACCTCGTCAGCTCTCTCCAGCCTGGTGGCACGGCCTATGTCTAGTGTTATTCTTTTCGCTCTTTTCATTTTAGGATTGTTCAACAGCGGAGTCGGCCTGTGACAGTAGTGTGGTTCATTTGTGCGGATCATTCTTTTCACTCACTCACTTTGTTGCATTCTTGGGAGTAGCATAGGCATGTAAAATGATTGATTGTGTTGTCAGGGAGCGGCGGTTGCAATAGCAGCTGGTTTTCTTCGCTCAGCTGCTCCAGCAGCCCTGGGTGAGCTTGGAGTCCAGAGCGTTCGATGACTGAACATTCGTGTGAAAATGTCGACTTGGAGCGGAGATCGAAACGGGCGTAGCGTCCGCGTTTGGTAGCTGTCGGGGAGCTTGCGCTCGCCGTTGAGGGCGGTCTACGTGTTCCCCACGCCTGGATTGTCTCTTTGTCTCTCGCTCACTCTCTCAAAAACGGCTTTCGGAGGCAACGGTCCAGGTCGTCGCACAGCAGAGGCTTCGACCCGGTCCAGAACTCCTGCCATGGATAACCCCGCTAACCCGAACATACATACCATCGTCAAAGCTCAAATCGTCTTCCTCTTGTCGACCTTAACGGAGGACAACTTCGAGCGGAACCAAGTCGAAATCAGATCCGTGAGCAACCTTCTGACTACGCCTGAGGACTGAGTGTATGCTGAGCGACGCTGTGTGGGGTGTACGCGTAGCTCTCTGAACAACATGGCCTTGAAACCTACCTGCACTTCATCCGACGTCTGATCGTTCACTCTTCCTCCCGAATATCCGCCTCCTCTTCCCCCGCGTCGTTGGACCCCTCTTCCGCCCTCACCTTTCGCCTGCTAATGGAAGAAGTGCAACGTCTGGCACGCGACCCTTTTCTCGCAGACCGCTTCAGAGATGGTGTCGATAAAGGCGAGGGGGAGGCATTCCGCAACTTCGACCTGTTGCGTTTTATGGACAGAGTGGGTTTACGGCCGCTCGAGCGACTCGTTCTGGCATCTTCCATCGCAGCCGCTCCTACGCGACGAGAGTTGTCCGGGATGTCGGTCAATATCATTCGCATGGAGTTCGAGAACGCCGTCCTCTCGTTGTGCCAGCACCCATCCTTCGACCAAGCGGACTTGTCCCCAAACCAGGTCGCGAAGCTGATGTCCAATCTCCTCAGCGAGGCTCCAACCGACGGCCCCATCCTCGACGCGACCCAGCGACAAGCGCTCATAATGGCGGCTCAGACGAAGTATGGCCCGGAGATCATCATGCCTATCCTGCAGCGCATATTGCCCACCATCCAGTTCGTAATTACGCTTTGATACATGACGCTACCTGCTCATCGTTCTGCAGTCTTCAACAGAACACGACCTTGGTGCAACTGATGATTCAGCTTGGACCGGAAATGACCTGCGATCCTGATATCGCGTTAGCGGTGTTGGCTCGCTTTGGAATGACTGAGAACAGTCCGCCGCAGGACGAGCAGGTGGTGGAAATTATTTCTCAGTTGGCGCGCTTGGCTGCAGAGGGGCCTATCTCGGTCGACGTGGGCGCGCTAGTGCATGTCTTGGCTCGTTTAGTGAGCATCATGTCGGTCTGGTATCAAGTGCCTGTTCTAACGCGCACATAGAACCAGAACTTAAACTGGGCGAACGCGATCCATGCATTCGACCGACCAGATCGTCATGGCGTGGAGACGTCGACCCTGAAGCTACTCATTGCCATTCTCCTTAGCTGTCCTCTTGAGTCAGAACATCACGCAGTTTCAGGTTTCTGGCAGATTTGGAACAATTCGCTTTACCAGCTGCGCCTCCTAGATGCTCTCCTCTCTCTGCCTAGCGACACTTTCAACTTCGTGACCTTGCCTGGTCGACGTATCGTCTCCACCGATGACATCCCCGCGACTAGTCCGAGCATCAAGGCGTTGGCTGCAAACGTGCAGGTGCACACTTGGAATTCGCTGGATCTATTCGAGGTTCTTGTTGGTTTAGCGGACTCCGAGTCCTTGGAAGTCCGCAACTTCGTCCGGGAAATGCTAGACAAGGCAGTCAAGATTAGCGCAGAGATTGTTCAAATGGGTCTCTTGCAGGTGGCAGTAAGTAGTCCACGCTGTCTCGGCCGTGCAGAATTCCAAACTTACACGCATTAGGGTTTGCCCTGGGGGGAGATCCGACTTGAGTACTCCCAGCGACTGCTCACGATGTTCTTGGCAGGGCATCCTAACCATCAGCTGGTGTTCATGAGGATCTGGCAGATTGAGCCGAAATATCTCCTAAACTCGTTGCGAGAGTTCTACGAGGAGAACCCCCTGAACATCACTCGCATCCTAGATGTGGCGCAGGATTTGAAGGTCAGCTTTTCTCAATCTTGCAACGGGGAGCTGAAATACAAATTGTGGGACAGATTTTGGATCATCTCCTCGATTGCAAGCCGTTTGCGTTTGCTTTGGATGTTGCTGCGCTCGCGTCTCGCCGCGAATACTTGAATCTCGACAAATGGCTTGCGGACAACGTGACCGCTCATGGTGCTGACTTCCTTCATGGCGTCATCGGCTTCCTCGACTCGAAAATGGAAAGCGAGAAGTCAACTCGAGTTTCCGACCCTGCTGTGGAATCTCGCACGATGCCGCTCAGCCCCCAGACTATAACAATCTTCCTCCGCGTCCTCCGCGCTAATTCCAATCTCATGCACGAGAGCGACGTCGACTATTGTCTCGAAGTCCGTAATGCCTGTCTTCAGATTCACCCACGCCTCATGAACCTGATGCCCGGCACGGACGTCGAACCCGGCTTCACCGTCGTCACCTACTCTCAGGAGGTCGAAGCGGAAGTCGATTCGATCTACAAGCAGATGTACGATGAGCACAACACAATTGACGAGGTTATCGCCTTGCTGCAACGCAACAAGAACTCCAATAACCCCCGTGACCACGAGATCTTCTCCTGCATGCTGCACTTCCTGTTCGACGAGTACAAGTTCTTCCAATCGTACTACCCTCCTCGCGAGTTGGCCATGACAGGCTATCTGTTCGGGTCGCTCATCCAATACCAACTGGTAGATTACATCCCCTTAGGTGTAGCTATCCGCTACGTCTTGGATGCCCTGAACTGCCCGCCAGAAACCAACCTCTTCAAATTTGGTCTGCAGGCTCTCGTCAGGTTCGAGTCTCGCCTGCCCGAGTGGCAACCCCTGTGCCAGGCGCTCCTCAAGATCCCGCATCTCCTAGATGCGCGCCCCGAGCTCGTCAATATTCTCGGACGGGCGATTGCCATGGGCGGTGAAGGCCAGAATAATACCGCTGACTTGCGCACGCTTCCTGGTGGCACCATTCCTGAAGCACCATCAGCTTTCACCGCCGTTCGCCTAGACTTAACTGACGGCAGCCCGGAGTCCCCTGCTGAAGAGGTATCCGACAAGATACTCTTCATTGTTAACAACCTTGCCCCTTCGAACTTCGACGCCAAGCTGACGGAGATGAAGGAGCAATTTCAAGAGCAGCACTCTCGGTGGTTCGCCAATTACCTTGTGGACCAACGTGTCAGTACCGAGCCGAACAACCACCAACTGTACCTTCGCTTCCTCGACGCTCTCAATATCAAGGCGCTATTCAACTTCGTCCTGCATGAGACTTTCGTGAAGTCCGCTCAACTTCTCAACTCCGAGAAAACTCTTCAGGTGGCTTCAGAAAGAACAGTCTTGAAAAACGTTGGAGCATGGCTCGGTAGCATTACCTTGGCGCGCGATCGTCCCATCAAGCACAAGAATCTATCCTTCAAAGACCTCTTGATTGAAGGTTTCGATAACGGACGCCTCATCGTAGCGATTCCGTTTGTCTGCAAAACTCTCGAGCCATGCGCTAGGTCTAAGGTTTTCGGGCCGCCGAACCCGTGGTTGATGGCGGTCATTTCACTCCTCGCAGAGTTATACCACTATGCTGAACTCAAGCTCAACCTCAAATTCGAGATCGAGGTGCTTTGTAAGAGTCTCGACATCGACCTCGAGGCAGTCCAGGCGACGACTATTCTTCGTAACCGTCCGCTTTCCGATTCTGGACCGCAGCTGCCTGAGTACCCTAGTAACATTGATTCGCTGCCCATGGGAGGGTACGATCCGGCCCGCATGCAGTCCGACGGTCAGGTCATCGCTCTTAGCGGCGCCCGTGCCTCTGATCAGCGTGCTCTGGATGCGCACATCGAGAACATCTTGGCGAGTGTGCTACCTATGGTGGTCATCAATCCCGCTTTGGCGCCTTTGAACACCAACCAATCTTTCAAGCGTGCGATCCAGGTGGCCGTTGAGCGTTCGATTCGCGAGGTAGGCCTTAACGTATTATGCGCTTACGAGCAGCATTGATGTCGTTTGCAGATCATCATGCCGGTTGTTGAGCGTTCTGTCACGATCGCGGGCATCTCTACTCGTGAACTTGTCCTCAAGGATTATGTGACTGAACAGAGCGAAGAAAAGCTGCGTCACGCTGGCCGGCTCATGAGCCAGAAGCTTGCAGGAAGCTTGGCCCAGGTCACCTGCAAGGAGCCTTTGAGGGGAAACCTTGCTAGCCATCTCCGCGTGGTTTTGACCGAATTCGGCTTCGCTGAGGTTCGTATTGCTGTCGCAGTCCACAGCTCCTTCTCCGTACTGACACTTTCGAGCAGATTGTCTCTGAGGAAATTATCACCCTCGTTGTCAACGACAACGTCGACATTGCATGCCAGGCCATCGAGAAAGCAGCAATGGATAGGGCCGCCCTCGAAGTTGATGAGGCATTCGCCTCGCACTTCGAAGCCAGGAGGCGGCACCGCGAGGTACGGGATTCACGTCATGATGCAAACAATTATGTATACATTGAGTTCTTTTCTAGCAACGCCCTGGACAGCCGTTTTGGGACCCTGCCATCCCTGCCTCGTCGCAGTTTTCCGCTATCTTGCCCGACCCCCTGCGTATCCGGCCAATGGGCGTACAGCCCATCCAGGCGGCCGTTTACGAGGACTTTGGTATGTTGCTTCGCGTTCAATATATACGGAGATACTTACTATTGCGCTAGCCACGGATGGGAAGCGGCGCACAGGCGTGATCAGTCGCCCTGGCTCCACAGTGTCTTACACTCACAACGACCCTCTCTCGTCCATCTATAACCCTTCTCCCGCGCCAGATGCGGTTCAGGGCAGGACGTTACTGTCACATGTTGACATCATGGATAGGTTCACTGTGAGTAGCAACAGAAACAGAAATGGCCAGCATATCTAACTGGGCCGTCTAGGCGCTGATTAAAGACCTTGAGAGCGTCCTTCCTCAGCTTCCGATTCAGTCGTTAACTGCTTTGCCACCTAACCACGAGATTCGCCAGCTCCTTCGCGAAATCCTTTTCCTGGCAGCCAGCTCAGCAGATCACCAACGCACCCCGCTGTTAATGTCGCAGAAGATTGTTCAGCTTCTGTACAAAAGCAGCATGCAGCTCGGGCGCGAGATTTATGTCGCTTTACTGGACAAGCTGTGCCACTCGTTCGAAGAGGTAGCAAAGGAGGCCATTAACTGGTTGATATACGCCGAGGACGAGGTGCAGCATTCCCCCCATCTCGAGTGTTCGTATCTAACTAGTTATCTGCAGCGCAAGTTCAATGTCCCTGCCACTGTCACCCTACTTCGCAGCGGTCTCGTCAATCTCGGCCAAGAGGATCAACAGCTCGCCAAGTTCCTATACACTGAGCCCAAGCCGTCGTTGCTCAATTTTGCTGCTGGTCTGATTCGCGAATGCTTGTCGAGTGACCCACCGGTCGCTTCGCAGGCTCAGTTCGCTTACACTTTGGAGATCCTGACACAACTCGCTCAGCAAGGAAAGGCTAATGACGAGTATGCTCATCGTCCTTGCAATTAGCGTTCAGTGTCTGACTGTTGTTCAGGGTGTTGAGACTTCTTGAAGACCTGCGTGGCGTGCGCCGTCCTTCCACCACGGCACCTGACGCAGGAATCGCGCGGCAGCCCTCAGTGAAGCCTGAGAACGACTCGCTCAGGGAAAAGCTGTTTATCTGGTTCCAACAATGGGTCCACATCTACCAGCGCTCCCCGTTACCTGAAAAATCTTTCGTACCTTTCATCAGCCAGCTGACGAAGCAGGGAATCCTGAAGGCCGAGGACGTCTCTTCGTTCTTCTTCCGAGTCTGCATGGAGTCGAGCGTCAACAGCTATGTGAAATGCGTCAATTCTGGAGAGTTCGACTTCGCCTTCATAGCTCTCGATGCTTTCTCGAGACTCATCGTGTACATGATCAAGTATCACGGTGATGCTTCGGGCGTGAACAACGAGCAGGCAAAGGTGCACTACCTCACCAAGATTTTGTCTATCGTCGTCCTGGTGTTGGCGAACATGCACGAGGAGCAGGGACTCTTGTTTTCCCAGAAGCCCTTCTTCCGCTTCTTCTCCAGCCTCTTGAACGATCTTCATGCGATTGAGAGCAATCTCAGCGTCGTATACTTCCCGCTCCTGCTAGCCGTCAGGTATGTGCCATTCCTGCTGGCGCGGAAGCCTATCTAACTTGTGCAACAGTGACACTTTCAGCTCGCTCCAGCCTACCTTCTTCCCGGGTTTCGCATTCTCCTGGACGAGCTTGATTTCGCACCGGCTGTTCATGCCAAAGTTGCTACTATCCGAGAATCGCGAGGGTTGGTCTACCTTCTACAGGCTGTTGCTTGCGCTGTTCAAGTTCTTGACTCCCTTCCTGAAGGCTTCCGACCTGCAGCCTGCCACTCGGGACCTCTACCGTGGTTCTCTTCGACTTCTACTTGTCCTGCTACACGACTTCCCCGAATTCCTCAGCGAGTATTACTTCACGCTTTGTGACATAATCCCTCCCCACTGCATACAACTGCGCAACGTCATTCTCAGCGCGTTCCCACCTACAATCATCTTACCCGACCCTCACCTCCGTAACGTTAAGTTCGATTCCATCCCGGAGATGGGCCCGATACCCCCTGTGTTGTCAGACTTCTCCTCGGTCCTCAAGGCCGGAGACCTCCGCACCTATCTGGACCAGTATCTATTGAACCGTGGTTCCCCGTCCTTCCTGCCCTCGCTCAAGGACCACCTTCTTCTCTCCGAAGGTTCGACCGACAGATACAACCTTTCGCTCATGAACGCTCTCGTCATGTACATCGGTGTATCCTCCGTTGCTCAGGCGAAGGCCAGGAGCGGCAGCTCGCTCTTCGTAGCTAGTGACCCAGGTGTAGTCGCACTGCAGTACCTTGCTACCAACCTTGACGTCGAAGGTCAACATCACCTTTTGAGCGCCATGGTACTGCACTTGCGCTACCCCAATGCGCACACGCATTGGTTCAGCTCGCTCATGCTGCACCTCTTCTACGAGCTCAAGGACGATAAGTTCAGGGAGATCATGACGAAGGTTCTCCTCGAGCGCTTCCTCGTCCACCGCCCTCACCCTTGGGGAGCATTGGTCACGTTCATCGAGCTACTCAGGAACTCAAAGTACGACTTCTGGAACCACGACTTCATTCGCATTGCACCTGAAGTAACGCTTTTGCTCGAAACTGTACGTCTGCTTTTGTTTATGCTGTTGAGTATTCCTGACGTCTTGTTCAGGTCGCAAGGTCCATTTTCCAATCCTAGAGTGTTGCCGCTATCGCCGTCGCTATCTGTTTTATATATCCGTTTGTCCTCTCATGATCTCTTTGGGTTTTGTTATCATCCGCAATTGTATTCTAACAAGACGACAGCATCCCATGTGTCAAAAGGCATCAGCCAACTTTCGAACTTTGCTTACACGTCGGGTCTCGCGCATTCCAGACTACTACTAGTGCTTATCCTAAATTGTCTGTATATCCCCTGTAGTACATCTTCCTCCCGTAATCTAGAATGATGACATCCCGCCATTCAAGGACCACTGGTCTCCCCACACCCTGTAGTCGGATGTCAGTAAGTAAGCAATGTATTGTTGTCCCTACTTGCCCTGTCGCTTGTACACCTGCGGCACCCCTGGTATCCACCTCTCCAGTGAGAATGAGCCAGTCTGGGACCGTCAAGCCAGTGCGAACTGGGAACAGTCGTAATGCCCTCTCCAGAGCGACTTCGTCATTAGCATATATAACCATCATCACCGCCACGGTGGATGCTGGATGAGGGTGCAAGAACACTGCAGATGATTCTTGGTCAAGGATGCGGCCGTTGAAGGAAAGCTTGTCGCCGTTAAGGCTGAAAGGGGTCTGACTAGAAGCCAAGATCTGCTCTAGGAAAGTGTTGCTCGCATTACCTAGTACGACAATATTGCCGTCTAGAGAGTCACTGTAGAGAAGAGCTTGGGCTTCATGAGCTTCGAGAACGTTGGTGTCCAGCTTGTGGTATACGTTCAAGGAGTGAGCAAGACGTAGAGCGGCCTGAAGAGGTGCGCCGTCGCCTTTGCTCCGGATGACGAGCTGCAAGGGTGCTGGTGATTGCAGGATGGCGTACATGCGTCCCGACGGCTGAATATGGGCGTTGTCTCCAAGTGTTATCTGCGTCGCGTGTAAGAGCGACCTGCAAGTGACCGATGGTCAATCTCACCTTCCAAGTGCCGTCAGTGCTTCTGCTGACCTCAATGTAAGGGGAATCGCCGTAGTACTCTGGGAAGGCCAGTGCTTGGTCACCGATCACCAGAGCAGACGCAAAGGAGATAGTTCTTGTGTGGATTGAGAACACTCGAACATTGTGGGGTAAGACTTTGACTGCGCCTTCAGTCGAGGTAACAGTCAGACGGGCCAGGCTATTCACAGATGCATGTTAGTAGCATGACGGGTGCAATAGTGACAGTGACATGCCGCCCGGGAGTCTCGAGGACAAGAACTCGCCATCCATGTAGCGAACCACTTTCGGAAGGAATAGCCACCGTCAATGTGAACGATTGAGATTGAGGGCGGGTCAGACCTGAGTTCAACAGGGATTTGTCAATGAAGGCTTGCGTCCCGCCATCCTCGAATGCAGCCTGATAACAATGGGGCTGTCCAGGGTCCTCCCTAAACCTGTGTGCCGATATTCAGAATTTCTTCTGTCATGACTAGATGCGGTATACATACGTCACGTTCGCGCTTGGGCTCCAGGACCTGAGCGTATCAACAAGAGCGCGGGAGTGCCACACTGGAACATTTTCATCGTCGCCACTACCTGACGTTGACGTTATCTCCAACGCCTTAAGTACAAAAACTTACCCGTGAATAGCGAGGATAGGTGTGTCCACGAGGTTTGAAAGGAAGAGATCGTTGTCATCCGCCGTCAGAGCAGACTCTAGCACCGACTTCATGAAAGGGTCGACGAAGTGGGCTGATCTGCACATTTTAAATGAATATTATGCTCCTGCCTTTCGAGCCAAGTGCCACATACCTTGAGTGTAGTAGCGGCACATATGCCTGAGACTTCACGTACGCGGCGACAGGAACAGCTTAACAGAAAGCAATTTAGCCCCGCGCGACAAATATAGGGGAGAGAGATAAACCTGCCACCACTCTGTCAGGGTATTTGCTGGCTACATGCCAAGCTCCTTGACCGCCGTTGGAATGACCAAGGAGAACGACACGGGTATCTGGCGGAAAGTTCCAATCCCTCCAGCGAGCGTTATTGCGGAGGATGGTGGACAGAGCGGTAAGAGACTGCCATGCTTCGGTGGTGCTGGGACCGTGCCAATCCAGGCCCTGTGAAGGTAAGCCTCAGCAAATTTTTGTTACAGAACCTTAAATGACACACCCATTCCGTCCTTCCAGTTGGGACTACCAGCCAGCTGCGAAGCTGTCGAGGTGGCGCGCATTGCCAGAATGCTAAGTCAAGGACAGGTACACCGGCACCATCTTCGATGATTCAGCCAAATTCGTAGAAAAGAAGCAGAGTGAGGTTACGTACGTAGGAAGAGTAAGGGTGGCAGTGTCTCTTCGCGCCTGTTCGCCTCCTTGGGTGGAACTGCGACGAAAGCAGTGGGCATCGATGTCGCGAAGAAGTAGGTCGTCAGAATCCCTGTAAAGTTTTCCGCGTTCCACCTAGGAATTTGTCTCACAGGGAGATTGACCGCAAGTTTTATCGTCTGTTCAGAATTCGAGGCTGTGATCTCTACAGGAAGTACGGGGCCGTCGAAGGCTTCAAACTGAGAGAGGATAATAGGCACTATGCGAGTTTGCGACGGAGCGATGCGAGTCTCTCGCAGCAGAGAAATAGCTACCCCCTGTCGAATCCAACATTAGCCATGTAAAATGTTCCTCCGGCATCCACCCACCCTCGTGGAGAAGTCATCCCGAAGCTTAGCTTCGACAACTGTCCACCAGCCATTTACGCTTTGGATACCGACTCCGACTGCTTCGCCGAAAGCCCAACCGTCTACGAAAGTGGGCATGATGTCGTGATCATCAGAGCGTTTTAGAATATGCTGAGGAGCTTGTATGTCCACCGAAAAGGTGATAGATAGCTTCGGGACCTCGGTTCCCCAGCGAGTGGGATCCCCAAACAGCCTAATCTGTAAGGCGTTAACAGAGTCCATACAGAGCAACTAAACTCACCTCGTAATCACCACTGAGGAATAGTTGATATGTAGTGGGTCTGTCAATAAAGGGAGGGATGGGTAACTGGACGACATTTGGGGGCGATGCTTTCATCGCGTAGATATTTCCGGCGTGCCATATAGGTGTGAATGTGCCCGCCTGGGGTCCTGGATGATCCGTGGAAGGCAGTATCGCGAAGAAGGATCCTTGAACGACATTGACGAGAAGGTTAGGAGGGCCACGAGATTGGAAAAGCCTGTTGGACGGAGGATAGACAGTGATGGTGGTTCGCAGAAGTGTGTGATGTTGCAACGCTGCCCACCCTTCTGTCGCGCGAATTGAAGCCCATCTGAACCATGATATTGAATGGCATGACCAATGCTCTCTCTACTTTTGCTCACCTCACGTCGGGAAACGAAACTTCCAATAGACCGTTCGAGGAACGGGCCTTTGACCAGCTAACTGCGCCATTGTCGGCGTATGCAGACGGCCATGAGGCTTGAAAATCAATGGGCTCAGACACTAAAGCCTGTCAGCTACAGCATACACAGCTAGTTGACACTCACAATTGACTGGGAAGGACGGCGACAGAAAATGCTGCTCCCTTGCGTGGATGGGGAAAGGGCCAAGGGCCTGTTCAAACAGCCATCAGCTTGTTGAGCACTTGAGCACTTGAGTGAACAGCATAACTCACGTTCCAATCGTCTGAAACGGTAACTTGCCATTCCTCCATGACGGTGGGACCCGACATGGCTATCTGTGTTTCGTAACACACAACGCAAGACGCTGCGAGTCCTAGCAATGCGTGGATGACCACGATTGCCTTCTGCATCTACGCGGCGAGAGAGAAATCGCTATCGGCTACGACTTTTGGGTGCACGTCTCAAGGTCGCGTGAGCACTTCCCACCACCCTCCACGGGCTTTCGGCACGGTGATCTCACGTCCCAGGGAGCGCATCAAGGCGCATCAGTGATTCAGGTTGCGGGGATTGATGCGCTCTTTTCACAACAGTTGGTGCACAGCTCGTCCACGGAAGCCGCGATGTCTGACTTTGACCTGGACGCCGAAACACAGAAGCGTCTGCTTTCGCTCCTTCCGGCTCTCCTCACCATCCAGCGGGCCTCCTGGGAACAGGGATGCACTGCTCAGGCCCTGCTTGAAGCTCATCAATCGCTGGCATGCCTGCCCAAGAACCTGTTCCTCCAGTACCTTTACGGATTCGCACACGATGCCGCCGTTCGCCAAGCTGACGATGGTCGCCTCTCTGCAGTGCTGAACGGGGACGGCACCACCGACCAGGGCGCAGTCGACCCTGCCTGCATAGGCGAAACGTTCTACTACCTCCTCAACCTCCAAGATGTTGATAAGCAAGAACTCTCGCAAGAGGACGCGGCTCGCTTCACGAGCAGTGTAGAGGCCATGCTCAGTTACATCCTCGATCGGTGTCCGCGCGCACCTGTCTCGCAGGACCGTTCGTCGCCCTCTGACGTGCTACTATCTCATCGAATGGACTGCGTGCAGATATGGTCTGACGCAGTATACACGCTACCACCCTTCCTTGCTTCCGCCGCCGTGTATTACGTACGACACCCGAACCCCGCGTATGTTCCCTCGAGACTACTATCGATGTCGCTCCGCCAGATCGATCTCGCCGCGCAAGCACTGCAGAGCCCGTGCGGGCTGTGGTCACACATCTTCGACCTACAGACGTACGAATTCCGGCGCCGGGCGTTCTGGGGAGTGGGCAACGGCTGGGTGTGCGGTGGCATCGTGCGCGTGCTGTCCACGCTCGCCAACGCACTCTCCGACGAGAATGACACGGAGCTCTGCGCGCTGGTGACGGGCGCGGAGCTGGCCGAGCCCGTGCAGTCGTGCTACCACATCCTCACGCGCACGCTCAACGCCTGTCTGTCTCGCTTAAGGCCGGACGGGCTATTCCACAATGTCCTGGACGACGAAACGACGTTCGTCGAGGCGAATCTGTCTCAACAGCTGTCCTACACCCTCTTCCGGCTGCTTGACTTGCATTCGCACTACTCTCCACGCGTACGCAAGCTGCTCCGCTTGCCAGAACTCGACGAGGAGACAAGGATCCGGTGGGAGAAAACGGCGGCTCTCATGCATGATGCCGCATGCAGGAAGACGGATCGCTGGGGATTTGTGAGGGATGTGTGTGGCAGTCCTCGATTCGACAAGGCGGGCACGGCAGCGGAGGGACAGGCATGGGCCATAGCGATGGAGGTTGCCAGATATCGGTATCTCAATACAAAGGCGCTAGCACGGGCGCAGTCACTCTGAACTCTACCCCGATCGTATGCCTGGAACGTTTGGACGCTATGCGAAGGAATGGCCGATTAATCTGTGAGTCGCACTATTCATTGTGCATAGATGCGAACATGTGTGTCTACAAATCCGTGTTTTTGGGCTCAATTAACGATCTTGTCTCCAGCATAAGATGTCATGTATAGTAGTGCTTGCTTCAACGTACTGGCAGATAGATCAATGCATTGGAGCTTTTGCCAATTGCTCAGCTACGCTTGAAGCTACCAGTCCTTCTGTGACGAGCGCAGCAACATATTCTTTCATCCAGTATTGATAATCTTTCACGTCGATAGGTTTGATCTACGGTTACGTTGTCAGCCCTGATCGCGTCGTGCGTTGAAGTACATACGTCGGTACTGCTCGACGATCGCAAGCTAGGCCCAGGAGCGGGTATGCTCAGCGCGATCTCTTCAATGCGGCTGCTGGGAGAGCTTGTGTCTCCGGCACCAACTGGTTCGTCGAGAATGTTGGCTACAGCGGCTTGGATGACAGTGCCAAGCAGGTATATGCTGCATCCTCTCGCGTCCAATTCGAGGTCGAAGTTCCTTTGAAACTCGTGTACAAATCCCTCTGCCAGTGTTCCCGTGACATGAATCTTCGTCCCGACTGTCTCGCTTCCTGTCTCGCTTCCGACGTGAGGGACGAAGAGAGCCCAGTGTGCTCTGAAGAGGCGCGAGTGGGTGACAACAAGCTTCAGAGGATGGCCGTCGGCAGCACGAGACATCTGTGTCATGAGATTGTTCAATCTTGCTCGAAAGCAAGGTTCATATGCGTGCTGAGCTTCTCTGCCACCGCACCTGCGAAGACTGGCTGGGGCACGAAAGTCACACGAGGGCTGGTGTTCTCGGCACAGCCTCTAGGTAGCCTTCGCAATAATCAGGTTGAAGCTGCTTCTCGCCGCTCATGAGTGTCCTTCCTTCAAGTTCGTAAATTCTTTTGTAGACGTTAGAAGGCGAAATGGTTGGTACTCGACCTCGCAGTTACGGTGTCTCGATCATGTGGTGCGAGGTCACACAAGCACCCACAGCCTGAGACCGTTCTTCCGCCCTTACTTTCAACCACATTCACGGTCTCCTCGACTGCGCGCTATATATCCACCTTGCACGTTACATCCACCTCATGGCGGAGAACCCGCATGCATTCACGGCCTATGGCTGGGCGTGTTGTCTTTGGATCCTTGTCGTGTCGTTTCAGGTCAGTTTCCTGCCAGTGGTGATGCACTCGGGAGACTCGTCTGACACGTCTGCGTAGGTATAGTGCTCAACATTTGTCCCAACGCAACCTTCTCAACCATGCGCTATTAGTATGGCTATCATATTTCTGCGCTGAACCAAATCCAAGCAGTCCTGAGTTGCCGGGGGATCCCAGGCCAGGAGCTCGATTCCCCTCTGAGCTATGGTCTGCCGACATGCATACCCATGTCCGACGCGACGTTCTCTGTGGTCACATCTGTATACACCGTCGGCGGTCTGCTCGGTAGTCTGGTAGCGAACGTCATCATGGATCGCTTTGGACGGAAAGGCGCAGTTCAAGCTAGTTCGGCGATGTTTGTACTGGGATCGGCCGTCATGGGCTGTTCTGCGTCACTGTGGCCTCTAATTATTGGAAGGTGAGTTGTACAATGTACATGTAACCCAGCTACGCTCATTGTGCTCTGCGCATAGAGTCTTGGTTGGTGTCGGCGCCGGGTTCGGGCTGTGTGTCGGACCTATTTTCCTCTCTGAGATCGCCCCCAGCAAGATTCAAGGCGCTGTCGGTACGTAGCCGCCTTCAACGAGCAACCTCGTGTTGACACCACACACTAGGCGTTCTCACCCAGTTCGCCATCGTCATCGGAATCATGATCACGCAGGCCATGGGCCTCCGACTCGCAACGCCACATGAGTGGCGACTGGTCCTCCTGTTCTCTGTCGCACTTTCATTCGGACAGCTCTTGATAAGCCCAGTCGTCGTTGAATCCCCAGTATGGCTGCACAGGCACGGGCTACTTATGGATAAGGCTGCTGCGTCCAGGAGACTGTGGGCGATGCACGAGGTCCCAACGAATGAACCTGTCTGTCAGTTCCCCACTTTTGTGATCGGAAATTGGGATTAAATGCTGACGTCGAAACAGTCCTATCTGACAACTCTCAAGATCCGCTTCTCGGCGACCTCGAGCGCGACGGAGAAGACCTCGATGTCGGTCAGTCAAAGGGCACAGAAGAACATCAAGCCGCCATCTCTCTACCCCAGCTGCTCACCGCTCGCGAGTTGCGCAGGCCTTTGATTATTGTCTGCTTCTCCATGCTCTGCCAGCAGCTTTCGGGCGTTAATGCTGGTATGAAACTATCCTGTGCATGGGCTCTATAGACTGGCTTACATGAAACAGTTCTCTACTACAGCAACGACATTCTTTCGAAAGCACTGCCTGATCTCGGTCCCTTCGTCTCGCTGGGTATTACTGTCATCAATGTGATCATGACGTTCCCGCCCATCTTCCTCATTGAGGTACGCACACAGTTTTGATAGCGGTGCTGTCGATCTCATTATCCTTCAAGAGACTTGGACGAAAGACGCTACTAAGCTTGTCTGCTGGTGGCGCATTCCTCTCTTTGGTTGGGGTCGGTTATGGACTCGATTCTGGAGTAGTCGCCCTCGCCAGTATTACCATCTTAACCTTTATTGCGTACGTTATAGGAAGCTGAAATGGCACCATCTCCTTCCGCTGACGTCGGATTACCTCCAGGTCCTTTGCGATAGGTATTGGTCCCGTTCCTTTCGTCATGATCCCGGAGGTCTCTCCTTTACACGTACGCGCCCCTTTCTTGCATACCTGGTCTCATCTCAATAACGGTTTGCAGGCGGTCTCCGCGCTCTCGTCTGTCGGACTTTCCTTGAACTGTGAGTCATCACCGCTGTGTCCAGAGAGCCAGGAAGCGCCGTGGCTGACGTGGGGCCTCCAGGGATCGCGAACTTCCTCGTCGGCCTCGTGTTCCTCCCGCTGCGCAACGAGCTTTCGGGCGGCGACCCGCACAAGGAGGGCCGCATATTCTACCTCTTTGCCGGTATGCTTGCGTTCTGCACCGTCGTCTTGTTTAGGTTCTACAGGGGGTAACCGGGGTTGAAGAACTAAATCAGGACCTTTCTCTTCACGTTCGGATCGGAATAGGATGTACAGTAACGTATTTTCGTTCTCCTTGGCAGACATATTGGAGCACGCCTTCCTTCCTCTCGCAGTTCATAATACACGTAAAATCGCACTTTTATTATACGTTCTCTCGTAGAATATTAGTCACGAAGCTCAGAAAGCTCAGATTAATCAGCTCGAATCTCAGAACGTGCATTCGAGAGCCGCTCATTTGAACCGTCACTCGCGCAGACTGCTGGGGGCTCCTTCTGGTGTATATTATTACAACAGCCGTCCTGTACGAGTCCCCGAGACAGGCGACGTTTATCGGTAATGTAAAACGTAGATACTAGAGAGGCATAGAACGCGTACGAGAGAGACATGTCGATACTAGCACTAAGATACAAGACAATAAATACCCATAACTCTCGTGATGACAGATTACCGGTTCCACGAAAACAGAGACATATCACCCGCTTTCCTGTGGGGACTCGTGAGCAGGTAAATGGGGGTGGAAGCAACGAGTACTTACCTTGGGCGGATCATATGGCGGATCGTGCCAGCTATGGCAAGCGCAACGAAGAGGGCCGCTGTCGCAACGTACGCCCAGCCCAAGAAGGGGTTCTTACCGCCGATCCAGGACACCGTCGAGATGACGACGGACTTCGTGCCGTGGTAGGACTGGACAGGGTAGTCTGTAGCGACGGTTAGGCTAAGCGTTCGCCGAGCGAAGCCGAAGTGCACGTACTCAGGTAAGCGACGATCTGGTAGCGTCCCTGTGCGAGGCTGGCGGCGTCGTTGCGTCCCCACAGCTTCGTGAACGTCGAAAGACCGGCCGTGCGCATCCAGTTTTGGAAGTGCTCGTCTAGCTTCAGGTTCGGTGGCGGCGTGGAGTTAGAGTACGACGGGTAGCGGAGCGCCCAATTCGGTGGCGGTACGATATCGTCGATGTTGTAGCCAGGGGAGGAAGCGTACTTCTTCGCCTCTCCCGGCCAGGCAATGCCCTTCTCTGACCAGAGGTACGTTGTGGAGGGGTTCGATAGCAGTGTCAGGTTGCTGTATGTGTCTACCAACCCAAAGAGCTTCAGCGAGAGATAGGGACAGTCACGGAGAAAGAGCGCACCGTTGAAAACCGAGTTCGCAATGAGACCACACGGGTAGACGGCCTTGCCGTTGTCTGAAGTAATAGGCTTGCAGGTTCCTGAATTCAGAGAGCTCACACTGACAAAGTCCCCCTTGAGCTGGTTCATGTCGATACTCTTGACATAGCGTCGATGGTTCTGGAAAAAGTTTGTCATCTTGTAGTACAGGAGGACTGTAGCGGGGAGCTCATAGGGGATGTCGAACTGAATGAAGCATTGACGCTGCTGCGAGACATCGACTGACGAGTCGTTTGTGAGGTCGACGAAGGCGAACTGCGGTGCATCGAACGGTGCATGCTGATGTCCTGACCGCAAGCGATAGTTGAAATGCGGCATGGTCACGAGGTTGAGACTCGTATTTGATGTGGAGGCAGTTTGGTTCTCGCATGTTGTGTAGTCCAGAGTGATCTCGGTGACCTACGGAGGAGGTGAGTTCGAGCGTGCGGCGATGGGTGGGACCTGCGTACCAGCCCGCTACCCCAGATGAGGAGGCCGCCAATGGGTGCGAATATGAGGCCAATTATGAGGAGCGATGGTAAGACTGTCTTTGGAGTCAAAATGGGCTGCCAGGCCTTGAGTCGTTGCTGCTTGAAGGCAGTATCTAGGCGTCACAAACGGGTGTGAGTGGGGATGGTGGAAAGCGTTGTGAAGCAGAACGTACTCGCTGGTTTGCGCCAACTGCCCTTCTCTTTCTTGGGTTGCCCATTGTCCACGTCTTGGTCTCCACTTGCCCGCCCGCGGTTTCGTCTGAAGAGAGCCATACTGGTACAAGATGGAGGAAGTGAAAGAGAGCCGGGACGAGGTGGAAGGAGGCAGCGCAGCCTGAGACCCGGCAAGTGTTCCATCATCGGCCGCTGACACCCGCTCACCTAATCTGGGTGACGAACAAGCATAGGTTAGGGTTGCTTGACTCCGGAGTCGGATCACGCTCGACACGACCGTACTCGGTCTAGGTGCTAAATATGTTGCACTTGTCACAATATTACGTCGCAGAAAGGCCAATGATCTCTCAGTCGTACAAGTCCGCCAGTGAAAATCATATTGCTCGTATTCGACCGAAATAGGAGATGTGGTATATCGTAGTACATCTATTCAACAGACACCAATGAGTGGGTATGAAGATCGCATGAGTGTAGGCATTATTATCGTGAGCTGAGGACAGCCATGCGACGTTTATCGCCGTAGTGTCTGCCCGAGCTGCAGCCCTTGTTAGCAACATCACGTCGGATATGGTGTCAGAACGCTCACGTTTCTCCGTTGTTGGCCGAGCCAACTTGTGGGTCCTGTACGCTGCTGCTTCGCGAGGTGGCCTCGCGCCACATCCATACCGTGACTGTGTATGATGCTGAGCATCAACGCTTGCTCGCGCTGATATCGTTTCGTCATCTCGGCCATTAACCTCTAATGCGGAGGCGTCAGTCAGCGTCCGAATAGAACTCGAAATATATCCGCACCTCTTTGCGAGCAATCTCCTCCTCCAGGATCTTAACCTTCGCGGAGTCTTCTCCGCTCTCGCCGTAGACGCCCTGTTCATCGCGATTAGAGAGTGTGCGCAGAATCAAGCGGAAACAGCCCACCGAAACAGCCCCCTTCTTCGCCTGCTCCTCTTTGAAGAGCTTGTCCTGTTGTTTGATAAACTGTCTCGCCTTGTTGAGCTTCTCCTGCACAGTCTTGTATTGCTCCTGCATCTGTATTTGGTCCTCGTGCATCTTGAGCAGGCGCTGCTTGACGTCTTCCGGAATGTCTTTCCCGGACAGCGACGCCCGCAAGTTGCTGATATCGCGCTCGCGTTGGAGCATACGGTCTCGCTGGTCGAGGCCCTCGCTCTGCAGGTTCACCTTCTCCATCAGCAAGGCGTTGATTTGCTCGAGTTGCATCTTGCTCTTTTCCGAGAGCTCCCGGATCTGGTCGTGCAGTTTCTGCACTTCTGTTTCCAGCCCAGCCTTGTCCTCGTTAACGGACTCGCGAAGCGAAGCTAGGATTTCGAGCTGGTCCTTGTGGACGAGGTTGACTGACGAGAAAGTCAATAAGGTGCACGTAACAAGGCAGGTAGGTATAGCTCTTACGGTCAGACTTGGCGATTGTGAGCTCTTTGCTTTGAGCTTGGAACTTGACCTCTAGCTCAGCGTGCTCTTTGCGCAAAACGTCGAGCTGCTCGACGGTCTCATTTAGCCGTTGACGCAACGCGATGGCGGCCTCAGGACTTCGCGCAGATAGTCAGCACATCTCCATCGACCACTCGCACAGAAACTACACACCCATCTCCTAGAGCCTTCCCGCTCCTGATCTCTTCCAGATCATTCTGCAGCTGAAGCTTCTCCCGGTGCGTAGCAAGATAATCCTGCTCGTACCGCGTCTTCATCCTCGTCGCGTCCTCGAGCAAGTTCTCGAGCACGAGCACCCTGCTCGCGTCTGCTTCCTGCTTCTTGACGGCCTCAAGCTCGCGCTCCAACTTGCGTATCTGTATTTTGAGATCCGTCATCGTCGTGCCTGCGAGTGCTGCATCCAGCTCGTCACCGAGACCCTGAACCTGTTCGACGTCATCCATGTCGTCGGAACGCGAGGATGCGTCTGCGTTGAGCTCGTCCAGTGTCATCTCGTCCGTGTTGCGTGCAGGCTCGTCGCCGTCTGCTGCTGTCGCAGAAGTAGCAGAGGGGCGTGGGCGTGGTGTAGAAGCAACTGGGCGATGCGAGAGCAGCTCGAGCTCGCGCACGCGCTCTTGGTACAGCTCCAGAGTTTCGTTGTCTCGTTGGCGCTCCTCCTGCGTTAGTTTGAGCTTCGCCTTTGTCTGGTCTAGCTCGAACCGCACGGTGTCGACCTCCTTGCTGCGCGCCGAGGATTTGCTTTCAAGTTCGGCTATCTGTGTCCTGTACGACTCCATGAGAGGTTTGAAAGCGGCTACTTTTCGGTATTCCTCTTCCAGAGACGCGTTTTTGTCGACGAGGTCCGCGTTCTGTTTCTCTAGAGCCTGGCAGCAGTTTCACTCTAGCACATGTAACACACATTGACGCATATACGCACTCGGACTTGTTGTCTCAGGTCGGCTCCTTCCTGCAGCTTCCTCTTGTACTTCTCCATAACATTCTCCGTCTTTTGTAACCTGTCCGCTGTGTGCCGGTACCTATGCAGAGTCTCAGTATATGCACACCACTTATGCCCCAGATGCGTTAGACTTACTCGTCAAGCTGATCCTTGAGACGCGCGGCTTCGTCCGCCTTAGACTGAAGCTCATCTACTCTCTTCTTCAGATCGCTTACCAGCCCAGTCTGCTTATCGAGTTCTGCCTCAGCCATCGCGAGATTATCTTCACTCTTCTGGCTAACATCCTCCGAGTCCATGAGCCTGACGACCGCGTGGGAACGAGCACGACTCACAGTTCACCCCTCAGTCGGTCTATCTCAGCGCGGAGCATCGCGTCTCCGCGGCTGTCGACCCTCCGATCCTCAGCGTCTCGTTGCGCCTGGCGGACCTGCGCCAGTGCATCCTCTTTCTCCTGCACGATATCGTCGAAATTGGTCTGTAGCGTGCGGTGTTCCGACAACAGTGTCTGATAGACCTGCTCGAGGGTCTCCTTCTCGGACAGTACTCTCCTCCGCTCCGACTGAATCTGGTAATAGTGATCGTCTCTACACGTATGCCATTGAATATATGCATCGCGACGGCAGGCATGCGACACTCACTCCGTCATGCTTGTCTCGCCAGTCTGCGCTTGGCCAGACGATTTCACTTTTGCCATGACCTACAGGTCGTCATCACGCTTGCTGACATCACCACTGGACGCACACACACACCTGCTCAATCGCCTTCATGAGCGCATGCTGCTCCGTATCCGACAGCCTCTGTATTCGCTCGATGATATCCTTGTTGTTCTCGCACTGCACCGCGATTGCGATCGTCAGGCGGCACATGACGAGGAGTGCGGAGGGGTTGCTGTCCTGCGCGATCGCTTGCAGGTCGGGCACGTCCAGCGCACCCGTCGGCTGGTGCAGCACGTCGGAGAAGTACTGCGTCATGAGCCTGTACAGCCGTTTCAGCGAGCTGAATCGGAGCACCCAGTTCTCCGAGGGCTGCGCCGACGGCCGGTTCGGTTGCCGGAAGTAGTCTCCATCGCTACAGTGCGGTCGTGAGCGTGTCTGGCTCGAAGCGGAGATGTCTCTGGGGTACGCACACGAGAGAGAGGACCTCAAAGAGGGCGGCGCCGTCTGAGAGGTCTGAGGTAGCAGCCACAGGCCTCGCCAGGTCAAAGGTCGCTAGGAATGCGAGGAACGCGTTGAGTTCTGTCCGCTGCGCGTCTGACATCGCCAGCGTCGATCAGAAGGTGGGAACGTCGGCAAGCGAGTCGCTCAGTCGTCGTGCGACTGTATGCAGAGTGCAGCAAGACGACGGGGCTCCAGGCGGGAGGAAGGGGGAGGTGTAGACCTGGCAACTGCAGACGAGTACTCGCGCGGTTGTATGGTCGCGGTCAAAACGGGCGTGGTAGCGCCGCTCGCGCCTCCCGCTCATGATTTGGGCGACCGCGATGCCAGGCGCTGCGGTCAAGCATGCAACGCACCGCTTGACAGCTATGGCCAGCGTACTCATTGACGGCAGCGTCCTCGAGGGCGGCGGGCAGCTCGTCCGCAACGCCGTCACCCTCGCTGCGCTTCTCCAGAAACCCATCACCATACAAAACATTCGTGCTCACAGGGACCCTCCAGGTCTCAAGGCGCAGCACGCCACAGGCCGGTCTTTGCCTCTGCTCAACCGGAAAATCTCTCACAATTACTCTAGGACTCAAGCTCGTCGCAGATATCTGCAACGGCGAGCTGACAGGCTGCGAGCTCGGCTCGTCTACAGTGCACTTCCGCCCAGGCCCAATCCGCAGCGGGAGCTTCCTCGCCGACGCACGCACGGCAGGCGCGACGACGCTACTCCTGCAGATCGCGTACCCGTGCCTCGTCTTCGGCCCCGCGCCGAGCTCGCTCGTGCTCCGTGGCGGGACGCACGCGGCGCATGCCCCACCCGCGGACTACACCGCGCATGTCTTCCTCCCGTTCGTACGCGCGCACCTGCACCGCGGCGTGCAGCTCGCCGTGCGCCGCCACGGCTTCTTTCCCCGAGGCGGCGGCGAGCTCTGCGTGGACACGGAGCCCACGCCTGCAGGCCCGCTCCCCGCGGTCACGCTCACGGCGCGCGGCGCCCTTGTCGCGGTACACGGCAAGGCGTACGTCGCGGGCCACCCCGAGGCACAGGCACAGACGATCCGCGACGGTGCGCACGCGCGGCTCGTCGCCGCGGGAGTCGACCCCGCCATCATCAGTATTGCGGCCATCCGCGAGGAGGCGACGAACGCCGTCGGCAAAGGGGCTGGGATCGTACTGTGGGCCGAAACTGACGAGGGCTGTAGGCTGGGCGGAAGCTCGGTTGGTGCGCGTCGCTGGGACCCCGCGTCTCTAGGGGAGGCCGCGGCAGACGAGCTCCTGCGAAACATCGAGCACGGCGGTTGCGTGGATGAGTATCTACAGGTTAGAGCACGTATGGTGGCCTTCGTGGTCTATGTTTACTCATCACACCAATAGGATCAAATCATTCTCTTCTTGGCGTTAGCTGAGGGGAGATCAACTGTGCGAACGGGGCCTTTGAACCTGCACACCAAGTACGTTTCCGCTAACTTGGTTAACTGAACTAGAGAGGGCGCTCATCGTCCTCTAGAACGGCGATGTATATCGCAGAGCAACTCGCGGGCGCGACTTTCTCCGTCCAGGAAGAGGCAGATGGGACCGTGCTGCTCTCGTGCGAAGGGATAGGATTTTCGGTATGATCCTACACCAGACAACTGTATACTACTAAACTGGACGCTCAATTCTAATGCATACCCCACCATATTTTTCTGTGGCCGAGCGTCCGCGAAGACAAGAGACGGCCGTACTTCAAAGCTCCATAACAAGCCTCTCAGCCCGCTCCGACCGTGGGGTGATACGACAGAGGAACGGCTCCGGGTGGCTTCGCGGTCCATGATCAACCCATCTCCCTCCGCACGAACCCAAAAAAAGACGCACCTGGTGATCGCCTGCGTGAAATTCGCCTCGGGCACGATGTCACGTCCATACGCGTCCTGCACGGGCCCGATATCGAACGCCGCAAGCACGCAAGCGATGACGATCCACAGGCTGGCCTCTGCGAGGTGGCGCCCGGGACACGCCCGCCGCCCGAAGCCGAAGCCGAGGCCCGTCGGCGCAGGCTCGCCGTGCAGGTACCGCGCGGGCCAGAAGCGCTCCGGCGCGCTGTACACGGCGGGGTCGAGCGCGAGCGCGCTGGTGCGGAGCGGGGAGTCAGCAATCATGTGGGGGACGGGTGAAGGACGGAGCAGGGAACGCACGCCGTGTTCACGATGAGCGTCGCGCCCCGTGGGATGAACATGTCCCGGTACACGTCGTCCTCCATCGCGCGGTGCGGGATGCTGAGCGGGAGCGCGGAGTGGAACCTGCGGGCGGTGGCACGCGGGCCTGTGAGCGTGGCTGGCGGGCTATTGGGGCACCGCGACATTGGACGCACCGGATTGTCTCGTTCAGGAGACAGTCGACGTACGGCAGCGCGTCTCTGTCGTCGAACGTCGGGAGCCGGCCTGTGCCGATGACGCGGTCGATCTCCTCCTGGGCCTGCCTGACCGCTTCGGGGTGGCGCACGGCCGCGAGCATGAACGTCAGGAGTGTCGACCACGTCTGCGGGCCTCATCCGTGAGCGCGCGTGCCCCTTTGCGTCGTATCCTATGCGCACTCACCGTGTCTACGCCGCCCGTCCACATGTGGGCAGCCACGATCTTGAGCGCCCGGATGGCCTCAGCGTCGCGTGTGCCATTGCACGCCATCTCCTCGAGGTGCATCGAGACGAAAGACGGCTGGGCGGTGCCGGCGGCCTGCGAGACTCGGCGTGAACGCCGCGTTAGAATCGGACGAGACGTGGCGAATAGAGACTCACGAGTTGTTCCTCGACCTGTTGGAAGGGTTTTGTGCTCATTTCCCACATCAGGTGGCGGTTCTCTACAGCAGGTGAGAGTAAAATTTGTTGTCGAGTATGTCATACTCACCATTGGCATAGCGGATAAACCATGCTCCGGGAAACCACGACGGGAGGTGTTTTGCTGTCAGCATTCAGCAATGCCCGTCTGGCCAAACCAGATTTGCATAAGCGTACCGCTCGGAAACAAATCAAGTATGGCAGCCTTGGACATCTTGGTCGAGACGATATTCACGCGGTCGGCGATGTGTAGGTACGCGTCGTCATCCGAGCTGACCTTGTGTCCGTAGGTCATCTCGAGCGTAATGGCCGACGTAAACCTGCGATCACGGTCGGTGCCGGCCTCAGACGGAACAGTGGGCTGTAAATACCTGCGTATATGCGCTTCAAAATGCTCAGGACTGCTGAGCAGGTTCTTGAGTAAGATGTGGCACTGCTCCAGCTGGACGGGGCGGAAGACCATGACGCCCTGGCGGGTCAAGGGCTGCTGCATGAGCTTGCGCTGGACGTGGAATTCGGGGCCGTAGCGGAGGAAGACGAGTATGTTGTCCCAGCCGAGACTGCGTAAGGTAAGCGTGCTTTAGTTGTGGGCTGTGGACACGAAGACGGGGAGACGGACAGGCTGAAAGCGGGGAACGCGGGCCTGTCGCTGTAGGTTGCGCTTCGCTTGTCAAGAAGGTCGCTCGCGGCTTCTTGGCTGCTCAGAACAACGATGGACTTGCCGAGAAGATCGAGGTGGATAACATCGCCTGCGGGGCGTGTTGTGGACAAATCAGCGACGCACACACGGAGAGAGACTTGCCATATCGCTTTGACCACTCGTGGAACGTCTTGCCGAGGTCAGTCCGAGGGAAGACCCTGAGGTGACCGATGATGGGATCCGCAGGCGGGCCTGGGGGAAGCTTGACGCGTTTGGCCTTCGCGGGCCTGTGGTAGGCGAGGAGGACGGCGAGGAAGATGAAGGCAGCAGCGATGAGCGTGGAAGGCATGGGAGAGTGAAGCCAGGGCGAGCTGAGGACATGTGAGGATGGTTTAAATACAATAATGCTGGCGTCCCAAGATATTTGGGATTCGGGATTATTTTGCACTGATAGCTGGGCAGAGACATGCCGACGGTGGCCGCGCCCCAGCCTATGGCGGCCGGCAGCTTGAGAAAGACTATTGCCCAATCAGGGCATAGACGTGATCGATTCGATCACCATGGTCTTAGCCCTCGACTCCATGCGCCATAACCATCAGGCTCAGCCTCTCGGAGCAGGCACACTGAGACACAGAACTACCGCTACCGAGCTCGACAAAGTTTGAGGGTCGTCGGAGGTAGTCGCTACATCGTCGCCTGTGCAGGAGCTCCAAGGACTCACCTGAAATCTTGGCAAGTTGCCGGATTGCATGCACTCGCTTTTGTTCGGTCGGCTGGACCGTGCCACTTTGTACTGCTTGTCGTCAGCATGACAGTGAGCACGCAAGGCGGCGGCGCTCACCTGGCTTAGTCCACAATTACCGCGCCTTCTGAGGCAATCCACTAGCCTCGCTCGTTTTTTCAATCTCGCAGGCCATGACTCTGCGTGCACGAGTGCCGTACAGGACAAATGCTGCCATGTCAGAACATACAAGACGCGTAACTACCTCATCCACGCCATGGCAAGGTCGTCGTTAGGGGTGTTTTGGGTCACAAATCCGGAATTGATGAGCACTCGCCTGCAAACAACGAACAAGGCAGCAGTCAGCTCAACAACAGTGGCTGTGCGCAACTCGATGCCGGCCAACCCAGGAAAGCGCTTAGACAGTCTATGATAGCCAATGACAATGCACGGAGCGGTACCACAGGATGCCATCTAACATTACAGTGATAAGCTTTGGACTAGTAGACAGACGGCATGGAGCATATCTCGTACATGTCATGGCAAGCGCAGGCAATCATTGGATCGGGGAGCCTCCCTGATCCAGATGACACCACTGTTGCCTTGGATTGCGTATTATGAAGGTAAAGCGACGCCGCAATCATACATCGGTGTCTGTGTCTAGCGCGGACAGACCGGTTAAGGCACATGGTAACGCTCTGGAACTGCGCAGGACACACCTTCGTTTAATCCATCCCACCAATCGTTTGGTCGTGCCTTGATGCCGATGCGGGAGTGAATCGGGCCTACTTGACATCGCAATTAGTGTTTCGAGAAGATGCGGGCCTTGCTTGTCGGCTCCATGGTCACCGCGCAGTGGCGTACTTCATATTGCAGGAGGCGAAGCTTACGGGAATGGGTGGCGGCGGCGTCCTACGTGCAAGATAGGGACAAGAGCTGTTACGATGCGTCCGCCTTTGTCCGCGGAGTCCCCGCTGTTTTTTTCCCAAGGAGGCTCGCGTTTACCGGAATTGCCAGGCGGTCAAGGGTATTTATGTTCTACCCTGCAAGCAGAGTGTCATAAGCTTCGTCCGGCAAGGCAAAAGGCCAGATACTTGCATTTTAATCATGCACAGCTACAGGTAATATCGCTCATGGAAGCCGCAGCGAACCCGTGAGAGCCGGAATGTGTCAACTGTTGTCTGCGCAGAGCGATTGCAAACAGATAAGCATGACACGTCACCAGACGTGCTGGTCCCATCAATCCTGCGCGGCCGGAAGCCTGGAAAAGACATGCACCTCCTGGAGTTGCTTAGGCTGTGCGACCAGGTCTCCACGCTCGCCAACTGTGAACCTTCACTGCTAATGAGACTATCCATCGTGAGCTTGGCAGCCCTGGATGGGTGATTCCAGACCCTCGTCTTCCAGTGATGCACGACAAAAGACATGCCGCGGAGCGGGAGGCGCATCCGACGACGTACGGCACGCATAATATCGCCGCGTCCCATCCATCAGACGAGGCGTTCAGTATCGAGCCAATCGGCAAAGCCTGTCTCCCCTCGGTCCCAAGTGAGCCTTGCCCTCGAGTCCTCGACCGAGCGTTCCGCTGGCCCACGCAGCTTTTGCCATACCCAAAGGTGACCACTTTTAGCGACCTTTAGCGTTGCATTTTGTTTCAGCAAAAGAATTCAGGACATGCGAAGCTGGAAAACTTACTACATGGCAGTCAAATCCAACTTCCGCGCGGTGGCAGCCGCGGGGCACATCAGTTTCAGAAAACGCCACAAAGCCCCCGGCGCCGGCAGGCCGCCATGCTCCCGGCAGTTGCCGATGTCGGCCTCCGCAGAAGCGCCTACCAGCGACTTGTCATTGAGGAACATCATGGACGCGGAGTTACAGAAGCTCGTAGACGAATGGTTGCGCTTGGACAAGGTAGCGGGTGTTTATTTGACTGCAGCTGCGTTTGATTTATACAGTGCCATAACAGAATGAAGAAACTCGACGGGAAATTCAGGCTCTCGTAGATCGCGGCGATCTGGCCGAGCTGGACAGGCGGATGCGGTATGTGGCATTCTCCCTCGCGCATAACCCCTTTTGTTACTTATAGATGCACTAAAGATCTCGGATTGAATTTGGTACAGCCGGTGAGTTATTTCTGTCAGGTCAGGGGGAGGGAGTTCTGAGCACAGACCGACGCGGGCCTTGCAGGTCTTCGCGGTCGGATGGAAGCCGGCTGGAACAGGATGAACGACCTCATAATTATCCAGGCGTCTCAGTTAAATGTATCATGCATCAAATCTTCCCCGATTCTAAGGTTTGCGTACAAGGGTCTCTGCGCGTACGTCCTCGCCAACGTGAAAGGTGCCCGCGAGCGCGGTATCGTTATTGGCCACGACCACAGGCATCACTCTGGCCACTGGGCACAACTCACAGCTGCAGCGTTTTTGGCTAAGGATGTCAAAGTGTACCTCCATGAAGGCCTTGTACACACGCCATTGTGTGTCCCTTCTACTTGGTTCGATTATCTCCTTGCTAAGATGTCAACAGGGTCCCGTTCAGTGTTAGGAGGCTGAATGCGGCATGCGGTGTTATGATCACAGGTAACTCTACCTATCACTTATCGTACTCCTTCTGACACGGTTTCAGCTAGCCATAACCCGAAGGTTTGTGATTTTACCCCACGCCGACCTCCTTTCTCACATTTTCTTCTTATCGTGCAGAATGATAATGGTTACAAAGTGAGCTCGAAGTTGCATTTGTTATGAATTATCACTAAGACGATTCACAGGTGTATTGGGAGAATGCAGTCCAGGTACGTTTATCGTGCACTCGTTCTGATTCGAACTTGACAGTGACTACGGTGTAGATCATCTCTCCGCATGACGAAGGAATTTCAGGAGCTATCAAGGCTAATCTTGAGCCTATGGCCTGGGACGTATCTAAACTGACCTCCTCGCCCCTTTGTCTCGACCATACCGAAGAAATGAAACAAGCCTACTTCGAATCTCTTGCAGCGCTATCAACAGCGAAGTACTCCAGTTCTATTGGTACTTGCTCGCGGACTACTCACCTTGCTCCAGATCGAGCAACTCGTCCACGCCGATCAAGTTCGTCAATACCTCGATGCACGGTGTCAGCCACCCGTTCATGGTTGAAGCGTTCCGCCGCTTCGGCTTCGAACCCTTCGTCGCGGTAGCAGAGCAGCAGTCGCCTGATCCCGAGTTCCCGACGGTCAAGTTCCCCAATCCTGAGGAACACGGTGAGTGTTTTGTTCTGGAATAGCCTGACGCGGGCCTCTCAAGTCCTCGCAGGAGCTCTGGTAGGCTTCACATTTATTGGTCGCCAGATAGTATTGACCTCTTTGCAGGATTTGGCGTTGGCGACCGGCGACCGGGTCGGCGTCAACTACGTCCTCGCGCAAGATCCCGACGCGGACCGTTTCTCTGCTGCAGAACGAGGGTACGAGGCCCTCCTGTCGCATTTCATGGGCTAACACTAGTTCCTCTCGCAGGCCGGACGGAAAGTGGATCGCGTTCACGGGAGACCAGCTGGGTGCGCTCTTCGCCAGCGCTGTCTTGGACAAATATAAGGCGTCCGGCAAGCCTCTGAGTGCGTACCTCAGCACAAGACCGAACACTTGCCGACAGGGCTCCATATAGACAAACTCGCCATGGTCGCGTCGACCGTTAGCTCGAAGATGGTCGAGGCAATGGCGGCCGCAGAAGGCTTCAAGTTTGTTGAATGCCTAACAGGTTCATTTTCTTACTCATTCTAGCGCAGCAGTTTTTGATTACACGACTGTCAGGCTTCAAGTTCATTGGTAACACGGCCCTCAACCTCGAGCAAGAGGGTTACGAGGTGCCGTTCGGCTATGAGGAAGCTATCGGGTACATGTTCGGCAGCGAGATCCGGGACAAAGACGGCGTGGCGGCGAGCGTAAGCTCTATCGTCTCTCGACCGCAGCAAATATTGAGGGGTTCGCGCAGATGATGTTCGCAGAGCTCGTCGCGTCTCTGCATCGCGCGGGCAAGAGCGCAAGCCAACACCTGCAGGATCTATACTCGCGGTCCGTCACAGCCTATCCCTTCGCTTACCCACACCCGCTCACCAACTCACACCCGCAGCTACGGCTACTTCCAGACACTGAACAGCTACTTCGTCTGCACAGACCCAAAGACGATCGACCGCATCTTCGCGCGGGTCCGCAACTGGGACGGGTGCGGCACCGCGCTGCGCCCGGCGTACCCGCCGACACTCGCAGGCCTGCAGGTCACGAGCGTCCGCGACCTCACGGTCGGCTACGACAGCGCAAACCCGCCGACGTACAAGCCTGCGCTGCCGCTCTCGTCCGGGCATATGATCCAGTTCAGGGCCGAGTCGCCAGCGGACGGCACGAAGATCACTCTGACGACGCGCACGAGCGGGACGGAGCCCAAGGTGCGTTTTGTGTCACCGTGGGGTCAGGAATGAGGACATTGATGTCGCTTTTGGTGTAGATCAAATACTATCTGGAGGGCAGCGGCAAGGACGCCGCGCACGTTTCTGTGCTGCTGGGACGTGTTGTCGCAGAGCTCGCGGACGGGTGGATGGAAGCCGACAAGAATAACCTCGGTATTCCGTAGTCCTGACCACCCACACAGACACGTTTAACATTGTAATTGGACAAATCAAGGAATTAAGGCTACATAGAGCGCATATGGGCTATTGTGTGTGGAAGAAATAATTCACAGAGCGGTGAGTCGCGCCCTGCGACGCTCGTCAAACGCCTTCGCGCGCTCCCAAACATCGATTGTGAGCTCAGTCTGATGCATCGAAAGTGCATATAGCCTGCGAAAACGGCGCTCAGTATCCAGTTGAGAAACAATGGGCTTAACGTGATGTGTACGCACTTGGCGACTGTCATCCGCCGAATGAGGTCGTCCGATGTGATTGTCCTGTCCTTCTGGCGGTCGCCAACGAAGTCTTGTTGAATATGCTACAGGAACGTATCATGAGATGCGTCTTCCGCTAAACACCCGATGGTTGAGATATACCTCCGAAGTTGCGACGCTGACCTGCACTTTCCCGTGCTGAGCACCGACAATCCAATCCCGGAACGCGGCAATCTTGTCTGCCTCGGGCAGCACAAGGTCTGACGCAGGCTTATACAGATTCGAGACGTCAGTAGGACGAGAGGAACTGGGCTGGAAGGGCACAGAGATGTCGGTCTTGAAAAACGCGCTCTTCTTGCCTTCGGTGAGGATGATGCAGCCGATGTCGGTGGGGAAGGAAAATGAACTAAAAGGGAAAGCGTAGGTGAGAGTTTGGGAGGAGAGTACCTCTTGAAGTGCGTTAATGTTCACAAGTCCTGCGTTGCCGGCATAATTAACCGTCAGCCGGGGTGGTGGGAGGGGCTGGGCTTTCACAGAAGACACACCTCTCTCGATAAGCTTCCCTTCCCTGACTCCTCCCTCCGTGACCAGCAGCATGGAGCCGTGAGGTAATTGCAGAGCACCTGAGTGGAGGTCTTCATCCTTGCTTTCGGGTGAGAAAGGGACCTTGTTAAGAGTCGCCAGTGACAGTGGAAGCGTTTGAGCGAGAGGCAGTAAAAGTGAGAGGACGTGAGATAGAGCAGGTGTGGGGAGTATTGGGGTCTGGTCCTCGGATCCAGCTGCCAACGAGGGGACAGGCGGAGAAGGAAACTGGAACAGTGTGACGGAGGGAGGGAGAAGGGGTGGATTTCGTGATTGACTGGCAACAAAGTTAGGGTCAGCGGTTATCCAAGAGCGTCGATGCCTTACACTCTCGCGATGCTTGCAAGAAGAATCCATTCAGCTGCGTCAACATCTCCTCCAAGGGCTTCTAATGCTATCCAGTTAACTAACTCTTCACGAACCGAAAGAGAACTGGCAGAAGGATACGGTCTTTGAACTAACGAACGTTCGTGAGGCCGGGTGAAAAGCACATGAAGGGTTGGAACTTCTGGGGGAGACTCGGCTTCGATATCCATCCTGGTCGAGAATAAGCGTTAGGTGGAGACAGCACAAAGAGCGCAGGAACATACGGCTCTTTCGTTAAAATGCCGACAAAAGTTGCAAGGTCCGCTGACTTTAGCCGTTCTGCCGCGTCCAGGTCGTAGAGCTATTCATATGAGTCATGAGTCATGTTGACATAACAGCTCTTCCGTACCTTCACTTGCACGCCCACATGGGAACCTTCATGGTCGGGGTATTTATACGACTTCAATGGTACATGGACATGTGGGCTTTCTGTTCTCGCCGAGTTGGCAAAGGAACCATCACATATAGCGACACTACTTACGTTCACTTGGACCGCTGAGCTCCTCGAAACACCAGTCTGACTCTCCAGGTATACTGACGGCCCAGACCGTGGTGCATTCTCTCAATTCGCTGACATCGACATTCTGATCATCATCGCCGGGAGTGTCTTCATGTAGCCCCCACCCTCCAAGGGAGCCTGACGCTTTTCTGCGCAAATACATTCCGGGCGAAGGCGACGTGTCTTGAACCATCGCTCGGAAGCGGACGAGGGACCTGTCGCGATACGACTCTGGCGGGTTTCGCACGTCTAATGTTGGAATCTGTGCACAATTAGACAGTTGGGCCGTCTCAATAAAAGGATTGGCGTACCTCGGAAAATGCTCCATCTGAACTGAACACACTCGAGAAGTGCCTTGTTACCTGTGAGGCAAAGTCCTGCACAGTCGAATGCGCGGCGAACAGCTCCTTCAGCTCTGCAGTTGGGTCGCGCAAGGCATCAGCTCGATAAGCAGAGACCATGTTGAGTGGATATGCGGAAGACTGCTGACGACTTTGACTTTTGTGTGCAGCGGGAGAGACGTGAAAACGAGTGTCGCGGTAATCTGAAGACGCGCCACAGACGCGTCCTGGCAGGTTCAACGCCGCCATCAATCTGGGCTTCGGGGATTGTACAAATCACCAGACACGACGGCCCCAGTCGTCGCGCGCGGGAGGACAAATGCTTGCATGAGAGCTTTGCTGTCAAACTACCGGCTGTGTTCACACTAAGAAGTTCGCTCTGTACCGATCCGGGCAATGCTGAAACTATCCGCCGACTTGGTTTTCCCTTCGCCGTATATGATCAGGCCCCCAGTTTCAGTCGCCATCCCGCAAGGACGTCGCTTTTCGTCATTTCTGCGTGCGTGATACTCTCTGCTATATTATGGAGAAAATTTGCAACGAGAAGGTCGAACTTGCCCTATCCGCCAGGGCCACCCGCGGATCCTTTTATCGGACATCTCAGGATTATGCCACCACCCAACACCGCTCACCAGATCTTTTACGACTGGTCTCGACGTTATGGCGATGTCATGTATTTGGAAGTCATTGGCAAGCCTATTGTAGTTCTCAGCAGTGAAGACGCCGCCTCCGATCTTCTCGATAAGCGCAGCTCAATCTACAGCGACCGGTCATCGTTCCCTTTGCAAGAGAGGTAAGCTCAATGTCAATAGTCGACTTCTCTCACGTATTGACATGCTACAGACTGGGCTGGAAAGACTGGTTAGGCCTTATGCCATATGGCTCATCCTTCCGAAAAGCACGCAAGACGATTCAGCTCTTCCTCGAAAAGAACAAGATGCCCGAATGCAAGCCCATTATTCAAGGCCGTGCATTCGCTATTTTTCTGAAGGAGCTGCTGCAAGACCCCACATATATGGAACAGCTGGTGCATTGGTACGCGTCTTAAAAATTCGAAATGATGCATTGAGTGAGAGCAGCTGTGCAGCTACTCTTCTACCATTATAATGGACATCACCTATGGATACCATATAAGATCAAATGACGATGCCGTTTTCCGCGATGTACTGCGATTGTTTCCCATATTCGAACGCAGCGCTCAGCCGTCGTTACTGGATATCTCTCCTCTCTGTGTGTAGAGACTATCTGCTCGTCCAAAACTCTATGCTATACGCTTACCACGGTCCACAAGTTGGCAAGCTACCTGCATGGTTTCCAGGAGCATGGTTCAAGAGATTCGTCAAAGGTACGCGCGCTTGATACTGCATGTCTGAAATGCTTATCGTATATCATTGCGCGACTGCAATAGAGGTGACGCCGTTTATATAACATATGATCGAAGACCCAGTCTACATCGTGCGGAAAGAAATGGTTTGCTTCAGTATCATTTCACACTTAGTCTCCGTAAGAGGGCAAGCTTTCGGCGGAACTCTTGCGTGATGTTGAGCTCACCGCGTTCCAGATTGTAACATGCGGGACGGAGACGGTATGTTATTCCCCCCACCCCTTTTCTGCGTTACCCGTTCTGACAACTGTGCAGACTTGGCACACAGTCACTCTCTTCTTTGCATGTATGCTCCTCAATCCCGAAGCGCAGCGCAAAGGCCAAGAGGAAATTGACAGTATCGTTGGGAACGGTAGACTCCCTGATTTCACTGATCGCGACTCATTACCATATGTCGAGTGCATCGTACAGGAGACGATGAGGTACGCATACGAGGCGGTGATAAATTGAAGCAACCTGACGCTTCTTCCCTCCAGGTGGCACCCCATTGCACCTCTCGGCGTCCCGCACAGGGTGCAGGTCGATGACACGTATCGCGGCATGTTCATGCCTGGGGATGCAACAATTATATCAAACGCCACGTAAGTAGGTAAAAGGGTTTACAGAAGAGGCGGTCTACTAAACGCCGCTTTCCCACACTAGCACAATGGTTCTTGACGAGAGGAAGTTCCACGACCCACGCCTTTTCCGACCGGAGCGGTTCCTCCCCAAGCCATTAGGCGCGGGGGAGGTGCTTTCACCTAGTGTCATCTTTGGCTGGGGAGGACGGTAAGTCACTTGACGTCTTGTGCGCATCTTATCTCAAATCTCTTTCCAGCATCTGCCCCGGTCGCTTCCTAGCTGACCACGCAGTCTGGCTCGCCATAGCGCGGATTCTCACCGTTTTCACCATTTCCAAGATGAAAGACGAAAATGGTGAAGAGATAGAACCTGATAGAACCTGAGCTTAAATTTGTCCACGCCATGACTAGGTATGCCAACCGCTCTGTTATGTTAACAGACGATCTCTAACAGAAAACTTCGTGTTCAGTCATCCTCTGCCGTTCCCTTGTGATATTCAGCCTCACTCAAAGGAGGCAGTCGCGTTGATCAGAAAGGCATACGATCTGGCGCAGATTGCTGATGCAACGACTTCTGTTTGAAGATTTGGTCTTGGTTTCAGTCCTTGTACATCACTGAGTCGACAATCATGCCATGGATGCCACCCCATTATGTGGCCTACACATGGACGCATACGTTCCGAGAGGAGCACGCAAAAAGTAAAGGCGCAGTGCAGAAGTACTAAATGCTTGCCCTCTCTTCTGTATGTACGCTTCGATGTGAAATCTGACGCATTGCAGATCGCCGAACCGCCAGAAGGGTAACAGTGATATTTGTGCTCGGCCTGAGCTTGTGGTCCGAGCCAAACCTGAGATCTGAGCGCTGACTTGCTTACCAAAGGGTAGTGATTCAAATGCTTCGCAAAGTGAGTCTATTAATTTGTATCAGGTTGCTATTACCTGTACTCATCAACTCAACCTCCGCGACTGTCTACAGGCAGGCGCCTACAGCGGATGTCCGGTGACCACGCGCGATTGTGCCTGGTGGCCCAGGTGGGGGTCGTTCAGTCTAAACGTTCGGTATACCGCCTGGTATTGACGTAAACCGCCCATACCCAATTCTAAAACATTTAAAGGACTCTTGCGCCTGTCTCAGATTTTGGTTTGGGGCTTGCCGAGTTCGCGTGAGCCAGCCTGAGAGCGCTGGTAGTCTGCTTCCCTATAAGACTTGGCCAAAAGCCCTTCCGCACTCTGTTTCAGGTCCCCCATGAGTCTCGTAGCGGCGTTTGTGCTCGTATTTTTGTTTGTCCTCTCCCTGCTGCAGGTAGCGTATCGCCGCCGAGCGCGACTACCTTACCCTCCGGGACCCCCTGCGGATCCCCTCATTGGACACATAAGAATCATGCCGGACAACAGCATCTCTCCGGAGGTTTTCCACAACTGGGCAAAACAGCATGGCGATGTCATGTCGCTGAACATTCTCGGGAAGCGTCTAGTAATACTCAGCAGCGAGGAGGCGGCCACAGACTTGCTCGACAAGCGCAGCGCGAACTATGCTGACCGCCCGAGCTTTCCCCTGTATGAAAAGTAGGTGATAAGTTAACTCTCTGAATACCAACTTGCTGAGGTCACGACTACTACGCCAGAATTGGTTGGAAGGACGCACTCGGATTCTTGCCATACGGTCCATATTTCAGAAAAATGCGTAGGATGCTTCAAGCACCGCTTGAAAAGGAAACGGTATCAGCATTTAGGCCTATCGAAGAGCAAGAAACATGTGTTATGCTTTATAATTTCCTCCATGATCCTGCCGGGATGGACCATCATGTTCACCGGTTAGTGTTGTGGGCGACAAAGTATCAGCTCTCACTTGCTCACGCAGAGATATCTAGCTATGCGACTGCAATTAGCATGGAGATCGCCTACGGCCATCGCGTACTTTCAAGCGATGACGAGTACCTCAAGATCGCCAAGAGGATTTTCGACGCCTTGCATGACGCCAGCCGGCCCTCGCTGTTGGACGTATCTCCAATATGTTAGTGGTCGACTTTACGATGTTATACAGTGATCTTGAACTCACACATAACCCCCAGTTGAGAACCTGCCTGCCTGGTTCCCAGGTGCTTGGTTTGTGAAGTTCATACAGGGTACGCCTAGTGTTCCTCGAACTTCAACCTGACTGAACGCTCAAGGCTGCTGGCAGAGACGAAGCCCGTGATCTTGCATGACATCCTACACCCAGTATCTATGGTGCAGGAGCAGCTGGTGCGCCCCCGACTTGTTTGCTGTCTCAGTAGCATTTAACCTTCCTCTCGCAGGCCGCTGGCACCGCTAAGTTGTCGTTCGTGTCGCAGTATTTAGAAGATCTTCAGCGGGAAGGCCGACTTACATCGGAGAGCCAATACGACGTGAGCATGGCGGCAAGTCAGATTATTGCAGGTATAGCAGCCTGTCTCTATCTCCACAAAAAGAAGTACTGACCTGGCACCAGGCGGGTCCGAGACAGTGAGTCTATGATGCGCTGCGCTGTCCCCCCACCACTGACACAGGCATAGAGCTGGCACACAATAACAACGTTTATCGCATGCATGCTTACAAACCCCGACGTCCAACGCAAAGCCCAGGCAGAGATCGATAGAGTGGTCGGAAACGGCCGTCTTCCTGACTTTACCGACCGAGACTTACTTCCATATATTGAATGCGTTGTGAAGGAGACTATGAGGTATGTAGACTGATTTTTCGCCAACAGGAATCCCAAGCATGCTCAATATTCTGTAGGTGGCAGCCGGTGGCCCCGCTCGGCTTACCCCATAGCGCAACAGAGGATGACGTATATCGCGGTATGTGCATACCAAAGGGCGCCTTTGTTATAGCCAACGCCAGGTGGGTCTTGAACAGTCTTCTATACGTTAAACTGGTCGATTCGTCTCCCGATATAGGAGCATTACCTGGGACGAGCGCAAGTTCCATGAGCCTCGCTCTTTCAAGCCAGAACGGTTCATGCCCAAGCCTGAAGGTGCAGGAGAGGTATTGCCTCAAGGTGGTGCCTTTGGTTGGGGCCGTCGGTGAGCTACAGTTTGCTCCAGCCGCTGCCTGAGCTCATAGGATCCGCAGCGTCTGCCCCGGTCGCTACCTGGCGGACAACATGATATGGATTGGCATTGTCCGCATTCTAGCCGTGTTCGACATTGGGAAGGCCAAGGACGCAGATGGAAGTATAATCGAGCCGCGGATCGAGTTTATCACGTCTCTCTCAAGGTACTGTCCGCCCACTGGCTCACTAGAATGGCAGATTCTAAATGAGCTGTGATTAGCCATCCTAAACCCTTCCCTTGCGATTTGCGGCCACGCTCGGAAAAGGCTGCCGAGCTCATCAGGCAGGCCTACGACCTGCACATGGCTGGCGCTACAACTTAGCGATTTTCCAGAGAGGGCGAGGCCTCGAAGGTCTGGGCGAAGCAAATCGAGCACTGATCTTACGAGAGAAAATCTGCATACGGGGGACAGCCAGACGCTTACCCTAAGTGCATAAGCTGAATATACCGTTATGTTGCAAATTTGTTCTGGCTTCTTCAAGTCGTGGGCGATAACGTAGCCCTGGCCGGACTGGCGCGTGCATCCGGCGAGATTATCTAGCCTGAGATTGCTTCAGGCTGCCACATTATTCCATTCCTGAGAATGAGCTACGCGACTTTCTGATATTATGGAACTCTGGTAGCGCCGCAGATTGTGCTGGAGCCAGTGTTGGTTGGTTAACGAACCGAGTAACCAGGTAAAGGTTAACTATCGTGACTAGTCATTGACTACTGTATCTTATCAGTAGTGATTTGACTGGCTCGGCTTTGGCTTGGGCCGCGGCTTGCGTCCTGATTAGGCAGGTGCTGTGGATTGACCTTGTCAACAGTTTCACAGCTGCCACACGTAGACACACAGTCATGTACAACATGTAAATGGTTTTATTGCATGAAAAAAGGTACGAATACATACTCTGAGGTATAATATGGATGTGGAACATTAATCAAGTCGCTCAGAAACTCGAACCTCATACAAACAAGGAAACTGTCGGCGCAATGCTTGTATTATTGGCACATCTCCACATCGTACATTATCAAAGCTATCTGTATAATTATATATCGCTGTTGTCTAAATGATCATGGTTCCAAGAGCCCTAACTGGAAACCTCCTGCGCATTCAAGGTCATCTCAGCAAGATCCTGGGCCAATTCCTCCTCCTCCTCCACAAGAAAAGCAGCAGAAACAGAGAATGTACCAAATGAAATGTGCGAATATGGCGTGTGTATGTGTGGCGGACAGCGAAGTCTGACACGATGCAGCGGGCACCTCTCACGGTCGGGGGTGTGAGGGGTGCCGGCGAGCCGCGAGAGGTGCGACGTGACATTCCGTGCGCACTCTCATGCTCGTGCCACTGCGCTCAGATGGACGATTTAATACCTATCTGAAGGCTTGTGCGCCGGCGTGCACACTGCCCAGCACCTCGACGCGGGCACCCTGCAGACTGCATTGTGCTACCTGGAGGCCGTTTGCCGCTCGAAAGCGCGCGAAGACCGCGGCGGCCTCTTGACAACTAACAGGAGTGAATTACCCAGGCAGCCTGGATCATTCGCTCTCTCGCTATGGCTAGTTTTTGTCTGGTGCACGCGAGAGTGGTCGTTGACGACATCCCGGCATCATCCATCAGAGCGTCTGCAACGGCAGCTCTCGTTAATGCCCATCTGCCTGCCGCAAGTAGGTGCTGATCAAGTTCTTATGATTATTCTGACAGTAGTACTAAATACAGTAAATTTATTGTCTAAAGCCGCGGCTTGCCAGCTTGGCTTGGCTGGCTTGCTGGCTTGAAGCCGAGCCAGTCAAATCACTAGTCTTCATGGAGAGTAACTGCCAGCAGGAAGCACAAAGACTTCCTGCATCCTGTTCCTGCATCAATTATGACATCTTCACCACAAAGTATAGATTCAAGGCTGTCGAGCTGTTGTTGCAGAGTGACGATCATGGCTGCACGAGCACGAACTGGCTGACCGAGGGCGGGAGCATGCGGGCACAATCTAATACACACAAGGGCAAAGCCCGGTAAGTCTGGGTGTGAAGGAAAAGAGCACACATGTATACTGTACCCAATACACACAAGGGCAAAGCCCGGTAAGTCTGGGTGTGAAGGAAAAGAGCACACATGTATACTGTACCCAATACACACAAGGGCAAAGCTAGTACGGTATGAGCATAAGGCATAATGCAAGGGCAACAAGGAATACTCACTCCGGGTGCAAAGGGAAAGAGCACACAGAGTGATACCGGAGGAGGGTAAGACTATATAGTGAAACAAGTGATGTCCGCATCAGAAAATCGAAACTGTTATCATAGGAGTGTCCTCGCACTGAGCGCGTTACATATCTGAGACGATCCGGAAGCCGAGACATCCATCCGTTCAACACGAGCTGCCAGGAGAAGGGCTTGCACCCGGCAAGAGCCTCGACTTTTTCGGATGCAGCTTCGCAGAGATCATCGTCAAGCTCATCTCTAGCATAGTGTTGGGCCTTAGAGACTCTGTGCGACGTTGTAATGAGCAAAAAACAAGTCTATTTCCCCCTATTTTGCTGTAGGTACGGCGGAATATCTCGACGTGCGCGGGCACTCTACCTCCCTTTCCGGGCACCTGCTGAGTTTGAAATCTCGTCCCTCACTCCTCCTTCCAGCCGCCCTGTATAATATATGACAGGGCGGCTGGTATCGAGCCTAGGTTCGTCTAGTCAGGTCATTAACTACTTACTGGTCATTTACTGGTCATTTACTAGTCATTAACTCGCGCAACACTGGCTGGAGCTGCGTGGTAGAGCCTATCAGGGCTCCCGACGTAGTGAAAGGGCGCTAAATATTCGATGCGCAGAGGGGTGTCCGAGCCCGCTAGATCGGCGACGACAGCTCTCGTCAACTTGAAACCCTCTAGCTCATGAATGTCGCAGTAGACCCTTGATGCTGAGCGCCGATGGACCGCCCCCTCATATGACAGTTTCGCGAAAGCCTCAGAGGACACTTTGTCTCTGACGACGACGATGAATCTCCTGACAGCACTCGCTCTTATTTTCCTATGCACTGTCGTTGTAGTGCGGGCGGCGCGTCGTGGTGGGATGCGGCTGCCTTTCCCTCCGGGACCTCCTGCGGACCCCCTCATTGGACATCTGAGGATTATGCCGGGAATAGCCGTCTCCGCAGAGGTCTTCCACGACTGGGCAAAACAGCACGGCGATGTTATGTCGCTAAACGTTCTCGGGAGGCGTCTATTGATCCTAAGCAGCGAAGAGGCGGCTACAGATCTGCTTGACAAGCGCGGCTTGAAGTATGCTGACCGTCCAAGCTTTCCCATGTATGAAAGGTGGGTGACAGCTCGACTTCGTAGATGTCGACGCGCTGAAGAGGCTTTTTCAGAATCGGCTGGAAAGATGCGCTCCCGTTCCTGTCATATGGACAATACTTCAAAAAAACGCGCAAGATGCTTCACACGCTATTGGAAAGAGAAAAGGTGTCAGCGTTCAGGCCTATCGAAGAGCAAGAAGCATGCGTTATGCTCTATAACTTCCTCAATGATCCTGCGGGAATGGAGCGCCATGTTCTCCGGTCAGTGCTGCGGTAGTAGATCGTCAGCCTTCGCTCACATGAAGACACTAGCTATTCGACTGCAATTACCATGGAGATAGCCTACGGCCATCGCATACTGTCAAACGACGACGAACACCTCAAGGCTGCCGAAAGGATTCTCGATATCTTGCTCGAAGCTAGCCAGCCCTCACTGCTAGACGTTTCCCCTTTATGTTGGTTGATAGACTGCTCGGGCGCCATGGTCTCAGGCTCACAAATGAATTCTTAGTTGAAAACTTGCCTGCCTGGTTCCCAGGTGCTTGGTTTGTGAAGTACATACAAGGTTCGTCCAACTTTCTTCGGAATCTAAGGCCGTCGTATATACTCAACATCGGCTGGCAGAGATAAAACCTAGGGTCTTGCATGACATTCAACACCCTGTATCTGTGGTACGGCAACAACTGGTACGCTTCCAAGCTGTTTACTGCTTTAATCAACAATAGACGCCGCTGTTTCAGGCTGCTGGCACCGCTAAGCAGTCATTTGTGTCACAACAACTAGAAGATCTCCAAAGGGAAGATCAACTTACACCGGAGAGCCTCTACGATCTGACCACGGTAGCGAACCAGATATTCGGAGGTATAGTAGCTTGTTTCTATTTCTGCAGCGCGAGATGCTGACCCAGCACCAGGCGGATCTGAGACAGTGAGTCGACGGTGCAATGCACTAAGGTTCCTCCCGACTGACATAGACACAGAGTTGGCACACCATAACGACGTTCATTGCGTGCATGCTCACGAACCCCGACGTCCAACGTAAAGCCCAAGAAGAGCTCGACAGAGTGGTCGGAGACGGCCGTCTTCCTGACTTTACCGACCGAGACTCACTTCCATACGTTGAGTGCGTTGTCAAGGAGACTATGAGGTACGTGGTCTCTCCTGAGGGATAGGTTTTGAATCACACCCCTACGCTTGTAGGTGGCACCCGGTGGCCCCACTTGGCATACCTCATAAGGCAACAGAGGACGACGAATACCGTGGCATGTCCATCCCAAAGGGCGCTACTGTCATAGCCAACTCCAGGTAGGCCTAGTATTCTGTGTGGCAAGCTGACTGGCTTACCTCCCGGCTCAGGAGCATCACCTGGGATGAGCACAAATTCCACGACCCTCTGGCTTTCAAACCAGAGCGATTTTTGCCCAAACCTGTAGGCGCAGGAGAGGTGCTCCCGCAAGGCGGCGTTTTTGGGTGGGGCCGACGGTAAGCCGCAGTTTCCTCAAATCGCCGCACGAACTCACAAGGTCCTCAGGGTCTGCCCTGGCCGCCACCTTGCGGACAACATGGTGTGGATTGGTATAGTCAGAATCTTGGCTGTATTCGACATCGGAAAGGCCAAGGACGCCGACGGAAATGTCGTTGAGCCTCAGATCGAGTTCACGACGTCAATTACAAGGTGTGGTGTGGTTGCTAGCCTAATGGCGCGGGTAGATTCCAACTAAGCTGTGGCTAGTCATCCCAAGCCCTTCTCTTGCGATTTGCGGCCGCGCTCGGCGAAGGCGACCGAGCTCATCCGGCAGGCGTACGATCTGCACATGGTCAATGCCGCAGCTTAGCGGTTCCGAGGAGAGCGGGGCCTCGAAGGCGGTGCGTGTAGGAAGAGGGAAGCAACATACGGGCACAACCGGAACGGGAGGCTTGCGGCCAGCTGACCGGGACATACCCGATATAGTAATTTACACGCTCAGTTAAACTCTTCCTCTACGATGCTTCACTCCTTCCGCATGCTCTGGTGATTTGGCAACGGTGTGATAGCCGGCAGAGTATTTGCACACGGGTCAGTATGTTTTGTTTAAATAAGACGGGTCCGCAACAGCCCCTGCGCATCGTACCTGGTCTCGACAATGAACCTCCCGACGGTACTCATCTTTGTATGCCCATGCATCCTCGTCCTAGTGCGGGCAGCACGCCGTCGTCGAGCGCGGCTACCCTACCCTCCAGGACCTCCCGCGGACCCCCTCATTGGACACCTGAGGATCCTACCTGACAATAGCGTCGGCGCGGAAGTCTTCCACGGTTGGGCTAAAAAGTACGGCGACGTCATGTCGCTGAACATTCTTGGGCAACGTCTGGTCATACTCAGCAGCGAGGAGGCAGCCGCGGATCTGCTCGACAAGCGCAGCGCGAACTATTCCGATCGTCCAAGCTTTCCCATTTATGAAAGGTGAGCAGGAGTCCAGTTTTGAGGCATATATGTCCTGATGAGCTCTGCCAGAATCGGGTGGAAAGATTCGCTTGTGTTCTTGCAGTACGGCCAGTACTTCAAGAAAATGCGCAAGATGCTCCAGGCCCCGTTGGAAAAGGACGGGGTGTTCGCGTTCAGACCCATCGAGGAGCAAGAATCCTGCGTTATGCTGTACAATTTTCTCAATAACCCTGCGGGAATGGATCGCCATGTTCACCGGTCAGTGTTGTCCGGGCAATGTATCAACAGCTCTTACTCGTGGTCATGTGTCTAGTTATGCGACTGCAATCTCGATGGAGATTGCGTATGGCCATCGCGTGCTTTCGGACGACGACGAGTATTTCAAGGCTGCCGAGACCTTCCGTCACATGTTGGAAGAAGGAGGCCGGCCGTCGCTGCTTAACCTGTCTCCCATATGTGTGTCGTCGAGTCATGCCATACAGTGGTGCTCATACTCACATGCAACCCGTTAGTCGAGAAGCTGCCTGCGTGGTTCCCAGGCGCCTGGTTCGTAAAATACATACGGGGTACGTCGAACAATCCTCGAAGCTCAAGGTCACGAACACTTACCATTAGCCGACAGAGGCGAAGCCCGTGGCTTTGCATGATATACAGAAGCCGGTGTCAGATGTACAACAGCAATTGGTATTTCGCCGACGTGTGTACTATCTGGACTGGTATTGAAGTTTCCTCGTGCAGGTTGCTGGTACTGCCAAGCAGTCTTTTGTGTCTCAGCACCTGGAAGATCTTACGAGGGAAGGTCGACTTACGCCGGAGACCCTGTATGACCTGAGCATGGTGGCGCAACAGATATTCGGAGGTATGATTTTGATCTTAATCCTTATGCAATAAAGTACTGACCTAATTCCAGGCGGGTCGGAGACAGTAAGCCAACGGTGCACTGCCTCTCAAAAATATTCTCATTGACGAGACCGCAGAGCTGGCACACTATCACGACATTCCTCGCATGTATGCTCATGAACCCCGATATCCAACGCAAAGCCCAAGAAGAGATCGACAGAGTGGTCGGAAACGGCCGTCTCCCCGATTTCACCGACCGAGATCTACTTCCGTACGTTGAATGCGTTGTCAAGGAGACTATGAGGTATGTAGTCTTTCCTGAGAACCAGTTTCGATCACACTTATGTGCTGTTAGGTGGCACCCAGTGGCCCCTCTCAGTGCACCTCATAGAGCGACAGAAGACGACGAATACCATGGTATGTACATCCCAAAGGGCGCCCTTATCATCTCCAACTCCAGGTATGTCAGGTCTTCTGTGCGACAAGCTGACTAACTGACCTATATACAGGAGCATCACCTGGGATGAGCGCAAGTTCCATGACCCGCTCTCTTTCAAGCCAGAACGGTTCCTACCGAAGCCCGAAGGTGCAGGAGAGGTGCTGCCGCAGGGCGGCGTCTTTGGTTGGGGTCGACGGTGAGTTGCAATCACCTTAAGCTGCTGCACGAGTTCATGAAAAATGCAGCATCTGCCCTGGCCGCTACCTGGCGGACAACATGGTGTGGATTGCAATAGTCCGCATCCTGGCGGTGTTCGACGTCGGGAAAGCTAGGGATGCCGACGGAAACGTTGTTGAGCCTTCCATCGAATTTACCACTGTGGTTACAAGGTATCGTTTCGCTACCGGCTTTTAGGGTCGGCCAGTATTGACAAGTTGTGCATAGCCATCCCAAGCCTTTCGCATGCGACCTGCGGCCACGCTCGGAAGAGGCTGCAGAGCTCATCAGACAAGCATATGACATGCACATGGCTGACGTCGCGATCTAGCAGATTATGCAGCCGATTGTACGGCACAGGCCGGCGTCCATGCCTTGTGCGTATCAAGGCCCGGCCGTACTGACCTTGGCCACAGGTTCACAGCACTTGGTGCATCTGCTTCTTGCATTACTCCCCCACTCATTCGTTGCCTCTCCGGTTAATTTTGCTTACTATCGTAGTACGTTCATCGAATGTGCCACAAGCCATGTCGTTCCTGTTCGTCCTGGGTGTTGTGTGCCAGTGGTCTGTGTGACCGTGGACACTTGAATCAACCAGCTGATGAGCATCATGATCTCGCTGATGAGTTTATAGCACTTTGCTTACGTAAGTTTTGCGGCCAGCGAAAAGTCAAGTGCAGTTCTCAATCATTTCAATGCGAACGCAGCGTGATGCATAATGCATGATGGCCTGCAGAGTTTTCGCACGAGTCGACATGTTAAGACGGCTCTGTGCAACCCTACTCGCACATTGTCCCTGACCCCAACGATGGACCTTCCAGTGCTGCTCGTTCTCGTATCATTATCCGTTCTCGTCTTCGTGCAGGCCACACGACGCCGTCGTATGCGGCTGCCTTATCCTCCGGGCCCCCCTGCAGATCCTCTCATCGGACACCTAAGAATGATGCCAGACAGTGACGTTGCTCCGGAGGTCTTTCACGGCTGGGCCAAGCAGTACGGCGACGTCATGTCGCTGAATGTTCTCGGGAAGCCGCTGTTAATCCTCAGCAGCGAGGAGGCGGCCATGGACTTGCTTGACAAGCGCAGCTTGACGTATTCTGACCGCCCAAGCTTTCCTATGCTTGAAAGGTGAGCAAGTCCCTAAATTTCTAGACACACATTCGCTGAAGAACTCTACCAGACTCGGGTGGAAAGATGTGCTCGTGTTCGTACCATACGGCCAATACTTCAAAAAATTGCGCAAAATGATCCAGGTGCCTTTTGAGAAGGAGAAGGTGTCCACATTCAGGTCTATCGAAGAGCAGGAAGCGTGTGTTTTGCTATACAATCTTCTCAATGATCCTGTGGGAATGGATCGCTATGTTCATCGGTTAGTATTGTGACAGCATGTCGTCGAACACTTGCTCACACTCACGCGCCAGCTATTCGTCTGCAATCATACTGGAGATCTCCTACGGCCATCGCGTTCTCTCAAACGATGACGAGTACTTCAAGGCTGCCGAAATCATCCTTCACGTATTGCACGATGTTAGTCGGCCGTCGCTACTTGATGTGTCTCCTATATGTATGTTGTTGGGGTCATGGGATATAACAACGCTCGCACTCACATCTAACATCTAGTTGAGAAGCTGCCCGCATGGTTCCCAGGTGCTTGGTTCGTAAAATATATACGGGGTACGTGCAACTACATCTGAAGCTCAAGATCAAGAATAATTAACGCCGAGTGACAGAAACAAAGCCGGTGGTTTTGCACAACATACAAATGCCGGTAGCCGACGTGCAAAAGCAGCTGGTACTCCGTGGACGTACCCGATCTCTACGTCATGATCTGAGTTGCTTCTCATAGGTTGCTGGTACTGCCAAACAGTCGTTCGTGTCGCAGCACCTAGAAGATCTTACAAGGGAAGGTCAACTTACACCGGAGAGCCTGTACGACTTGAGCATGGTGGCGCACATGATATTTGGGGGTATTACACCAGTCTCCGCTCTGATGCGATAAATACTAATGCACTACCAGGCGGGTCGGAGACGGTGAGTCTGCGATGCCCTCAAGGTTTTCGTTCGCTGACATACACACAGTCCTGGCACACCATAATGACATTTATCGCATGTATGCTCACAAACCCTGACATCCAACGCAAAGCCCAGGAAGAGATTGACAGAGTGGTTGGAAACAGCCGTCTCCCTGACTTCACCGACCGGGATTCGCTGCCCTACATTGAATGTATCGCCCAGGAGACCATGAGGTATGCGGCCTAGTTTGTCTAAGAAGCGAGGGTTTTGAGCTATGCTTGTGCTCTTCAGATGGCACCCTGTAGCTCCTCTCGGCGTCCCTCATAAAGCAACAGAAGACGACGAGTACCGCGGAATGTACATCCCAAAGGGCACTACCATCATGGCCAACGCCAGGTGGGTCTTGAGCAGCCTTCTATACGACAAGTTGATTGATTTGTCTTCCAACTTAGGAGCATCACTTGGGACGAGCGTCACTTCCACGACCCTCTGACCTTCAAGCCAGAGCGATTCCTGCCCAAGCCCGAAGGTGCGGGAGAGGTGTTTCCTCAGGGTGGCATCTTCGGGTGGGGCCGACGGTGAGCCTCGATATACTACTTAGACTGCGGCGACTCATGATGTGCATAGCATCTGCCCCGGCCGCTACCTAGCTGACAACATGGTGTGGATTGCCGTGGTCAATATCCTGGCTGCGTTTGATGTCAGGAAGACCAAGGACGCCGATGGAAACATTATCGAGCCTCAGATCGAGTTCATCACCTCGATAACAAGGTGCCGTCTCGCTGCTGGTTCCCCGCGCCGGCGGACCCTGACATACTATGACCAGCCATCCCAAGCCCTTCCTTTGCGACCTAAAGCCACGCTCAGAAAACGCTGCGAAGCTCATCAGGCAGGCATACGATATGCATATGGCCAACGTCGCGACTTCGTAGTAGCCCGGAAGGGACGGCACCCCAGAGGTGGCACGTCTAGGCAAGAGAGACCGTGCATTAATCCTGGAAGAAGGGATCTACGGATGAGGAACAACCAGAACAGAAGTTATTACACTAAGTGCATGAGCTGAATACAATGGTATGAGGCTATAAGTGACTTTAAAACAACATGCGCGAGTAAAAGTCCTGAAAGGAGCTGTCGTGAAAAACGAGCGAGGGGGGTCGGCATGTCTACATCATGCAACGCTGCTCAAGACAGCCTTCGGAGATGGCGGGGTCGACGGTGATGTGCCAGTGATAGACGTCGCGACGGAGGTCCCACGGCGCAACGAACGACGCGGACGAGAGCCAGAAGAGCTCTGCAACTGAGTCTTTGATCGTGAAGACACGCTCTCCCCTGGCTCAGCTGGAGGTTCTGTCTTGACCGTAGGTGACATGATGGCAGTCATACGAGGAAGTCGAATCTTCAGACCAGATGACGGAGTGGTGGTCTCCTTGGTGACAGAAGGTAGAGCAGCCTTGGGAGTCATCGGCTTGGCGACGGGGGCCACCGATGCAGACTTCTCTTTCTTCGGAGGTTCGACAGGAGTAGGCGGAGTCGACTTATAGCTCCGCAGCGACGGGTGCAAGGAAGTTGGAGCCGGCACGCTGAGAGCGAGACGTTGGCTATGCACGACACCGTTGATATGTGGGGAAGGCTCGTTCATGGGTGTGGTCTGTTTCGTCGGTGGCGGAGGGGTTATCTTGGCTGCCGGCGGAGTGACAGCTGGAGCAGGTGGTGGCGGCGGCAGAGCAGGTGTGGTGATCATGGGCGAATCTAACCTACGTGGCGGTTGCCTATTACGCTTCGGCCTTGAGATACCATTGGCTGCCGAACCAGACTCGGGAGCAGTCTCTGATTGAGCAGGTGGTTCAGGTGCGACAGAGGGAGGACCTGGTTGTGCGGACGAAGGAGTCGTCGAAGTAGCAGCTTTACTCGACTTGGCACCTTTGCGTTCGGCCTTCCTAGTGAACTTGCCGTTGTAATCCCTTTTTGGCCTGCGAGCAGCTTCAATCTGTGCTGGCAAGTACTCTCGCGAGTCCTCAGATAGATCATCTGTGCCGTCCACCGACGTTTCTGTGTGATTCCACGGTCGTAGACGTCTCGTGGTACTAGCCCGTCCTGAACGGCGCAATTCGGGCTCCAGAACGGTCAGCCTCAGATAACGGCGGAGATAGAAGCGAACTCACTTGCAGATTACCAGAAGCGGCACTGTCACCTGCGATCTCCGTAATGGTACCACTTGTCCGAGCTGCCGTCGGCTTCGAGGCTTTATTCTTCGTATGTTCTGCTTTCGTTGAGTTACCAGCAGGTGCCGGAAGGAGAGGCTGAGACGATCCGCCTTTCGCCGGAATCTGCTGCAATCCGCAAAGTGCCTGGAACGAAATGAGCGTCAAATGCAGTATTTAATGCAGGCCACATACTAGGGCAGCCTTGAGCTGGTCCAGGTCAAACTGCATCTTGTTATCTTGAGGGTCCACTTTAAGGGCGATATCCTCGATATCATCGTCGTCCATAGGGCCAACGGAACTCAACGATGTAAGCGGGGACGATAGAGCACTGTGAGGGGGACACTCGCTGTCAGAATGCAGTCGTTTAGTTATACAAAGGCTCAAAACGTTCAAAACGCACTCTTGAAGATGCGGTCTCCCCTTTCCGGTCTTACTCCAAAAGTCCATGGTGATGACTCTTTCTGGAACTCGGTACCGGCGACCGTTAATCAGGACCTCGTCAACAATCAGTTTCGGTGGTGGAGCGTTAGGTGTTTCTGGCTGGGTGACTTCGATGTTACCGTTGTTGAATTGGCCAGGCTTCATGACTTCTATCGGGGGAGCATTATTCTTGGGTATTCGCTTTTTGGGTTGCTGCGTACGAGTCAGTGAGCAGAGCAAGAAGAGCGTGAATACACGAACACATACCAAAATCTGGTCAGCATGGTTCGGACACATCCACCGCTTGTTCCAAAGAGGCATGTAGGTCATCGGAGGATCGAGGCAGTCCAGGTGCCAGTGGAGGTGACAGTAGTCACATGAGATGATGCTCCGTCCGCCAGCAGCATCCTGCGCGGTGCTACACGCGCTGGCCGCCCTCCTCGCTCGCTTGGTTGCAGGACCCGCAGCGGCTAGGTCGGGAGGAAGAGCAGAGGCACCACAGCGATAGCAAAGGACTGGATCGCCGTTGCGATCCTTCAGTCTGTAAGGCTCGCGATCCTCGAGTTGACCATGCCGACTGGGAGAACAATGAGCGGAGTACGAAAGCTGGGGAAGCGTGCGCACTTTAGTCTAGGAACCTTGACCTCGGAACTATCGACATACGTCCCTTTGGGACCTGTGGAAACTGCGGTGGAAAGGGTGTCAACGTCATTGACGCCAATATCTGAACGCGAGAACGTACCGTCCTTGAAAAAGCTCCTAATATCCTGGGGCAACTGAAACTCGCCCGGTAAGCTTGTTTGTAGCTGATCTATCAGAGGGGCCATGAATTTGAGCGATGCTGTTGGTTTCGTCGGCGGTTTCTGCGACATGTTGGTGATGAGAGAGTGCAACTGCCGGAACTCGTGGACCTACCTGTTTAAGCATACACGCTGGGCAAAGCCACTTGGCGTCTCCAGCTGGCAGATCCGTCACATCCATCGGTGGATTGAGGCACCAGAAGTGGTACGCTCTTGGACAGCCATCGCAATATACAAGGGAGCCCAGAGAACGACACGCAGAACAATGGTCTTCGTTCGACTGCGGCGGCACTGAACATCTGATGATTCGAGGAGGAAGTGAATCACATACGGTCTGACTCGGGGCCTGAGCGTCGTAAGCACTAAGAGAGATGGTCTCGGGCTCCTCCTTCACCCTCACTTGCGCCGCCCTTTCCCTCCCCTTTCCTTTGATATCCCGTCGCAACGAGCCTCTCCTGGCCGATGAAACTTCTTCGTCGCCAAGCTGAACAGAGTTTGAGCGTGACAGCATGGCATCGTCTGAATCGACTTGCATGAGATCTGACTCGGGGATGAGGGTTGCAGAAGAAGCGACGGCATCCGCTGGCACACTGGTCTCCGACGCCGCCGCCGACGTTGACGCCGTAACAGCCATGCTGCGAGCTGATGCACGCTGCGCTCGCGAAGATGAGGACCTGGTAGGGCGAAGCGAGGCGTTGCAAGTCACGTCGGCAAGGATTGAGGAGAGTCAAAATTGAGGGAGCCCGTGCGGTATGGATTAACGACAGCATGGGGAATCACCGACGATAGTTCGGGGGAGCATCCGTCAGGCAGCAGAGGAGTAAACAGAACATTCCAAGGTCAGCGTGAGAGCAATGTGAGAGTATGGGAGCGACGTACCCTTTATCCAGTCTCGCTCGTTTCCTCCGGGACCCGTCGACCTCGGTCGTGATAGCCATGGTGCTCACCGTATTGGCCCCGTATGTGGTCCCGGGGTCAGACGTAGGTAAATAGGACGTCACGACGGATGTCTTTTTGTGGTCCTTTTTTAGTTGTCCGAGCTGCTGGACGGAGGGCAGCGGCGGGGGCCCTGGCAGAATCTCTGTCGCCAGAGCCGGGTCCCCTTCCAGGTGGAGCGGTTGGGTCACCGTCGGTGCTGCAAGCAAACAGGCTGGGATGCCCTCCACAGAGGTCATCGCAGTGATGGTTAGAGAGCAGGTCGAAGTCACCAGTGACAGTAGCCGACCAAGTCTTGAAGGCTCAAATCCGACGTGCGTCAAAGTCAAGGGGCAAGCCTTTCTGCCCAATCACAAACATACTCGCATGGCCGACTAATAAAATCACTCTTTATGTCCTCATACTCCTATACTGTAGATACATTAACGAGAACTCGTCCTATTTGCCTCGTACTACGCGTCCAGGAGACCATGCCTTGTAGTAGCACAGCCAAGTGTCGATGGACCATTCGCCCGGTCTCGTCCCGCAATTTCGCGGTAGCCAACAGGAAATTCCGTATGAAATGAGTCTTGGATTCATGCCGCATCAACCGTATGCAAACGAAGGTCGTCCATTTTCACCGCGTTGCACGGCACCATGTCGTCGAGCGAACCCCAGTCGACGAAACCGTTATCGGGTCCGAGGGCACCGCCTGGCTCTCGACAGCTGTTTGCTACAGGCCGCAAGCCTCGCTAGGACCGTAATGAAGCCCAGTAACAGGCAGGTGCGTGCAGCTACATAGTCTAGGCCCGTTCAAAGTCATTAGTGCATCTTAGGGGATGAACATTCTAGGGGCGTACTTACGTGCTTAGCATGATCCTATTCACTTCTCTGGTATCCTGAGAGAGCGCGAACAGTCTAGCAATGCCCACACATGGCATAAGTGGCGTAAGTTCCTCGAAACGAACCTGAGGTCAGGTCATCCTGGAAGTGCGTGCCGACAGTAGAGATCGAGGTCAACGGAGAACATTTCCTTCTTACGGACAGTCGCCTCGGTGGGAAATATGCTCGGTTAACTTACCGAGTTAGTAGGAAAGTGAATAGGTGTCCCTGTGCAATTCCCGTCCATGAATTATCAGCGATATCGGCCCCATTCGTGGAGCGACCGACTCCTCCTCCAGGATACGGTAGCACCGTGTAATGATGCCTATACTGACCGACTTGTAAATATACGTCAGATGCAAACTAGACAGTGTCATATGAGGACTACTCACAGTTCCTGGGAATTCAGCCCAACCTTTGGACCAAACTCTCACTGAGCACCAACAACAGAGCTAAGACAGGATGCAGAGTGATCGGTCAAGACAGCAATTGACACGCCAGAGCCTCAGTACGAATTACGATGAGCTAAGATGTAGCTCAGCCATGAATACCCTCGTCCGTGTTCGCCGCTGGTGAGAGCGATGCAGTCGCGCGCGCAGGTTCGCCGCACTAGCGCCGATATGGAAAAGCACGCAGGAAATCCACAAAACTCAGCAAATAAATACAGGTATTGTGCTAATGGAGGTATCCGGAGAGGAAATGGGTAACGTGAGAAGGGAAAGGGCCCTATGATGCTACCCGATGTCGTTTGAACGCGGCCTCAATATCGTTCTGCGTGTACTCGAGCGTAACGCCAGTGTTCGCGTAGCATTGGGCAATCTTCCTGTTGAAGAACTCTGTCATGCGCAGCAGCTCCTCTTCGCATGCCTTCCATACTCCCACGAGAACGGTACCTGGAGCGATGCCGGTGCTTGAGCTCGCCTGCTCTGACGTGGCAATGTCCGCAGCTTCAGTGAAGTGCTTCTCGACGCGCTTGAAAAGCGCGCTGACGTATTTCTGCAAGTCCTTCGTGTCGTACTCCTTAATGATTTTGCGGACAGCAGATTTTGAGTAACTGCTGTTCGACGCAACCTCGGTAGGTGCAGTTGTCTTGAGAAGCCGTTCCACTCCCTCGAAGTATTCCTAGAAACAACGGTCAGAATGGAAACTCCCGCAGATAGCATAAAGGGCTCACGAGTATCTTGGCAAATGGCCTTCGGAGAACTAGCTTGGTATATGCGATCAGGTTCTCATCATAGATAGCCTGAGCTCTTTGCAAGAAAGATGCCACGGAGCCTATGTCCAGCTGCGACATTTCTGCGATGAAGTAGTGCATATTTTCTGGAGGTAGCAGTCAGTCAGAACTAAGTAATCAAGGAGACTGAAGCTTTACCGATGATAATGACATGATAGTTCAGCTGGCCCTTGTCTTCGCCTTCGCCGTCCATCTTCGCCATCTGCTTCAGAGCAGCGAACATTGCTTCAACTATGCGACTGTACGACGCATCTACCACCTGCCTAATCTCTAAGGTATCTGCGCCGATCAACAATGTCTCGATACGTCCAACGTAGCTCGGGAAAACCTTGACAAAGGTTACGACACCGTTGCGTTTCTTGCTTGTGAGGTTCGTCTCGCTAATCTCCTTGAGGAACTCGGCCTATCCAGTCCCATGAGCAACTCGAAGTCACATGGGATAGTATAGTAGACATACCACCTGTCTGTCGTACAAGGTTTTCATGCGCATGTGTTGCTTCTCGAGAAGACTTAAGAAAAATGAATTGCCGCGTTCTTCGGCCTCAGTAAGAAACCTTTCTGAGCAGACGATCATGCCAACTATCTGGCTAGAAAGACATGCGAGCATGAGGCTACGGCGCTACACTCGGAGCAATTGGCACGTACATCTTGTCCTTCGCCAGGGCATTGTCAAGCCACATCTTCAGCTCAGCCGGCAGGAAGCCGAAAATCAGATCCATGGCTCCGCGCACAAGCTTGAGCGTATTGGGACTGAGGCCTGCAGAACGCGCAGCTTGTCGACGAAAGTAATTCTCTAGCCCCATATAGTCTGCGAAGGTCAGGGCGGCATCGTTGATCTGCAGGAAATCTGCGATGAACTCTTCTTCCGCGTAAACAACAGGGCCTACGGCCTCCAGAACCACAGTAAATGCCTGCGCACGGTACGTTATAGCGAGGATAATGGTAGAGGGTCAAGAATCACTTACATCAGACGCACGCATATCGCCATCGCCCTTGTCGCGCTGTTGCTTACGACCCTCTAAGGGTGACCGAACCAGGGTACCGGCCCTACGGACTCCAGCGGCAGCTTTGCCAGTGTTTCCAGTCGGCGATGTCGCTCCAAAGCCTATTTCGAGCATTAGACAGGATTCAATGTCACTATCTTCGCTCACTTACCCTCGAAGTCGTCTTCGCCCGTCTTCTTGATCATATCAGTGCATGCCGTAAGGAAGGCTCTGACCTGGGTGTTATAGAGTTTACTTGCAGTAAGGAAGTATTCCTGCATGAGAATGTCAGCAGCACCTAAACCCTAGGTTACTGAAAAAACACACTCCGCATAGCTTCCCATATGTCACTTCGTCCATCTCCTTCAAGTATAGCATCAGTCCTCCATATCGCCCCAGATAGTTCTCCAGCTGTTTGTGGTCAGAAATGGAGGGTTTGCCTCTCGCAGGTCGTATGATGCCCTGGTGGTTACCGAGTAGCATCTCCGCTTGCGCCGTGCACATGATCTTGAGGAAGTCGTGCAGTCGTTTGCAGAATTGCGTATTATACGTGCGGTACTCTTCCAGACGCTCCATCGTTGCGGCCATATCTGTTCAGCATGTCAAATCAGGGTATATTACTTATGATGTCCGTGACAAACCTCGGTCTTTACCGGACTGGAGGGCCTTGTACAGCTGAGTCGCCGCGACCTCCAGTTCTTCGACGTTGTTCTCGAGTGAAGCTTGCGTAAGCTTGAGCAGCGCCCTCGTATCCACATCAACTGTTTGCTAGGAATCCGTCAGCATCGAGCCACACGGAGGAAGAAAGAGGCGCACAAGTAGATCCCCAAGTTCGTTAAGTAGTGCTCTCTGGTTCTGTGTCTGGACTTGAAGACCACGATCTTGTGACTGAATAAAGGTGATATCTTCGTTAACGGCCTAGAGATTGCATGATCATGAGAAGCCGGCAGGATGCGACGTGATAAGCCTCTTACGTTCAAGTGGATCTTGTAGGATGCGATCACGCTGTCCAGGGTATCCAACTCCTTGAGAGCATCATCGAGATACTTGAGCACTATATTCACTCGGTCATCAGACTCGATGAATGAGTGGATATTGGCCTGCGAGGGCAATAGTGAGCGACCGTAACAATCCAAACGCGACCTGCGCACCTTTTCTAACGCCATGAGCTCGTCTATCAACCTTGCCTCCATTTGGTTGATACCCCCACGCCCGGCGGAGCTGAGCATGTCACTGCTCGCGTACTCGTAGCCCTCCAGCATCTCCTCGACGCTGCTGAGCATCGCCCGCGCGGTCTCCTCTGCGACCTCAACCTCGTCTCCGGCGTCTTCGTCCCACTCGTCCTGGAAAGTGATATCTCCAGAAAGCAAGCGGTCAAGTGCCGCCTGGTTCGCTGGGTCGAAGAATGAGACACGCGCGTTTGGCTCGCGACGCCCTTGCGACATCTGCGCGTCTGTTGGTCTGACTGTAGGCTTCCGGTTACGGAGTGATTCAACAGTGGGTATGGCGAGATTCAGGGGGCGCGGTGTCACCTCGAGAGACGCCTCGTAAGCGGATATGGCCCCCGCAGAGGAGCTGTGCGAAGACGTCGAAGCTACGGGTACCTCCAAGGAGGAGCTCGCTGGAGTTGGGTAGGCAGAGCCGTTCGGCCGGCGGATAGTCCCAGATCCGGGTGTGAGAGTTGCAGGCAGTGGTGGAGCACTCGCAGGCGGCTGAGGAACTGGCGCAGGTGTCGACGCGGCGGATCTGTCTGGACTAGATGGTAAGCCTACCGAGGGTATTTGGGAGGAAACTGCAGCGGCGGCTGAACCGAACGAGCGGATCGATGAAGCGTTAGATGGACGACGTGCGCGTCCGACTCCTGGACGCAACGCTGAGGGTAAAGAGGAGGGAGGGGGTACCAAGGAGGTTTGGGAGGACGGCGTAGCGGGGCGAGGACGTGCTGGAGGTGTTTCTGACCTCTCGGGCATCTCTGCAGCAATGTACGCCATGGCTGCAGCGTCAATAGACTCTGGCCGGACGGTTGGTGGTGAGATCGGTCGGCGGGGTCGAGCTGCTGCGCGTGGCGTTGGCACGGGAGGAGAAAATACTGAAGCAGGCGGCTCGGGTTGTGCCGGTCGGCCATCGGCTTCGGACGACCGACCATTTGCATAGGGTCGCCGTGGCGTTGCTTGCAGTGGGACACCGTTGGGCGGGGTTGGTGCGCGCTCCATGCGCATATATGACTGGGGAGGCGGTTGTTTGACCGCTATTGAATAGTTGGTATTTGGTTCGCGGTGGCACTAAACTAGACACAGGGAACCACGTACGTGTAGTATCAGGGTCTCGTATACCGACTATCTGCAGGGATGAACCTCTGGTGATAGTGCGAAACAGCCTGATCAAAGCAACAACAAAATTAGCCTGCTCGATCTCATTTTCTGTCTGCCATTTGTATGTCCTGGCCAAGGTGATATTAAAGCCAAGAGGCTGCGTAGTACGTCAACGAGCTACGCCATAGGACGGGGTGAACAGACGCACATAAGCCACTTCGACCCCTCGCAGATCCTGTAATTTCCACGTCTTTCCCACAGAGAAGGTATCATTCGAGTTCAGCTTTGCTTTGTGAATGTATCCACCGCCGTCACTGGATCCTGAGTAGATACAAGTTCACTAGGGTGTCACTGGTGCCATCGGACGCTGTATCCATACATACTGGCTATCAAAATGTATCTCGGCTTCTTTCCGCCCTCCTCCGGTGCATCTTCCCATATCTTCACATGTGAGACGTAGGTTTCCTGTTGCCCTTGCGCATTGAGCTTGGAGAAGACCGAGGTGATTATTCTTTGGCGGACATCGCCCGCCGACATCCTCCTCGCCAAATACCAGAGTTATACGCGAAAGGGGTCTGTTGCGACCAGAAGATGATGGTAAAGGGCAAGTAAGCGGGGCACTGCCTGCCCGGAGTCGTCGGTGCGCGTCGCAAAGGTCCAGCGTCGAACAAGCGCCCAACACCACTTCTTACGGACGACCTCGCTGCTGTTCGCTGGCCGAGTCGTCGTTCCGCCGCCCCATCTTCCCAAATGACGTCGGTGTCGACCTTCCGTGCTATCTCGAGCAAAATCCGCCTGTTCAACCTCTCTCCGGCCACGAATTCGCAGCACAAAGTGAGTCGTTCGCGTCGTTTGCCCGCAAGGTTCATCCGCTGAAGGCTTCTGGAGGAAAAACGCCTCGGTCGCGGTCAAGGTTCAGGTCGTGGTGGCACCTCAGGACGAGGCCACAAGGGCCAGAAGGCGAGGTCTGGCAATGGAAAGCCCAAGCCTGGCTTCGAGGGTGGTCAGACACCGATAATCAAGCTGATCCCGAAGAAGGGTTTCGTCAATGCGTGCGTGCCGCACAGATGTTGTCGCGCGCCAATTGCTCAGACAGAGGTGACAGGAATGCCAAGGTGTACGCCCCTGTGAACTTGGACAGAATACAACACTGGATAGATCAAGGTCGTCTGACCTCGTCCCCGGAGAACCCTATCACAGCTCGGGAACTGCTGCTTAGCGGCTGCGTACACGGTGTGCACGATGGGATCAAGCTTTTGGGCGACGTATGTGCAGCGTGTATTCGCGTGTATTCTGTCATGATGATTCTGAACAACTTCGTTTAGGGTGCTGAACATCTGAAAACCCCAATTCACATCACACCCTCCAGAGCTTCGAAGTCTGCCATCCGTGCGGTTGAGAAGCTGGGTGGCACAGTCTTCTGCAAGTACTACAACCCGCTTGCCCTTCAGGACTGCGTCAAGGGGCGCACAGATCGTACAGAGGCTGCACCCGTCAGGCAGACCGACATCGGTACGCATACACATTCTCTCATATTAACTCATACTCACCTCTTCTCGCAGTTTGGTACACGCAATGGAAGAACAGGGGTTATCTCTCGCTACAAGCTATCGAAAAAATGCCTGTTGTTGAGGAGCGATGGAAGGAACTGTCAAAACAACTTCGCACATACAGAGAGCAAGGTTACGAGAAGGCCAAGAAGTAGATACAGTCTTAGATGCTCGCCATGTCTCTACTATACCATTCTCTCCTCTATTCTAGCCAGGGCCTGTCTCCATGCGGTCTGGCGAGATGCTCCTGCTGCGAGGGCGAAAAGGTTCCGAGTTTCCGTTCAGCCTGTCCGGAGATATGCTGCGGCTGCGTGAACGATAGGATGGTGAACCGCTCCGTGATCGTGATGGACTCCGAGAAACGTATCGAGAGCCCGCTTCTGAGGGTGATCTGCTTCTGCTCTTGCCTGAATCCGCAGTCCGAGACCTGCTCCGTGACCCGCTCGGTGACCTGCTTCTGCGTCTACTCGAACTCTTGCCAGAGCCTCTGCTGGGGCTGCGACTTCGTTCGCTTCCGGCTTCGTTCTTGCCTTCCATAGCATCCAAGAGTCGACTTTTTCTTGGGCCTATATCTCCGTTGTCTTCGAGGACCTCACGTTTCGTGAGTCGGGGCAGAATAATGTCACAGACGCGTTCTCCACATAGCAGCGAGTCCACGAATTCGTCCATGTACGTTAGGTGATACCCCCCTGCAAGGAGTTAGTACTGTGGTAGATTCAGCGGCAAAAGCAGACGCGCACCTTGATTCCTATACCGTAGCTTTCGAAAGTCCTTCATCAGCGGCTCCAAGATTTCGTATACCTCCGCGGCTGGGAACGTCATGCGTACGTACATCACGGCTAACGCTCGTAAGTACCTATGTGCAGAATTCACACATACGCCTACAGAGAAGGGTGAAATACAACGCACTTGAATTCATCTGCCTGTAGATATTCGAGTAGGATCTCTTTCTCCGGCTGGATTTGCAACAGCTTGAGTAGCAGAGACAAGAACTCTGTCGGCTTGTTATTCCCGTACACTCCTCCAATTGCCTTCAGCTCGATGGCCTTGTCAATAAGATTCTCAGCTGTCCAGATTCAATAAGGAGCTATCCTGGTAGCAGCGTGGCGACGCGTACCTGTGAGCGCGAAGCAGTGTTCCTTCCAGTATGGCGACTCATAAATACGATTTCTAATAACGGTTTCGACAAGAAACTAGGGAAAAGGTCAAACGAGTGCATAATGCATGGATAGGTGCCGTACCTGCGGATTCTGGCCATGGATGGCGAGTGCGCCGCGGACGGTGGTGTTGGCCATGGCGGAGGGAGTTCAAGTGGCGGTTGTTTGTTCATGTTAGGTTCCAAAGGTGTTGCTTTCCTGTTTCGGATAGCTGACCGTTGGTCCCTGCGACAATGCTGAGCTGGCCCGCACGCGTATCATCCCTGAGATTTCAAACATCTGCGTGATATTGGATCTGTGCGTACAACTGCCTTATTCTGAACATTCCTTGTGCGGGAACAATACGAAACCCGCGGTCCACCCGGCGATTTAGCTGGCACTCTGGTGTCTCATCAGCTGCTGCAAGCGGCCTGTGCGGGCATGCGCATAATGTGGCGTCGCCATCGGCTCATATTTCAGGCTAGAGGTCTGTACCACTCAGTGCTCCTGGGCATGTTTCGACGCTCACGTCTGCATTCTTATTCTTCCGACAAGGATACTGTAACGGTGGTTGGACCCGGCCTCGAGGACAATCGCTGAGCTGCGCGGCGGTACCTGGCAACGCGGACGGCCATCATCTGGCCTTTGGCTGCCATCTTTAGTTAGCACATCCCTTTGGTACGAGAAGCCAGACAAAGGGTACACGTGCCGAGCCTGCCGCCGGTTCGAATTGTTGTTGTTTGGTTCAACGAGGCTGACATGTCCATAAACGGACAGGCAGCCTCCTTCAACAAGGTATAAAACCCCTGCACCTCTGCCCCGCTTCCTCACCCACCTCTTTCACCCACCCTCACTTTCTTCCTTCCCTCCTCTTGCGTTACATGTATTCTTACGTTTTGTCCTTCCTGCTCGTTTTCCTTCCCGCTCTCCTCTCCTCTCTCTCATCCTCTTCGTTCTCTGTGGCGTGGACCTAGATGACCTCGGCACCCTCTGTAACTCTGGCACCCAACTCCCTGGCGACCCTGTCGACACCACCATGCAGCGTAACATACCAGCCCGTCTGCAATAAATGAACTCTTGTGGCGCTGTTATCCGAACCGTGTTGCTCACTTACCCTCGCCACATCTCAGCTCCGACCTCGTCGTCCTCGCTCTGGATCGTTGTGGAATCCTGTGGCCGTGTCTTGGCCAGCTTGGTAAGTACCAACCTCTCCAACCTCTACGGCCTTCGCTCATCGCATCCCACAGGTTCTTGGTCTAGCCACTCCAACCACCACGGCGACGCGACGATACTAGGGCGGCCACTACTCTGGCGACAACCCTCTGGCAACAACATTCTGGCGACAAAATTCTGGCGACGATACTCTGACAACACTCTGATCCTCGATTTCTCCAAGCTGGTGGGCAAGTTCGGATGGAGCCAGTCCCGGAGGTGGCAGGCAAGACCTGGCGAAGACAAGTCGCGTCCCTTCCAATAGCGGACTGCGCGCAACACCGAGCCAGGATCGGAGGAGGCAGGCAAGACCTGGCGAAGAAGGTCGCGTCCCTCCCGGCAGCGGGCGTGCGCAACATCGAACCAGGATCGGAGGAGGCAGGCAAGACCTGGTGAACGATGTCGTATCCCTCTCGATAGCGGGTGCGCGCAAGGTCGAGCCAGGATCGGAGGAGGCAGGCAAGACCTGGCGAAGCATGTCGTATCTCTCTCGGCAGCGGATGCGCGCAAGGTCGAGCCAGGATCGGAGGAGGCAGGCAAGACCTGGCGAAGGAAGTCGCGTTCCTCCCGACAGCGAGCGCGCGCAAGCCGCGGCGGTGTCAGGGGTGGTGGTGGGCAAGGCCTGACGAAGACAAGTCGTGCCCCCCAAGGGTGCGCTCAATGTTATCAGGTGGTAGCCTCGTCGCACTGCAGATTGTAGCGAACGGTAAGCACATCCCCCCTCTTGACTATCTCAACGCTGACGCCTATCTCGGCAGCGATCTCTAAAAAAAACTCTTGGCCCCCGGTGGGAGCCTTGGCTACCCCCACTCGGCGGACCACCCGCGCGGAAAGGACGACACCCCCCGAGAGGTGGTGTCTACGCTACGTGTCCCTTTACATCTCTTGTCGAACTTTACTGACTTTCACGGGGCGGAGGCAGAAGGCAGCCCCGTAAGTACTTTATTGTCTCGCAGTTCTTACACCCTTACTAACTCGTCTACACTTTCGCGCAGGTGCGGACGGCACGACGTCTGGGTTATCTAGGATTTTGTACTTTCAATATACTTCCGCTCTATTATCTTGACTTTAACATCTGCGTGAAATGTGTGAAGCCTAAGTGATAATGCGTCATAAGTAAATATCGAAAACAGGATAGCAGTAAGTATTGATGTGTAAGACTATAACTCTGAAGCCAGTATCCACTAGTTCTACATGATCCGTCCAAGACAAAGCCTTAAGTATAACGATGTTTCGCCATGCGACTTGCGCTGTAATCGCCAAGAAGCGAAAGAATACAGATTACCACAGCCCAGAGATGTCCGCCGAGGAGGTGATGAGAGGTCGAGAACGCGAAGATTGAGCTGCATGTCGGCTCTCATTAGCGTGAGTCCTTCCCAAGAGAACGCTCAACAACGCACCTGACGAACGGCGAACCGACCGCGACACCGAGCATCTGGGAGAACTCGGAGAGGCTGTTGGTCGTGCCGAGGGCAAAGGACGTCGGCGTATGGTCTTTCGTCAGTATCATCACGATCCTGCGCGGTGTCAGTCAGCACGACCCTCCCTCCCGCGGTCTGCGAGCAGGCACTTACGAGAATGCGAGGCACCCGAGACGCGACATGAAGAGCACGAAGCTGATCGCGACCCAGAGGAGCGCCTCGTCCGCGGCGCCGCCGCCCTGCGCGCGCCGCGCGAGCGCGTTCAGGGGCGGCATGAGCGCGAACGTGAGCGGCCAGGTGAGCAGCGTGAAGCGGAAGACGGCGAGCGCGTCGTGGCGGCGCAGGAAGACGGGCAGCGCGCCCTTGAGCCCGATGGACACGAGGCCCATGATGGAGAGAGCGCTTGCGATCTTCTTCGGCTGGTCGCGAGGTGAGCAGGGGGTACGTGAGAGGATGGAGAAGGGAGACACACGTTCATCGAGAGGCCACCGTCCTCGATGGGTGTGTACGCCATGAGCACGAAGACCGTGTTGAAGCACGCGGCGACGAAGCCGAGCATCCACTGCGAAGCGCAGAGCGCGCGAATGACGGGTAAGGCCAACAAGCTTCGCAAGCTTGGTGGCTTCTCGGCTAGGGCGAGCGGTATTGGAGCTTCGCCGGGCTCAGGCTCTACGGTGAGTATAGGCTCTGGAGACGGCGACTTGGGAGACTTGCGCGGGTGTGTCTATCGGACAATGTCAGAAATAGACCGCAGAACAGGATGCAGGCCTTACCTCGCGCAGAAAAGTGACAGACAGCAATGCGGCGAGGAATCCAAGGGCAGATGAGATGATGCATGGCAGGATATAAGGATATGCTCTAAAGAAAGCGTTGTCGAACCAGCCACCAAACTCGGTCGCAGGCTCTTCAAACGCTCCACCAATGACAGGGCTAGTCGTCCGTCAGCACCACCGCCAGTGACGCGAAAAGCATTCAGCGCACCCTATCACAAATCCCAAAGCGGAGATGATGTCGTAGAACGGGAATGCCACCGACTGGTTCGACTGGTCTGTCAGTTCGCCGACGACAGAGTGGATGACGCCAATGAACCCGCTGAATATGCCACCTACGAAGGACGTGAGCGATCGGTTGGTGCATCTATCTTCGAAACCAACGAACTGAAGAAGCGAGTGGTTAGAGCCATGGCGAATGTTTGGGACGCGCCGAACAAGAGTGTGGAGAGCGCGAGACCAAACATCCCGAAGCCAATAACAGGGGTCCGCCCTATCCAGTCTGCGTACATACTACAATCAGCCCAGAAGACGTACGATACAAAGCGCCACACACCAGAGAGCCTCCCCCAGGCATAGACAGTCAAAAACGCCCCGGCAGTATGGCCAAACGACATCAACCCGGTGTAGTATCCCACGTCGCGCTCGTTGGGGAGGCCGAAGCCGGCGACCATCTTGTTCACATACGGCATGATCTGTGTGCCAGAGACGGGCACGACGAGCTTGATGGTGTATATCGCAGCGAGCTGGGCTCGGGGAAGGGGCGTGGCGGGCGCCCGGCGGCGTGGCGGCGTCGGTGCAAACCGCCTCCGGGGGATCGCATCCTCGTCGTCGTCGCTGGCACCGAGCAGCGGCGAGTCTTCGCGGTACTCGAGTGGATCGCGGTACGCGTCCGCTTCGCGAGACATCTCGAAAAGCGCGGGAAGGCGTGAGCTAGAGCCGTCGCAACTCTGTTCGAAGGCGTCGGCAGGCTGTGGCTGGGTCGCACGCGGCGAAGTTGCAAGTTGAGGGTGATCCTCGGTGTGGGCAAAGGAGATATGGTTTAAGTGAGACGGGCCCGAGCTCTATATCTATGTGCGCAGACATGCTCAGTCAGGATTGCAGCTTATGGATCTCCATGGCATCGACCGCCCGTGGCTGTGTTTCAGGTCATTCTCGCGCAAGATAGCGTGAGGCGCGCAGCCCATAGCCGGCTGCCTTGTGGCGCGGGAACTACACACCGCTAGCAGAGGCTTTGATTCTACTACGCTCCATCGACATGGTCAGAAAGCAGGCTCAACAATCTCAGAGAATACATTATACATTTATCCACAGGTTCCATCTCGGTACATGAGCATTTGCTCGTTTGACACTTATCACGGGCTGAAACAAAACATTGACTTACAAACCTTCGGTATGACGTGACTGCTACGCTTCGCACGACATCTTCTCAATCTTCCGCAGCCCATCGAGGCAACCACTCTTCCCACTCCTCCCAATCTTGATCATCACGCTCAACCTGCTTCTCCCAGGAGTCGAAATCTTCGCCATCATCGCTCAACGCACCGTGGGACGAGTGCCTGCGGGGACTAATCAGTCTGTCTACGACGTGTACTGCACCGTTGCGCGCAGGAACATCAGACACAGCGAATATACCGTTGACGAAGACGAGAGTGGTGTATCCGCGGTGAGGCAAGATCGAATGAATTTGCCTGACATGCACAGAGAGCGTGTGGTTGGGGAGCAGCGTCGGTAGAGTGATGTTGGCAGAGAAGACGGGCTTCGGGTGCGGGAAGGGCCCGTGGTGGGGTGGAGGATGCGGAGGATGCGAGACGGGGTTACAGCATTGTGGCGGGCGGATACCAGGCAAGACCCTGCAACCGCATTTTCCAAGATCCATCTTGCACATTTGGCTCTTCAAGCCACCAGGCAGGAGCGTAGGAATAGTGCACAGCTGGCCAGAACTGAGACGCTCCTCGCGCCATTGCCACTCCCCATCGACGTTCTTCACCGAGTCTCGTCCGATGTTGATAGGTCCTTCCTCAGGCCTGTAGAAGGGATTCCGCACAGCTCCATGTCCCATAGGATAAGGAAGTTGCTCTAACTGCAGGCCAAAGTCTTCGTTATCGAAAGCGGACGGGATCTGTTCGTACTCGTCTTCCTCGAGCCGAACGCTGTCGCTTCGGATTGCCACATCTTCATCAGAGGCGTTGTGCACCCAATCTGAGGAACTCAGTTAGTGTGTGATGGGTGATGGTAGGCGCCACGAGATTTAGCTTACTACTATGCAAGATGAACTCAGGCACAGTGTGGAAGGACAGAATTTTCTTCAGTGCTCGCTGACCAAACGGCGAGAAGAGGTAAAACTTGAGCCGTCTCGGCAAGCGATGGAAAGCCTTATTGGTTGGAGCGAAGAACGTTATGGCGGGACTGCCTTCCAAAGTCTTCGACTCTTTGACCCAATGCCAGTCAACAGCGTCAGTGAACTCGACACGTTGGATAGCAGATGTCTGCAGTTGTGGGTGTCAGACGCTGGGTGTCCGGCGGCAAAGAAATTAACATACCAAGGTGGAAAACACGTCGGAGAAAGCAAAAAGTGTGGTGAAGGTGGACGGAGGCGGGAACAGAGGATGAGTCAAAACATGAACCAGCCCTGTGCCGATATGTTAGACCACGGTGAGGACACTTCTGAAACGTAGATGCTTGCCATTTTTAGTTTTGACGTCTGCATACACGACCTTGGAATAGAAATTCAGGGTCAGAGTCGGCTTCACAAGACGTGGCGGCTGTTCCACGCGCAGACGCAAAGGCTCGCCGTGGAATGAACCGTCACTGAGCGTCAGCGCCGTCGGGTGCGTAAGGTTCTTCGCGAGGTCATGGGCAACAAACTCTCCGGGCAGGATATGATACTTGAGAACGGCGGTGATAATCTTCTTGATAACCTTTTTCTTGCGTTCCTTATCCTCATCATCGTCCTCGTCAATCTCGAGAAGCTGGTCGTTGACGAACCCCTCAAGGGCGGCAAACAATTCGAGCTCGTCGGCGGCCTCAGCCGTGATAGCGCCGCTGAAGAACGCTTCGACGCCAATTTCATCGAACTCTGTGTTCTTTTGATGCTTATGCTTGCCATGGCGATGCTTCGGCTGCTTCAAAGCGCGATCGGGTATGGCGAAGAAGGTTAGACTGGTATGAAAGCGTTAGGGGACGCATATAGCGAGTCGATCTCATCGCGCACCTCTGAGAGGAGTCATTCAACAGAGAAGTGATCTCTTCTGAGAACTTTACCACCTTGTGGAGGCGGGAGAACCTGTGGCAGTACATGAATTAACAAACGGGTCTTCTTCGCAGCACGCGTATACGAACCTCTCGTCATCCTCGAGGGCCTGGTAGATGGTCTTGTCTTCCACCTTGGGAGGTGCATGATGGGGAGGGTGCGGCGTATGGCCCGGCGGTACGGGCAGGCCAGGCATCTTCGGCATGCCGGGGTGCTGGCTGTCGAAGAGCCCGGCGACCCACTGGGCATGCCCATGATTATCGTAGTCTTCATACGGATGGAATGGCTGTCCGCCGGGCACGGCGGCTACGACAAGGGCACTGCTGAGCAGCGCGACGAGGCTGCGGGCCAACATGGTAGTCGCAGCGAGAGGACAAGGCGTTCGCAGACAGGAGGCGTCGTCATGTCTTGTTCAAATAGGCTGCGTTGCGGGCGTCATGCTGTTCCGCAGCTGATTCGAGGCCCAGAGGTCTTGCCCTGGACCGATGCATCGCTGTGATGGCCTCCAGTGCTCCGCATTGGAGTATAGTGCGCCTTTTGCGTCGTCTGCCGCCGTTACGAAGAATGATAGACGTGGTCATACCGTGGAGAGACGGGCCTGCCGAAACGGCCATCGAGCAAGCAGCTGTGGGCGTCCTCCACCCTTCCGCGTTTCTCCTCAGCAGGATGGTTCCGAAGGGTCGTCATCGGCGGTATTAATATTGCAAATCCAAGTGGTTGCAGAGCAAACGCTCGTGTGTCGTCCGCCAGCTGCACGGATTTCATAGAATATGGTGACATGAGAGAGAAAGGATGCGGGCTTGCGGGCTCGACAAGGGTCCCCGCTGTCGGTGGCATTGTTTCGGCTCTCCGACGAAATTGATTGGCGCGTGCCCGACGGCCACGACCCCGTGGACCTCGTACCGCTCACCACGGACAGCACACTGATCCTGGTAACTGGCATCGCATCCACACCAACGATATTCCCACCATCATTAAGATTGTGAGTAACCTGGTCAGTTCGATTATCAACGCAGACTCTGACCAGTCTGCAGCGTATCGCCACCTGGCGGAGACTTCTCAGATCCCGTCACAGCTGCCACGCTTAGTATCGTACAGGTGTTCTGGGGTCTCGACAAGCGCCTCGCTCAGCGGAAGCACTTCCCGTCCGTCAACTGGAGCGTGTCCTACTCCAAGTACACGAAGGTTCTCGAGTCGCATTATGAGACGACCGAGCCCGGCTTCGTTGAACTGCGGACGAAGACGAAGGAGATCCTTCAGAAGGAGGAGGACCTTGCCGAAATTGTGCAGCTCGTTGGCAAAAGTGCTTTGGGCGAGAGCGACAAGATCACACTCGAGGTGGCACGCATGCTCAAGGATGACTTCCTGCAGCAAAACGGCATGAGCGAGTACGATCGGTTCTGTCCGTTCTACAAGACGAGCGCGATGCTCAAGAACTTCGTTGCGTTCCACGATGCGTCCTCCAAGGCGGTTGCCACAGGCGACATTACGTTCGCTAAGATTAGGGACTCGGCGAGTGACCTGATGTTTAAGCTCTCGCAAATGAAGTTTGAGGTGCGCTCCGACGCCTTAGTGTCATGGCTTTCATTTATTCAAGCATTGAGCAGTCCCCTACACAAGGCAAGGACTCTATTAAGGCGAAGATGGACGCGTTGTACAATGAGATCCAGGAGCGTTTCCGCCAGATGGTCGAGTAGTGGGACGAATTATACCCGTGGCGGGTCACCCCGCAGCTGTACGTTTATGGAGAGCACCCACGCCTTTCGGACATTACAACCACAAATTATGGCACGACATTTCCTCATGACCGAATGGATTGTATGCTCATACGAGCCTAACGAAACTCTGACTGCGTACGGATGTTTCGGCTCAGTAAAATGAAACGGTCAGGGTAAGCGGGGGAAAGAGAGGTCAGAATAGGCAACTGGAGTGTTAGGTGGACTTAGAGATCCGCTGGTTCCACAGCGCAGTAACCATGAGCGCCCAGCACAGCCTGCATGCGATGGACGCAAGGTGTGTGAAGTGTATTCGTGGAGCGATGCCGGCATCGACACCGTGTTTACAGCCCAGGTACTATATACCGTCCAGGCGACGGTACGGGACTCGGCTGGTTTTCAATGCTGCCTATAGCATGCAGTTCCGCTGTCTGGCTTCGAGCAAAAGGCGCCGACAATGGAAACAGTGCCCTGGCGAACGGGGTTACCCAGGCAAGTAACTTTGCCTGCGCGCTCATAGAAGCTGGCAAGCTTAGTACCAAGGTACGCCGGATATCCAGAATCAGCAGGCATTTCTGCGAGACGACCAGAAATTTCACGAAGAGCCTCGGCCCAGCGAGACGTCGAATCAGCCATCATCGCGACATTCTTGCCTTGATCGCGCCAATATTCAGCCAGCGTGATGCCGGTGTAGATAGAAGCTTCACGTGCGGCCACGGGCATGTTAGAGGTGTTGGCAACAAGCGTTGTGCGCTTCATGATGGGTTCTTGTCGATCACCGACCTCCATTGTGAGCTCGGGGAACTGCATCCGTGATTAATAACGTTGAGTAAGAAGAACGCTTCGAAAGCCACCTACGTCCATCAAGACTTCGGCCATCTATGCAGGCATATTTAGTCATAAGCCGGAACGAACAACACTAGCTTACTTGCCTCGTTTCCTCGTTCACCACAACCGACGTAAATCATGATGTCACTGTTTGAAAACTTCGAGATGGCCTGCGAAATGACCGTCTTGCCGCATCCGAAAGCTCCTGGAATGGCCGTAGTACCCCCCTGTACGCAAGGGAAGAGAGCATCGAGAATGCGCTGGCCCGTAAGCAAAGGGAAGTTCGCGGTGTGCTTCTCCGCTACAGGTCGAGGTGCACGGACGGGCCAGACGTGCATCATCGTGTGTCTCGACACCTTGCCCTCAAATTCAGTCTCCAGAACGATGTCCTACACAGTAACCTTCAGTATGTATCCATGCGTATGCGCGTGGAACGTACATCGACCGCAAAACTGCCCTTCGGCGCGATCCGAGTAATGGTACCGAGCGCACGAGGCGGTAGCATAATCTTGTGTTCATCGACCAAGGAGTTCTCGTACACCTTTCCAAAGATATCGCCACCAGATATATGGTCTCCAACCTACGAATCATGTTAGGCCCTCCAGTGCATGTTAATTCTGACGTCATGCCAGCGTACGCACCGCGAAGTTGAGCGGCTCGAAGTCCCACATGAGATTCCTGTCCAAGGCCTCGGTGTTGATACCCCTGGGAATGTAGATAGATTTGGACAGTTCTTGGATAGACTGCAAGGCATTAGATGTGTGGGGCATCGTTATCACGATACAACTTACTCGCAGAGGCCGCTGAATGCCATCGACAATGTTCTCCATAAGACCTGACGGCAACATGATTACACCGCGCCATAGTATTGACGGGGAAGCATACCCGGGCCTAGCTCGACGCTCAATGGCTTTCCTGTCCGTAGTACTGGGTCACCAACAGTAACTCCAGATGTTTCCTCATAAACTTGAATTGTAGCCTTGTCGGCATCGATCCTGATAACCTCTACGCGATTCTCAGTACATATGCAGATTTTACAGTTACAGCGCATACCTCCTACAAGTTCATCGTGGCCGACGCGGACGAGTTCGTACATGGCTGAACCAGCCATATTCTCAGCGACGACGACGGGACCGGACACGCCAAAGACTTGTCCGAAGCGCGACTCGCGCTCCTCGTCGCGGACCTTGGGGAGGTCCCTCTTCGCGTTCTGTAATGCGCCAGCCATTGCTACGAGTGTTGGCGGTGTGCTTAGGGTCGTCCGAGGTGTTGGTCGTCACTGAAGCTGCGCCAGGCCCGATGATGAGGCGCAGGAGCCGGGCCCCGATTAGGCAGGTGAAGTCGGCGCTTGTTGACGCGTACAGAGTGACGCGTCCTTCGCTTACCACACTGCTTCACTTATACGCTGACCACCACCACGGAAGATGCCTCCGAAAGCGTATGTCCTCCGTGATCGTTATGTTTAATGGAGCTGACTGCTGGTCCGTAGAGATTGGGAGAAATGTGTGTATCTCCCGGGGCATGACAAGGATTCTCACTGATGCCATGCGTTGTGCAGGGGAGAAGAAGGTAGACGGCAAGGAAGAGAAGGAGACCAAAGGCGAGTCGCAAAAACAAAAGCAATCATATGTGCTGACACATTCTAGCCCTGGACGACAGCGACATTCAGATTCTCAAGACATATGTCCGTGCCTCTACACACTTGCCGCTGGCCTCTCCGAGCTGACCGGCATGTTTAGGGTCAAGGTCCGTATGCTCACCGGTTAAAGAGGATTGAGAACGACATCAAGGAGGTGCAGCAGAGGATTAATGAGAAGCTCGGTATGAATCGCATGCTCCGCTGAGCTTGTTCAATTTAACTCGCCTTTACCAGGTGTCAAAGAATCGGACACGGGTCTTGCTTCACCTAACCTCTGGGATCTTCCAGCTGATCGCCAGAGAATGTCTGAGGAACATCCCTTGCAAGTTGCACGTTGCACAAAGATCATACCTATGGATCCGGCAAAGGCTGAGCGTGCGCGTGCCGTCAATCCACTCGGTGCCGTCCAGGGACAGAAAGGCGCGGACGAGCAGGACAAGTACGTCATCAATATCAAGCAAATCGCAAAGTTTGTTGTCGGTCTCGGCGACCGTGTTGCGCCGACAGATATCGAGGAAGGCATGCGAGTAGGGTACGTGTCTATTCATTCACCCGGGACCGCATTATTGACATTTACCTTTAGAGTCGATCGTACCAAGTATCAGATTCAAATACCACTCCCTCCGAAGATCGATGCGTCGGTCACAATGATGCAGGTGGAAGAGAAGCCGGACGTCACCTACTCAGATGTTGGTGGCTGCAAGGAGCAGATCGAGAAACTCCGAGAAGTCGTCGAGACACCACTACTTTCAGTAAGTACTTTCCACAACTCTGGGCGGCAGCCGTCCATGCTGACATTAGGGAATAGCCGGAGCGTTTCGTTAATCTCGGCATCGACCCTCCAAAGGGTGTTCTGTTATTCGGCCCACCAGGTACTGGCAAAACACTCTGCGCTCGCGCGGTTGCCAATCGAACGGATGCTACATTCATTCGTGTCATTGGTTCCGAGCTTGTGCAGAAGTACGTTGGTGAAGGTGCTCGAATGGTCCGTGAGCTTTTTGAGATGGCGCGCAGCAAGAAGGCGTGTATCATCTTCTTCGACGAGGTTGATGCTATCGGCGGTGCTCGGTTCGACGACGGCGCAGGGGGCGATAACGAGGTCCAGCGGACGATGTTGGAACTGATTAACCAGCTTGATGGTTTTGACCCTCGAGGAAATATCAAAGTATTGATGGCGACAAATCGGTGAGTATAGGAAGCCATGACCATTTTAGCTGCTGCCCTGCTCACCATATCGTGCAACAGGCCGGATACGCTGGACCCTGCACTACTTCGTCCGGGACGGCTTGATCGACGCGTTGAGTTCTCTCTGCCGGACAACGAAGGTCGTGCCCACATTCTTCGGATCCATGCTCGAAGGTATATCTGGCGATCGATTTCATGTCTCATACATTCGCTGACTATTCGCATCCGCAGTATGAGCGTCGAGCGCGATATTCGGTTCGACCTCATTGCTCGACTGTGCCCGAACACCACAGGCGCGGAACTCCGGTCAGTCGCCACCGAGGTATGTGTCGCTCCTTGCTTTACGGCTCGGATCTCACCTCGTGTGCGTCGTGTGTTAGGCGGGAATGTTTGCTATTCGTGCACGACGGAAAGTCGCTACAGAACGCGACTTTTTGGACGCCGTAGAGAAGGTGGTTCGGCAAGGGACCAAGTTCTCCTCCACGTAAGTTTAGCCTACAAAACGTGTTACTCGGTGGCTGATGACGTTTTTCTCAGGCCGCTGTACCAGGTGTACAATTAGATCTGTTCAACGGGACATGTACGATACTTTTGAGGCCTCTATCTTATGTTCTCATGATAAATCGCCGCTCTACCACTGGCTACACGTCCCTCAGTATGCACCTGACCTTCCCGCGGTCAGAGTGTGCCGCCGATCGCAATATGTGTGGACGAGGAAGACATGCCAGGTATCATGAGATCATTTCGCGCGGCAGGGCGGTCTCCCTTGCGGCTACGTGCAGGCTCCATTGTCGCCGCGGATGTGCACAGTGCGCAAGTCTCGGTCCCATGCATCAGAATCAGATATCATCCTGTGAGAGTGTGGGGAGGTCGGCACCGCTGACCCGTCGTCTACTGTATGCTGTACTGCCCGTAGGGGTTGCTCATGAGCTTGTTTCGCGTGCTGCCAATTGCCTCGGAAATTACTTGAGGACTGAATAGGATCTCACATGAAGCCTTGAGGCCCGGAGCCTGAAGGCTTGAAGCTTGGTTGCGGTAAAGAGTCTGAAATCATGTTTCAAAGCCAATGGCTTGCGTTCAACCGGGGGAGACCGCCAAGGTGTGGCGCCTAAGCCGGATCTCGATCCCCATCAATCGCGTCTGCGCTGTGGTGCGTATTGCCTTTTGGGACGAGTGCAGGGTACGTTCGTGCCTGCAGAAAAGTTAGCTAAGCTTCCTTGTTCTTTTTCCTTGTGCACTTAGATACCAACTCTCAGAACCTGTTGAGATGCTCATCTACCGCTGCAGCCTGCACTTGCGGCCGGCGATTTTTTGTTCGCGAAAATGCTTCGGAGTTGGCAGCGCACTGCCCGTTTTGCCTTCTAGCATCCATTCATTTCGGACCGCTGGACGCATCCCAAAAACCTTGTAACGCGCTCAAATAAGTCAGAACTTTAATGGCACTGGTTACCGCAGATTTCCCCGGGCGTCTTCCGTGAAGGCGTGGGCGGTAGCCACCATGTCCGTATTGACCCACGGAGGTCTCAGCCTTCAACGCTCCTCCCGCGACCATCTACTCGTCCTCGACACGCGCTGCTCTGCCTCACGCTATCCGCCCAGGGCTATCGTCGCCTTATCTGATGATCGGCCGTCCCTGACCTTGCCCCTGCTCGCTCGCCAACTCAGCTGGTCACACTCAACACTGGAAAAATACCGCGGCCGCCGAGCCCGCAGATGGGATGCTGCAGCGAGCAGGGGAACTCGGTGCTGGTTCGCGCCCCGGCTGCACACGACTGCTCTGCGAGCCTGGTCCTTCCGGGCCGCCGCCTCGACTGCCCCATAGCCCTCACCTGCCCCGTCCACCCTGAGCCCTTCACACCTTCGAGACGGCAGAAGACTGTGCGACCATACCGCCCTTCCTCAGAGGCCCTGTCCTGCCGCCGCGATCGACGCTTTCTGGGTTGGGTCCGTCGATCGCGCGCAGAGCCAAGAGCACCTCGGCGGTCCCGACTCTGGCCGCGCCCCCCAACGGTTGATGCTCCGCAGGTGTGTCGGGCGGCACGTCGATTGAGTAGGCTGGATGCTGGCATGTGTGAGGCTCAGGGCAGGCGCAGAGGCGTGTAGTACGTTGACGGCATCTTAGATCTATTGAAATGCATCACGACCCCGAAAATGAACTGCAGTTGCTCGATCGGACAAGGACTGTGCTACGCCATTCCTTCCGTCACTGTGGCCGCATACGCCTTACTGCACACGGACCAACATATACACCACGTTCCCGCGAAGCTGCGGTAGTCACCGAACACGAGTATGAATTCAAACGTAACACGACTATCAAAATAAGACCGGAACACTAAATACAAACACAAGAAGGCATGAACGACGCGAGTACGAGATGACGGAGACGAGACATGATCAACAGGTCAGTAAGCAAGCCGACTACGATACATAGATGGCAATCTCCGGCTGGAAGCTGCCCCTGGACTTGTGGTACAACGTCTCGATGAAAATGTGCTCAAATCCGATGCCACCAGGGCCGAGACGGACACAGCCAGGCGGCGGCATGGTCTCCCTCGTCTCTGGAAGCTACATGGTGTCAAGGTTATCGTACAGTTCGTGTGACGAGATTATAGCAACCCACCTCGAGGTACTCGTTGAGAACCTCAGCAACACGCTGGGCCATCTTGGAGTAGGTAATGGGCCGGCCCTCCGTGTCGCGAATGTACTTGGGCTTCGAGAACGGTCTATAACCCCTCGGCTAGAAACATGCTGGGTGTCAGTGCTCAAATTCCCGGCATCGCAAGTGTCATGAGACGTACGTGAACGCGAACCGTAACCTTGGACTTGATCTCGTCGGGAATTGGCAGCGGCTCTTCTGCGTGCGAGAGGTATAGAAAGGCTCCGTTCAACATGTCCCTGGCTCGAATACCGCGTTGAGTGCGCGTATCTATGAAGCGTATTGGGGCTTGGTCGAGGGCCGGTATCGTAGTCGTGTGAGAGGGGGCGTTGTACGGCTCCTGTTCCAGCGGACGCAAATACGGTTGAGGGTGCACTTGTTGCTGCTGTACTTGTTGCTGCTGCACTTGCTGCCGCTGCACTTGCTGCTGCTGCACTTGCTGCTGCTGCACTTGCTGCTGCTGCACCTGCTGCCACTGTTGCCACTGTTGGGTCTGTTGCTAGGAGCTACAAGGTAAGCTCGGTGTCATAACTTGTATGACACAGCACTTGCCGGGTTGCTCATGTCTGCTGAGAGAAGTATGAGAGATGTAGAGAGGCAAGAGGCGAGTGATCGAGAAGAGGATGGGAGATGCCACAATGTCGACTAGGGATTGAGTCCCATATATTTATACGCGACCGGAAACGGGATCTCCGACTGCAGGCAGGGCCAGGATGGCGGAGGGCTGCTACTGCACCACACACCCTTGCCGCGGGAACCTCCTCGCACATGTCCGAGCCTATCCAACGGAACGTAGGATCAGTCGTATAAGCATGCTGATGGCCAGAGATCTGCACTCATGGGAAGGAACGCGCCAGTCAAGCTTCCTGAGTGCAGACAGACAATTGACAACGCCTGGGACCGGCTGGGGGAACGGACCAGGCTAGTTTGCACGCGCTGTGACGTGAAGATAGATCTATAGTTCGGAGATGAACAGTATCTCTTCTTCGGAGAGGGGCTGCGCGTCGACACCGCCTTTCATGTAGAATGCCCTCGGGAGAACACATGTAGAAATTGTCGCTCTTTTGCCTTGTGGCGCTGATCCTGAGAGACGGAGAATGCGTGCACGAACACCACGTCGTCCAGCTCGCGGCAGGTCTCGGGAGGTATGCACCTGGTCGGTCGACCCCCGGTAACTTCGACAGCGTGGCCTCCACGCGACTAGCGGCGTGTGGACCTGAAGTATACGTAAGGGAAAATCCAGGTCAGTTACAGGGCAGCAGCCTAACCCAATCACCCCCTCTTCGGGCGAAAGAACGGGTGAGGCTGCTTTTCTGTTGATTAGCTCGCGGTCTAGCGGCCAGCGACGGAGCCTCTGAACGGGCTGCCAAAGATGCTGCCATAGCATTATCTCTGCCTCGTGTTCCCAGCCACGAGACATCGTGCACCACGCGTCAGCTAGAAAACCGAAAGCGCGCTTCGAGGTTAACATCCCGAACTTGGCTGAGTTCGGCTTGGTGGACGTCCCATGACCATAGCCGGGTGCTGTAGAGGAAGCGCAGAGATTTCAGTGAGATGTGAGCGATGGCCGTCATTGCAGCTTCTCTCGGAGCACAGGACCTCAATAAAGACGTGGTCTGTCGCGCAAACGGCATAGAGAACCAGGCGCATTTTGGTACTATCAAGGGTCCCGGACGGCTTCTCAGCGCAGTGCGGAGTTCTGGAAGTGCAGCACCTATGTTTGTTTGGCCTGATATTCACAGCATCCTGATCAGAGGTTTACTAGTATATCATCGCCATTTAATCTTGACTTATCGTATGAATGATGCAACCATCGGCAGTTACATAAGTATCGTTTTTTCTTGACTGAATTGACGTGTCCGATGCCAAACGGAAGACGAGGGGCCTGGGCAAACAAACGCTTGGCTGCGAACGCCAGTATCCGCGATGTCGTTCGGAGCGTACGTCTGCAGTACTGGACTCATCTGTTTGTAAGAATGAGCTCGATCATATGCATCTGTGCCTGGAGTCGTCGCGGGCGGTGGACGAAGCAAGTTGAGACCAGCTGAAAGGCCAGCTTGGACTGGACGTAAAAGAGCAGCGGAAAGCGGCGATGCAGCGAATTGTTGCGAGGACGGGCAGATCACCACGCTGCTCCTCCTTGTCCCGGAAAGGAAGAGGGGGTGCACGAAGCGCCCGTCTTCTGCGTAGCAACCACACCAACCGCAGCAAACAAAATACGTCTGAGTACGTACAACTAGCAGTCCTGGCTGAATCTTCTCCGTCTAGACGACCAGATGCCAGGCAACTAGATCCTTTTTGCATTTATCTCATCATCACTCTGAAATCGGGGCTGTGGCAGCCGAGTCGGGGATCGTATCGCAGGAATCTGCGTAAGAATACAAGGACCTCTTCCAGCCGCCAGCTTCTCAACTTTCCGCCGGAACCATATGTATGCTGTCGAGGACGTAATATGGCTTCCATGGCACGCTCTTTTAATTTCTCTCCTGGACGAGCTCGATGTCCGCGACAGCTGCCAACCGTCCGTATCGAGCTGCGACTATACCGCACCACGACCCAAACCCCGCGGAGCGCAGCCGCCGCCCATAAGCCGGCTTTATGGATGGCATCGCCGTAAGACGCCTTTGTTCTGCCCGTTGGAAACCAGCAGCTAATTGGTCCCAGGCTGGCCCGAGATGCCACAGCAGACGGTCAGCATCTCTGAAGCACAGTCTTCGCATTCGCCGACAATCAGCTGCGCCATATAGCATGATCGCTGCTGCACGGTGCGAGTAATACGAGGTGCACCGCCTCTGGTGCTGCATTTTTTATGCGCCTCAAGGCCCACCATTTGAGGGTCATGCCCCTCAAATTCTCGCCCGTTTGTTCCGTGTCCTGGATGGCAATGTACCCGCTTCAATGAAACATGACGACGCCGCGGATGCTCTCTTAGCTAACATGAAATGAATCTCGCAAACTTCCATCGTTTGAAAAAAATTCTCTGCCTCGCCACAGGTCGTGCTTTAATTGGACACATAAACACTATGTCTTGCGGCGCCGCATCAACCCTGCCGTAGGCATACACGTAAGTTTCTGTCATTGTCGCCATGCAGCATCCAGCTTCTTAACAGCTCTAGCGGCCTAGAAGGCATACCCGGCCGTATCGTCGTATCAGTCGCTGGGCTTGCAGTGCGTAGTGGCACAGAGACGCAATCGCGGCGTCACCTTCCCGCAGATCGCTACTATGTCGTTTGTCCGCCTGCCACGGAGTGTGCTTCTAGTGTTTCTGTAGCCTGTACTCTAGGGTCCCATGCTCACGGCGTGCAGCACCGGCAGTGCCATAAGTTTTCCCCACAGATCCCCCTTGCCTGAGGCATTATCCAGGAAAAGGGACCTCATCTTCAACATTCAATAGCGGCTGTTTTCCGCACGTCAGCGATATCAGCGCAGGGTCTCACACCGATCCTAGAACTTTCTATTACCCCTCTGACGTCCCGTGGGGTTTGTCGGATTCACGGCGTGGAAGAAACTACCGACCGCACATTACCCACCGTTGTCACATCACGAAGATTATGTCCACTCAGGATGCCACGCACCGAGCAATGGCAGTATGATTCGACATGGGAACGTTTGGGTGTACACGCGCTGGATGGCGAACTCTAATTAACCTCTCGGCAAGTAAGGTGACCTTGTCGACCCTATCACAAGATGACCTCTTGACATTGTTTCACCTCTAGACGGCGCCGCTCACATTGCCTCAAAGTGCCTGAGCCATTATCCTGTAGCGGTCGCGGGGCGCCAAATTTGCACCACCCAGCGCAGCGCAGAGCGATCGATTTTACACCCCTCTACGCTGGAGGCGCCCCGTCCCACTGCACGCATCCATTCCTACTGTTTTCGGCGCCGAAGATCGGTCTTCGCTGTGCAAGAAAGGACACAGTGCGCAGGACAGTGTCAAGCACTGGTTTACCCCTCGTCCAGGCCTTCCTTGTCCTATGCCAGCCCGCCTCGTTCCCGTGGTCTCTTACGCTTCGCCGCCAGTTTCTTGTGCTTTCTCGATCTTTCATGAGCTATCCACTCGTCCCCCTTCTCTATCATGACCGGATCTTGCTCATCGACCGTACAGATAGGGCAAACGACCTTCCGTCGTGCAGCCAACACGACATTGGGCCTGTATGACGTCTGTCAGCACACGCGTTCATTCGCACCACATCTCGACGCACTCTGTAGATCTCTCTGGCACGACGAGAAGCTCTCGCGCAGCGTCCCCCAGATCCAGCGGATCAGGCAAAGGTCGCCGCTCCAGAAAATCTACGTGTTCCAGTCTAGTCAAAGTCGCCCGCGGAATATAGTATGATTAAACCTTACCCTCTGCTATCCGGCCTGCCATCTGCTGCACGTCGGTCACCCACCTGTCGCCAAGCTCTGTCATCTGTCAGGTTCATTGCGGCGGCAAATTTTGCGGCACAGCGCACCTGAAGCGTCTAGCAGGAAGGTCGGGACGACATCGCCCGGGGCGTCCAGTTCCCTTGATTGCTTGTTGGCGTCCCGCGCAGCAGGGAGCAGCTTGTTTCGAAGCCAGCTCACCTGTCGCTTCGCGTATTGGCGTGTCGAGACCTTCATACGCTCGACTGCGGCTTTAAATGCCTTCTCATGTTCGGCAACTGGCAGACTCTGGTCGCGACTGAGATAGGACGAGAACTCTTTGTAACCTGGTAAATGCGGCACGCGCTATGGCCCTTAGTGAACGCAGTGATCCGGATGTGGGAAGGAACCGACCTATCGACTGGTAGATGCCGAGTGTGTAGTCAGTCGTCGTGTTAGCTCCAGCGTTACCATCCCCGTCGTTGCCCGGATACGGCGGCGTCGGAGTCGGCGACTGTTTGGTAGCCTCCATGAGTTCCTCCACTTCCCGAAGAAGACCCTGCTACCGACATGAACGAGTCCGTGAGCATCGGCGCATATGTAATATCTCTGGTACATACCTCCAACATCTGATCGACACGAGCATCGAGACGAGGGTTCAGCACCTCCGGCCTAGCGTACAACCAAAAGCATAGCGTGCGATACCTAGTCCGGCGGTCAGCTGAGGGGCCTTCTTATGAATCCGTCATTGCTTACCGCGGTGGCAGTACGACCTGTGACTGTTTGGCAATGATGTCGCTAGGTAGATGACCCGTCTGCTTTGTCAGCTCGAGGCTCCTAAGGACTTTCCTAGTATCCTTCCAATGCCAGCGCTGCGCGACAGCTGGATCCAGCGCAGTCAGGAGGCGATGCAGCGCAAGCGCGGACTCCGCGTCCACGTCCGTCGCCACCGCTGGCAGGTTATGATACAGCGACAGCAGCTCTGATGGAAGGAGGTCCGCTGCCTGTGCCAGACGTGGCGACAGGCCGGAGACAGGCGCGGTGGCCGCCGCAACGTCCGCATCAAATGCGGCAAGCCTCCCCGGAAAGATAAGATGCTGAATCCAGTACGACGTACCCCCGACGACGATGGGTATTTGCCCCCGATGATGCGTTTCTTCTATCTGCCTCGCGGATTGCGCGTGTTCCCGTCAGCCAATCCGGGCCCACCACACGAAAGGAAAATTTGACAGACCAAACGTGTCGCGTCTTTGACCCACTGGCCGACCACATACTGCTCGCCTGGGTGCTTGAAGCCCATCAAGAGGTGCTCGACGCCGCACTGCTCCTCGATGGGCACCTTGTTCGTGAGGATGTCTATGCCAGCGTAGACCTGCATGGCGTCCGCGTTGATGATGCGTGCGCCGGTGTACCCGCCACGCCGCTCCTTCGACATCGCGAGGGCGAGCTCAATTGCGAGCTTTGATTTTCCGACGCCTGTCGTGCCGCATATCGCAATGACGGGTCGGAGCGACATGGATCTGAGCAACAATGTGTGTTCCGCGGCGAGTGCGCCGCACCGCGCGGGCGCATTCCGGGCCGTGAGCGCTCGCCGCTTGACCATGTAGGTGCCTATGGACGAGTCTCCGCCCTCAGCGGCGGGGTTTACACAGCTCATTACGCTCGTTCGATCAGGGTCGTCAGATTCAAGATATATAAACTAAGTTCAAGTGGTATTACAGGCCCGTAATCAAAGGTATTAATCGCTACGTATCGTTCCGACAAGAGATGACTCAGAAAAGCGGGCTGAGTGGCATATATCGCTACAATATTACTCGGGGACATGAACCGCCATGTAATGGTCACGAAGAGCCTAGGTCAATGTTGGTACTCTGTGAGGTTCCCGGCTAGACGACGACTCACCGCTCGGCTGGAGAAGCTCTCCAGGCATTCATCGCCAGGCGCAAAGCGGTGAATGCATGCCCAAGCATTTACCGGAAATGCCTGAGATTCCATGGAGAACTAAGACATGACCGATACTTTAGTTCGTGACGTGCCATCTCAGCCACAACGACCATGCTCACTTCTTCGCGCTCGTCGTCGACCTCTCCGTGCAAGTGCTTGTTCTGGGTCTCTTCTGCAGGGCCCTCTTCGCGCTCCGCGCGCCCGCTCTTCTCAGACTCCAGATGTTCCAGACGTTCCAATAGCCCTTTCACACGAGCCTCGAGCCATATAGTTTTTGCGGTCAAGGCGTCCGGGTTCTCGTCATGGTCCTCGTCGCCGACCAGTATACCAGCAACAGTCTTCCGCAGCGACGACTTCTCGTTTTGCAGCTCGATTAGTTGCGCCTCGAGCTCGGAGATCCTGGCCTTCGATGCGGTAATCTCGGCCTTGAGCTCCGGGTGTTCTGCCGCCTTTCTTTGAATGTCGTCGTCCACGGGCCTGTCCTTCGTCCGCTCAGTGTCGTACAGCTCCTTCCACTGTTCAGCCCCCTTCTGCAGCTCGCGCAGCTGTTCCTCGAACGTTCGCTTCTGGTCATCCGCGGCTTTGTGCGTAATATCGAGTTCGGTGCGGAGGGCGGTAAGCTCCTCCCGTAGCTGAGCGTTCTCGATGTCGCGTGCATCGCGTGCAGCGATAAGGTCCGTCGTCTTTTTCTCGTAATCTGCAACGTGATCTCGAAGCTTCTGAACTACTGCCGTCAGTTCCTGAAGCTGATGGGCGGTGTCTTGCAAGTCAGGTGTAATACCGCCTGTCCAGTCGAGAAGCTCATCTTCTAGCCGCTCCGCTATTATGAGATCTGTGTCCGGGGGAGCTTTACTGTTGGGTGCCTGTCGTGCTACCCATTTCAATGATTAGCCACCAATATCAGAACAAACTACATGATCTCACCTCCTGTCAGATTCTGTGCAGGTTTTGGAGACTTGACCGGGGAATCAAATTGCTCAATAGGTGAGAGCGGCTGGTCAAGGTAGGGGTGAAAGACAGAGGGTGAGAGGTGTGGCAGAGAACCCAATGCTTTTTCAAGGCTGTTGTGGGGTGCTGTTTGCCTTGGCTTCAGTGGTTTTGAGGTGACAGAGGGTGCTGGCTCAGCTCTGGTCTGAGGAGGCCCAGCAGGGCTTGAATCCAAGCTTGGACTGTCACCTCTGGGCTGGCTTTCTGAGACCACTGTGTCTCTGCTGCTGTTGCCTATGACAGTGTCACCAGGAGCAAAGGGGTTGGCCCAAAAGTCAAGCATGCTGGATGGTTCTGGCAAAAGATCTGGCTCAGGTAGTGGTAGGTCTATAATGTTAGGATCATGCTTCTCATTTTGAGCTGCCTCTACTGGAACCTCATGTTGTGGCAAGAGGCTGGGAAGACTAGCTACTTGACTCTAAGAACAAGGAATTTAAGCAATGATAAATCACTTACATTGAGACTTTACCCTCTGGTTCAGCAGATGGATTTTCCTTCTCTTATGTACTGCCAGGCCTGTGTCCTCTTCTTGAGCTGTTGGTTCACTGGCATCTCTCTTGCGCTTTGCAGCAGCTGGGATGATGACCGTGCCGGGGCTGCTTGACAGACCAGGATGAGCTTGCCCTGTGCATATGGTAAATGTCATTCAATGAGTTGCTGCAGAGAGATTCAATGCTCACCTGTCCTTTGGGATGGTGCTGGCTGTCTCTTAATGGGAGACTTGTGTGTCTTGTGCACCATGCTCACCCTTCCTGATGCAGATCTGTTGCTGGAGGTGGACACCTTTGCTGTGGAAGCTGACCTCCTTCTCTTGGGCTTGACCTGCCTCCAAGCCTTCACCAAATCATCGGTAACATCTTCTTTGAGTACCCATTGCAGTGGCCATGGCCTTTTTGTCTTGGGGTTAAGGCCCGCCCATCGAATCCTAAAAGCTTCATCATCTTCGTCAGTAATCTCGAGGGCCTCCCAAAGGGTTTGGTCATCGTCATCCTTAGGGATGAACTTGTGTTCATTGTCAGTACTGGGCCTGCTGTTCTTCTTCCTGTTGGCCATGTCGCGAGCGGGCTTGAGTTAACGTCGACGCGATCGCGGATCCGCGCCAGGTGTAGACGCCCAGATGCGGGATCCGCGCATCCGCTTCACCACTGCGATCAACGGCCAACGCTCGGTTCCAACTATTCGAATAAAGGTTTTGTGATAATTTCTCAATGTATCTTGTCACTAGACCGTCAAGCCTAAGCCATTGTCTCGCCAAACGGGCAAAGGTGACACGACTCTATACTCGACGAAGACCATTTTATGTTCCTGCTGCTGCGGGACCCAACGACTCGCCTACGCCAGCGGACATTGCCCCATTACTCGACGAATACGCCAAACATCCTCCACGACCTCTCACGCTGTCTACTTTGCTGTCGTTCGGCCGTCCTCTGACCCCTGAGTCGGTGCTGAACTCGGTCGAATATGTTCTTTCAGAGGTTCCTCGCATGTTTGGGTTGCGCGTCCGTGCCTTCGAAGAGCTGCCCTTCATTGTTGGCGTGAATCCGTTTATCGCCAGAATCCTGGCAAACCACCGCAAGAGCTTCAAGGCGATTGCGACCTACCCTCCAGTCAGGTCGCTCGTGGAGAACGTCCGTTTTACGGAGCAGCTCGAAGCACTCGTTCAAAGTCACTCGAACGACATTCCTGTCATGGCCAAGGGGTGAGTATCTGCCTGTACCTGCTCGTTCCATTTAGCAATTCGATACCGTGCGTGCTAGCTTCCAAGAGTGCTCTCGCTACATGACTCCGGAGCAGATCTCTAGTTTCCTGGACTCGGCCATACGCAACCGACTTGCCGTACGCCTCCTGGCTGAACAGCACATAGCCATCTCTCGAGACCTCCAACAACCTGAACTCGCTAGCCAAGATCACGTCGGTGTCGTGGAGCTCAACTGTTCTCCAAGCAAGATGATTCGCACAGTAAGCTCGTTCGTCGCCGAGCTGTGCGAAGCGACACTGGGAGCAGCACCGGAGGTCATCATAGATGGCGAAGTGGACGCTACATTTGCGTAGGCCACCCTTACTTCTCGCGGAAGTTTCAATTCTGACAGTCCGCGCAGCTATATCCCTGTACACTTAGAGTACATCCTGACAGAAATCCTTAAGAACTCCTTCCGCGCCAGTGTTGAACGGCACTATCGCCAAGACGGCTCCTCGAAGGATCCTATTCCTCCGGTCCAGCTAACGATAGCGCCCCCGCCAACATCAAATTTGCACCCTGCCGTGCTCTGCATCCGCATTCGCGACCAAGGTGGTGGAGTCCCGCCAGCGAACATCCCACACATCTTCTCATATTCTTTCACGACCGCGCGCCTCAGCGAGGACAGCGAGACAGGCGGAGGCCCATACGCTGCGCAGCATGTCGGTGGGAGCGCCGCTTTAGATGGAGGTTCGGGCTCGGGTGGTGGGAACGGCCTGGGGAACTCTAGCTTGTTCGGCGAGATTGTCAGTCGGGGTGTTCAGACTGGCATGGGCACCATCGCCGGCCTTGGGTACGGGCTGCCCATGAGTCGGCTGTATACCATGTTAGCTGCTATTCCAGGTCATGCGGGTGTTTTACTAATCTGCGATCAATCAGGTACTTCGGTGGCTGTCTCGAGTTTCTCTCGCTTGATGGCTGGGGTATGTGTATCTCTGTCAATGCAACAATTGTCGCTAATTTCGACGCACAGGCAGCGACGTTTTTGTCAAGTTGCGCTGCCTCGACGACGCAGGAGACGTTATCATATAATGTAACACACACTAGGCCTTACATGCTGTGTTACACATTTCAACGTGACAACCAGTTCCGCTCGCGCAGTTAGGTGGTGACCGAGACTGATGCATTAGTGAAAAATGGTTGCAACGACGAACATGAGGTATGAGTGGCTAAAAATCCAACCGGGGAGTACGACTGCGCAGATCACGTCCAACGAGACCCAGACACCGCTTGTTGGCAACCTTCGACACAGACAGCGGATAGATGGGTCCTAGGAGAGCGTTGGCTCAGACTGCTAGTGGTATACGTGTCGATCGTGAAGATGGGTATGTGTTATTGAGGGGAAGAAGTAGAAGGTCGGGTTTTCAGACCAGCTTGTGTGATGCATGTCATGATAAGTAGGGCGTAGATAGAATAAGTAGTACACTATGAAAGCGATGAGGTGCGAGAACGACGTGTGACGAAGGAAATCATTTGGCGAGCTACGGAGCAGACGTTAGCGCTGTGTTCACAGCTTCAAAAAAGAGGAGCTTACCATTGTCCGACTGGAATGACTGGAATGGTACGAAAGCGATTGTGACTGGGACGTTCTATAAGACCGGGACGATCCAATGTTCGCGTGCAAACTGCCAGAGTTGCTGGGGGTAGTGGGGATTGCGTTTCCAGACGTGACGCGGCTGGTGCGAGCGGTGAGCGGCGTCGGCGCACTGATGAGCGACTTCTTCGGAGTCTCCGTCAGGTTCTTGCTCGATCGGTTGGATAAGCCTCCCGTTGCAGAGCTTAGCAGCTGCTTGGAGGTACTCGATGGCGGTGGCAGCTGCGGGCTCGTTATCTTTGGGCGCTTGCCACCAGTGATGAACGGATGTCGGAGGGCAGCGTGTGGCTTGAGACGACGTTCTGGATCCCATACGAGACATTTGGAGATGAAGTCAACAAACAGTTCGTCATCACAACGGAGAACCTGCTGCAGAGTCTTGGAACCCGGGCGTCGCCTACGGCCCTTCGAGTTAACAACTGGTCGAGGAGCGCCGGTTTGATCTATCGAGCAGGTCAGTACTCCTCATATTCTGGAGTCAACTCTAGGTCACCCACCGAAGAAAAGCCTCTTCCGTGAGCTGCGGTTGATGAAATCTTTGTCCGGAACGCCGAGCACTTCCATGATGCAGGAAAGTTGCTCCTGCTCATTTTCACCAGGGAAGATCGGGAAGCCAGTGTACAGTTCGGCCATGATGCAGCCCAAGCTCCACATGTCAATAGCCATGTGATAGTTCATACCCAGGATGACCTCGGGTGAGCGGTAGAATCGACTCTGGATATATGTGTAAACTAAAACAGGGGTCGGTAACTGCAGACCACAGGAAAAGAAAGTAGCTCACTTTTTTCATGCTCGAAGCAGCTACTACCAAAGTCGATGACCTTGATAGCGCTCTTTGCGGGGTGACGAAGTAGAACATTCTAACAACCGAGTTAGCTTCCCTCTCAGCCAGAATATCGTCACAACATTCACCTCTGGCTTGAGGTCGCAGTGCACGATGCGGTGATGGCGCATGAGAACCAAAGACTGCAACATCTGGCTAGTGAACCGTCGAATCAGTCCTGTCGAGAAGCCCACGAAACTGTTGGCCTTGATAAGCTCGTAAAGGTTGATGCTTAAGAGCTCCATCGCGATACACAAATGGCCGCGGAAGTAGAAGTGCTCCGTCATCTTGATGACGTGATGCTTCTCGTCCTGGTCCTGCAATGAGGTATCAGCCAGCCATACGAGCCGATAGCCACAGGGCTCCGCATACCCATTTGCGCAGACTATCTAGAATCTTAATCTCGACCAACGCTTGGTGGTGGAACCTCTTCTTGTTCCGGATGATCTTGATCGCCACGGATTCGCCCGTGTAGTGGTCGCGACAGTGCAGTACCTGACCAAATGATCCCTTGCCTAGTGTGTCTATCACTTCATAGCGATACGCCAGGTGGTCGTGTAGAATAACTTGATAATCTCCACGTTCGTCGTCGTAGCCGTGGTTGTTGGTCGTGTTGTCCAGCGTGGCGCGCTTCTTGTCGCTCCTAGCGCCGATGTGGTAAACAGAGGAGTAGTCCAAGATCTCCTTGCATTCATATTCCGACAAGTGTTGCACCTCTCTGCTCTTGAGGATAGCTACGACGAGGGTTAACATACACGAACAGGAAATCACCAAAGCGTCTGGGACGTACCCGCAGGAGACAACGGAGGCGCCGGTGAGATGGGTTCCGGAAAGCGCAGCATTTCATCGAGGTCCGCCTGGTTAGCACCGCTGGCTAGCTTCTTCGCCTGTTGCTTCTTAATGTACTGCATCATCTCTTCGTCACCGAGAAGCTCGTCCTCGTCTATAAGGCTAGACACCGGTGAAGGGGTAGATGCAGCACCGTGTCTGCTCGTAGACGGTGATGATAAGGCGTGGGTCATGCTTTGGCTCGTGGAGACAGTGGAGTTTCGTGCAGTCGAGAGCGAGATCTTGGGGCTGAGAAGCTTCAGGCCCTTGGAAGGAGACAGTGCCGAGAACCGGTGGCTATGTGCCTGGGCTTGCGGCGCGGGCGCTTCATTCTGGGCAGCGGTGGCATTGGAAATTGACGCGACAGAGCCAGTGGAGGACTTGCGCAAGCCGCTAAATGAAATCGACTCGCGCTTCTGACGTATACCCAGACCGTTGACAGTAGCAGAAGTCGACGTGACCTGGCTGCGTGGGACTCGGGACGTTGAGGCGGGAGCCTGAGGCGAGGACCGAATCGATTGACGTTGGGAAGGGGTAGTCACAGTACCTTTGGGAGTCACCCCGTTCTCAAAAACACCAAATTCGCTGGCCTCGTTGGCAAGAGGCGATGTACCACGCGATGGAGCAGCACTGCCTGGGTTGACTATCACACTTGTCCTGCGACCGGCGCCATTGCTCTTTAATGTTGGGGAGTTATTGGCGGATGATCGACTGGATATTCGGGGAATCTTCGTAGGAGTTTCCTTTGTGAGATTGGAAGGATTGAGCGAGGATGGTGGCGGCAGCTCCTTTGAAGATTGGTGTCCTATAGTGCCGACGCTGGGCGAACCTGCAATAGTCGGCAAGATGTTCCGCGAGCTTCGGAGCGACGCGTCTGATTGTTTCTGCATCGAGCTAACCGTCTGTGACGTGGCGCGCGAGATCTTCGGCGTGCTTTGGGTTGAGGACAGTGACGAGTTCGAATTGGTCTTCATGCTGGCCAGGCGTTGGGCTGTAGCAGGCGGCAAAGCCGATACATGCATGGGGGGCATAGCAACAGGTTCCGACTTCTTTGGCTGGGCTGAGGACAGAGTCTAGTGCACGTGTAAGTCATCTGGGCGCATAAAGAAAGGCAGCCACGCACCTTGCCCCGCTTGCGTCCCATCAAAACGGAAATCCTACTCTCGCTGCGATCCTTATCCTCTTTCTTCTGCTTCTCCTTATCCGTCGTGCGACCCTCGTCTTTTCCACTTCGTGAATCGCTCTTCTCTTTGTCAGAATGCAGACTCCGCCTGGAGCTCGAGCCCTTGAGAAGCGCCGGTAACCCGAAGACGGACGACTTCTTTTGCTGTACAGTAGTCTGGTGTATCGGCGATACGAGTTGTGAATCTTTTACTGGAGACGTGACGCTAGGGGGACGTAAATGGGAACTCGAAGAATACGTGGGAGAAGTTGAGGGCACGCCGGGTGGTGGCATCTGCATGGACTGTGATGATGACCGACGGAAGAAGGGTATTGATGACGGCGTCAACCGCTTAGACGAGGTCCCCCTGCGGATCGAAGACGAGGGACTAAGAGGCGTCTGCTGAGCCACTGGTGGGAGTGAAGCCGTGAGATTTGTGCTAGAGCTCGAAGCCGTCTCAGAGCGGCTAGGTACGTGACGATCAGGAGTTTTAGACGTCGACATCGGCGGAAGTGCAGAAGCAGGAGGGGAGATCGGCTGAACAGAACCGATTGAGGACAGAGAGACAAGCGAAGACGCAGACCCCATTGCATCGACGTTGATGTTCATCCACTCATCTTGAGATTGTTTACGCTGCGAAGGTGACTTGGGCTGCTCCCTGGATGTCGACTTGCGCAGCTGCTGAGTAAAGCTAAGGGCACGAGGACTCAGGGCCAATCCAGCAGAGGACTTCAACTCCTTCATAGACGACTGGGACGGCGATGTGGCCAGCTTCTTGCCCAAGGGGTTTGAGAAACTCCATTTCTTAGACGGCGCCTTGTTTGTGCCTGTGGTCGTAGGTGTAGTCGACTTCAAAGAATGGTGTTTCTGTGGCGCTGAAAGCGAAGGCACCCCCAAGGACGGCGCAGGGTCCAACTCGGGTACGTGGCGAGGCCTGTCTTCGTCCGAGGAAGGAAAGGCTACTCCTGCATTGTTCGATGGAAGCGATTTCAACGTGGAAAGATCTTTCGGCAAAGGCGGGACCGGTGGGACAATGTGTTCCTCGACAATGTCTGCAGGCGCAGCCAATGCAGCTGCACGATCACGGAGAGATGTTGCATCAACGGAATGACCACTCGAGATATCACTGCCAGCACTATTCCGCCTGGCCTTGGTGTTCGATTGACGGCCCGAGGCAGCAGAAACGGATGTTGCGCTAGTGGCAGCTGACAATGAGGCCGAGTCGCGCGACGAAGTCGTGGGTGTGCTGGTGTAAGTCGTCGACGAGGCCGAGCCGCGCTTAGGGGTAAAGCTCGTGCGCTGGCTCATGGATGTATGCTTCTTGGCCTTCTCGGGAGCGGGAGAACTATGCTCGTCCACGCCATTTGCCTCGGTTTCCATGGATGCGTCCGCAATGCCCAGGCCAACACCGCGCTGAGGTGTGGTATGATCCTTGAGTTTGTCCTTGCCCGAGATAGAACCATGAGAGCTGCCGATCCTGCTCGAACGCCTATTCTCAATGCCCTCCCATTGTCCATTGGCCTTCGCTGGCGTACTCGACCGGCTACCACTACCCATCCTGCTATGTGCACCGATACTTGAGCGAGCGCGCGCACTCTTGCCTGAAACACCATCCAACTTCCGAAGCACTTCCACTGTCGCCTGATCGTCCATGTCGGACCAGCCTTCCTGGGTGCCACGAAGTAACGAATGTGCCACGTTCGCGGCCGAGTGTCCAGCCTGGTCTTTAGCAGCAGGGCTGGCTGCCGTGCTGCTCGTGCTGGTGTGGCGCAAAAACTGCTGGATAGAGGAGGATCCAGGAGAAGGTGGCAGGTGCGAATAGTCGGATGTATGCAGGCGGCGAGAGTGATGCGACTCCCCATGGCTTGAAGAGGACGCACTCGCTGATATCTGTCTTTGGTGGTGGACGCCAGCCGACAGCGTCTCCCTCCGCGCATCGCTGGGTTTTGAAGTCGAACCGATCGACGACGAGACACCAGGACCAAGGCTCCTATGCCGTCGCACCTTGTCCTTGTCCTTGAGGCTGCTCGCCGAAGACGTCGATGTATGCTTGGAGGACACGATGCCGGTGTTGTAGTCCATCTCGAACTCGTCAGAGGTGCGCTTTCTGGGTCGCTGCCGGTCAGGCGCGACGAAGGCGCTCGGCGGGCCGGCTGCTTCGCCCGAAGACGTCTTCTGGACAGCAGGCGAGAGCTCGTTGCCTGCGGTCTGCGCCACTTTGGGAAGCGGGGGTATCGGGTGACGTGGATATAGAATTTCTTCGCCACCGCTTTCGTCTGCGATGGAACGCTTGCTTCGTAGCGAGTGTGACGGGGGCTGCACGTCAAAAAACTAGCCGAAATGAGATCTAGCGTGTGATGGCCGCAACAAGGGTGCTTACCTCGTCTGCGTCGTCCAGCTCGCCGTCGATAGCCTCGATGGTCCACGGGCTGTCAGGTAGGTCCGGCAGCTTGTCCTCATCCACATCGTCGTTGAACTCCTCCTCCTCTTCCTCCTCAACAAGCTGCTGGTTCACATCCACCTCGTCTCTATGGTCGTGTCCCCGCACCCAGCGCGGGGTCGTGAGTTCTCCAACACCTACAAGGCCGCGGCGGTCGATGGTGGTCGGATCCTTGTGCGGTGTAACCGGATCTTTGAAGGGGCCGAGCTCTGGAGTCTTGAGCGAGAGCGACGGGGGCATGGGCATCGGAGAAGAGGACAGGTCTGGGGAGTCGGAAGGCGTGCTCACACCAAAGTAGTAAGGATCGAGAGACGAGGTCGCCGACGCTGAACGAGGCAGGCCGGGCTCTGTCTCTTCATCCTGGTATTCTATTCCCGATACGTGCAGGACAGGCTTGGATTCGAGCGTTGTCAGGACGCAATCAACCTCGCGAATCGCGGTTGTATTCACCTGAGAAGCGTCACCTCCGTGGTCTGGGCGCGCTTCATCTGAGCTCTGAGAGTTCTGAAATTCGAGGGCAGCGGGTCTGACTCTTCTCGTAATGCGCTCTATGCTGACAGTTGGCTCAGAGGATGTTGGAGAGGATGGAGAGGACATTGGAGAGGGAGGGTAACGAGCGAACTAGAGAAAGGAAAGACGGCGGAAACTGGGGCAAGATCTGGGGTTTGCGGGAAGGACAGGGTGTCGCCCGGCTTCAAGTAGTGTGCGTATCGACCCAGACAGTGTGCAAATAGAACAAGACGGCGTTGTCGACTGGGTCCGACGTCGTTGAGCCCTGCCAGACCGACGGACATTGGGCAGCAATTGCCAACGCCCGTGGGCGTCCTCGTGCCATGATGTTTGTCCGTATTTGGCAACCAGCGCTCTCCCATTGTTTCGACATCATCTGGGCTCTCCAAGGCCGTTGCGGGAGTGCCTTTGCAGTCTCGCAACTGAGGAACTGCTTGTTAGCAGCGAAATGGCCAGTTTGCGTTGATCAGCTGCCAAGTCTACTAATCAAAGCTCATTTTTAATTGGCCAGGCACGAACCGTGGCAGTCGCCGTGCTGAGCGTGCTCGAGAGCAAAGCTTGAAGATGTGGGTAACAAGATATCTACGCTCAATGTGTCTTTTCTAGGCTACATACGAGTACATCTATTCCTTGTTTGTGTGCGCACTGGATTTATACCGGCGGTGGGGCCTTTTTATCGCGAAGCTGCTCTGTGCTTTGTCAACGACTGCGCGGTGAGTGTAATTGTCTTTCTCTTCTTGCATCTGGGAGAACGCGCTGAGTTACACGGTTCAAGTCACGTAAACGTGTCGACAGTGCCTCGCCTGTTCGATGCATTCGCTCGGCTGACTCGACGCCAATCAAAGCATATTCATGCGGGGTCGCTACATGCGAGGGTACTTACGAATAGCGGTGCGAATTCGGATTTTACTCAGCGGCACGGTTCGCGGAGAGAGAGTTCAGGGAGAAGCATGGTAGGTTTGCATGCCCAAATGGTCCAACGGAGATCACACAATCACCAGACGACCCTTCGGGGAGAGGTCTACTACAGCATAGCCCCGTGCACGCCGGATGAGAGACCCTTTCCGGCCATGGCACAGAGATCAGCGCAGCATGGGACTGCATAGGGCAGTGGTGTATGAAGGCCTAGGAAGGTCCGAGCATTGCTCGCCACGGCCTGAGGCGTCTACAAACGGGGCATGGTCGCAAGGAGGAGAGTTAACTTTGGACGAGGCTTGGGCGGCGCACACCGATCGTGAGGTGAGAGCACCGTGTCATTGCATTTATGAATCGGAGGGAGAGGAGGCAACTCCGCCATGTGTAGGATAGACTCTCGAATGCAACGGGCATCTAGAAAAAAGAACTAGGCAGCTGTGAGAGCGTTGGGTGCATTGTCCCTTCGCGTGGAGGAGCGGACAGCGTTGGCTTGCCGTAAACGGCGGTGATGGCCGAAGGAAGTTGATTGGCGGTGTTTGAAATTGAGCTCGTGAGCCGCGAGCCGCGGTCGGCGATCTGTGGCGGAGTCGGGTCTGCAATGCACGTAACGGTGGGATAAAATGGCAGGCAGAGAGTTCCCTGCCGTAAGGGATCGCGTAGCGGGCGACCCTGCGAAGGCCGACAGCGAGCCCAGGAGAGAGCTCGAAGCCTAACCTTCGCTGTGACTGTCGTGACCGTCACAAGCTTGTCACGGCCCATCTTATATAGCCCTCGTTGATTTTCTGGCGGACTTTGTAGTGTAACCTCCGCGCCCGCCCTCGTCGTCCCCGCCCCGTTGAGTCGGAGCAGCGCCCGTCGTCCTCGCCGATCTCAGCCAGATCGGCGTCTCAGGTCTGTCCCTTCTGTTTGTCGTTCTCACCGTCCCTCATGCTCCTCGTCGCCATGCAGCACAACTCCCGCCCCCCGCCCGGGATACCTTCCTCGCCGCCGGCAGCCCAAAGACCGCCGCCACAGGCACGTGTTCCCAGGAGGCCTTTAATGTGAGCGCTTCCCTGCCTCGTTCTGGGTGCCTTCCTTGATGAATGCCTCGCTAGCTCTCAGCTCCCTTCTTAACCTTCAACTTCCCGCTCTCTGGTTTCTCGTATCTCGCCTTTCCTTGTCGTCCCATCATGTCCGACATCGCTCAGCCTACCGCTGAGGAGCGTTCCACCCCGCCCGCCCCCGACTCTGCCCAGCCCCAGATGACCGTACATCCCATCACCTACTCGGGCATGCCCATGCCCATGTACTCCTTCCCGCCCGGCATGGTCCCAACTCAGCCGCCACGCACCAAGCGCCGCCAGGTCAAGAACGCCTGCACCAACTGCCAGAAAGCGTGCAAGAAGTGTGACGACGCCCGGCCCTGCCTTCGCTGTGTCAAGTATGGCATAGCGGAGGAGTGCGTCGACTCGCAGCGTAAGGAGCGCCAAAAAGGGATTAAGCGCGGTCCTTACAAGAAGCGAGATGGAAAGGGTGCGTATGGATTCTTCCTGCTTTTCGAGCACTTCGCTGACGCCTCTTTCAGACCGCGCAGCCGGCTCTGCCGACCCCCAGGTCGACATGAGCGCGCCGTCCGCCATTCCACTTCCTATCGCGGCGGGCACCCCAATGCAGCCATACATGGCGGCACCCATGGGCTACCCAGCGGGGTTCTTCGGCCAGTACCCCGCGCCTGCACCGACCAAGCCCGGAGAGGCCCCCGCGTACTACCCACAGTACTATTTCGCCCCCATCCCGATGCCTCCGCCTACTGCAGGCCAGGAAGGCGAGATTCCGGGATATCCGGCTGGGTTCTACCCTGCGACCTTCCTCACCCCGTATGCGCCTCAGCCGTATCCGGGCGCGGCGCTCCCGTACGTGATGCCCGCGCCGCCGCCTCGAGGCCCCGATGGGCAGCCCATGACGATTGCTGCGCCACCTTTGCAGTACGCGGCCTATCCTCAAGCATACGCCAGGCCCCTCGGGCCTCAGCAGTCGCCGCCGGCTCAAGGGCCTCAGTGCGAGGCTGGCCATGATATTGGCCATCGGCTGATGGATCCGAACGTGCGTCGTGACGCTCGCCTCGACGCCGTATACGTTGGCGGGATGGCGAACGGCAACGCTGCGTTGTCCAAGTCTGGATGAAGTGCCTCGCAACGCGGATCATTGTCTCGTCTCGTGGTTTGTTATATGTATACATTTCGTGGAGTATTATGGTCTCATATCTTGCGTACGGTCTCAACTATGCTTTCCAACTCGATCCGTTCTCATTTTGTCGTTATCTAATTTGTCTGTGCTACTGTGTACATCTATTTCTTGAATAGCACTTTGTCCTGTCCGCTGTGAGTGCATCATTATCCGTTGGATCAACTCTCAGGGTTCGTCCGGCTGCACGGCTTGAAACACCCTCGGGCCTTGTATCGAATACTATTAAACCTTGAGCTTGACGGAAAATGTGCGTCTCGAGGGGTGTATTGCGAATGAGCCGGCGTCTTGGAGGTATTTAACAAGCGGCCACGTACGTCACGAAGCGTACGCTACGCCCACAAACCGGCGCACGCGAGCAGCCCTGCACCAACGAACCGACCCTGGCGCAGCAAGCGAGCGTCCCGGCCACAGTAGCAATGTCACAGCGGGCGGTTGCGCAAGCGCGACGCGGAACCCAGGCGATGCCGCTGACTTTACTCCGTTTCTCAGCGGCTGCGAAACGAGTCCCCGAAAAAAGTCACAGGCGAGAACGTTCGAACGGAAATGGGGCTGCAGGCGCCGACGGATCCACGACGGGTTGGGTCCTCCGGTAGAAACACCCTCGAGCGAGGACCGGCCAGCCACGGGAGCAGGCACCAGGGCAAGCAGCGCGAAGAGGCAGCCGCGCCGCCTTCTACGACCGGGAAAACGCTGTGGGCACAACGCAGCCGATAGGGCCCATCGCTTGTGTCGCCGTGTTTGCGCGCGCGGGTGCCGGTTGTTGCTGACTGGCGGCCTTTTGTTTGTGGCTTTTCGGATTTGCTTCACACCGCGGGGTCGCGGAGCCAATTTTTTTGATGATTGATTACGGCGGAGGCCCTGGAGATGCTGGCAGCGAGATTCCCTGGGACGGGGAATTGGCCAATTGACTCGAAAACCCCGCCCCTGCCTTCTGACGCTCGCCGACGGCGCTGTCTCCTCCTCGCGACGCTACTCGACTTCACGTTCGCTGTTTCGTGGAACAAGCGTACTTCATGGATGACGATACGTCGTCTCGAGGCCGAATACCAATCTTGTCGCGAAGAGGAGAACGAGTCGAGCGGGCCTGGAAGTTGGAAGGGCCTAGGAGCAAGTCGTCATCCACGCAATCGATAAGGAACTCTCTTGCCGTCTTAACGACCTGTAGAACTCTCTGAGGCGGCTCGCTTTGGATACGCTCTGGTCTCTAGCGCGGATACAGACGGGGTCTGCCACCACATGGGCATGCTTTGATCTGGACGCAAGCGGTGACATCGGCAGTAAGCACTGGGAGTTGTGTCCTAGTATTTGAAAAGCACTCACTGCGATCTGCTAAATGGCTTGCAGACCAGAAGCGCAGGAGAATGGTGCGTCCCATGCCACTCAAAGCTGTGTTAAAGGGTTGGTACATGCTTGAAGAACGGTCTCAAAACTTTGGCTCGGGCCACGTCTTTCGGCCTGTGTCGTGTGAAAAGCCCGCTGCAACACGGAACATGTGCAAGTACATGGTTCAGACAGTTCATAAGGCGAAAGGTGAGGGACTTACGATGTTGTTGCAGGTAACGAAGTGCCTATGCGAAAGCTGCCAAACGCTAGGTCGCCACGCAAGGTCCTACCGTCACCAACAAGAGCAGTATGGCTTCGTTATGTGTGCGCTCTCATCGGACACACTCTGAGGGCGAGAAGCTACTAGCACGGCTTGCGAACCACGTTCGCTCAGGCTCTGGAGGTCTGGCGCGGACCGCCGTCCGCGATAAGGACCGCTGCGCCCCAGAGCACGCCTGTTACATCCGCAATAGGGGGCGATAGTTCGACTGCCGGCCGAACAATTAAATCTGCCGCTTGAACAAGACAGGTTCGTCTTCCCTTTGTGCCGTGTGTGTTCACCACAACATCTTGCGAACCAGATCTTCGTACGCGCAAAACGCGATCGCGTCCTACATCCGCACATGAATGCGGTTCGCGATGATCGACGAAAGAGCATTGGAAGATGCAGATCATGTCTCCCGAACGCCCGTGCAGCACGAGACCTTTGGCTCGGTTTCTCGTCGCCAAACTGAGCGTACAATCGCAGGTACCGTGTCTTCTGGGATGTTCCAAGACGTATGAGCGTGGAAGTGCGGCGGGAGCCTTTGCGACCGCCGAGCGCTGGGTTTGTTCAACGTTTGGCACAATGGCTCAGAGATGGGCGGGGTTGGTGATCTCAGATTGCCACCGGCCGCGTCTGCATCCCTCAGACCAGGGTACGACGAGAGCTGCCGCGGTCGGCGGGCATGTTGTTCATCTGTCGCGGAGTAGCCCTGCGGTCCGCCATGTGTTGTTTTCTGCCTCAGCAGGGAATCCCAATAAGCAACTCCGACGGCAGCCAGGGAAGTATTCTGCCCGAGAATTTGGGCTGTCACTCCATTTCCCAGGATCACCACTGCCATGCGTTTCTCCTTGTTCTTTCTCACCGCCGAAAGACTCGAGGACGACAGAGCTTCGACAGGCAGAATGTCTCGTTCTGGGCGGCAGACACTGGTACGACTTGCAGGCTGGGCTGTGCCATAGCTCAGGCCGTACGTGCATCCGGTCAGCCTCTCCTGTGGAAGCGTGCAGGGTCTGCTCACTGAGACAAAACCCTTTCTGACCCTTCTCATCCGTCATCTCACAACCCCGATCTTGTTCGCGCCCTCTGTCTCCTACGCCGCTCTACGCCTCTAGAGGCACCATGGACACCGCGAGCATTGGATGGCGAGTCTCAAAGGCCTCCGTGAATCATTTTGCCGCACAGCACGGGGTTATACTGGCAGCTCTTCGTCCGCAACACCTTCGCAATTCGTGGTTCCGATGCCCAACATCATGCGCAGTCAATCGATAGGCCGGAGCTCAGGAAGGTGTAAAATGGATGGCTATATGCGTTCGGCTACGGCGCTGCGGGAGGTAGCTGGGTGCAGTGTGTAGCCGGGCTGTACGAATTGCGGGTGAGAGATGAGGACGCGCCCATAGTGAGTATTTCCCACTGCATTCCCGGCCCGTCATTGAATGAACATGTCTAGTTTGCTCGAGGAAGTAATGGCCGTGATTCTAGCATTAGAAAAGGTGAGACACTGCTGCAGGCTGCCGTACGATGTATGGAGCAACGAACCTACCCAGAGGTGGCCCTTCGTCGTCTAGATCTGAAAGCTTTCTCGCTTGCGAGCGGAAGTCTGGTCGCAAGTAGAGCGCGAAGTCTTGGATGTAAGACACCTTTTCGCGCCCTCAGAAAACGGCTTACGGCGGCACTACCGGTTGAGTGACATTTGGAGGGCGATTGTTGAATTTATGACTCGTATGTATCGTCTGCTTGCTTCATGTGCTCGGTGGCTGTCTGTGCCGGTGTATCTGGATGATGTACCTAGACATGTTAAGGTCCTGTTGATAAAATTTTGCGTTCACTACATCGCTCAAAGACCTACCTTCATGACGTTGCCAGTTACCCGAAGAGCTCTACCCGGGGGATGCCTCGTTCTTTCATACGGCTCCTCATGACGACATGGTGCATATATGTGATGCGGGTTTTTCGCCAGGGGGAAACGCGGCTTCCGTGTTATTCAGCAGGTGGCAACGAGATACTGAAGCTGGAGGAAATAGCAGACTGAAAGGGCTGTACTGAACGAAAATTAATGTCGTTACCCTCGTAGGACGAGAGTTGAGCGACGTAGTTGTTGTTGGGGATCAGGATGCGGTTGGACGCCGCCGTTGCGTCCGAAATACTCCCGCTCATGGGCGGTGGGACCAAACTCCGAAAGTACTCTCATACATGAAGAATATTACCAAAGCAATATTAATGATGCCATGGTCACTTATGTCCTGCGTGTCCCATCTAGCTCATGTCCTGCTTCGAGATCTAAAAATCAGCGCCACAGAACCAAACGCCATATCAACATTGGTGACGGACAAGTTACAGCATGAGTATCTCGTCGAAAGTTAATTACATTATCTAAATCCCTCAGCAATGACTTCGGGCCAGATCTTTGTGGTATTGCAGTAGCCATTCCATGCACACATGACTGGGATGATTAACTGCCGTGACATTATGCAGGAAGGGAGATTTATGGCGTATGAGAAGAAAATGCAAGGTGACTGCAGATATAACGCAATGTGGAGATGGACGAACAGAACAAAGCAAATGTCACAATAGCAGGGAGAGCAATCGAGCGAGGGTAATAGAGAAATTGACTATCACAGCTCCACCGGTACCAGGCCGTCCCCATAATCCCTATTTGCCTCCAATCCGAGGACGGATCGCATGATAGCGCTGGTTTTGGCCGGCTCTCGAGGCCTGTCTTGGCGTACTTGTTCTGCTTGCTCCAAAGCGGCCTGCACCTCTGTGAGATCGGTGCGATCATCGGGATCCGTTTGCCAGCATGATTGCATGACAGTCCAGATGTCCTCGGTGACCCAATCATTGTTCTCTGGTCTTTCAGGTCTCTCTCCTCTGTTCGAGATCGCATGGATAATCTGGACGTCGCGCCGCATCTTCGGGAAGGGCACGTCACCCGTGGAGACCTCGAGCATGACCATGCCGAATGACCACACGTCGCTCTTAATGTCAGGCGGACGTGCCATAAAAAGTTCGGGTGCAGACCAACGGGGAACGGGTCCGCGAGTCACCGTCTGCGCAGACAAGTTGCAGTCTTTGGCGGCGTCGAGGAGCACCTTCGCCAGACCGAAGTCGGTGATAAGAGCCTCGCCCTGTAACTTTCTTTGAGCAACAATCAATCCTAATAGACACCGAGGCTTACGTTGCTCGATACCAAGATGTTGGCCTTAAAGACAGACGAGGTCAGCGCGTTCGTGGCACAAAACACAGGTGACAGTCGAACTTACGCCCTTCACTAAATCTCATGTCAGTTTAGGGGACGATGCCGTAAATAAATACTCACGATTTCCGTGAATGACGTTCTTCCCGTGTAGATAAGCCATACCGTCGGCAGCGCCAGCGAGCTATAGTACGTGAGCGACGGAGTAGGAGGATAACCAACTGGGTTGCGTACCAAGTGATACAGATCGACTCCGGGATTCTCCTTTGTATACCTACGCAAAGTACACGAAGCTGGTCAGGAAACAGATTCCTGTAGACAAACTTGCACGCACTTCATGATATCCCCATTCTCTTCCCAAATCGAGACCTTGGTCGGGAATGGTGAGATAAGAACATATGAAGTTGATACGCTCTTACTAGGGCAATGTACGAGAGGACCGTGTCGTCCATACCAATGATGGTGTGAACGTGGTCGTGTTTGAGAAAAGACCAGGTCTTAACGCCATTTACGAAGTGCTAAATCCATTTGCATGAAATTGAAGGGTGAGAATCGACAGCGTGCTGACAACTCACTTTTTTTGCCTTTTCGGCATTGTTGGCAAAGCTCCGGAACTCCTTGACGGCTACCTGTTAAGTGTATAGTCAGATATTCATCGGCGGGGATCGCAGCGAGCCACTTGCCTTTCGGTCCAAATAAGATCCAATATATATGGTGGCCCACTGATTGGCAAGCACCGGGGATCTGTCCCCTCGGTAGTTCTTTGGAATGTGCAAGGCACTGCGCAGCTTTATCTCCTGCGGCCGCATGCCGGTCTGCAACCAGAGTTGATTGACGGCTCCGACGACGTCGTTGTAAAGCTGATTGAGCTGGGAACGAGTCATCCCTACGCCATCTACGTTAAGCTCGCTGTCGGGCAGGAGCGATGCCTCTGTCAGCAGCTCCACAGCCTGTACTCAAGCTCAGCGCAACAATTTAAGGCAGACAGGTATCGCACGAACTTGGTGACCTCGGTTTAATAGTTCCTGGGATTCACCAGACGATCGCTGCTTTCCTTTCTGCGGATCCGTCATCTCTTGTACCAAAAACTTGAGTGACTGCAAATCTTCCGTCATCTCGGCAGCCTGGTGAAGAGCTTGCATAGTTTTAATTGCAGCCGATTTCGCGCCTGTGCGCTAAAATGCCGTTCAGATACAGTATCGACAACAGAGCCCTCACGCACCATATTGAATGATTCAATTTCTGCCTGCAACTTCTTTTCGAGATTCTTCAGCTGATCTTTGATATCTTCGTCCTTCACTGTACAGCATGGTTACACTCATTATATATGTACCAAGAGGCGCAACACACAGATGAGCTTCAATCGTGAGTACCGAGAGAAACTGTCGAGTTCGGTGACGATTTCTTCAAGGAGACTCCATTGGTTCAGTCAGGGCAACAAAAACGCACAGTTACACTCACACAACACACTCGTTGACTGGCGGGGGAAGGTCCCTGTCCTTGTTGGCTATCAGATGCTCCTCGAAGGCATTCAAGAAGTCAGTGCACTTTGCCGCTAGTCGAAGACATTCCTTCTACGAATATGACACAAGTTCGCTGGTGTCATCAATTACACGTATAACCTCAAGAAGCTAGCATACCTGTCGATATTTGGTGTTTTTGAGTTTGTCCTGCACACACTGGACCGCCAGGGACACCGCGGGCACCCCAGGCAAGCCAGACATGTTGGCGGCTGAGACGCTCGCATTCACCACGAACACAGCTGTATGCGACGTTATCGCGTTCACAGCGGCGTCCATGGTAGGAGAGGGTAAGGGCGAACAGGTTCAGTGGCGCACAAGGCAGCACTTATATGCGGTACCGCCTCGAGGACCGGTCCTTGTCCTCGCGTCTTCTGTCACTATGATAGACGCTGTGGCATAGCCGGCACAATAGACCTTAAATGCAGCTGATAGCCGTCTGTCTCTTTTCTCGTCGCGCCCCAGGAGACAGCTCTGCGAACTCACGCTCAGAATCTAAGAATTTGGTGCGCAACTAGGAAAGCGCGAAACTCACAACTCGCGCCTTGGTGCCTTTGCGCGCGCAGAAAGTACTGTTCTTCTCGTGGGATATTTGGGTTGGCGTCATCAATCCCTGCGCGTTGGCATAACCAGTCGGGCCGCAGCAAGAACCGTTACAGGCGCTTGCACGAGAGGGCGCATCAAATGATGCTATGACTAGGAAAGTTTCTCCCGTTCCGCCGGGCTGGCTCTGACCCTCGGTCACATATTGCTCTCACTGCCAGGATGGGTCGAGGTATCTTGCTCACGTCAAACCTCCCTCAGCTACAGAACCTCATAAAGCGAGACCCTACGGCATACAAGGAAGAGTTCCTGCAGCAGTGGAACCACTACAACTCTGTCCGCCAAATCTTCCATGTCAACCCGGACGAAAATGCCCAGCATTTCAGAGAGCTCGTCACCTTCATTTCCCAGGTGCGTTTCTCTTCACAGACTGCGTACTGTCATCTGACATGATTCAGGTCGCGCAATGCTATCCGAAAGAGACTGCAGAGTTCCCGTCCCAGCTGTCTACCATGCTCCTCGAGAACTATGGTTCACTTTCCCCCGATACAAGGAAGAGTCTTGTACAAAATTTGGTCATGCTCCGGAACAAGGATGTCATATCGTCAATCGAGTACGTTGATGTCGAGCTACCACTGTGCGGACGCTCACCTAGTGACTTCCAGGCTCTTAAAGACTCTCTTCCCACTTCTTCCCAGGACGACCTCGTCTGCCCTCCGCGCCAATATCCGCCAAACAATTCTCTCTGACATTAAGACCGCTAACATCCGCACAAAAAATCACAAACTGAACCGTGCTGTTCAGGCTATGCTATTCGGCATGGTTGAGCGCGGTATGGACGCCGAGGTCACCGGAGACAAGGGCAAGGCTAGAACGAATGGTGTCAGCCAGGGCGAAGAGGCTATGTGGGCTATTTTGCTAACGAAGGAACTTTGGAAGAAGGGGATCTGGTGCGTGCCCTTGTCGCCGTCGTCTATATGTTGAGTCTAATATTTGTGTAGGAACGATGCAAAGACGGTCTCCATTGTTTCCCTAGGATGTATCCATCCAGTGGTGAAGGTCCAGAGCGCATCATTGCATTTCTTTCTTGGAAGCGAAGAGGAGGAGGATAATAGCGACGAGGAGGAGGAGGACGTATGTTTACACACATATGCTGTCACGAGCAAGTATCTGATTTACTCTCTAGGTCCCCGATGTCAAAGCTCTCCATCATCGTCGCGAAATCAACAAAAAGACTCGCAGTGGTGACAAGAAGCTTCAAAAACAGGTGAAGACCATCAAGCAGAAGAAAAAGAAAAAGGCAGAAGCGACATCAGCCAACTTCCCGGCCCTGCAGCTGCTTAATGACCCCCAAACATTCGCTGAGAAACTGTACGATATCCTGAACCGCCATGACAAGCGTTTCAGCCTGGACCACAAGATTTTGCTCATGCAGCTCCTCTCGCGGGTGATGGGCGCGCATAAGCTTTGCGTCCTTGGCTTCTACACCTACATCGTCAAATACCTCGCGCATCATCAGCTGCGTGTCCCCGCAATCCTCGTCGCGCTAGCCCAGAGTGTGCACGAGTACACGCCACCCGACGCGCTCTCGCCCGTCGTCCGCAAGCTTGCACACGAGTTCGTGCACCCCGGCGTCGGCACCGAAGTCGTCGCAGCCGGCCTGAACAGCATACGCGAGGTGTGTCGCCGGCAGCCGTGGGCGATGGAGGAAGATCTCCTCGGGGACCTGATCGAGTACCGCAAGAGCCGTGACAAGACCGTCATTGCGGCGGCGCGGGGTCTGTTGCAACTCTTCCGCGAGGTCAACCCCGGCATGCTCAAGCGACGCGAGCGCGGCAAGGACGCGAGTATGGGCGTCGCCAAAGGCGCGCAGCCGCTGCCGTTCGGGCACAGCGCGGAGGCGGCGGTCGATATTGAAGGTCTTGTGCTCCTCGAGGACCACCTCCGGAAGCTGCGGGAGGAGGATGGAGTCGCGTCTGATGGCGAAGAGGACGATGAGGCGGCGTGGGATGGCTGGGATGTCGAGGAAGACTCGTCGGATGAGGAGAGCTCGGACGGCTGGGTGGACGTCGAGAGCGATGGTGAGGATCTTGAGATCAGCGACAGTGAAGACGAAGGTGGCAAGACTAAGAAGGAGAAGAGAGCGAAAGGAAAGAAGAAGGGTGCTGAGGGCGAAGACGAGGACATGGACATGGACATGGACAAAGAAGAGGAAAAGGGACTCGAGCCACAACGAGTATCGACTCTTGCCACGACCAAGATCCTTACACCCGCTGACTTCGCTCTACTCAACGAGCTCCGTATTAAGGAAGTCACGCAAAAGGTCGAGCACGGCGGCGGATCTGCAGCGAAGCGGAAGCTCGTCGCGCTCGAAGCAAACAAGAAGGCCTTTTCGCAAGCCGGCACGGAAGAGACATTTATTTCGGAAAACGACATCCTGGGGCCGCGCAAGAGAGTGAAGGCAGACTACGCAGAGCGACTTGCGTCGATTGAGAAGGGTCGCGAAGGTCGCGAGAAGTACGGCTCGCTCAAGGGCAAGAAGAAGAAGGAAGCACCAAGCAGTAGCACCAACCGCGAGAAGAAGAGGAACAAACCGTTGATGATGATTCTCGCGAGCAATGCAGTGCGCGGCAAGAAGAAAGCGAGCTTGCGTGAAAAGCAGAAGAAGCTACGGGCGCATATTGATAGGGCGAAACGTGGTGGTCACTAGTAAGGTATCTCATGCAAGATGACATGTATATTTGTCAGTTTCGTTCTCTGGATTATCACTGTGTCACTGCTTCACATTCGTGCGCGGCCCGCTTGTTGGAAGCTTTGCGGGACTGTCGGGCAAAAAGAGCATGGAATGCGTCGTTCAGCAGACGCATATTAGTCGAGCTTGCCCGCAAGCTGACCAGACTGCAACTTCCGTGCGATGTCGTATCCGCGGGCAAAATACGCGGGCTTCGCATCGATGACATAGCCCTGTAACAACGTAAGCCCTTCATCTCGCGCCTGCAAAGCGAGAATCGTACCTTCTGCTCGTACACTGGGCAGTGCCAAGATGAGTGGGATTGTTTGTGAGAGACATAAAGCAGATGTACGCACTCGCAAATTCCTCTGAGAGCTTGCTCAGCTCGACGACGCGCCGTGTTATGAACTCGCCCGCCTCGAGCTTTTGCTCGAAGACTTCAAGCTCGTCCTTGAATGGTACGTCGACCATGACGAGCTTCATATTTGCGTTCGTCATGCCTGCGCTCGTTCCTCGTCAGTGACATCTACACGTAGTGTGAGGGAAAGAGAGGGGGGGGGTGCTAACCGGGATCGGCGACAAGAATAGGTGACGACTCGAGGACAGTCCGCGCCTTGAAGCCCGTCTCTTCTTCGAGCTCGCGGATAGCCGCCTCCTCAGGTGTCTCGCCCTCGTCGATGAGGCCTGCAATATATATTCAACAAACATACCATTCCAGACGAGGTATGTAAACTTTCCTGCCGGCAGTTCTGTTACAGCCTCTATGAGACTGGGATATACTGAACAAGTATTGAGAAATTGGCGCACCAACAACATATTTACCCACAGGCGGCCGGTACTGCTCGACAATTACCGTTGACGTCGGGAACTTGTTCGTCTCCGAACGCAGGATAGCGAGCACCGCGACAGCTGCACATAGGCAGTCAGCCCCGTGTCTCAGCTTATGGACAACAGCGAGAGGATCACCATCGATGCCGGACGATCCGCGCGTAGTACGCTCCGCAGACTCCCAGACGCGTTCTTTACCAGTCGGATCAGTCCAATGAATTTTCTTGAGCGTAATCCACCTAGAAAGCGTTGCTCCGGCTCAGCGGATTCCACGAACGCCAGAAGTTTCGCGCATTCACTTCGCGTCTTTTGGGTTGAGGTCTTCAGACCCAACTATCTTTGGCTCAGGCATTGTCTTGCGTCCGCGAGTTTGTATGAAAAATGCAGGTATATGCCGGGATGTACGACACGAAAGAAGAGATATTCCCCGCTGTGTCCATACACAGGAGACGAGAGAGACGAAGCGCATGTGATCCATACTTGCCGGTTTGGGCGAGTCTACGTCAGGCCTCGTGGCACTGCACCCGAACTACCGCCCCGAATGAAAAGCGACAAGTACCAGGATGGCAAACAAAACATGCAAAAGACTAGTAACCTCCTCTATCGTCTGACACCCGGTGCGACGCCATCTGCCGCCTCTGCGTATCCTCGAGCTTCGGGCAATTCGAGATCCCATGTCCTAGACCACCACATACCGGACAGCCCTTGAGCGACCCGCCCTGTGCCACCCTCGGATCCTCGATGCTCATCAGGAATGGCGGGACCTTCTGACCTGCCTCCATCAGCAGGTACTTCAAGTCCAACAGCGTCTGGTCGGCCGTGTTCATATTCACGAAGGTCGTTGCGATACCCGTCTTACCGCTACGGCCTGTACGCCCGATCTGATGCACGTAGTCCTCGATCTCCTTCGGCATGCTGAAGATGATGACATGTTGAATGTCGTTGAAATCAAGACCTTTCGAGGCGACACTCGACGCGACCATGACATCCTTCGCACCAGACTTGAAGGACTTGATCGCGTATTGTCGTTCTTCCTGTGTTTTGGAGCCGTGGATCGCGACCGCTTCGACACCTTTGAGAAGAAGATATTCTTGAATGTCTGTAATAGATCCAGTAATTTGTGGTGCAACACAGGACTGGGGTATCACATACCGTCTACCTCATTCTTGTTCTCGCTGAAGATAATTACCGGAGGAGGTGTCTTCTGCAAGCATTCAAGCAAATAGACCATCTTTGCTTCCTGTTTGACGTATTCTACCACCTGTAGCACGTCCAAGTTCGCTGCACCTGCACGTCCGACGTTAACTAGCACCGGCTTGACTAGAGATTGTTGCGCGAAGTCTTGAATCTTTCTGGGCATAGTAGCAGAGAATAGAAGCGTTTGTCGCTGATGCTGTTCGATGTGTGAGCCAAAGCAGTACATACACGGCCCTTAAAGCTCACCTTGAAAAAACTCATAATATTCCTCACGTCGTCCTCGAACCCAAGATCGATCATGCGATCGGCCTCGTCCATGCACAGGTACTTGCATTGAAGGAAAGTGAACCGCTTCTTCTCCAACATGTCAATCAGCCGTCCCGGTGTCGCCACCACAATGTGTAAGCCCTTGCTCAGCACATGGCTCTGATCGCCCATCGAGATACCGCCGATACAGAGCAGGGTGCTGAGGTGGGGGTAGCCGCCCTTGGCGAGCGCATCTGTCCACGTTAACACGTTCTCATATGTCTGCGTCGCGAGTTCGCGTGATGGACACAGGATGACGCCGACGGGGCCTTCGCCGCGGACGAACGACAGCTTAGACTCTTCCTCGAGGGCGAACATGATAAGTGGAAGGCAGAATGCAAGGGTCTTTCCAGAGCCCGTGAAAGCAATGCCAATCATGTCACGACCAGAGAACGCGATAGGAATGCCTTGAAGTTGAATTGGGGTCGGCTTAGTGATGCGTTTTGACTTGAGAAACTTGACCAGTGGTTCCGGTACTTTCATATCCTGAAAGATGAGCAATGCTAATGTAAGTGGCTACGCGTGCAAAACGTACAGTAAAGTTTTCAATAGGCGGTGGTATGTCCTCGCCTTCGACAATGATGTGATACTTCTCCCGGAGCCGCCTGTGTGCTTCCTCCGTGCGCTCGCGAACGAACTTCGGTGGCCTCCACCTGTAAAAGTTTAGAAACAGCACTAGTAGTATAGTAAGTTGTACCCACGCCGTCTTGAGTGACTCGGTGTATTGCACGCCCTTGGCCAACTCCAGATCAGAGGCAAGCTTTCTTCGACTGGCAATCGCAGCCAATATCTCCGCATCCTGTTCCTCAGCCTTCTCTGCATCAGTTTTCTTGGCATCTAGGAGCATAAATCAGCCTTCACACATGCCATGTGGCGAGCCGTAAACGCACCTTCAGCAGCTTTCTTGTCATGTACCTCCTGCGCCTCCATAAGCAGAGTCCTCTCTTTTCTCTCCTTTTCCCTTCTTCGCTCTTCCTCGCGCTCCTCATCCTCCCTCTCCTGTTCTTCCTCAAGCTGTTTCTCCGCCCTATCCTTTTCTGCGTTCGCGCCCCACGACGTGAGCTTGGCCAGCTTCGCCTGACGGCGCTGCGCTACCGGGATGTACGGCTCATAGTTGTCGTCGTCATCGAGCTTGTACTCTGGCGACGGCGACCGTTGTACCCTGCGCCGCTTGTGTCCCGAGGTCCCGTTCGCCTCTGCTTCAGACATGATGGAAAGCGAGAAGTTGCTTACAGCGGTTTCTAGGCGCTTGAGGAAACCTCAACCGGCGCGCGCTGCCGGCGGCTCGTGCGGGCCCTTTTGAGAGACGTCAGAGGCTGACTTCCGCTCTGCAATCTTCCTGCAACAATATATCACCATGTGAAGCCCGTCCTACATTCCACTCTCCCCCGGGCCGTCGCACACAGCTCTCTCAACAACCACCGCCGTCTGCTCGAGAGCTCTCGAGAACATAGGAGTCATAGCTGAGATGGATTTCGACCCGACCTCGCATCCCCATCGCAGGTGTACGTCCTTCCCGTATAGCCCAAGGCGCATCTGAACGAAGAGTTTGGCAGTCAATCCACTCACTGGTGAACACGTCCTCGTCTCGCCGCACCGCATGAAGCGGCCCTGGCAAGGCCAAACTGAGCTCCCGCAGCCTTCGAACCTCCCACAGTACGACCCGAAGTGCTACCTTTGCCCGGGCAACACACGTGCCAACGGCGACCGTAACGAGCAGTATGCGCAAACGTTCATCTTTCAGAATGACTATGCCGCGGTGCTGCCTCCGCCCGGCCCTGCTGCCCCGCCCGCGCCGCATCCGCTGCTCAGCACCGACCCCGTCCAGGGCGCGTGCGACGTCCTCTGCTTCCATCCTCGCCATGACCTCACGCTTGCTCAACTGTCAGTCAAGGATATCGAGCTAGTGATCAAAGAGTGGTGCAGGATCTACCAGAGACGCGGAATGCAGGAGGGGATCGAGTATGTGCAAATTTTTGAGGTCAGATCTCTGCGGCATAGGAAGAACCCCTGTCGTCTAACTGAGCTGTGATGGTCGTAGAACAAGGGAGCCATGATGGGCTGCTCTAATCCCCACCCACACGGGCAAACTTGGTCGCTATCGTTTGTCCCCACTTTGCCTGCGAAGGAGTTGGCAAACATGAAGCAGTACGCTGCCTCGAACGAACCCACTTCTGATGCACCGAAAGGACCCGGCGGCCGTCCTTGTTTGCTTTGCGAGTACGCTCATTATGAAACTGGCCTTGCGCAGGAGGAAGGCCGAGTGGTGTATAAGAATGAGCATTGGGTTGGGTTGGTGCCGTGGTGGGCTGTCTGGCCATTTGAGATTCTTAGTGAGTATGATCGATCACATTAGACACAGGGTAGCTGACGTACATGCAGTGCTGCCGTACAAGCGGCACATACCGTCTATTCTCGAGCTTACTACCGAAGAGAAGACAGCATGGGCGGACTGCCTGTCGAACATCACGAAACGCTACGACAACCTCTTCCGGTGTTCGTTTGCCTACTCGATGGGCATTCACCAGCGCCCGTTGCTGCTCAAACCTGGACAATCTGCGGTCGAAGAGAATGTGGCGCACCTGCACTTACACTTCGCGCCCCCGCTGCTCCGGAGCGCAAGCATCAGGAAGTTTCTTGTCGGGTACGTCAACCACAGGCTTGTGGCTAAAAGCTTCGTCTGGACGCGCGCTGATCGTCCTTCTGCTAGCTTTGAATTGATGGCTGAACCACAGCGCGACCTGACCGCGGAGCAGGCTGCGAAGCGTCTTCGCGACCTGCCATACGTGCACTACCTCGACGCTGAAGTACAAGCAAAGGAGGTGCCGACTGCACTGGGGACTGATGGCACCAACAGCTAAGCAGCGTGCCTTTCGTAGTAAAGTATCTCAAGTTCCCAGCTGCATGTACAAATTCGTTTCAAGGCTTGCTTAGAGGGCGACCACATTATAGAATGTGCTATTTTCACCACGAGCGCTGTGGCGAGACTAAAACAGAAATATCATATTCGCATCACTCAGATCGAAACCTCTTAGCTCAGGCCTCAGGACTTGTCCCTGGTCTTTCTACTTTTTCTAATTCTATTTACAAGTTTGCGATTCTAAACGTATCTCCCTGCGACCCGCGCCCTCGACTTCTTGAAAACATACCCGTATTGTAAACACACCCGAGCATACTTATCCGGCTGACTCCACCTCGCACCTACAATGATGCCCCGCCTACCACCACTACCAATCCGTGGACGGCGATGACCTCTTCCTTCAGTGTCTTTTCCCGACGTGCTCTAGACACCCTCAGGAGGTCCATGCTTGTTTTTGCGAACAAACGTGCACTCGCCCGGCTCTTCTCAACGTTTCTGTGCTGCGTCGTCGTCGTCGTCATACGCCCATTTTCGCGCCTTGGAGGCAGCTATGCCTTCCTCATTCTAGCCCTCAAAGAGCTCGTGTTCTCTGTACAAGACAGTCTTGCCCAGCAGCTTGAGCTAACGATGCTCAACATCCTCGGCGCTTTGCTCGGTATCGCGATGTCTACGCTTGGTAGATTTATTGCCGCACGGTATCCTGTAGAGTCTGCAAGCTCTAGAGCGACCTGCGCCACTTTCCTTGTCCTAATTAGCTTCTTCGGTGAGCAGTCTACACCATGCAATTAAGTGTCTTACTAAGTATCTTTATACGCTACAGCCGGTCTTGTCAAAAGCCGTCTTCCTCGTCTTAACCTGTCCACGCGAATATGCTGCTTTGTTTCAATATGGATCCTCACTGAAGACATTGGAGTAGACTCAGCAAGTGTAGAAAATCGTGCCTATCTCTCTTCCTTCCTGACCATACATTATAGTACGCTATCTCAGGCAACTTCTTGTGGATCACGCTCTCAGCAGCAACTATTTGCCTCTTCTCCCTCCTTGCTATCATGTCCCTCCTCCATTGGAGCGTCACAAACTTCGAGCAAGACCTCGCATCCACCTTTATTGCTATCCAAGATACACTTCGCATGGGTCTCGCCCTCGCGTTTCCTCACCCGAATGACCCACCTGATCACGAGCAATACCAGTGGCTCAAGGATGACCTACTCAGTCGCTCTATCAAGCTTAGCGAGAACTACTCGCAAGCTGCGTTCGAGCTACGTATTGGCAGGCTAAGTCGTGCGGTTACTTTGTCTTTCGTTTTATGAAGATGATTTCTGACTCCAGGATTAGTGCGCTCTATTCGTCCCTTAATTGGGACTGTCGAACATCTGAGACGTGAACTTGCCTGGGGCATGCCTCTGCGTGAACGCACCCTCCTCATACGACACCGCCAATCACATTTCATGTCCCGTGGCAGCACAGGCGCAGACGACTACTTTGACTCCCCTACTGTGTCACCGCACGGTACAATCCGCGCTGGCCAGGACTTCTCCGCGTCACCCCCAGCGACCCCTCTTCCCAGTTCGTCTCGACCTTCTCAGCTTAAGTGTCCGGTAGCCGAAGCTCTTGAAAGACCCGCCCAAGCTCTCGGTAGGACACTGTGCGAGGCCATGTCGGTCGTCGAGCGCACAGTTATCCTCGCCTTCCACCAAGCTGATCCGCCTGCACGCCTATTCTCATGGCGCGAACGCGAGACATGCACGCCCCCGATCAACAAGGAGGAGCCGACAAGTAACGCCAGCGATGTTTCAGTGCTGCCCACTGGCCGTTGGACATTCTGCCAGACAGTGGCAATCCAGAAAGCAGAGAGCGATTTGTTTGCAGCGAGGGACAATGCGTGTGAGGAGCTACAGAGGTTGTTCAGAGGACTTCATACAAGTCTCTGCACGCATCATAGGGGTCGGTCGTACTTGTCCAAAGAGGCATCAACATCTTGCCTGGCAATGATTGCGCTGCTACAGGTGAGAGGCATACTAAAACGTTTGCGCACCTCATGCTGAGCCCAGTGCGCAGATGGCCCAAGAAATTCTCGTAGCCCTTCAAGTTGCACAACGCTTTACCACCTCCTACGAAAATTCTCGTCCTCGCCTCTGGTACCCGCGCGTCAGCCTCGCCTGGCTCGGTGTACCACCCGGTCCCTTCATCTCCGATGATCCGAACGCACAGAGCACGCTACTCACCGCTGACGATAGTGCTGTCGCGCCCGTGACATACAACAAGCATATCGCGCCTGAGTGGAAGCAAGGCCTTCGCGAGCACGCGTGCGGCGTGGACGTGCGCCGCTCCGCGATAAAGACCGCCCGCATGCGCGGTACTCGCAAGGACAGCGACGACCGAGATCCCAAACACTCAGAGCGAGGTCGGTTTCGGAATGTAGCGCACTGGATACATTATGCGTGGTCGAATACCAAGACGTTGAGACTTAGGCTAAGGCTGTGGAAAGTTCTGAAGGCGACGCAGCGTTCGAGCCACCTCAGGCACGCGCTAAAGAACGCAAGTGGCGTTGCGCTACTGTCCTTGGCAGCCTTCCTGCCGAAGCGCACCGGAGGTCAGCTATCGCTGTATCTCCGTTTCACCGAAACTGAATAGGCTCCTAGGCCCTGAATGGTTCCTTGCTGTCCACGGGCAATGGATGGTGATCAGGTGTGTAGTCATTTTGTGTAGTGCAGAACCAATCCTGATAGACCACAGCTATCTGTGGGTGCTCGAAACAAATCTCGGTGCCACATGGAGGATAGGCTACATGCGTATCGTAAGTGATAATGTAGTGTTGCCAGTGATGAGCTCATATTGCGGCACAGGTGGGAACCTGCCTTGGAGCCATATACGCATACATCGTTAGTGTCGCTCAGTCAGCTGCTACAAAGTTACTGACAATTACCTACAGGCTTGGCTTATTGTGCATCGCAATCCTTATGGGCTGGTAACGCTCGTCACGGTGGCTGACCTTCCTGTGACGTGGCTCATCACGCGAACGAACTTGGGACCGCTCGCAGTACCTTGGTGGGCTTTTTGTCTCTTATCCTGAATTTTGAAAGTGCTGACGCCTTCGTAGCTCTGTAACGATACCCCCAATTATCTTTGCAAAGTACATTAGCCCCTATTCCGGTGCTACTGTAATTAGTTGAGCACTTTTCTAAGACTTAAATTCCATGGCGTTGTTTATGCCCCGTCTCAGAACTCGCCCTCCTTCGCGCGGGCATGATATCCCTCGGCATGGTCGTAGCGCTACTCATGAACAGCCTGATATTCCCTAGACACTCACGTGTAAGCTTCGATGTCCTTCGAGGACGATATACCACTAATCTGTATTTTGCAGTCTTATTTCTTATCTGATAGCAGCCGCACACTCGGCCTACTTACGGACTTATACCTCAGTCTGAGCCAGTATGTAGCCCGTCTCCTCCGCATACTGGTTCAGCGTTGAGCCCAGATGCTACGCAGCGACATGTCCCACGAAAAATACGTAGTGACGAGCGACGAGCGACGCAAGACGTTGAAGCTCGAGCTCGAGATTCAGAATGCGCTTCATCGTCTTGCGACACACATCACAACTATGCACAATGAATTGGACCTGCTACCAGTGCGATTTTATCAATGTCATCGAGTATGATATGTACTCACCTGTTTGACAGAAACCCTTGCGACACTACCGTCGCGTAGTCATCGTGCTACAAAATATATTTGACCTCATGACAGGTCTCAGAAAAATCCGGAAGAGCATCCCGCGCAAGCTCACCGTAGCTGAAGTTTTCAAAGAAAGACGTGAATTCGTCAGTTCGCCATGCACTTCGTGAGGTCTCGAGCTTACCCACTCTGAAGATGTCTTGCGTATGTATTACGCTCTTTGCTTGTCAACATGCCTTCCGCGCGCGCGAACCGCTCCCACAGTACCTCCCCTCCGCACGACGCGCGTTCGAATTGCTCGAGGACCACGTACGGAAGCGCATCAACCAGGCGCGGGAAGCCGACCCCGAGGTGCTGGGCCTCTCGCTCGTGTACGCATTCGCCGAGCAGCAGGTGATGCGCAACATGATAGACGCGCTCGAGGGGCTGCTCGAGCTCACGGGCAGCCTCTTTGGCACATCGACGTGGCTAACCGCACAAAGCACACAAGTGCCATGTACGTCGACTCGCTACGACGAGGAGGCCGACCACGGCTGGTACAGTACATTCCGCTGGGAAGAGGTGTGAAGAGTGGCATTGCACGCAGAGAGTACAAGAACGAACATGCTGTAGTGTACTACTAAGTGGTGTCCGGTGCTACACAAGGTGTCTACATGGTGATTATGCCTAGTTAAGGCAGAGCATAGGTTGCCGGACGTATACAATAGAGTGTGATTATACTCTCGGAGATCACAGATGAATACATAGAGATGTTTACAAGAAAGAAAAAATGGGGAAGCGAGCCCGCTCTATTTCACTTCTTCCTTTTCGATGTAGGCTTGGACGCGTTGCCCGGGTAATCGTAGCTGTCGTGTAGCTGGGCAATCGACGGCGGCTTCGATCTTGTCCCCAAAGCGTTCTTCGGCGTTGGCCTGAACAGTCCTTAGGTTAGCACAAGCGCAATGTGTCTCGGATGCCGCAACTTGGGACGTCCTCACTTCCGCTTAGGTTGCAGGGGGTTTGGCGGAAGAAGAGACTTATTGTTAAGACATATGTTGGTCAGGCCTGTAAGTAGGCGTGGAATGTCCTGCAGAGTCTTGACGTCAACACCGAGGTCTTGCAGTTGCGCCCTGAATTCAGACATGTCTGGAGGATAGCCTAAGTTAGCTGCGACGTAGTGAGATCGTTACGAGTCGGAAACCAACCTGACGGCATGAGCAAGCTGAGCATCTCCAAAGCGCTATCATCGAGCACCTCAGTGATATATCCGTCGTATTCGTGCGCAAGCTATTATAGAAATGAGCCCGGGGCGGTCGAAAGAAAACATGGAACTGCTTACAGCGTCACGATGCTCCTTTAACTGCTGCAGACAGCGCTTCACGATCGTATCCTGCTCCGTCTCATCTGATGGCTCGTTTATAACCTCTACCTCGTCGTCGCTGAGTGAAACAGCAGTGAAACGACCTGTAGATGCCTGATGAGTCTGCCTACTTGGTCCAGCGGCGGGCTGAGAGTCATGGCCTCCGCCTGACCGTTCGAGAATATAGGATTCCTCATCATGCTCTTCGATGGGGTCTTCCGGGATCTCAGCAGCTTTCTTGGCGCGCCGACCACGCTTGCTGGCCGGGGCACTCGCAGTGTCCTTCTGACTGGCAGCCTTGGATTTAGTCCGTCCGGTAGCTTTCACTTTCTCCCGAAACTTTATTATAACTGTTTCTGGCGCATCTAAAAATTTTGCGGCCTTAATCTCTGCCTGGGAGGTGGGTCAAAAGGCGTCACGATAGGCACGCCCAGTCTCGCTTACCCGCGTGCAGTCCTGCGTGTAACCGGTGAACTTGTTTGGCTCAGTTGTCCCGACGAGGATGCCGCGCGCGATGAGGTGGTCATGGAGACGTTCCACGAGTTCCTTCCCGGCGGATTTAGCAATATCGACATCGAGCACCTGTAGCTGGTCGTAGCCTTTGTTTCGGGTAGGATCCAGCTTGCCAAGGAAGGCCTTGATGAGTGTACCACGCGCAGCCAGCAAGCCAGCCTGTTGAGCCTGTTGAACAAGGTTCACAAATCGCACGGCGTGTTCCGTGACGTCTACCGCGATAGCTGGTGTTTTATCTTTGCAGTTGTCGCAGAAGTCGTGACAATCCTCTGGGTCGAATTGCTCATCGAAGTATGCCAAGACTTGCTGGCGGCGGCAGTTCACAGCGTTCAAGCAGTACTGCACGACGCGGCGGATATGTTCTATTGCATTATCTGCGTGGTCAGCGTTCCTCCTTTCCCAGGCCTCCTCGCGAGCACGACGCATTATGAAATGCGCGTCGCTGTAATGGTAGTCTTCGTAGATGTAAGCTTACAAGGCATGATGAGCCAGGAAAACATGACATACAAAGAATGCAGTCTGAAGGCAGTCCGTCTCTGCCGGCTCTCCCCGTCTCTTGATAGTAGCTGCAGGGATTTCAGCGCGAAGATGACGAACCCATTGAGTCGAGACCTACTCGCTCAGAGAGTTCGGAAGCGAACAATGAATGACGAAGCGCACTACATGCCTATCAGCCAGGTTTTCAGGTGATATAGAGTGAACCATACCATCAGGCTTGTCGATACCCATACCGAAAGCGATCTGAAAGAGACATAAATCATCACCTCTTTGGACTCGGCATGGACAAACGTACCGTAGCCACAATCACCTTAACATGTCCAGCTTGCCACTGCTGCTGAACTCGCTCTTTCTCAGATACCGGTAAAGAAGCGTGATAATGCTCCGCCACGATTCCAGCCTTGCGTAACTGCTTGGCGAACGTCTCGCACTTGTCCCTTGAGGAATAGTATATGATACCTGTTTTGCCGCGGTATTGGCTGTTAATCATTCTCGCGATGTCGTCCTTCATGACATTCACACTACCCCTCTCTCTGACCTCGTAGAGGAGATTTGGGCGATTGAAGGACATCGCATATTGAACACAGTTCCGCATGCGCAAACGCGCGATGATGTCCTGAATGGCCTGCTTATTGGCTGTCGCCGTGAGTGCAATGACTGGGACGCTGGGATATCTGTCGCGGATCCACGTGAAGTCCTTATACTACAAACATAAAATGTCAACAGATTGATTGAAAGGGAACTGATCGACGTACAGAATCACGAAAATTCCTGCCCCATGTGACGATGCAATGTGCTTCGTCGGCCACGATACGGACAAGGAGACCCGCTTCGTATAACGCCTGAAGATCGTTCTTGAGCCTTTCGCTCTTATCTAGCTTTTCGGGGGTAGCATAAAGGATAGCAGGTCGGTGGCGCGGCGTCTTCAGCATTTGATGCACATTATTGGCCTCTTCCGAGGTTTGATCTCCGACGAAACATGCGACCTTCACGCCCTTAGCTCGCAGTGCACTGACTTGGTCATGCATTAATGAGACGAGCGGACTGATGACTACCGTGACGCCGTCCATCTGTGCATTTTTTACGACTGCGGGCAGCTGGAAGCAGAGACTTTTGCCACCGCCGGTGGGCATGAGAACAAAGACATCGTGGCCCTGCATACTGGCGGTGCACGCCTCGAGCTGGTTGGGGCGGAAGGTTCGCAGACCGAAGGCGTTTCTCAGAGTCCACAAGAGATCGCTGTAAAATGGTGTCTTTGTGAGATCCAAATTTGGAAGTGGCGAAGGCCGGCGATCAGGAAGAACATGTGCCGAGTGGGATGTGACAGTGGTAACTTGCAGCTGTGTTGACCGAGGCGGGAATACAGCGTCTGGTCCGGGGGGAGGTGCGGGCTCATGGCCACCAAGCTGACTCCATAGAGCATCGTCGCTATCGAGAGCCTCTATGGGAGGAGACCCAAGGTCGTTGCTTCTGTCTGCGTCAAAGCCATTGGTGTCAACAGGCTCCTGCATTGGGTCACCGAGGGATGGGTCGAAGGATGGGTCGTAGTCAGGTTCGTAGTGGTGGTCAAATGGCGGATCGCCCAGCAACTCATCGGGAGCTAATTCGGGCAAAGGTGCTATAGGAATCGACGGTGCGGTCGAAGGAGTGGATGAAACAGTGAATTCGAGCTGGGGGAACAGTGTCGACTCTCTTGCCTTGCGAGCGGCCAAGATAGCGCATATACACGACAGCTTATCCTTTGCAATGTCGCTGTATGCCATAACGTGAGTACAACGCAGGGCGACACGATAGCATACGGCGCCAAGAATTGAGACATACTCAAACTGCCGTAGCATCTGCAATGCGATTCGACCACCCCCGATGTCCTGGAAGGATGCACGGATATCAAATACTTCCGAGCGTAGTTGAACGATCTCGTTTTTCGTGTCGATAAGATCATCTATAGACATCTGGAAAGCCTGTCAGATCTGGCACGCGGCGACGCCATACTCGGTAACATACGGCCAGCATATCCGAGTAGTCCAGGTTAGATGCCACTGTTCTCTCCGAAGCAGTAGTAATAGAACGAGCGGGTGCATATGTGGATGGAAGGCTGGACGTGACAGAGTGGGAAACACGGCCTTGTGGCCTTGATGGCGTGGAGAGCTGGTTAAAATCGATATTGCGCTGTGATGCAGGCGGAGGCAGAAGCGAAGGGTTGCACACAGTCTCGCGCCCTTTGCCCTTATCACGGTGCGAAACCATAACGATAGATGCGTCGCTCTCATCTTCCTGGGTGAGCTCGCTGTTTGCGTCAAAGTCGGCTAGCTGTAAGTCGAAGTTCTCCTTGTTACTTGCAATACGAGCATCAGAACGGGGTCGCTTGGAAGGTGGATCAGTGAAAGGAGAGTTTCGCTTGGTGGGAAGATTCGTGACGACCTGGGCGACAGGCGACGAAGGCCTTGCGGCGAACTCGCCACACTCCTGGTGTCCCGTTGCAGACGTGCTCTCGGTCGAAGTGGCAGCCATATGATTGTTGGGCGAGGAATTAAGCGGTACCGGTTTCTTCTTTCCAAAGCCCGGCGTCGCAAAAGAAGTGTACGAAGGCGTCTTCTGCACCGGTTGTGCTACAGCGTCGAATAGTCAATTCCATCCTGTTGGTTCAGACACAAAGGTGACAAACCTGCGGGCTCCTGCCCAAGAGTAATTGAGGGGCTTGGCCCGCCTGCAGCTCTGAACTTGGGCTTATGTACTTATGAGCAAGGCCAGTTATCTACGAGATGCGGGGAGCCGACCTTAGACGCTCCCTCTTGGCTCTGTCTCGGGCTCTGGAATGTCGTGGTCGTCGTAGTCATCGTAGCCGATGTTTGCTGTCGCTTCTTGAGGATGTAGTCCAAGTTGTTGCGTGGCCCCGACATGGTGACGGACAGAGGAGTGAACGGGGCTGAAGGCGGGAGTGTAGACGAAGGGAGATCGCATCGCGTCGCGTACAAGACACGTGACCCTTCCACCTCGGGCTTTGACCGCCACCTTTTCCGTAATCTCTCCAGAACTAGCCGTTATTCTTGCAGACAATGTCGGGCCAGTTCTGGTTCCCGTTTATGAAGTATGACGAGATTGTTGAGGCGTTCCAAGAGCTAGGCTTGGTCGTCTCCGAGCACTCGCTCAGGAATCCGACTCCTGAGCTGGTTACGACCGTGTATGGCACTTGCCTTCAGCAGGTCACAAACCTCAATGAAAATTCCTTTCAGCCGGCTGTGCAGAGAGCACTGCAGCATCTAGACAGTTCTGTATGTACCTGGTCGCTCTCAGGTACGCTAACCTTACATCTTCTCAGGATATGTATTCGTCTGCCCTTGCACAGAACATCTTACTTCACCACCTGTACGTGTTTCGAACACATAATGAGAGGTGCAGGCTGACCTGTCATCAGACAACGTTTTGCACGCGCAGCCAAGATAGCCGATTTCAATGCGAAGGACCTAGCCGCGCCAGAACCAGAGCGGACACGCGCACACTTCTCCGCGTTCATAAACCTCGTCAAGTTCTCACAGCAGCGTGCAGATTTTATACAAGATTTACGCTCCAAGTCCGCTTCTATTAACCAGGAGCGCGCGGAAGTCAACCGGAGGCTAGCCGAGGTGCAGTCAGAAGTGGTCGCCATAAAGTGAGTGCGTTGACCGCCGTGTTCGGTGTGCGTGAAGTTGACATGGACCAAAGATACAAGATGGCAGAAGAAGAGCCAAGATGCGAGACCCTGCGACAAGAGAATGAGGCTCTGACTGTATACCTCATCAAATGTCGCGATACACAGCTGGCCTTGCTACAGACTGTCAAGGACATGAAGCAACAACGGGCAGAGCTGTTGCAGCGCAAGGTACGAATTTCGATTTCTACTATCGCCGATGTGCATGCGAGCTTACTTCCATGTCAGGAGCAAATGCAAACAACTATTGACGAGCTCGGCGAGCTCATCTCGCGAACTCGTTCGCGTATTGTACAGTCTCCGGACCGCCTCAAGCGCAAGATCAGCGACATGGCTGCAACGGTGACCGAGGATAAACATACCTCTGCTTTACATGAGACCAAGATCCGCGACCTACAGGTCAAAGCTGGCGCGTTGGTTGCGATCGAAAAGGACGTGCGTGCGTGCGTCGAACAGCTGCAGGCGATCGAGAAGGAGGTCACACTGCTCGAGCAGAGTCGCAAAGCACTCGCAGAGCTCAAAGACCAGCTCGCAGAGAAGCACGCAGAGGAGAGTGAGCTTGTACGCAAGAGCGAGCGCGTGCGCATACAGTATGCGAATGCTGTCGAAAAGCTCGATCGCGCGGAGAAGCATGCTAAAGACAAGCGTGACGCGAGCCAGAAAACGATTGAGCGGTTGCAGCGCGAGTACGAGCAGATGGACCATGACCGTCGCGATAACGACCGGCAGGTTGAAGAGCTGCGCGCGCAGGCAGACGAAGTTGAACGAAGTGTGAGCGAAAGGCCACATGCGTACCCGCATACCAGCTGACCGCTTCACAGACGGCAGAGCACATGAAACAGAGCCAGAAAGAGCTCAACGAGCTGCTGACAGAGTACTGGAAGCTTCGGCATGCCACTGGTTTGTCATGTCGTCATGAATAACATTTCTTATGCTAATGTTCCTTATAAGAGGTTTACATGGAGACTCTCGCAAATAAGCTAGGGATGCAAGTTACTAGCACTTAGAGTACTGTAAACTACATGTAGTTGTATAGATTGTATGATACCCTGTAACTTATGTCTGATATACCTGTCTTCGGGCCATGTGGCAAAAGCACATGCTCCTACCGAATACTGGTATGATAGCAGAATGAACCCGCAGATGTACATATACACGCCAGAGCGAGCAACGCCTACAAGACATCCTCATCGCCGACGGCCCGCTTTCTTTCTTGAGTGTGGGCTCCCCTTCTTAGCTTCCTTGCATGCAGGACACAGCCAAGTTCCCTTGGGCACACGAGTGATACCAAGGCACTCAAAATGGTACTAGACTATTATGAGTATCCAGAGAGCACCGAAGATACAAGTATTCACTTACCCACTCCCGCTCGCATTTCGGATTGTCGCACCCCAGCATCTGTGTCATATACGTCAGCTGCATACGTAACAACGGCAAGCACATGAAGATTCACCATGCCATCAGATGGGCCATTGCATATGCAGTATAGTTTCTCGTCCGGATTCTCGTTCGCGTCTACTTCCTGAAGCGGTAGCTGGGGTTGTTCCGGTGGCGGAGGCGGCAGCGAGAAAGTAAGCCGGATCGTCGGCCGATGTGGCGTTGTGGGCTTCTCGGGGATACCCTCATCTAAATTCACATCGCTCGGCGGCTCGGCTAGCGTTACCTGCATCTCGTGCGGTGCCTGCGACTCGGATTTACGCAATTTCTTACTCTTGCCACGGGTTTTACGACTCAATTGTGGCGGGGGCGGAGGTGGTGGTGGCTCTGGCACTGAAGGTGTTTCCTCAGGTTCAAGCGGTGGTGTCGGTGATGCGGGTGGGGGTTCGATTTCGATGTATTCTTCGGGGAGTTCCTCGTCTTCGAGGTCGTCCGTGACAAATGTGTGGTAAGGCTTCAGAGAGCGAGGGCCCGGAGGCATAATCTCTGGCAGGATAATCTTGGTTGCATGAGTTCCCGGGCGCATGCCTATCGAGATTGCAGCCTCCTGCTCCTGAACTTCCCTGTCGAGATCGCGCGCATAACGATCTACCTGCGGCACAAGTGAGATTCCTACGCATATATGAGCGTATAGAGATGCGCACTAGACCACACGTAAAGCGTGCGACATTCAGCTTCTCGCGCGAGGAACGCACTGTCTCGTCTGCCATCTGCGCAATGCTAACCAACAGTTCTCGCGTCGAGCGCACTGGCTTTGGTGCGGCAGATAATGCGTCCTCCTTTACGAGTTCTGAGCCAGTATCGGACTTTCTAGTAATATCGGATGCATCATCCACCTCCATAGGATCTCCATAGATTTTTTGTGGTGGTTCCGGTCTTGCGGCCAAAGACTTGCGCAGCGCGACGTATTCCTTGAAGGTGGAGAGTATCTGTGCGTTGTAGTCTACTGCATTGTGGGACAGCGACGGGAGGCAAGAAATGCATGAACATACTGGTGACTTGCTCGTCCAGTTCCGATGTGAGGGAATATGACCGTTGCAGCGACAGTGGAAGCTGTTCCAGCACTATCACAAGATAAGTATGAATCAAACCCCTGGCTACAGCAGCTTCGCAAAAGCGCACCCTCATGGTGCTCTTCTTGAAAGGCCTCCCAGATCTCCTGCTTTCTCTTCAGCTCTTCGTCAGGTTCTTGTGATGGTTCGACAGGCTGCTCGTCTTCTATATCCTCTATGGGATGTTGATTCAAACCGTCCACCTCCATAGAGTCGATAATCTCTGCGTGTTGTTCATTGTTGGTATCGTTGTGCACTTTGGGCTCCTCAAGGGATGTTACTGCTTGTGGACGACGGCGTTTGTGAGGACGATATTTGCGGGACATGGAGGTCGGGGCCGGAGCATGACAGTGACAGTAGGCGCTTGCGATCGTCAGCGCTTCAGCTTCGCAGCTCCTGCGCGAATCTGACGCGGCCCTATGCTCTGTGCAGCTTCCTCCATCTCATATTGCAACCTGACGGAATACAAAGCGATACAGTACACCTTCGCCTGTGTGCTGGTGTAGTCACTGTGCAGTCAGCTAATTCTCCGGCACTCAGCAGACGTCCCACCGCACACTGCCAACCACATCTACATAATACCATAAGGCGAACTTTGCTCAATCAGAGATATCCGCACCCTCTGTTGTGACGAGACCTCGGCTTTAGGGGTAGCGGCATGTACCGTCCTTCCGTCTTTACAGCTACGATCACCCTTGCCCGGCTACGAGCAAGCTCTTCACTCAAGACGGATAAGGACGCGACTGGAAAAAAGCGTTTTGGTATGGTGATTTCTGTCTCCTGCCATGTCCCTTTCTGCCCTCCTGTACGGCAATATCCGCAGTACACATCTATGTCTTTATCTCTTAGCCTCTCTGGAACCACGCGCATCTCGGAATCGTCAGCGGACCACCCTGTGACGGTCGTCTGCTCTCGACACAAGATGATTTGCCTCTCCGTATCTCTCCCATTGCACACGCTACATTGAATTTTGGTGTTTCTAGGCTCATTATTATGCCACGAGTGGTCAATTGGCCATCTACGCTGCTCCGATTGTCAAATTAGTGCCTGGGTGTCGCCCCTATATTAGAGGAGAGCTGCCGGTACAAGACGAAGTCTGGCCCCCCGGCGCGACCACGCGAAGTAGAGGCGTGTACCGGTTTTCCTCGGTTCCCGATGCGTGTCTCGTATCGTGCTGGCATGCAGCGCGCAAGCTAGCAGCTTGCGTCTCGACACTACGCCCTGTTCGGGCAGTCATTTATGTTCCCGTGGTATAGACGTGTTGCCCTTCCGACTTCGCATTCGTGGGCCTTTTCTCTCCATGGTCATGGTCATGCGTATCGTCTCCGCGGTAAGAGCTTCTATCGCACATTCTGCACGCTGATGGTGGAAAGTGCTGTACATCCAGATGAGCTTATGGTTTACAAAGCGATGATGACAGGCGACGTCGGCGACGTGAGGCTGAGAGATGAGGCCTGAGGTCTAGTCAGTCTCGCTTAGCGGCCGCATGAGTGCTTGATGAGGGGGTGGCCTTGAGTGAACGACAATTTCACTCATCATTTGTATCTATGGGACAATGTGTTTTGTATACAACGGTCAGGTTAGGGTCAAGGCATTGAGGGCTTTGTGCGACTACGTGCCGAAGTCCGGCCAGCTTCAGCATGCAGCTGTGTTAGCCCTTAACGCTGGGAAGGAGGGAGGAGCGGACAGAATGATCAGTTCGTCCGACAAATGCGTGCGTCTCAAGCTGACATTTTGTAGTCGATAGGGGAAGATTCCACTGCTAGTTATCATATGAACATTGTTGCTGCCGCTCTTATATTTCGTCACTGTCATTGCATTTGTTCAGTATCACCTCCGATCGGCGTTATGTCGTTATGTTCTACTACTTGTAGATTCGATAATGAGCATATTATTCGTCGATGATTGTTAGTCTTCCACGACCTTCAATCCGCTCAGGTCTCTGGTACCCCTACAAATATGGTGAACAGCCTGCGGTTTAGGATAAGAGATTGGCGACGTACTGTGCTTGAACACCGATCACATCAACCGCGTCGATGCGAGTCGCGTCGTCTCCACCGTTCGTCTCGACAAATATCTGAATGGAAGAACATCAAAGTCACTAGACCACCTCAATACCGAGGACACGTACGTGCAGGCTATTCACACTCTGGAACCTCACAAAGCGAAGCGGTATGCGCTTTCCCTCCGCAACTTGCTCATCGGTGAGCTCGATAATCTGCGCTGCCTCAGGCTCTCTCGCATCCGTCGCGTCCTCAAAGCCAAGTGTAGGGCGGTTTATGAAGAGCTTGATCCTGCGCGGCCGCTGCTCGGGCTCACCTGCGCTCTTGATAATTAGGGCGCGAATGCGCACGACCTGGTTGAACTGCGTTCCGTGTCAATACCACTAAACAATGCGGAGCGAGGGCAGGGCACAAGAGAACGTACAGGAACATTAAGAATAAGCTGTTCGTCAGCGTCGCTCAGCAGGTAATTGCTTGAGGAGTTGAGCTTCTTGTCCTGGAGGATGCTCTTGAGGGTGTATGGCGCGCCCTCATTTAAGCAGTTGAGCTGTTGGCTGTCGAGAGCCTCGAGCAACGAGCCCTAGACAACATCGGAGGCAGCTCAGACATGGTCGGTCAACATGAGAGTGCACACAGTGCTCACACCGAGCGCTTCTTCCATTACGATAACGAGGTGGAGAGACAAGAGAGAAAACAATGGCAGTGCATAATATATAGCTCAGGAAGCGCTCGGGTATCGACAGCAGCCAATGCGGCGAACACCAACAGACCCTCATCCACGCTCAACACTCTGTCCCCTATGCAATCACACACTCTTCCTTTGCGTCCTGGCGGGTTGGCCGTGCCATTTGTGCACGCTTGTTGCCGTTTCGCTTCATCTCCGTCAAGCGCTGCATCGCGCGACGGTTTCCTTGAGCTGTGGCGTAGCTGTCAGCAACTTGGATCTCAACAAAACGAACAGCGCCACGTACCTGCTGCTCGCATATACCATCGCTTGGCAAATTCAACGTCCTGTTTGACACCAATGCCCACCTCAGCGTAGTAGCCCACCGCATATTCAGCCTTGCTGAGACCCTTATTTGCCGCCCTCCGCGCCCAGAGATACGCCTCAGAGTCACTTTGCTTCAGCACACCGTCGCTGCCAGTGAGGTACCATCCGCTCAGAGCTAGCTCCGCTTCGGAATGACCCTTCTCAGCCGCCTTGGTATACCACGCAATCGATCTTTTCGGATCAACGGGGCAAGTCAGTGCACCATACTCGTAGCACTGTCCGAGCTTGAACTGTGAGTGTGTGTAGCCCAGCTGGCCTGCGCGCGCGTAAAGTTCTTTTGCATACAGCGGGTCGTACGGCACAATGCCTGACTTCGGATTCTCGTACACCAGTGCGAGCTCGTGCAGTGCGTGTGGATTCTCCTCGTCAGCCTGCTCTGCCGCACGCTTCAACCAGCCGATGGCATCGCGCGGGTTCGGCTGCTCGCCAAGTGAACCACGCAGTAGAACGACACCGAGCTTGTACATCGCCGCCGTGTCGCCCAGGGAGGCCGCCTTGCGGTAGAATGCCGCAGCACGACCTGGCTCCCTTCTCGTACCCGCGCCAATCTCGTTACAGACCGCGACACGGTAGCATGCTCCAGCATGATTCTGTTTCGCCGCTTGCAGGTATAAGTGGTACGCCCGTTCGTGATCAACTTGCAGGCCGAGCATACCAGTGCCGTGGCAGTTGGCCAAGAAGAATTGAGCTTCGTCGTATCCGTTGCCCTGCGTAGCGAGCCTCCGGATGACCTTTAGCGATTCCTGAATGAGCGAGTCCCTGTACTTCTTTACCGACCGCTGGTCTTTAGCATCGGCGCCGACCTTCCGCGCTGCATCGATGAGGTACTTTGCATACCGGAAGTGCGCCTCGGTGTCTGGATCATCCTTGATACGCTGGCGGTACTCGTCGATGTACTGTTTCGTATACAGAGGTGCGCTGAGGTCGATTGCCTTTGTTTTCTGGGTGCGCAGAGCCACTGTGTCAAAGGTGCCCGAACGTTCTATAGACGGGCGGGGCGCAATCTCGGGCTCTTCTGAAATGGTCGGCGGCATGGGCGGCGGCTGGCCTCCCATAGATGAGCCTGAGCCAGTCGATGATACGGATGACCCGCGCATAAGGGGTTGTTGGGTAGGGTAGCTCTGTGAAGGAGGATACTGGCCGGGAACTTGGGTAGACACGTAGCCAGAAGACTGGCTGGAGGCCAATGAGATGGAACTGCCGGTGTATTGTGGGTGTTGCATGGGCTGTTGTTGTATCAACGGTGTTGCAGCTGGAGGCGGTCCCATGCCAAGTACGTCTGAGGCAGCGGCGTAAAGTGAATTAGCAGGCTGAGATGACGACTGCATGTAGCCATGTTGTGGATGTCCTTGCTGTGGGTACCCTCGTGGCGCACCATGCGGGTGATAAGCCCCTTCGTCGTAAGAATACGAGCTCGAACGGTTCCCACCATTGGGATCAGCGTGATATACGGAAGCAGTATCGCTGTCCCCCATGCGCTGGCTGTTTACGCTGCGCATCGAGCGAACGGAAGCCGCGTCACTGAACTGATCAGGTTGTCGGCCCTGCGGTATTCGGGAGTATGGGTCGGTAGGTATTTGGCCTGACTGCGCGTATGCTTGTGGACGTGTTTGTGGGTGTGACTGTGTATACGCCTGTGGATGTGTCTGAGGATGTGGTTGACTGGGCCCTAGGCGGTTTGGGGACTGCATGGGATGTGCTTGCAAGGGATACATGGGGCGCACGGACATGGACGTACCCGCACGTGGTACGGGGTCTGCTGCAGCGGCAGGCGGGGGACGAAACGCCATCGCACTCCCACCTCGGGCCACCGGATCGCTGACATAGAGTGCCCTAAAGTTGTCGAGGGCCGCGGTGGCATCATATGGCGGAGGTGGGGGTAAGGGATCGATCTGAAGATCAGGCGGTAGAGGACGCTGCTGTCCCAGATTTGGCACCGAATGGTTCTGTTGCGAGTAGAGGGTAGCTGGCAAAGTAAAAGGTGGCATAGTTTGTCTCGTGGGGTATATACGGCACGATGAACGTGACAAGCTCACCAGTGTTCGGCGCACGAAGCTCCTGCGTCGTATTTCCCTCATCTCTGATATCTATATCGTCCTGGATATAGTACGCTAGCGAGTCTTCCCAGAGATCGCTCGCAGTGCTATCTTGACGTTGTGGATGTCTTGAGTCTTCTCGTAGCGAAGCAGCCTGAGACATGTCCAGCTACAAACTACCGTGCGTGTCGGCTACAAGAGGAGACCTGAATTAAGCAGTATTGCAGAAAGAGAGACTGAGAGTAAAGGAGGGACCTTGGTCGAATCAAGGCAAAAGCTGGTGGTTGTGAGGCGTGCGCATAAGAAGAAAAGTAGCAGGATACCGGCGGGTCGATCACAGTTCGCTGCCATCAGTCGCCGATTGGATGATGCACACGTTGCAACAGCCTCCAACGATGGGAACAAACCCAACCAGCAATACACGATACGGATAAATACTAGCTACAAACAAAATAAACTGCCGTGCAGCGCTCAATGTGCTCCGCCGTTCTCTTCCATCTTCACGTCCTCGGTAGTCGTGTGCCTATTCACGCCCTCGGCTGCAGGGATGCTGCCCGAGACCACAGGTGCAGTTGTGTCCACAACGACGGACGTTTCAGACGCGTTCGCCTTTTCGGCCTTGTCGCCCCAAACCCACTCCTCCAGTATCCTCTCGACTCGCTGCCGTTCCATTCCCTTCGCAGTATGCCGAACTTTTACAACCACGTCCTTCCGCCTGTCCACGATAGCCTCGCCCTCTATCGTCCGATTCACATCGTTCGGCGGGGTCCACATGTCCGTCCATCCCTCGTCGTCAGCCTCCGGCCTCTTTGCGTTCACTGTCTTGCGCTCCTTTTCTGACGGATAAGCAACGATATTATCCCACTTCCGTGGTTTGAAGTGCAGGAACGTTGGAGGTGCCTCTTCAATATCATGCTCTTCCTCAGTCCGCTTTCTCTTCTTGCTCGCTCCATTGCTCCCACTGCCGTTCGCTGCGCCGTTGGCAAGCTTTCGCCTGCTCTTTGAATCCTCGTCACTTGCATAGCCGTTCGCTAGCCTGACGCGCCATCGCAATTCCCTCGCAACTGCAGGGGCATCCTTGATACGGTCACCGGGCACTTCGTCTTTCGCTATCTTCTTCGCAGACTCAGCACCTCGCTCCATCGTTCGCGCCTCTGCGACCAAAAAGTCAGCTAGGGTCTCGATAGACTCCAGCACTCGGGGAGAAAAATCTTCCTTCGCCTTGAGGTCGCGTAGGTACCTCTCTGCAGCGTACCAGCAGAGCCTGGGACGACACATCAGATACCATGTCGGGTGTCACCATAGACAGCACTCACTTGACGAAATGCGGGAAGCGAAACTTCTTGGGAACGTGCGTAACTATCTCAATCTCGCGAACTTTAAGCTCTGTACTCTAGGATTAGAGCAAGCAGAGAAGCCATTGATGGAAGACTTACGAGTGGATATATTGTACGAATGCAGGAAGTTGCCGCCGAAAACCAAGGTATCAACGGGGGTATACTGTCGAAGCACGGGGTATGAGTGATTTTGCGTAGTCCTCGCAGACAGACATCCCACTAACCACAGCGTGGATCCACCCTGTTGGTATAATCATAGTATTGCCCTCATGCAACTCCACTCTGAAGACCTCGTCGCATAAGTCTCCAAGCCAAGAGTGGTTCTGCATTTCGGTGCCTGACCATCGTTCGTAAGCTGCCAAATTTGCAGGAGTAGGGCGAATGAAGTAGAAAACCTATTCAACAGATCAACAGTCGCTAAAATACGTTATTGACGCAGTGCATACCTTCGAGCCGCGCACGATATGGTAATATACTGACGAGCCTGCAAAGTCAATGTGCCAGTCCTGCATTCTGTTTCAGTCAGATGTTTCTCATACAAGTTGTACCACGTACTGTCCAGGCATCCGCTACCCCCATTAAACAGTATAGCTGAACCTTTGGGTACGAATGCCCCCGCCCCTTCTTGATATTTGGCCAGAATTTCTCGACCCAATCGGTCTCCCGCACAAGCCGAGGAGGTAAAACCCTGTCCGCAAGTTCGGTCCCCGATATCTCCAGCGAAATCACGTTGCGAATCTTGTCCCGCTTAGCAGGCTCCGCCTCGTAGTACTCTGCCCATTTGCCCAGGGTCCAACCCGGTACATTCGACTGAGAGGCGACGTCTACATCGCTTCCACTGAGGATCCGGCATGGACATTCGCGAAGATACTCACCTATGACCTCCACCGGTGCACTTGGCCCCAGTATCTCTGCGATCTCGGTAACGGTGATATCCTCTGGCATCTTCATCCCTAAACCATCGGGCTCTTCAATGACGATAGGTTCGCGCATGGCAGACGGATCGTTCTCGAGCCAATCAATTGTGACTTCATTCCCGTGCATGCGCTTGAATGGGTCTGGCTTGATAGTCTTACCCTTCATCATGCGCAGCCATCTATGTAAGCTGTGTTATATTTATGCTCGCGAAAGTGTATATATGGGTTTAGAGACTGACCTGTTAGCATCTTGCTCGACACCGTTGTTCTGCAGCCCAGCATAATCCCTCTGGGCACGCTTCCGAGCAGACTTGCGTGCAGGAGGCTTTGACGTAATTACACGCTTTGGATCTGTGTCGCGACAAGGTTGACAGAACCTGGAAAGAACGTGACATTCGTCACTTTGCCTGTCGTATGAATGTGAGTGCAGACGAAGCGCACCATTTTCCGATTGCCTCCAGATCGCCTTCTCCCACACACCTCCAGTGGAACCACGTCTTACACGCGTCACACCTGACCCAACTCTCCTTGTCCTCTTCGTTCCAATCCTTCAGCGTTTCTTCTTTACAAGCAGGGCACTTGTCCTCGTCCCTATGTTCGGGTTCCGTGTCTGCTGCGCCTTGAGAGTCAGGGGGCGTTGTCTCCGAGTTTTCCTCATTTGTATTCCCCTCCTGGGACTCGTTTATGGCACCTCTACTAGAGCGGCGACGAGTCCTAGCCATAACTTAAGACGCTAAGCGAATATACTGCACAAACTGAGAGGCTGCGCGGGCAATGACCGCGGTACGAGAACAAGTTTCCAGGCGCCGAGAAATGATGGGAGCGTCTGCAGTCAAGCCGATCTCGCGAGATCTCAGATCACAAAGCGGTATTCGTGAAGACCTCTTTTGTTAAACAACATACTCTTTACAGTAGTACACAGCACAGCAGGTGAAAGCAAACAGGACGCAGTACATCAGTCGTGGGGTATACTTCATCTCGCAGGACGCTCAGCCCGGTACTTCAGCTTCAGCAGTCGTCGTGGGCTCCGTCATGAGCTCAGCAGCCGCGTCGGCGTTATTCGCGTTTGACGTAGGCGGAGCACCTCCTCTTCCCCTGCCTCGTCCTCGACCGCCACTACCACGGGCAGTGCCACGGATGCCTATGCTCGCACCCTCACTCGGCGGGACACGCGCTGGTGCGACAGGCACGTCAGGTGCTCGCTTCACGCCAGGCTTGCCTGAGTCCCATTCGCGGCTTTGGATCTGCGAGGAGACGTATCAGTATGACATGCATCGGATTAAGGGCGTATACCTACCTTGTCCAGCTTGCGGCGAGCGTTCTGCTCGCGCGCGCGGTCAATGTTTTCCTGCACCTTTTTGTTCTTAGCAGCCTTGGCACGCTCTGCTTCCTGAGTCTTTCTAAACTCGAGCTCGTCTTGCTCGACATCCTGATGCATCGGTGAACTCGAGGACGAGGCGAGAATTATCTGGGACATACTGCACGGCGCTGCTTGATTCTCTCATTCTGCTCCCGTATGCGGACCATACGCTCTGCGAGCTGTTCATCACTGAGTTTCTCCTGCAGCAATCGACCATCCGTCAACTATACTTGCCGCGACATGCTTAGCCTGAGACACACCCGTTGAGCACCACCGGTTTTGACGCGTTCGGGATTCACATAGGGCTTCTTGCGCGGCTCACGAGGCTTCTTGTCTTCATTTGCATCGGGATCTGTGCTAGCCGGTGGCTGCTCTGCGGAGGGAGAAGTAGCGTCCACGGGAGCGGACGCGCTTGGGTCGTCCTTGGCTACTTCGGGTGCATCGCTAGTGCTGTCGTCGTTTATTTTCAGAGTATTCAGGTCGAGGCCTAGAATGTCGTTCGCTGGTTGTGGTTCTGACATGGTTGTAAGGAAACGAGGAGAGGCGCGGTGGTCGAGAATCTGGCGAGAGCGAGTCCACCATGGGCGCCAAGATGCGGAAGATGAAGTCAGGGTTCGCGCCGCCATCGTATATAAAGTCATCCGGAATCGATGACTTCGCTCCATCCCCCATTCTCATTCCCCGTCGCCGACAGCAATTAGGATGTCCCTCGCCAATAAGCTCTCCATCACCGACCTTAGCCTTAAGGACAAGCGCGTCCTCATCCGTGTCGACTTCAATGTCCCCATGCAAGATGGACAGATCACTAACCCCGCCGTAGGTGCATCTTTTTTGCTGGAAATCGGATATTCACCTCCCTTGTAGCGTATTGTCGCAGCACTCCCAACTATCAAGTATGCTCTCAATAACGGTAGAATATTTTGCGTTTATCGCGCTATCTTCATACTGATAATTGATGGCAGGCGCAAAGGTCGTGACTCTCATGTCGCACTTGGGCCGCCCCGACGGCAAGGTTGTCGAGAAGTACTCCCTCTCACCCGTCGCAAAGGAGCTCGAGACACAGCTGGGCAAGCCCGTCACCTTCGTCAAGGAATCCGTCGGCCCGGAGGTCGAGGCGACCGTAAACGGCGCTGCGCCCGGATCCGTCATTCTACTCGAGAACTTGCGTTTCCACATTGAGGAGGAGGGTTCTGTCAAGGACAAGGCCGGCAATAAGACTAAGGCGGACCCCGCCAAGGTCGAAGAGTTCCGCGCCGGCCTTACCAAGCTCGGCGACGTGTACGTGAATGACGCGTTCGGTACCGCGCACCGCGCGCACTCGTCCATGGTCGGTGTCAAGCTTCCTCAGCGTGCTGCTGGCTTCCTCATGAAGAAGGAGCTCGAGTACTTTGCCAAGGCTCTTGAGCACCCCGAACGTCCCTTCCTCGCGATCCTTGGTGGCGCAAAGGTCTCCGACAAGATTCAGCTCATCGAAAACATGCTTGACAAGGTGCGCATATATGCACCTTAGCATAACAGAGAGCTCATAGTATCGAGCTCAGGTCAACTCGATCATTATCTGTGGTGGTATGGCCTTCACCTTTAAGAAAGTTCTCGAGAACGTCCCCATCGGAACCTCGCTCTTCGACGAGGCCGGCGCGCAGAAGGTCGGTGCTCTCGTCGAGAAGGCGAAGTCCCGCAACATCAAGATTGTCTTCCCCGTCGACTTCGTCACTGCCGATAAGTTTGATAAGGATGCCAACGTACGCTCTTCTCCTTTTATCGACACTTTGTGCTAATTGCTCGCATAGACGGGCACTGCGACTGACGCGGAGGGTATTCCCGAGAATTGGATGGGTCTCGACGCTGGCCCCAAGTCGCGCGCGCTCTTCCACGAGACTGTTCTCGAAGCGAAGACTATTCTCTGGAACGGCCCACCGGGTGTCTTCGAGTTCCCCAAGTTCGCCGAGGGCTCTAAAGCGCTCCTTGATGCGACTATCGAGGCAGCCGCTAATGGCGCGACTGTCATCATTGGTGGAGGCGACACTGCAACCGTTGCCGCACAGTACAAAGCTGAAGATAAGCTCAGCCACGTGTCTACTGGAGGAGGTGCTTCACTTGAACTCCTCGAAGGAAAGGTACTCCCTATTTCTCTGTGATGCAGACAAAGACGCTGACCTTCACCTTTTAGACCCTTCCCGGTGTTGCTGAGCTCAGCGAGAAACAGTGACTAGAAAAAGTAAGGCTGTGACATCCAAGAAAAGGAAATAATATACTGCTGTACAAGTATCGTCAAAGCGTTGTACCGTTAACACTCTAGAAGGATAGAATTGTATTTTGACTCCATTTATGAATTAGGAAAAGATGCGTTGGACAATCACAGCATGTCATAGCTAACACTGACATCTCATCCGAATCGGCCGTAAGCGCATCTCAGGCCTCAAAGCCCGCATGCCCGGGGACGAGCAGATAAGTGTACGCAACATGCTCATAGGAAGTAATGAGACCGGTACTACTTCCCGTCAATTTGCAGCCACATGTTCCAACGTCGCCGTTCTTCGTCGCCGCCTTCGAACACCCAGTTCACTTGCCGGATCTCACGAAACCCTTCCTCAGCTTTGGGTGCTTTATAGCTCGCGCGGAAGCTCGTGAACGCGCTGTACGGCAGCATCTCGCGTTTTGGCTGCCCCGATGTAGATGTATGCGTCAGCACATGCGTAAGACGCGAGCTCGAGAGAGGAACGTACGGCTTTGGAGGCGTCGTCGTCTGGGAGGTTGAACGCGCGGTAGAGGTTGTTGTGCCACGCGAGCTCGAGGGTGCCGTTGAATAAGAAGCATCTACGGGCCATTCTTTGTGAACACGAGTAGCGACATAGAGATGACAGAAACCGACCGTATTGGCACACCTAGCCTCTTCGCTAAATCAGCATAATGCTTCCTCGTTGCCGCGTCCCTGTTTGTGTTGTCTGTTCCTGTCAATCTCATGCCCTGTCGCTCAGAATAAGGACCTTACCTACTACGCAGCTTTTCCCCTTCTTTATGGCCTCTTCTACGGCCTTGACGCATTTCTCGCGCGTGCGCAGATTGTCCTGGTTTACGTGGACGTAGCCTGCGGTAGAGAAGTGTGCGCGGAAGAACGACGTCTTGCCCAGTGCGGGGAAGCCAACAAAAAGTACGACCTCAGGACTTGTATCCGGCGAAGAAAGGATAGGTGTTGAAGTGGGCGTGACATGCGGTACTGGAATTGATGATGGCATGAGCAGATAGGATGAAAGATGAGTGAAGCGGACATACGATCTGTTGGCAGTAAGGACGGGTGAAAGCCTTTGAGTGTGTACTGTACTGGTTTAAGCTTCAGGAAGTACTCCTAATTGAATTCGTTCAATGTTTAGTGTCCAGGTACAGGGGACCAGCGCTCACCTCTGGTGTAGAAAACGGGACACCAATATTTTGTGCCCACTTTCTATCCGTGCCCGCGAAGTCGCCCGCGCGGCCTGCCGCGTCTCCGACAAAGAATGACGCTGACTTGTCTGTAAGGGCGTATAGATGGTCGGCTAAGAACGAAAACATATGAAGGCAACATATACGCACCAATTGCCACATTTTCGTTGGCGAAAATGCGCTCCAGCTCATACCACATGCCTGGCATAGGTTTCCTGAAGCCATCCCGCGCAACCGCGGCAAACAAATGAAAAGCGACTTCTGGCAGCTATAAGATCATAAGCAGAACAATAGATTCGAAATTATGGAAGCCCACAGCAGCGCCGATCAAAGGTACTTTCTTCTTCCACTCCTGGATCGCCGTTGTACCGCGTAATGCCTGGTTTGTCACAATCACGATGGCGTACCTAAAACGCGCATTATTTACGCGCCTTAACGTCAGAAAAACACGGATATACCCTTCCTCGTGCAGTTCTTTCAACTTTTCCGGAACAATAGCACGCCACCACTGAAAATTTGGCGGCGCATCCTTGACTTTCTTCTTTCCAATCGAGGACTCTATGACACAGCCATCCAGATCAAAGGCTGCAACCTTGGATGAGGCTTTTGGCGACTGATTGACTCCATGTAGGCACGTTTTAGCAGGCCCAAGGGCAAGCTCTGTCCAGCGAAATGTTTGTGCCTGGGTAGACTCAGCTGTCTTGCCCCGGGTAAAGATCGGCGCGACTATTAGGAGGATGAGTACAAGTTGACATAACTATGTGATGCAGTGCATACGCTTTGGCTCTTTCTGAGGCTTGTCCACTCCTGCGGCGTCCAGGTGTTCTGCCTTTCGTTTTCTCGGATTGAGGAGAGCTGAGACGCGAGGGAGGTCAAGAAAAACAAGGAAATAGATAACGACCGACTGGACCTTTGCACGACTGAGATGAGGACATTGTTGCGACAAAGCAACGGTGGTGTAAGGCCGTGAAGCAGCGAAGACGATGAGCGAGCGGTGTGGTAGTGGCGGAAATGGAGTTTCCGTTCGTCCGGGCCAAATGCAGGCGCCACAAAGCCATTCACAGGCGTCTGTAGTTTGATTGCCGGGATGTCGGTGATTTAACTGAGGGCAATGAGAGGAATCAGAGGATAATCTCGAGTTGGCTTAGAACAGACAGTAAGAGGTGTGCTCGGCCACGACGATTGTTACCGGCCGTTTCGGTGAAATTGGCCCGTTGATAATGAAGTAATCACCCTAGCAACGCTTACTGGTGAAGAATCCTCGGTTGACTTCCGGTGACGATGCTCCGCATCCATCATCTGGGGTCTGTTTTGGAGTCACCGCTCTCTTATTTCTGTTACCGCCTTTTGCGCAAGGGATCTCATGTTCGACTTTTCACTCTCCTTGGTTCTACGCTCTGCGCATGATCTATGCCGTCCCACTCCCGGCAGCACTCCCTCACCTCGCCATTCCTTGAAGGCACGCCGCTCACGTCATGGCGCACAAAGGCTGGATTGCACCGTCGCTCAACGTTCCTGAAGCGCGTCGCACTCTTCACAATCGTTTCTGTGCTTGCCGTGCCAATGTGGATGATTAGCTCTCACCACACGGAAGGTGTCAACCAAGCTCAAGAAGCTGCGCAGAGGTTACTAGTGCCTCAGGCTCCTCCTGCGGCACACGCACAGAACTGGCCTCTTGGAGGACATAAGCATCCCGTCCCGAGGCCTCAAGCGCCTCCTGGCAACGAGGCTGACGCTTCCATCGTCGCCCTCGCTCCCATTGTCCACGATGATTCAGGAGTCGCTCAAGAAGCAGCGCAAAAACAGCCAGACGAAGATCCTGTCACCTTTTCTCTTCTCATGTGGTCGGAAGCTTCTGCGAGTGAAGGCGTGATTTTAATCAAGGTATTCCTTTGCTTATGTCCTTTATCTGCTTTCCTGTGGCTTAATACAGCGCAGTCCATCCTTATGTACGCGTCGGGGCCGATACATATTCATGTTATCTGCGACGAAGCTGCGCAGAAATATCTTGAGAAGCGCTTGGCCCTAGTCACACGACCAAGATACAATATTTTGATTCGCTTCTACCGGCCGTCCTGGCAGGCCATGGCCGACCGCGTTGAGCGCGAGGGTTCCATCTCAACGATCCACTCTGCCGGCATCGGTAGGTATTCAATTCTGTCTCCTAACTCATACTGAATTCCTCGACAGTCGGCCTCATGAAGCTCTTCATTCATGAGATTCTGCCACCTAGCGTAAAAAAGAGTGTCTTCGTCGACACCGACGCCTTCTTCATCAGCGACCCGCGCCTCCTCTGGATACAGTTCCGCACCTGGCGCCCCGAGACCGCTATCAGCATGCCAAGTCACCCTGAGCAGCACTCAGACACCTGGCTCGACGCGAACAAGATCTGCTCGTGCGTCATGCTCCTCGACCTCGAGAAGCTCCGCACTCTGCGCCTCATGGACTCGTCTGCCTACCGTAGTGCACGCGACGGGCCGAGCGCTCTCAGTCCGCCTGCGTTCGAGGCGCTCTTTGGTACTCCGGACGAGAGAACGGGCAAGTATCGCGACGTCTGGCTCGGCGACCAGAGCTACTGGTGGGCGATCGTCAAGGCGCGCCCGGACATCTACGAGCACTTGAGCTACGACTGGGAGGTCTCAAGCTGCCTCGTCGACATGTACATCACTGGCCTTGGCGACGCTGACGCGACCGAGAAGGAACAGACACGCACGCAGACAGACCGTATCAAGGACACACCACATGCCGGGCAGGCGGTTGTGCCTCGCCTTTTGCACTTGTGAGTCTATTTCGGACCATCCAGGTGTGCCGAAGCGCTTATGACAATGCAGTAATTGCTTAGCTGCAGACAGCTATTACGAGTGGGACGGCTGGAACGACCCAGAAGAGAGCTTGAATAAACGCTGGGGCGCAGCTCTGCGTTATCATACGGGTTATAAGTGGACCTGGTTGAACCAGTCCCCAACAAACGAGACCTCACTCACCATAGAAACCATCTACGACGTCCAGTTCGCTGACTTGGCATACATTTCAACGCAAAATTAGCTTTTCGTTACCAGATCTATCTGTATTGCCAGTGCATAATTCAGTTGTTATACCACACATTTGGAGTCTCTGTATGATATCAAGTGAGATATCTGCATTTTAGTTCTCTCCGTAGTATTCGCGTGTGATGCCGACGAGAGCTGGTTGCTGAGTCTGGGCACCGGGCTTGGGGCGATGGGTGTCTACAGCGCCGATCGGAAGGGTGTATCTACAACGATATGAACATACCAAGGAAAAGATAAAGCAACAAGCTGCCTACCTCTCTTCATCACAACCATACGCCTTCGGTGTCAGCTTGATGACGGTATGCAGAGGAATCTTGATGTACGGCAAGTCCGCATGCGGCAGATTGTGGAAGTACGCGTATCTGAGACACACTAAGCAAGGAAGATTGATAACATGTAAAAAGAGAAACACACAAGCATCGCAGGATTGCTTGATGCCCAATGATCAAGATATTCTCTTGTCGCTCCAGCTCCATGATGACGGGTTCGAGTCGGACAACGACATCCCGGTATGATTCACCACCTGGCAGCGGTTAATACCGTCACGCAGTACTATACATTGAGTCTCATTACCTCTGTACCGGTAATTAAATTTATCCTGGTCACGATTAGCAAAGTCCTCGGGGTATGCTTGCTATAGATTGTATCAGGAAGCTCAACCCCGTATGAATCTCGTTGAACCTTACCTCGATCTCCTCATACGTCATACCATCGCATACGCCTGCATCTAGCTCATCGAGCGACTTCCATGTAAGTTTGTTATAAGGGAGATACTGCGCTGTCTGGATCGTTCGTTGCAGCGTAGACGTCCAGACCTACTTGCCAGTATCAGCCCAGGTTCTCGCTCCCGCGAGGCTCACTTACGGTGAGAGGAGCATCACCAATGTTGTCGGTGATTAGGGCAGGCAACGCACGAGCGTATTTCAACCCGCGTTCCGACAATGGCGAATCGCCTCCAATCTTGCCCTCGACATTGAACTGGCTCTCCCCGTGCTACAAAAGAGACGTTGTTATAAGCTTTGGCACAACCCATGTCATGCCGACCGTCTCACCCGCGAGAAAAATATGCTCCTTGGCTTCAGATGCAAGTTCATCAAGTAGAACGCAATTCGACTCTGGAGGTATCCATGGATATGGCTGAGAGTGACTTGGTCTCCAACATTGCGGATGCGCAGGTGCGACAAGTGCGACTCTGTAATTGTCTCGTACACAGCCTCGTACTCCTTGATCCGTCGTAGAAAATCACGTCGCGCGTCTTCCGGGGATGTGTCCTTGTAGTCGGGGTCGCCTGAGCTCACCTTGAGTGCGACATTCGCTGCGATGACTGCGGGGTCGTCACAGACAGACTCAAGAAAGATAACGACGATGCCCTTCTCTTTCGCGACACGCTGCTCAATCTTGGCACTAGCATAGAATCAGCGGCATTTCTTCATGCGAATAAATAAGGTGCCTTACCGACGGCTAAGTGTGCTGTTAGTGGCATCTAAGCACCATGTCAGGATAATCTTGTGTGTAGCCTTAATTGAATATGTACCATGAATGCCGACATTGCCTCCTTGCTTCAGCCACTGGATCAACATTTCAAGACTGTCCTCAGCGAGCTGATCACGCAGCTTCGTGGCCTCCGCATTATTGTGGCTGAAATATTGGGCGGTATGGTCCTCCTTCTGGCCGCCCCTGGAGAGCGTTCAAGATGAGCATGGTAGGTTAAGAAAATTACACACTGTAAAGCTTTCTGGCGCGCACGTGAGCGGCGTAGTTGCCCCACATTGAAAACCTGCAGGCATCCTATACTTTACAAGAATATTCGCAAGATGAGCGTCTGTATAACATACCTTGACGTCGTATTCCAGCCACTAAGAGGACGTCAAAACTTCTCAAGATCCTACACTAGGCTATTAGCCGTACCTTGAGGTAGCGCATCAGCTTGTTGCTGAGATATGACTTCCCCCGCGCAGGCAGGCCGACCTGGAGCGACAGGAGAAACACTTGTTGGCGGAGACGTCACCATAATCTGCTCACATACCATCGCAAGAACAATCTTTGCTTCAGAGTAATCGGGCTTCGCAACTAAATGACAAGTTCTTTGAGTATGTTCCAGGTATATCAACGCGAATCTCACCTTTGTTACCGATGCCTACTACAGAACGAGGAGTCGCAGCTTGTGACGGGTTCCTGCTCATCGCGGTCGACTGGTCGAACTGTTTCAGCCTAGGAACATGGAATCAACATTGCCCGCGATTAGATCAAGAGCCTTCTGACATAGGTCCACCAGCTCCGAACGCTGCAGGGGGCTGTAAATGGCCTCCGTCAGGCTGTATCTGAATATCCTCTAGCGCATGCTCGACGCGGGCCAAATCTTGGTTTGTCAATGTCGGTAATCTGAATTTATTTGAAGGCGTGTGAACAGCGGACATCGTGGAAGAAAGAGCGAGGGGCGAGTGTGGGGGGATAGCAGTGAAGGGAGTGTAGCCGAGCCAGGACCAGAATCGGATACGGGACAGGTCTGATCCGCGCGGATCGAGAGCAAAAGTCAACACAGCTCTCGTCACCGGTCGCCATCCACACGGGGCTAATTTTATACTATTTTGCGCGGATAGAGGTGCAAAAGCACATTCAGTTTGTTTCATAAATACACTTAAGCTATTCCCCATGGGGATGTTATCGTTTTAGTGGTACAAAAAGATACGCTGCTTTTACACCTTTTGAGGTATTACAAGAGTCAAAATATCCTTAGGGCGAAATCATCATCATTTCTTTCTCCATGTGTATTACTCTATATATGGATAGCCCAGCGGTAGTTGCACCTCTTTTTGCTGCGAGCTGACCAACTTTTTACAACAAGATTGACTAAAAAAGGCGACTTTATTTTACTCTTATTTTCAAATTTTACCTATCATATATTTTCACCGGAAAGTGTTCAGGCTTTTTAGCTTCTTTTCTTACGGTCATTTTCGTACCTCTGTCAGCTAAAAATATTTACTAATTAGCCCCGTGCCATGACCTCCATTGAGGACACAGCCAGCATCGCGTCTTCCGTCGACAGCAATGTAGGCTTCCACTTCACACACAATACCAGACTTGTGTGGCGTCGCCCGTCCGGTTGCCACGCATTATACGTCGAGTATATTCTTCCGCCAGGCATATTCGCCGACCCCTATGAGCTCGACTTGCGCGCAGATAGCTACACTTACTCTATCGATACTCAACCCGACCTCGAGCGGCCTGTGTCCGCTGTTGAATATCGCAGCACTCTGCTGCGTCTCGACGTCAAGCTGCCTTCTGACGCGGAGGGCGTGATTCAGGTTGCGCTCCCCTTGCACGGCCGATATGGCCTTCCGTCAAGTGCACCTCTGGAGGAGGCATACGCTGTTGCATATGTGTCGTCACCTGACGCATTTTGGCAATGCAGAGAGGGGCAGGGTGCGTCTCAACATGCTCCGGTCATCTCTCAACTGACACCTTTCGCGCAGATATATATGCGATACCACTGACGACTATGCCGCCGGCCCAAGACATCCCGCTGCTGATTCCTGTCGCTATATCAGATGATCTTGCCCTCGTCGAGGCTGGCACCGTACTATCCGTCCTCGCCGTGTTCTGCTATGCGGCGTACATCTTCAGCAAAGTCCATAATCGCTTCACAGTCCGTTTACATCAGAGCAAAAGAGAATGAGACGCTGTGAATACAGTCCTAGAAAGCAATTGTCTACCATGCGAAGATAGATTATACATGATATACAGAGAGAAGAGTTCGAAAGATACCACCTAGGCACTCCGCGTTCGTCAAGTAATGACACATCCTCTGCGTTTCACCATTTTCCCCCATCGACCTCGCATGCTCTCCTTCAGGGCAAGCGCAAATACGTCCTGCACACCTGTTCCTTGCTTGGCGGAGCATTCGATATACTTGGCTCCGATGTCATGAGCGACCGTGGCACCTTGCTCTGCTGTTATTGGTGTTTGGCCCTGTGCACTTAGCATCCGTTTTGTCTGCTCATCGCGCCGCAAATCAGTCTTGGTGCCGACAAGGATCAATGGTGTACCTTCGCAGAAGTGTGCTACTTCTGGGTACCACTGGGTGACTGAGTGAGATTTCATGGCGATTAGCTATGAAGACACTAGCACTCACTTTGTCTTGCACATTCGCTAGGCTGACGGGGAAGTCAATAGAAAAGACTATGAGGATGACATCGGATTCGGGATAGCTGAGGGGGCGTAATCGATCGTATTCCTCCTGACCAGCGGTATCCCATAAAGCAAGTTCAACAAGTTTGCCTTCGTAATTAACTTGCGTCACATAGTTCTCGAAAACTGTCGGGACATAAGCCTGAGAGTCCTCGTTGATATAGGTATGTTCGAAATCAAGAGATGGTGCCAGTCGTACCTCGGGAAATCGGTTCTCCGCGTATACGATGAGCAAACAAGTCTTGCCACAGCCGCCTTGTGATTCGCGGGGGTTTGTGAACTAGGCAAAGAGGTCAACCAAATAATGCCCTGCGCACCGTCGCCGACGACAACCAGCTTCTTCTTGACATCGGGTCTCCGTGAGGACGAAGCTGGATACGTGGAGGTATCCATGGCAGAGTGCGATGAGAAGCGTCTGAGGTGACCATGCATGGCGTGGGGTCAGTCTCTGGAGATGGAACAAGAGGGACGGAGGTCACTGACTGCAAAAGAGGGGCGAAAGACGCGTGCTGAACGTCTTTAGCAGACAAAGGGCCGGTGGAACAAGGTAACGATACACGCTCACCCACCACGCGGGGAACGAACCACGGACATCACGTGAATATCATCCACCCGAGGGCGTCTCTCAATCGAGATTGGGATTCGCGCGGCTCTCACTGTGACCTGCCCAAAATGCGTCGCCCTTCGCCAATACCGGTTCTGTGCCCGGACGACATACACCACACAGGCTACTTCTATGGCTGGACATGCCCTATTGTAGCTGTCTGTGGCGCCCTCGATGTCGACACCGTGAGTCCCCCGCCGTCGCTGCCGCCCACCCTGTCATCAGGGTGAAATGACAATTTACGGCTATGCAGGCGGACCACGCTCGGGACCTCCTAGAACTACTTATCGCACAGTCTGAGGTGGCTGCTCCGAACGAGTTGTTCGGCGCTCTCCCCGTGATCCTGGGCCGTTGTACGGTTGCAAAACGACATTCTAAGCTGAGCTTTTTTGATGCTGCCTGCAAGTGTCCTGCGTCTGGGCAAACTGTGCTACCTGATAAGCGTCTTAATAGATAATGCACATCGACTCGTCTTCTACACGAGACCCGACCTCCGTCGCATGCAGATCTACACCCTCCACGCTCAGCTGCAGCTATTCAAACTCTCAGCCAGCCTTTCGCCGCGGCAAGGATCCCCTTGCAAGACATGTCCAGGTGCCTTATTCTGTTTGGACCCAACTCACTTATCCATTCCGTCGACATTGATCCAGAGACCCGAGACTATTCACCAGGTATGACAGCGTGGCCCTCGTCAACGGCGCAGCTCACTGCATGTCGCTCTAGCTTAACTACGGGCAATTACTCACCCGAAGTCCGCGTTGTGCTAACGGTCCGCGGCATATCCTACTGCCATCAGCCCACCTTCGTCGATTTTGGGAACTGGCATCAATGGTTGTATCGACATGTGGCAAATATCAACCACCATGTATCCTCTCAGTGGTTTGGCATTGTTCAGTCCTCCGTGAGAAAGAGGTTGTCATGTTGTGCTTGCGGTATCTGACCAATGTCGTCTAGTCAGCCAAGTATCAACGCGTTTTCTACAGGTCATATCGCTGCCCGCGGACTACCCCCAGCTGACGCCCGTTATCACAACCGCTTTGATTTCACAATACGTTATGTACGTGTCACAGGCCCTAATATCAATACAGCACATTTGAAAACCGTTACTAGGTTTTACAACTGCATCTGGCTCATACTCAACGATATCATCATTGGCTGGGCCCTTGGCACCATTATATGCGAGCACGCCACATCGATTGCTAGTGTGCTCGAAGAGCGAATAAGGGTGCAGGACGCTACGCTATATATACGACGCGTGGACTTACTTCTGACCTTGCCAGACACTCCTAATCGGCGATCTTCAATGGGCGCTGCTGTGGTTGAATAACTGGCCTGCAGGATTGAAACTCAATGGTGAACTCAGCCAGTTTTATTGTCACCTCCTTCTTGCTGCAGTCACAGGGTGGAATAGTAAGTGTCACCGTTACTATGCGCTAGCTACTGCCAGCAATCTCATAGTCACATAGGGCTACTCCAGACACTCCTCCTGCCGTACCTTCCACAGCTCATATACTTTGCCGGGGCAGTCGGTAGCTGTGGCATCACCCTCACGGTCTCAATCTGCTCTGATCTTCTCGTTTTAACAACTGCACATGTACATCTATGCTACCACATCTCACGCTTTGTTTACCAACAGCAACTCAATATTGTGAGCTCGCTTTGGAACCTCTCTCGCGGGAAGCGGTACAACGTCCTACGCCACCGCGTCGATTCGTGGAGCTATGACCTAGACCAGCTGCTCTTCGGAACTATCCTGTTCACATTGACTGCATTCATTTCCCCTACGACCTTCACATACTATGCTTTATTCGCGACGGTAAGTGCGCGCAACATATATGGGTGTCTGACCCGTACTTACGGTGCCCCTTCATCCAATAGTTACAACTGGTGACCTCCCTGATCCTTGCTCTACTCAACGCTGTGCTCGTGCTGGTGAACCAGTTCCCACTCTTTGCTCTACTTCTGCGGATCAAGGACCCGCAAAGGCTACCTGGTAAGTATGGAACAGCTTCGGATGGTCACTTAGGTTGACGCGCAGCAGGTGGTATTGTACTCACGCTGGGCGAGGATGGCTCGTCGCTGCGCATAGAGGTTCGTCTACATCTATTTGTTCATCATTTCTGAAGTTCCCTACGGAGAGGGACAGAATCAGACATTACCTATATCAACAATATTCGTCCATTACCGTGCGCACATTATCTGATCTTAGCTCTCCTCGCCGCTGACCTCTCGAATAGAGACCTTCTGGTCCTCATTCGTCAGCACGCACCATCCAGCGCATCTCTTGAGCAGCATATTACGAGCCAGGACGATTGTCGGAGTGACCCCTCGCTCGTGATACACCTGAGCTGATCTGGGAAGACATGTTACGAGTACTGTACGTGAACGTTCCAGTATATGACTAGACGTGGCCGAGTACAGACAATTGTTGGGGTATGTATTAACGGTTGTGCAGTAGGGTATAACGGCGAGAATGTAATATTGAAGAGATCCAGGAATCCTAGGCTCTCACTTGCGCTTACTCCCTCCTGGCCTGTACCGTGAGGCCCATCAAGTAAATTAGCGCGGACGAAGGGCTCACTTTGCCTCGGATTCGCGCCTCGCCTTATTTGCTTCCTTCTCACGCATTTCTGCCGCCGCCTTACGAATTGTCTCGACCTCTTGTGTGTCGGGAAAGCCAATGTTCCAATAACCTGGTGGCGTCTTCGGGGCTTCCCACCTTGTACGGTGCCGCGAGACCTGTTGCTTATGGTCTTGAATGTCAGCCTCTCGTTCGTCCCCTGAGTAATTGTTTTCGTGGTAACTGGAACTAGGGTGGTTCTTTGCTGGAGATGAGGGCGGTGTACGCCAGAGGGGGGCTTGCAAGCGGGATGGGAGGGGCCCGATAGCTTCGTAGTACTGATGAACGTGAGAGGCGTCATGGACAACGTAGGAGTGGACAAACAAAAATACACACATCTCGACAACATTCACAATCACCACCGTGCAGACGCCTCCGCTCTCGCTTATTTCGGACTACCTCTTCATACTTGAAGTTCGGCTCTCCGGTCTTAAATGCAGAGATGGCAGCAGTCTCTGTGGCAATACTGTCCATAAAACCATCTCAGTGCACCCACGGGATAGAAGTAGCGAGCAACGTACCCGTAGTGAGCATACCGACCTCTCCGTTGTAATGGCTTGGCAGCGATCTCTTCCACAGCTTTATTATTCTCTTCTTCTGCAGCCTGACAGCCCTCAAATTTCGCCTTACGCTTCGAAGTTGGACTCGAAGGGTCCTCGCTGATATTGGTCAAAATCAAGCAAGTTAAGCCACACAAATCTTACTGTGCCCGCCGCTTTCCCAGCGTGTTGGAGTTTGACTCATGATCTTGTACAAAATTTGCGGCCGCGGACAATGACTCTCGAGCGGCAGCATCTGTGACTCACGCTCGCCGCAAAAGATTGGCATAGGATATGCAATGCTCACCTGCATCTCGCTCTATAGTACCGCCAGCCACGTTCTCTTTTGCCACCTTATCGCTCAAGGGCGACCGTGATGGTCTTTCTTTATCCGCGATGCCGACGAGCAACCACTGTTTGAACCGCCGCCACTTCCGGTGGTCAGCTGTGTATCGCGCCACTACTTCTCCGTGCTCGGTTTGTAGAGAGCGGTAGCCTTCCACCAGTCTCTTGACTCTTATTTCGACGTCGCTCGGAGATACATCGATGAGGGCCGGAGTCGGAGACGCGTCACCATAGCCCTCAAGGCACCTGGTGCGAAAGTTCATGCATTAGGAAAGCATCGTGGGCGAAAAGGCCGAAGAACTTACCGACAAATCGCGTTCAAGGCCTAAAAGATTCAACATAACTTCGCAAGTAGGAGGGGTCAGCGTACCTCTCGCAACTGAAGGTTTTCTGTTCGAATTTCTTCTGCATCCCCACAGGCCGACATGGTATGCGAGCGATCACCGAGTACACACCCAATTTGTCTGCAGATCAAGGGCATGCCGCTGGCGTCAGATTGCACAGCTACGGTGATCCGCATCTGCGGCGACCCTCTCCGTCACCGCCGACATCTCAAGAGGCCGAGCTGAGTTGAGCCGTCTGCGATATGGCACCGACATGCTCATTTGGTCCCGCTGACATGTCCGAGCATATGCCCCCATATGACCATGGCCTACAGCAATGACTGCAGAAACCTGATATTTCTATATCATTTTCTCTCTTGTGCTACAGATGATGTCAGATGTGGTCTACTTTGGTTTATGTCAACTGTGAGGTCATATTTATGAAGGAAGTATCAACTAACTGACCTTGGCTCACTGCTCAAAACTAATTAATACACACATTTCCCTATGTTTTTGCCTCTGGCACATGACACTTAGCATAGTTGAACTTCATGTCTTGCCATGTCATGTCTCTCTTGTGCTGTCTCACCTTCACTCCATCTCTTTGTCATGACAGTATCTATATCTAAAGTGCATTAACACGAGCTATAGACTCTAGCGTTGAGATCACTGTAGGGGATACTCAGGTTGTACTCATCTGTAGGTTGGTAGATAGTACTAACAAGTGGAGGTTGCAAGTAGAGAAAGTTTTGTATGTGCCCTAGTGGGCACTGGAATCCTTATATACATGCAGTACTGTTTCAGGTATCTAAAACTATAAAACACAGATCCTGGGCACCTAAGAGCACTTGTATATGGCAGTGTAGAACTGTGCATTTCAACTAAGGTGATGTGGACTGCAGCGCAGGCACTCAGTGGGTACAATTTCTTCATTTCTGCAAGATTGAAGAAATTGTACCTGCTGAGCATCTACACTACGACCCACATTACTTTTCTTTGAATAAGGCTATTCAACGCAACAAAAAGCATACTCCTTTAAATAAGGTATAAATATGATTTACATGGTTTAAATAATTTAAACTCTAATATATAGTGCAATAATTAGCTTGCAATCATATGAGGCTTTGGCAAGTTGTTGTAAAGTAAAATCACCAAATTTGCCTTCAAGATGATATGCTCTTGTTGAAGCGCCTAGTGGCTCTGGCTCGGCGTTCCGCCCGGCATGGACTTAAGGTGGACATCTTAGATTAGGCGCTGCTAATACGTAGATAGTGATTGGACAATCATATGTAGTGCTCCCACGCACGGACCTCTTTATGGCAGGCTTCCCCATTCTAGCGGACTTTCAATTTTGCTTCCTTTTAGTATATAAGGACTCCTCTCGCATCCCCACTCTGCGTGCTCTTTCTCTTTGCACTCAGAGTAAGTCCCTTCGTCGCCCTTGCGCATTATGTAGTATGCTTACTGGACCCCTGTCTAGCTAACACCATGTGTATTAGGTATATAGCTATACAGAGTGCTCTTTCCCTTCGCACTCAGACTAACACCATGTGTATTAGATCGTGCCCGCGTGCCACTCGCCAGTTCGCGCTCGCGCAGCCCAGTCGTCGTATCACGACAATAGGTTATGAGCCCCGGCTTGTAACTGGCCCCCATCTACCCTCCATCTCTCACGAGTCTTCACTTGGAGAGATCTGGCACCAGCCGCACATTTGCTCCATAACACCTCAGGGTCTTTACCCCAAGTGTTACTCCACATCGCACACACGCACACTAGAGTCGTACTCTAGTGTATGTCTAGTCCATCTGCATCACGCCCACCTTCACCAACTGCACCAACACCTGCACCTGCACCTGCACCCCGTCCTACACGTCGCACTTCCGCCGCTCCTGCTACACCCTCTCAATCCGCGTCATCCGCACCTCGCCGCACAACGACAATGTCCTCCGCCTCCGCATTCGCATCAGCCACCAGTCCGCCGTCGATGAAGCTCGACACGATCGGGAAGCTCAAAGGTTCCAGCGACTACCCACGCTGGTCCCTGATGATGCAGCAGTACTTCATCGCTGTACGCGCATGGAAGGTCGTCGACGGCACCGAGAGAGCCCCCGTCCCAAGCAGCTCCGTCTCCGCTGCGGACATTGAAGCATGGGAGACGACAAACGCATACGCGAGGTTCTACATCCTCAGCACGCTCGGCGACGAGCTCCTACACCTCGCGAACCCAGTGGACATCACAGCCGCCGCGCTGTGGAAGAAGATGAAGGACAACTACGCCGCCTCCACCACGATGTCAGCATTCGTCAAGTTCCGTGCGTACTTCTCGCACGCGATCACGGACAGCGACGACCTCGCTGCCCAACTCGACAAACGCGCCCGACTATGGCAAGAGGTCAGTGCCTCCGGGATCCTCCAAACCCTGGAGCTCCTGCAGATATTCGGCCTGCTCACGGCCCTCCCCGACTCGTTCAACAACGTCGTGGAGCCCATCCTCGCAGTCACCAAGCCCGCCGACTTGAAGCTCGACGACATCCGCAACCGTCTCCTCGACGAAGCGAAGCGTCGCAGCTTCTCCACCAATGTCGCCGCCTTCCACGCACCGAAGGCGTCTACCTCAGGCAAAGCCAAAGCTGGCAAACCTGACGGCAAGAAGGGCAAGTGCAACTTCTGCCACTACAAAGGCCACTATGAGCAGGACTGTAGAAAGAAAAAGGCCGCCGCCGAAGAGGTGCGGAAGGGCAGCAATGGCAAAGCCCAGGACGGTAAAAGTAATCCGTCCGGTAGTAGTACTGGTCACGCATCTGTACATGTAGTCACCGCCAAAGGAGCCGCTGCTTCCGAGGCCGAAATTCATTCCGCTTCCTGGTATCTCCACAGTGTGAAACGCTGGATGTTAGACTCCGGCTGTACACGACACATTACAAACAACCTGAACGACTTCGCTGAGTACACCACCTTCGCGTCGCCTACATACGCAACACTAGCAGACAAGGCGAAAACGCAAGTAAGCACGCTCAGTTCAGGTGTTGTCGAGGGCACTACGCTCGTCGATAACAAACCAGTAAACATCAGGCTAGAGAACGTTCTCTACAGCCCTGCAATGTCCGGACGGCTAATCTCCGTCTCATGCATCGAAGATAAAGGCTTCGATCTTGTCTTTGGGAAAGGACGAGCCCAAATCAAGCATGGTAACACCACGTTTGGCATAGGCACTAAGTCCTGCGGTCAGTATTGGTTGGACCTCACTCCGCCTCCACCATCTGTCGCGGTCTCCACGCACAATGCCACTTCGCTCGACGTTATCCACCATCGGTTCAGTCACCTGAACTGGGAGGCAGTACGCAAGCTCGCCACTGCTGATTTCTCTCCGGTCAAAGGCCTCATCGCCGCCGATATGGATAAACCTTCGCATCCCTGCGAAGGCTGCGTCTTGGGCAAAGCACACAGGCGTACATTCCCCACATCGTCCATCTCACGCGCCAACAAACCCTTCGACCTCATCCACTCTGACCTCGACAGACCTATGTCGGTGGTGTCCATTACAGGCCACCGATACTTCGCTACCTTCATCGACGACTGCTCCGACGTCACATGGGTCTACTATCTGCGAACAAAGGATGAGTTCCTCTCCGCGTTCAAAGACTTCGTAGCCCTCGTTGCGCGACAGTTTGACACGGTCATCAAGGTCTTTCGGTCAGATCGAGGGGGTGAATACCAGTCCAACGAGTTCATCAACTTGTTGAAGAAATCTGGGATCATCCACGAGCGCACGATACCCGGTACCCCACAGCAAAACGGCAAAGCTGAGCGCATGAACCGCACGCTCGTAGAAGCTGCTAAGTCAATGCTACAAACCGCCGGGTTATCACACGGATTCTGGGAAGAAGCTGTTCGCACAGCTGTGCATGTATGCAACAGAGGCCCTAAGAAAGCCATTGCATGGCGTACGCCCTTAGAACGACTCACTGGCACCACACCGGACGTGTCCCACTTCCGAGTTTTTGGTTGCCAGGCCTATCGCCATATACCCAGGGATAAACGCAAGAAACTCGATGCTAACGCTGAGAGCCTAGTGTTTATCGGCTACGAGACGAATTCTAAAGGTTATCGTCTATGGGATAAACGTAGCAGAAAGATCACCACGAGTACTGATGTGATATTCGACGAGTCGATCTTCCCCAACAAACTCCTACCCTCACCGTCCTCGACACAACCGACCGGATCTACATCCACGCTGCCGTCATCTGTCGAACTCAAACTACCACCCCTTAACACGCCACCGGCTCCTACGCAGCCGCCACAGCCTGCATCACCTCCTACTCAACCCATCACACCAAAACCGCCTACAGCATCCCAAATACCACGCCTTACACCTCGAACAGAGTTGTATCCAGCTCCGCCAATCCCACCAAGTGCACCGGTCAAGCCTGAATTCAAGGGCAAGGCCAAAGTCTCACCATCTCGCATCGTCGCCCCTCCGCCACTCCAGCCAAATCCCAACACTACCTCGTGGGACTACAATCCCTTCACCAACCCTGAGCATGCCACAACGTCATCAGGCATCCGCCGCGGTACCCGCGAGCATAAAGCAACTCAGAAATGGACGAGCATTTGGCCCGGAGCAACCGAAGCAGACATCGAGGAAGCACTGAACACAGGCAAAGAACCAGGCGACATCGCTGCGATCGTAGGTGACTCCTCCATCGCTGGAGAGCCGCGGACCTACAAACAGGCAGCTGACGCCCCGGATTCAGCGGAGTGGATGACTGCCATGCAGGCCGAAGTTACCGGCCTCCTGGAACAAGGCACCTGGGAACTTGTCGACCTATCAAAGGGTCGCAAGGTGATCAAGTGCAAATGGGTATACGTTGTCAAGCGCAACGAGAACGGAGAAGTGGATCGCTACAAGGCAAGGCTCGTAGCCAAGGGGTTCACGCAAGTTCAAGGCATCGACTACGAAGACACCTTCGCTCCCGTCGCCCGTCTGGAATCCTGGTGATACCTCATTGCCCTAGCGACTATCCAGGACTGGGAAATCCATCAGATCGACTTTGATAGAGCATATCTGAACGGAGAACTCGACGAGGAGCTATACATGGAGCAACCTGAAGGTTTCGTAACGGACGCAGGCAAAGTATGCCGCCTGCGGAAAGCAATATACGGGCTAAAGCAAGCGGGACGAACATGGTTCCTCACGCTCAAGGCCTGTCTCGAGGACATTGGATTCGCATGCCACGACGCCGGCGACGTATCCATCTTCATTCGCCATCAACGGGGGGGATCCACTCAAATTTTAGTGGTTTACGTTGACGACCTAACTATGATGGGAAACAGCCTCGATCTCATCCAACAAACGAAAGAGGCATTGAAAGAAAGGTTCCAACTCAAGGACCTTGGCGAACTCAAGTATTACCTCGGCATTCGTGTCACGAGGGATAGGGGGAGTCGAGCTACATACCTCGACCAGGAAACGTACATCGAGTCCGTCCTCAAACGATTCGGATACGAAGACTGCAACCCCGCATCCACACCACTCGGCACTGACATCGTACTCGAGAAGAACGAGGAAGACCCCGCGGACTGTTCACAAGACCGCATCAAGCTCTACCGCTCACTCTTCGGCTCACTCATGTACGCCATGCTTGGGACTCGCCCCGACATTGGCTTCGCCGTCGCCCGACTTTGCCAATACCAGGCAAACCCTTCACCGAAGCACGTAGCTGCCGCCTATCGTGTTCTCAAGTACCTCCGCGGCACCTCCAACTATCAACTCTGTCTAGGTCAACACGACGAGACCAATAGCCGTTTGCTCGGTTACACCGACGCAGACTTCGCAAACGACAAGGACAACTCCGTCTCAACATCCGGCTGGGTTTACAAACTCGGTAGAGGCGCGACCAGTTGGTCTTCTCGCAAGCAACGCTCTGTGGCTCGAGACACCTTCGACGCAGAGTACTTCGCAGCCGACGAAGCAGTCCGACATTTACAGTGGCTCGAAATCTTTGCTGAGTACATCGAACACCCACTCACGAAGCCTGTCCCTCTCCACTGCGACAACAAATCTGTCGTTGACGCTGCCCAGTCACCCAACATCAAGCATCGCACGAAACACACCCGCGTCAAAGCTCACGCTGTTCACGAGCAATTCGAAGCAGGTCTGATCGAACTCGTTAGGATTCCCGGTGTCGACAATCTGGCTGATATTCTCACAAAGCCTCTACCGGCTGAGGTACACAACCGTTACACTCAGTCTCTTGGCCTCGTTCTGTATCGCCTCGCCAAGGGGGAGTGTTGAAGCGCCTAGTGGCTCTGGCTCGGCGTTCCGCCCAGCATGGACTTAAGGTGGACATCTTAGATTAGGCGCTGCTAATACGTAGATAGTGATTGGACAATCATATGTAGTGCTCCCACGCACGGACCTCTTTATGGCAGGCTTCCCCATTCTAGCGGACTTTCAATTTTGCTTCCTTTTAGTATATAAGGACTCCTCTCGCATCCCCACTCTGCGTGCTCTTTCCCTTCGCACTTAGAGTAAGTCCCTTCGTCGCCCTTGCGCATTATGTAGTATGCTTACCGGACCCCTGTCTAGCTAACACCGTGTGTATTAGGTATATAGCTATACAGAGTGCTCTTTCCCTTCGCACTCAGACTAACACCATGTGTATTAGATCGTGCCCGCGTGCCACTCGCCAGTTCGCGCTCGCGCAGCCCAGTCATCGTATCACGACAATAGCTCTTGCATGTTCAATATTATCATTATACCATATATCACCATTGGCATCTATTATCCATGAAGTAAAGTGATTGTGGCCATAATATATAAACCCACAAAGTCAATATTGATATCTTCCCAAATTTAAGAGTAAAGTCCAATCTACTATAACACCTTCAACTTTGAATCTAATAAATAAGGGCATGCTGCTAAATACAACTTGATTGATAAGTGGATTACTACAGTCACTGCATGCAATATTAGTTATTTGTCTTACATTTGCTCTCATCCACTGCAGTGGTGTTCTGTGTCTAGCTGTTTCTGTCAAGAGTCCTTGCTTTCTCCAGCAGTAAGGTGAGCAGACTAATAGCAGATCATTGCAGGAGAAGTTGCTGTTCCTGGCAATATTCTGTGTGAAACCACATGATCTACATGCATATTGCTTATAGAAATACTTGTCAGCCTGTTCAAAAGTATAGCTACAAAGCATATTAATCTCAGTACCTATAAGCACATGAAGAGGAAACTCTGAAGGATCAGCTTGGTGTAGTTTTTGTCTGATCATATCTTTGGCATTCTCAGATAAAGTGCTATTATCTTAGTAGGTCTATACCAGATGTTCTAGCAAGGGCATATTGCTAAGAGACTGTTGTACAAATGAGCTTGTGCTGCTAGCTATGGCTTGAAGTGCAATTGAAAATGTGGAGTCATATGCACAGCTGTAATCACTTCATATAAAGCTTTAGTAATTGAGTGGTGTAGTGAGATCAGTATTTGAAGATTAATTGGCTGATTTACTAGAGGCAGGCAAAGAGGTATCTTTTTTAGCAGCTGTTTTACACTTTTTGATTGGTTTCTGATCATTGCTTAATGTTTTCAGAGTAGCTGTATCTAAGGTCTTCACAAATAATGCAGAATCATTTGCTGACATGTGAGGCTTCTTGGGCTTACTAGGCTTTAAAGCTTCATCTGATGCTAATTTTCTTTTGTTTAGCTTGTTCTAAACTATCTTTTATACTTCTTTGTCATCTGGTTTCTGGTTATTCCATGGCTGACCCTTGGATTACTGTATATAACTAGAAACACCTTTGGGTACAAACTATAAGCCCAGCATCTGGAAAAATCCAGTTTGTTAATTTCACAGTAATTAGCAGTAATAGGTATTCTTTCAACATTCACAAGATATTATTTCATTCTTACTTTGTTAGATGAAAGATAATCAGTTAAATAAGTTTAGCAAACATTCTCTATATGTTAGATATAGTAGCTATATATGATATCAGCTAATTTGTTTTTTTATTAGTGTAAAACTCTCAATCTGTTAAATATATTAATTGGTTCACTGTTTGGTATTAAAATATTAAAACTATTATTTCATTCTGTGAATACTAATGGGAAGTTTTTGTTGTACTATTTTTGTTAGCTGTACATTATATATTTCAAACCGCTAATTATTAGAGACTGCAGTAATACATTTTAGAAATAAAAGTAATAAAATAACATGTCAGCTTCGACACCCGGTTAACTACATGCAACGTGTACGAAGATACTGAGCGTAACAAGTAATACAAATACAGTCGAAAAAACATAGGCAAGCACAGGACAAAAGGAGACTGGCAGAGACGTGAGAACTGCAGACTGTTTGAGCCAACAATACAGAAAACACAGAATAGCAAGAAACATAGGGCGGGAATGGGAGGGAAAGCACAAGAAATGGACTCGAAGCCTAACGCAGATGGAGGTCAGACCTGGCGAGGTGTGACAGAAATGCTAGCACGAACCTAACGCAGATGGAGGTCAGACGGGATGAGGCGTGCAGCCTCTGTCCTTCGCGGCTGCACCTATATACCCATCTGCGGTCAGAAGGATCCCAGTTAGATACGCCCACTGCTGACAAAGCATCGGCGACGTACCTAACACTTCTGAGCAGGTCCGTGTTCGTCCGCTGTTGGACTCATCCTGCTGCAAGCAGGGGAACGGAGGCCGCGGGCCTCTGAGTGCGGCAAAGAGCGCTTCGAGTCTGCGTACACGCGTCGCTCATTCGACTTGTGTCAACTGCCTTGAAACTCGACGAATCAGCTCCTCTGCTGAGGTGCGACTTTTCGAGTCAAAGGTTCAGAGTGATAGCAGGGCTATGAAGCAATATATATATATATATATATATATATACAGTTTTTTTACATTACTAATATATTTAGTATACACAGACTAGTGTTTATATTTTGTTTTGAAAACAGCAGACCATTTTTACTAAGTACTAACTATCTTTGTAGTATCAAGTATTACGCTAAATTCTATGCTCTATTTGTTACCATATGCATGCTAATAACATGATATTTCAAACAGCAGATTCAGTAGCTGAAACTATAGTTAATAATCTATTGCAAGTAGCCACTATATATATTAATAGTTGTTGTAGCAGCAGATGGCAGTTATATTAAATATTGTATATTCAACATTATGTAAGAGATCAACATCTACATTTACATATAGAAGTGAGAATAAGCATAAAACTTATAGCTTACACTTAGAAATTATTTGTAAGTTCTTAACTGAGTGTATATAGAGATATTGAAGTATAAAGTTTATGGAGGTCAAATGGCTCAGTAGTTAAAGTGTGCATATTTCAGCAGGCAGCTTGAAAGTAGTAAAATTGGGGTTTAATTCTCATTAGGGTAATTTGTTTTTCTTTTTCTTTTTCTTGAATATTAAGTTTGTATGATGCTGTTAATATGCTGTATAGCATGAGAAATCTATATAGAATTAAATTTGAGCTTGCTACATTGGTTTTATAGTTAAGAATACTGAAATAACAGTTGATGAATATTTAATGAATAGCTAATGAACAGCTTATAAACAGTTCATGAATAAATTATTATATTAGTATTAATTTACTATTAGAAAAGCAAGCATAATAGGAGGGATCAGTTAATTAATGTTACTATATTAATTAGTGTTAATTAGTACTATATAGCAGTAATTAACATTGTGAGCTTTTTCAGATGCATCCATTCTCTATAGCTGTGAATAACCTGGCTCCTTGTGACATTGCCTACACTGAGAGAAAGTTTGTGTCTGTATTGTAGTCTAGTGACTTCAGTGAGTATTTCTGGCTCTCTGAATTCTTGATGCAGCTAGCCAGGTATACCACTTCTAATCTTTTTGTTATCAAATCCTTGGATAATAGCTATGCTCTCATATGAAAACTCTCTGGAAAGACATATGTATATAGACTGGTGATTTCTACAGTTGTTCAAATCTACTACATTGTAGGACTTTGTGTGATGTTGTAAGTTGTAGTCTATCATTGCAAAGTTGGGTATTAATGGAATCTGATCTCTGCTAATTTGAAGAATCTTTCCATTGGGCATAATGCACTTGACACTAATCTGTGCACAATGCATAAAAACTACATTTAGTAGAAGTCCATCTAATTGTATAAAAGTAGAAGGAGATGTTAGCTCAATAAAGACTGTCTCCAGAACTAGCTTGCCAGTTTTATCTAATGAGTTACATTTCCAGCCTACTACTCTAGCCTCAGCTCTATTTGTTGCACAGCATTCAGTGGCTATATTCTTTTTAACCATTATAGATAGTCTTATGCAAATTTTGAGCAATTCTGAATGGTTTTGTGTGCAAAAATGGTGTAAGTCCCATAAAGCATCTTTCAAAAATGAATTAATCTCATTGCCTGTTTGCTATAGATTTACTTCATGCAGTTTCTTGTATCTTTCTTTTTTATCTTATTTTGGATCAGGCCTCCACTTATCACTGCTATAGAAGCTTGTTAACTTTTGGTCTAATTCATTAGCAAACTGTTCTGATCTTATTTTGTTTATTTTATCTCTATGTGCATTCCAAGAGGTTATTATTAAGATTTGATGGAATTTTTGATTAGGGAGTTTAGGTTGATTTGGCCCTCTGCCTACAACGCAAGAGTGAAGAAGCTTAATATCAGCTTCTGTGCATGCACCATATCTCATGCATTTCAAACAGTGTCTTAGCTTGCCATTTTGCAATGTTTGGCTTTTTTGTCACATATTCTGTTTGAATATTACAATTTCTGAATATAATGAAGAAATGTTCTGTTGGAAGTAGCACTTTGGGAGTCAGTTCACTTTCTCATGCAAATCTGCCTAACTCTCTAGACTCTTCAATATTTAAGCTACTGACTTAAACCTTAGTCCATACATACTTCTAGTATACTGTAGTGGAGTAAATGGTATAAACTATGACACATAATGCACCTCCTCACTGGTTTGTAATTCCAGTCTTCTTGTCACACTTTATAGCTTTTTGAGGGTCTGAAAAGAGCATAAGCTGGTTTTTATAGGCAGTATGGCTATTTTTCTAGCCTTTTAATTGCTTTCAAGCCTTCAGCAAGGGCTATAGTTGTAGATAGGATTGTCAGAAGCACCTGATTAGCCAATATTTTTCTCTACAAACTAAAATGTCATGCATAACCTCAGGCCAGTTTGTAGCATGAGGGGTAAGTTAACTGTCACGCCTTCCTGACCAGTTTGTACTGTTCACTCTACTACAGTAGACTACATGTAGAAAATTACTTGACCATATACAGATCAGCTGTGGCTCTTCAGTGCTGTGTTTTGTGCTTGAGCTAGGAACTTAAACAAATTTCACAGATAGACCATTTTCAAAGACACAACATTCAGATGATCTTTATACCATCAGATAGAGCCTGTTAAGAGAGTCCAGAATATGTAATAATATATGCCAAACCAATTGTTTAAAAGGGTGAACCAATGAGAACAAAGCACGAGAAAATGCTAGAATAAGTGCCTAATAAGCACCACAGCACGGTCTGCCTTTTTCATCACTTCTACTTTTCCTCACACATCTTTGCCTATAAATACCATATATTCTAAGGTTCACTATGTGTATATTATTTATGTTATATACTCTGAAAGTAATTTATAGTCATGTTCAATAATAAAGTGCTTGCCATTAGTTTTGAACCTCAGTACATTACAATTTCTAAATGTAATGAAGAAATGTCATGTTAGAAGTAGCACTTTGGGGTCAGTTTACTTTCTAACGCAAATCTGCCCCTCACTCTACAACTTGCTATATTTAAGCTATTGACTTTTAAATTTGGTACACATATATCTTCATTATAGATTTACATGTAAAAAATTATTTGATCACAATTGGATCAGTTTTGGCTCTTTAGCACTGTGTTTTATGCTTGAGCTGGGGATTTGGACAAATTTCATGAATAGGCCACATTCAAAAGGCACAACATCTAAATGATCTTTATACCATCAGATAGAGCACAGTGAAAGGGTCCAGAATATGTAAAAAAAAATGTGCCAAATTAATTGTTTAAAGAGGTGATTTGAAAGGAACATAGTGTGAGAAAACGCCAGAATACGCGCCACAGCATGTTCCGCCCTCTTCATCACTTCTACTCTTCCTCACATATTTTTGTCCATCTATACCATGTAACATAGGGTCTTCTATATACATAATAACTGTGTACTTAGTATGAGAATGGTTCAAGACTATGGTTCAGTGATAAAATGCTGACTACTGGCTTTTAAAGCTTGGTGCACAGTGCTGCACAATGGATTGTGAACTTGGCAGTGCCTACAATTGCTTGATATGTTATATTTCTATTATTCATACTGTCTAGCACTATAGTGAATATATGTAAAATTATCATAATTTATGTGGCATTATTAACAATGTTCTATGTATTTATTGTTCTTACTCCTCTCTACAGATCAATACTGGTCCATAATCCACACAGATATTTTAGAAGTCTCCTTTACTATACTCTGCAAGTATCAGGTTATCATATTGTGCATATTAAGACATATGAGCCTATAATCAAGCACATAATCATGATCTTGTGCATTAAATTTAATCCTTCAAGCTACCACACTTTAATGGCTGTTCTACTCTATTTTGCTATCTCAAAACACCCATATATATCTCGAAATGTATATATAGTCATACTATCTGCCGTAATATTGCTTTATCTTAGCCTTCAACATTAAAAATTATCGAAATAAAAAAGATCTCCCAGCCAACCTCCAACCACTATCCAATAAAGCAACTGCTGTCTTAAAATGCGCAATTTGCCACCTCAGACTCAACTGAGAGGAGGAGTAGGTATATCCATACACATCTTTCACTTTAACCACCACCATCTCTACTCACAACATGCTTCACAAGTGTAATTTCTCTAAGTCTTTATAGAGATTTGACTTGCTCTTAATTTTTTACCTTACTTGCTACCTTTTGATAGTTTCTACCAGCACCTTCCTAGACAAAATCTCTTTACAAACCTTTGACACAAACTTTGAACTGAACTGGAATGAAATAGTTAGAGGCACCGTTTGTAAAGGCTCTACTCTGTCTTGCTCAGACAGACTGTACAAGTAAAGCAACCCAGTTCAGAGTGAGTAGAGCCTGAGTCATAACTAGGGTTATGTGGGCCGTAGCATATATGCTCAGCAGGTATGATTTCTTCATTTTTTTAATGCTACAATATAAGTAATAATAACTTAGATATTATAATAGCTTACTATTTATATGATACTTAAAGCCATATACAGTATTTATCACTTTATAACTTTGCAAAATATATTGACAGTAGTCTTTTATCATTTTATCATGTGAATCTTACAAATAATGTGCCTATTGTTGGCAACTTATCTGTTAGGTGTAGCATATATATACCACTATGATAGAGTGTAGCATGAAGACATTCTGCAAAGGTTGAAATATAGGCTCATTGTTTCATTTGTACCACTAGTCAAGTATAGGTTCACAATTTTACTAGTTTTTAAACTATCCACTTAATCAGACAGTGCAAGGCTTGTCAGATTATACCTGGTGCTTGCAATCAAGCCAGAATTTGAAGAGATGGCCTCTGTAGCCATGCTACAAGGTGGCTGGAAGCTTTGATTACCCAGGCTTCACTCAAGTTGAATTAGAATGCTCTTGTGGTCTAGGCTGTCTGAGCATGAAGACAAGGACAGGGCTTTTGGAGATGGCCCCTGTAACCATGCCACAATGTGGCTGAAGGCAGTTATATTCCAGGCTCCACCCAATCTGAACTGGGAAACTCTTTTGGTCTAGCCTGTCTGAGCCAGAAGACAGGACAGGGCTTGTATAAATGGTGCCTGTTATCATTTCATTCCATGTGTTCAGTTCAAAATTTGTGCCAAAGGTTTCTAAAGTGAATCTATCTAGGGAGGTGCCAGTAGAAGCTACCAAAAGGTACCAAGTAAGGTAGAAGATCAAGAGCAAGCCAAATCTCTATGACAACTTAGAGAAGTTACACTTGTAAAGCATGTTGTAAGCAGAGATGATAGTGGTTGAGTGAAAGAAGTGTATGAGGTGTACTTACTCCTTCTTCCATTTAGGTCTGAGGTGGCAAATTGCGCATTTTGAGAGAGCAGTTGTTCTATTGGGTAGAGGTTGAGGGTTCAATCCTGGCTGGGGGATCATTTTTATTTTGATAACTTTTGGTTTTAAAGGTTAAAATGAAGTGATATCATAACAGGTAGTATGATCATATATTTTATAAGATATCTCTGAGTGTTTTGAAATGGTATAATGGAGTAGAACAGCCACTAAGTGTGGTAGCTTGAAGAATTAAACTTTATGCACAAGATCATGGCTATATGCTGAATTATGAGCTTATATATCTGGAAATGCGCAATTTTGCGATCTAACAATTTCAAGAGATAGTGGAAGATGTTCTTGAAATATTTGTGCAAATTATGAACAAGTATTGATCTATAGAGGGAGGCAAAAGTGCTGAGCATATGGCACATTTTTTGTAATTCCAAACAAATTGCTATAATTGTCCACATATTTATAACAGTACCACATAGTGTGTCCAACCATGATATATAGTTACAAGTGATTCTATTTACTATCAAGCCTACAATCTGTTGCACAACACCATGCACTGAAGTTCAAAGCTAGTAGCAAGCACTTTGTCTCTAAAGTATAGCTTTAAACCATTCTCATACTAGATACACAGCTAGTATGTATACAGCAGACCTCATGCTACATGGTATAGATGAATACAAATGTGTGAGCAAGAGAAGAAGTGATGATGAAGGCAGATCGAATTGTGGCGCTTATAGGGCGCTTAATCTGGCGTTTTCTCGCACTTTATTTTATTTGGTTCATCTCTTCAAACAATTAATTTGGCATATATTTTTATATATTCCGGGCCCTCTCAGTATGCTCTATCAGATGGTATAAAGATCATTTAGATGTTGTGCCTTTTGAAAGTGGTCTATGTGTGAAATTTGTCTAAGTCCTGAGCTCAAGCACAAAACACAGTGCTGAAGAGCTAAAACTGATCTATATGTGATTAAACAAATTTTCGCATGTAAACCTATACTAGAAGTATGTGTGACCCAAGTTTTAGGTCAATAGCTCAAGTATAGCAAGCTGTAGAACAAGGGGCAGATTTGTGCAAGAAAGTGAACTGACTCCCAAAGTGCCACTTCCAACAAAACGTTTCTTCATTACATTCAGAAATCGTAATTGCCTCTAGCTACTCTATGACATGATTAGAGAGACTACCTCCAAAAGCCCTGTTCTGTCTTTTAACTCAGACAGGCTAAACTAAAAGAGCTTTCTAGTTGAGAATAAGTGGAGCCTGGAATATAACTGCCTTTAGCTACTTTGTGACATGGTTACATATATTGCAGCATAAAAGAAATGAAGAAATTGTACTTGCTGAGCATATATGCTATGACCCACATAACCCTAGTAGTGTTATACAATTATGATTTCTAAATGTAATGAAGAATCATTCTGTACAGACTGGCACTTTGAGAGCTTTTCAGCACTGTCACAAAACTTGGTCCAATACGTAGGAGTCTTATTTGTATTGACACTACACTAGTCCATTAAACTTGGGTTAGAGTTCATTTCAAACTTTGAAGTAAAACTTGCTCGATTTTTACAGCTTTTCGCACTTTGAGTATCAACTTGAAATTCAGTACCTAGATACTTCTAGCATACATCTTGCTACATGTAA